CTCACGACTGTTGCCGTTGCGGTGTACCACCACGGATTGGGCGATCTCAATCACTTCGGCCGCTGACACCACCTCATCCCAGGAGGACGTCTCCGGGTTCCGGCGATCTCGCCACAGATCCTGCTGGATGGACGCTCGCAGACCAAACCAGAGTTTGTTTACTCTGTCTCGTTCCAGGGTTTGTCCAATGATCGAAAAGAGCTCGATAAGTTCAGATACATATTCTTTCACCGTTTTGTCATTCTGATAGAGATTTCGTAGGTGTTTGCGTTGCTTAGACACGTAGTTCGTGGGGAAGCAGAAGTCAAACAGGGCCGTAAAGAATGCATCCATGGTCCATTCTGATGCTCGAAACGAGACCTGACGTATGAAGAACGTATAGGCTTGCCCTTGCAAGTAGCGGGCAAGCTTTTCAACACGATGCCTCCGGCGGACTTGTCCTTCTTCCACGAAGCTCTTGGCCTCCTGCATGAAACGGAAGAAGGCCTGGCTGTCGGGCCGGCCATCGTAGGGTTCAGGGGGGGTCGGCTTGATCAAACAGGATCGTCACTTCTTTCCCCGATGGTTTTTCTTCCTTCGGTGGGATCGCTTTTGCGATCTGGGATCGTTCGAAGACTCAGAGCTCGAGCTGTTGTCTGATTCGCTAGAAGACGAGGACGAACTCGATTCATCGGGGGAATACGAGTTTTCGGACGAGCTAGGATCGTCGCTCCCACTAGGATTAGTTGGTCTAGCTGCCGCGAAGGCGCGTCCTAGGTAGCTTTCCGCTGGGAGTTGATTACTAGGCAGGATCGGTGCTCGGGGAGCATCCTGACTATTACCGGTAGCCGTCTGGAAGGCTACACCGCGGGAGACCGACACAGGATCCACCAAAGGTAATTGGACTCGTGCTTTCTTTTTATGCTTTTTACTGAGTTTCTTTTCCTTCAGTTTGGCATTTTCGGCCTTCAAAACCTGGAGTTCGCGCAACAGTACGTCATTGGCATTATCGGTTGGTTTACGTGCCGCGGATGGGAGGAACGTTCCTCCGCCGTGTTGTTCGATAGCACGAATCTCATGTTGGTATTTTTGTAGGGCTTCGTAAGCTTTCGCTTGCGCCGTTGGGTTCAGATCTTCATTATCTGACAGGTCAAGGTCCCCCCAGTTACGCGGGTCTATTCCCTTGCCTTTATCCTTGGAGGGGCCTTCCCCAAGGTTTACGAGTGGCTCATGGGCCCGAGCCTCGTCTCGTATGGCTCGATTTCTCCTCGAAATCAAGTCTCTTTCTGATTCATCCATGCCATCAACGGCGGATCTTACGGCTTCCGCCTGCTCAGGATTCAGTTCACGCTGAGTGGTTACAAATTCGTCAGACTCTTCGTCAAGAGCTAACGGGGTTTCATTATTATGATTCTCTTCCGCAGAAGGTTCTACGCGCTTCGCCACCACATCGCTATAGGAGCGACGTTTGGGCTTAGCGGGAGGACTTTCGTCCCGTTCGGTGTCAGAGACAACCGAACGCTCGGGGTTAGTTGGAAGGAAGAGTCCCTGAGGCTCACCAGTGAGTTCAGGGTTTTCGGGAGTATCAGCGCGCTGGGTGGCACGACTGCGAGTGGCATAGGTTCTGGTCATAATGGAAGGAAATGGGAAGTGGTGCGGTGCGGTGTGAGTTGATCAGACTGGCGTCGTCCGGCGGGGTTTTATCGTAGAGTGTTTTTAGAGAAGCGTTGTACTATCAAAAATATGTGACGTGAGCGGAATGGTCACGGCACACGAGAGGGGAGGGAGTGAGAGGCAGTCGAACGAGGTTGATAGGGATAACGGTATATTCGAGTACGCTACTCAAACAGTACAGGGCGAGGGGTCTTATATACGGTTGGAGTAGGTAGGTATCGGAATAGGATAGATGACGATACGTACAAACAAGGGAGCAAGCGAAGAGTCCGGTCGAGCGCAGATCTAGGTAAAGTGAAAGAGAAGTGAAGTCGGGATGAAACCCGAGGGGCTACATACTGGTACTGGTACTGGGGCAGCAGGTGGCCTCCTGAGTACTGAGTACTGAGTCCTTGCAGCCTGGGAGGAAGGAGGGCCTGAGAATCGGGATGCCGTGTGCCCGATGGGCGTGGCCTGAGATGAACCGATGGCTTGCGACTTGCGCATACATACATACATACAGCGCGCCACGCTGGACTCGAGGCCTCATGCATAATGTCCGAATCTATGAATACCATTACCATCAACATAAGCATAAGCATACGATAAGCATACGATAATATAACGCAGCGCTATCATGTTATCATCTTATAGGCAGTGCGTACGAAGTTGGAACGTCAGGTGGCCAGCTTGAGAAAAGAAAGCGACGCCTTCGTAGGCCCGATGCGCATGGAGTCGCTTGCTGACCACAATAATGACTCATGACTCATGAGAGCCCAAGTTCTGGGGCCTTCGAAGGTTTGCGCGTCCATGATAGGTGCTACATGTATGACGAAGCAGAATCATCAACATCAACATGCCGCACCCGGGACTCGTGGTTGGTAGCTCGTCACGCGCCAGGTGCCTCGAGGCCTGAGCTTGAGCTTGAGCTTGAGGTTGTATGTATTGAGTTTGTATTGGGTTCGGGCCTCGCCGCTGATATGAACGTTCGAATGCTAGAAGGCTTGGGGTGGGAGACGAAGCGTGAGCGTGAACGTTCGAGAGTTCGAGAGTGAATGTTCGAGATTCAGGGGCCTGGCTACTAGCTGGCGTCCTGCTGTCTTGGTACGTCGCGGTCCGAGTCTAGGGGGTGCTTTATATTGATATTGATATTGATATCTGAGTTACGAGCGAGCACGTATAGCACGGGCGCAAGCGGGTGCCAGTGCGTCACGGTGCAGTCTGCAGTCAACGAACTCGAACTCGAACTCGAAGCTGGAAAACTGCACCCCCCGGGATTCAGAAATCGGAAAATCGGAAAATCGCAAGTTCGAGACTTCGACTTCAAAGTTCAGCGGCGGTGTGCGGGTGCTACTATGTAGCACGGCACGATGGCTCGGATTGGCGTCCGCGTCAGGTGCCCCGAGCTTCGGCAATGGCAATGGCAATGGCAATAGTCTGCTCTTCGGGAAGGGGTTCGTGTGGGCGTGGGAGGAGGGCATTCGGTGCAGGCCAGCGGCTGGGAAGGAGCTGGGGACGGCATGTGCCAGTACGAGGGTGGGGGTGCAGTCTCAAGATCTCACGTCTCATAGAAGCAGAAGCAGAAGCAGAAGCAGAAGCAGAAGCAGAAGCAGACCCTCGGCGAATGCCTGTGGCTGGGAGCCCGGGGCCTGATCGATGATCGATACGTCTGTTATATTCTGGACTCTGGACTCCAGGAAGGATGAGGGAATCGGGCTCGGGATCGGGGGAGAAAGGTGTATTGATAAATTGACTCGGAAGGAATGTCAGCCTGGGTCCTGGGAGGGGTCCTGGGTTCGATAGTTCGATAGTTCGAGAGGGAGGCTTCGGAGTGCGTGATACATATAGTGGTATGCCTACATACACATACACGGAACAAAACAAATGAAGTCGGCAAAGAAGCTATGGTGGATTTGTGCTGGGAGTGAGTTGCGACGCGGAGGCGTATAACAGAAACAGAGCGGTGGAGGAGCACGCCGGAGGAAGACCGCGATCCACGGATCATCGATCATCGATCAGTGCGCGGTACTCACGTACTCACGTATGCTTAGAGCCGGCACGCTCAGCCATGCATATGTAGGCGGAATGTTTATGCGGGGGGCACGACAGTCAGATCAGGCAGTGCGGGGAATCGGGATGTCGTCGATCGGAAATGAGATACTTATGTACGTATGCAGAACACGTTCGTGTTGTGATTGTGATAACAAGGATACGGTTATGAAAGTGAGATCGGGCCCGGACGCGGAGAGAAGGTGGAGGGGGAGAAAAGGAGGAAGAGAGCAGAACGACGGAAGACAGGTATGCCGATGCCGATGTCAACCAGCCTGCATAGGTTGTTCGGCGACTAAGAGAAATGCATACTATGCTGTATACACGACGTATGCTGTATATATGATGCATCTGTTATCTCCATCTTCGTCTTCACCTTCCCTTCGCCGCCATTCTATTCTAATTTCGGTGTATAAACTAAGTGGAGCGCAGAAGGAATGGGAGTGACGGTTGAACGTTGGACTACGACAGTTAAAGCATTTGACGGTTTGGCGGTTTGGCGGTTTAGTAGTCCATACTGATAGCACGAGCTGCCATCATGATATTGCTCCTTAAGCTGCTCACATCACGAAGTCGGGATAAGACAGATAAGGCGAATGAGAGCTGATAGATCGCCTGCATCGTGGAATTGCGGGGCACGGGACGAGGAGAAGGCGGCCAGTTATGGAGAGTACTTGACCGGAGAACTTGTGTAGAGAACTTGAATAGACGCTTGGGACTTGGATTTAGATAGTACTTAATCCGTGTTGTGGGTGGAGAAACAAGTGTCTACCTACCATTGAATATCGAGAATCGGGTCTAGGTTGCATCCCGTATTATGATAGTGACCTGCTAGCAAGCTTACCGGTCGGCTTGCAGAAGTCCAACCGATACGTTCGGAATCGGCAGAAGCAATTGCGGGGACTCATCACCGTCCATGACCTTCTTCAGAACCATATAGTACCACGTCCAACGCCTTGCTCTCCTCGAAGGAATGCATGCCCCGCGACGTGCTGAATCCTTCCAAGTTTTGTCTACGCGACATGTTCTCATATTCATCGAGACCATCCACGAAGACCTTTCGTCTGAACACTGCTGGCTCAATTGCGAGAATCATAGTCGTTGAACGTTCGCCGGATATTCTGTGATCGCTGTCAGTCGTTCCGCCCTCCCCGGTGATCATGACGGCCATTAACTCCCAGCTCGGACCGCTGACCCAGCACGACCTTGGTCGCCGGCAGAACCACAGTCGACGGCGACCTCAGAATGCTTAAATACCAGCCCAGCATCCGTTGCTCAAGACACCTCGCCCCTCCGAGTCAACACCAGTCAGATCAGAGATGTACACCACTCAACTCCTGTCCGCCTTCTTCATCATCACTTCTCTGCTCATCGTCCCGGGAGTTCATGCTGCAGGCGGATTCGCCGCGACCTGCTCCGGCTACTTCGTCCGCGACAACCACTTCCTGCAGGCCAACTGCGGCGACGGGGTCGGGGGGTTCAAAGACTCGACTCTCGATCTCAACCTCTGCATCGGAAATTTCGGCGGCAACCTCGTTTGTGCGCGCAAGTGGGTCAAATACGTCGGCATCCCCTTTTCTTTCGCTGATTTTTGGCGTAGCGGCGGCTATGCAGGCTCATGCTCGGGCTGTGGTATCCGCACTGGAGCGTTTATGACATGCAGGTGAGTATCACCAGCGAAATTGGGGCCGGAAGACTCAGACCTTCTGACACGCTTGTAGATGTGGTGGTACACCACAGGGAAGCGCCATCGTCGCAGACCTCAGTCAGTGCTTCCTTCTCTTCTGCCTGCTGCTTGGCATGCACTAATCATGATTGTCAGACGAGTGTGTTGCAAACCTTGGCGGAAACTTGGCCTGTGCTGTGTAGATAAATAACGACTATTCATACATGCAATAGGAACACACTCACTTTTCCCGACATCCTGCGCACACTCTTCGCGAGAAGTTGTACACCCCTACTGGACCGTTGAATCATAACGCCAGACTCCTCCTCTGTTCCTCGATGTCTCAGAGCACACCCCAATTTACTGAACGGATTCCAAGTCTTGATGCATTCATCAGCTTACCCAGCCGTTACCCGACGAACCACAACTGAGCTAGTAGAATGTGGTTTGACTCTTGACTCTGACGGATGCTTCAAGTATTCGGAAATACAAACCTTGAAATTTAGAGCGCCTCGTGAGATTGCGCCGCGTGTGTCTCGACTCTGATCAGCGTATCATGGCCGTAACTCGCAGAAATCCTATCTGGCCTATCATAAACCAAGCAGGAGGTATCGACATGTCCGTATCCGATATATCAAGTTCGGCCGGTGGCTGGCTGGTGCCAGGGAGCACCGTGACACAATAGTGCAGTCTCGGCGCGAGTCGTTAAACTTCAGGAGACGAAACGATGGATAGGGATAACGCGGGGAGCTCAGAGCAGATCCTAGATGGGGTTGTACGGTTTGAACAGCAGAGTTGGAGGTAAACTGGTTACTGCTGACGCCATTCTGAGGGTCGTGTCATACAGCGCAAGCGACGCCGACGGCCGCAAAGCTCCCCTCCTCGAAGAGTATAGTGGATATCCCGGTGACGGAGACACTGCTACCTAGGTATGGGCGGCCAAGGTTGAGATGCGTTTCCGGGTTCTAGTCGGGCGCTCAGAAACGATTAGGACTCCGAGCTTGGGGTCTCAAACTTTGCATTGAGGTCGGGCTCCAGATGGGACGAAGTCGGGAAACTTTCATTGATCATTGGAGACCTGGGTCGCGAGATGGAGCTCCGACTCGTAACGAGCCCCCGCATCTAAGCCACATAACCGTCTAAGCTCGGGTGTTCGGGCGCTGGTGCGTTGGGATGTTTGCATATTTGTGTGTTCGGAGAGCAGAGAGCGGAGACGCCGCGATATGGTGTCCATTGTCCTGATGTTTGGATCGAAGCCTATGCCCGAGCATCCCCCTCTCGAGCGTGGTGCATCTACTCTACCTGAGATAGCGGTTGCGAAGGGATGATGTAGCACAGGTTAACGAATGCAGATTCCCTTTGCCTGCGGTGTGAATTTCAAGTGTGAGCCGCATTCGATATATGGGGTGAAATTCTGGGAGGTCGTACATAAACGGTGTCCGTCGACGGATAAACAAGACGACATGTAGATCCGGGCGTACTCGATTAACACACGATTATAGAACAGACGGCGCGGAGAGGCGGGATCCTGAGTTGGATTGTAGAACTCTTGGTAGACGGGGAGGTCGGGAGAGAACCATTCGGGCTAGACGAAGAGTCGAAATCTTGGGGTTCCGAGGTGAGACTTCGAACCAGGACGGGAGACGGCTATTTGGAGATACCAATATCATACGGAGGGTGGAATTCGACGAGCAGGGCCGAAGGAGGCGGGATTTTGAAGAGGGACTCGGATAAGCCGGCTTATGAGTGTGTGCGTGAAACTGAGATGGCCGTGTGTGGAGCTGCTATGTAGCTGCGAGTGGTCGCGGACTACTGGTGTGGTGTGCCTATAAGCGGTTCAAGCTTCGGGTCTTCAGGGTACAGGCTCCAGATAGTGTATATGTGTTGAAGTCGGTGCATGGCGAGACGAGGTGACTGGAGTTACAATGATAATATGTTCCAACCGTCCGATCGTGAATTTCTCGGAAGGGGAGTAAGAAATCCACTGGTCCGTCAACTTGTTTGTGGTAGACACAATGAGGAGCATATGCATTAGGTGTAGCGTGGGCTGTCTAGGGTCAACGATCGATCAACGTGAGCATGATGAAGCGGGAAGAGAGCCTTCCAACGGTGGATGCTACTGCGGTTTGATGGTGGTTCGTCGGGGATGCCATAGCAGCACAAAAACGCACCGAAGGCTGTTCCGTACGGATATGTAGACTCGCAATGCCTCCTGTGAATGTTTGAGCGCGGCAGTGTGTGATCTGGTCCATTCAAGCTACCCCTTCGCATCTCAGTCGGCGAAGCAGTAGTAAGTCTTCAGGCCTCAAAAGCCCTAGATGCCCTTGTCGATGGGGTGCATGATACCCGCTATACGATCCCTTCCTATTTACCCCCAAACCAGGTCTAGGAGCCATGAGCGCGCCGCATCCCCAAGATACCAAACACATCACCTGCGGATCAGTTGGCTCCGCAACGGTTCGAAACGCATGAGGGATTCCAGAAGTCTTGGTTCGGTATCATCTACTGTGGGCGGGCGCTTTGGTTTTGACTCAAGCATTCTAAATAAGTTCGAAAGAGTCGGGAAGGTCTGTCTCGACTCTCGTCGCTAGTCGGAGATGGTGGAGAGGAGGAGGGAACCCCGGCGCTTATTCGCTCGTTCTCGAACTGCCATCGCCCCGCTCGTCTCTTGGAGTGGATCCCAATTACGACTCTTCGCCATCCTCTCAAGTCGCGGTGCGTGGTAAGGGCAACGTCTGGACGACTGAGGTGGGCTTCGACAATATGATTCTTCCCCGAGCTTACGGTCTCATGAAGCAGCTACTTCCGTGCAATTATGTACGATTCACGGACAATATCCCCAAAACTGTGATACAGAATGGTGTACGACACGACGAAGGACACAGGGACTTTCTCGCTACAAATCGCTTCATTATCTCCCCACAGTACCACCACCACGCCGCAGATGATTCACGGTTACGCTCACAGTGACTAGGCGAGAGAGGAATAATTCGATTTTCAAAAGATACAAGGACACGACTGGGGACTACGCGATCCCAGACCAATGCGACGGTGTCCGTGGTACCGAAACGAAAATCTATCAGCATCCGCCGGTGGAAGAAAGGAGAAGTACTCACCGGGGAGGCTAGCCCCCCCTGCTGCCCGCTTTCAACCATGTGGCATCATCCTCCCCACCCCCGCACCAACGACTCGTCCAGGATGAGAACTGAAGAGGTGAGGCGTGTGCGTGAATGCTGAAATGGGATTGTCGAATCGTAGTTCGGTGGCCAGCCCTCCGTGAAATCGTCGCGACCGACCTCATTGAGCACTGGTCACCAGGCTACGATGTATCGCTGAGGCGATGGAAGGGGCAGGGGGAGATCAAAGTGGAAGTGGAAGGGACGGAAGAAGGTGGGGAGTCGAGAAAGCGGAAACGGGGATTTATATACCTCCCCGCCGCGTTCTATTATTAACGCTTTTGTTTTCAACAATTTAGAAAGTCTACCCAGCCACCTCACGTGGGCATGTATCGTCCTCGCTTCACGACGCGTCTACTCCATCTCTTCTACATCCTTCGCGGAATACGATCATGGCGGTGGCGCAACGCCACTCACGCTTCAAGGCGGGCTCAATATCTCATAAGGCGGGCTCGAAACTGGCAAACGCTGCTATTCGCGACGGTACACGCATCGTCGCGCCTATAGCAACTCTCACGTGAGCGTGTGCCGTCCTCGACGTTCAACGCATGTCTGCGCTCTGCTTTTGAGGAAGTGGGCCATGGAGACGGCATGTTTCTTGCTTTGCTTCAAACAGGGCTCATAGTTCACGGGGAAAACAGCCACGTCTCCTAGCTCTGGTACCCTGTTGATTCACTCGCCTACGCTGCCGGGTATCATATCATCATTGCCCAAAGATAATCGCGATCAAATGATCTCCTTCGTGCTACAAGGCGAGAGCAAAGGTCCCAGAGGCGGCTTTGCCGCTGCTGAGCAAGACCTGCATCCTCGCTTTTTACTGCGTGTCTCTTCTCTCTCTCTCCCCTTCGTCTAGACCTCGCAGCCGTTCGTTCTGTCGGATAGGAGATCTACCTGGCGAATAGGAGAGGAGACGATAGTCGCCATGAATACATTCGCTCTCTTTTCGTGTTCTCGCCCCCACATATCTCGCATACGATGTCCATCGCTTCCCAAGTCAATCATCAACACCGCTGTTGCAGCATTCGAAGCCTCTGAACTCAACACTCAAGCTTACCAAGCTTAACTGTCAGGAGATCTCCAACAGGTGAGCGTCTCTACCTCCTCGCCATAGAGCTCAAAGAACGTTAAATACCATAACCGTTGCGACGCCCAGTGGAATGTTTGGTGAAGCTTATTTGAAGATGGGGAAGATAGAAGAAGCGATTGACAACCTCAAGAAAGCGATGGCGATGATGAGTGAAAGCGGGGTATCGTCGTTCAATGCGGCGGTGACGAGAGAGGATGTAGCACAGCTCGCCGAGATGAAAGGTGAGGTGGGTGAGGCTAAGGCATTAAGGTTAGGAGGGGCGTCCAACGCCATGGCATGCACCAATCCTGAAGTAAGATCGGGACTGAATGTTCTATCAAGAATCCGGATTCTATCCTTTGTTCGCGTCAGTGCACCAGGCAGGGACTTAGGATAAACGTCCTCAAGCAATGGTCAGACGCCAGGTAATTTTTCCCCCACCATCGTACAGACGCCTGCTATTATTGCTGCTCCGAAACGTGTCAGGGAAGTTCCTTCCTAAGACACTACGCCCGCTTCATTTTTATGCGAATGAAACTACCATCGCAGAGGGTTGATTGGAGGGGCCGACACAGGAACTACTGCTCAACTCCAACTCATTGATTAATGAAGCCGCGCGACGTGAAACACGACGAAGTGAGTGTTCTCGCCAATTAGGGTAGTGTTTTCTAACGCTTTATCAACGGTTACCCAGTAGGAAGGATAATCGCACACAAAGTGGCGTTGTACATTATTCGGAGTCCTTGTTCCATCACCAAAATTCAAATTTCTCCTGAGCTCCATCATTCCTTTCAAGACCGTTACCTCGGGGACTCTCACCACTGGAGACTAAGTCCTTCGCTTGTCGTTTCTGATGCCCGGTACCACATGATACCACTGACAATCTCGCGCAGAGCATGTGGCAGTCTAGGAAGGTGTGCGACTACAAGGCGATTCACTATGCAATCAATCAATCAAAGTGCCTCTGACGACGCCCGTTGATAGAATCAGGGATCAGGCCTCCCTGCTCCAGATCAGATGACCGTGTACGCATGAGTATCTGCCTTAGCTTGGACTGTGCCGACGTCATCTTTTACAGTGCCCGACATTGCCATGCTCCTTCCATTTCCAACGAGGTCACCTCGACGCTCTGCAATTAGACTCAATTTGAAATACATTCATCTGTCTTCCACCTGGTGGCTACGCTAGAACACGTTTGGATGCGGGGCAGCCGCTTTGCGTCCGCTCTAATCAAGGGTTTCATTGCAAGTGTCGCGCTGGCGCGTACCAAAATAACTCTCCAGATATGAGTCGCAATGTGCACCACAGCAGCTCTTGAGGTATAAGTACCACGCTCGAAAATGGCTGAAGCTCATCGTGCCGGCCACGTTCAATCAAACCCCAAGCAAGCGACCTGGTGTCCATCAACAACTCGACTTCATTACGAACATGTTCCCCCAATCAACGACTCTCATTGCCGCCGCGGTGGCCATCCTCTTTGCTCCTATATCACTTTCTGCTGCGGTGTATGGGGCCCCTTCCGATCATGCCCAGCTAGTCAATGATAGCCGTGGTTTTGCTCCTCCGTCGGAGGCCTTCATCCACGGCAACAACACTCAGCTCCTAGACAATACCCAGCACGTAAAGACACGGCAGGCAGCAGAAATCGCAGAATTGGCAACCACAGTCATCGAGGGTGCAATCAATATTTTCACCAGTATACAAGATGGCATAAAGCAGGACAAGGAGGTGAGCGGGAACATGTTTATTGAATACTTCGTTGACCCAGTTATAGGATCGCAGCACATTTACCCAGCATCTGGTCCAACAGTTGCACAGCGAACATCCTGATTTCAACTGGATCGTCTGCCACACCAAGCATGACTACAAGTGGGATGGCAAGCAGGGCGTCGACTGGGCCCATAAGCATCAAGAGTTTGACATAAAAATTGGGGGAACAATCGGGTTTGTACAATCCTTACAGTTGCCAACATACTTATTCATATTTATTCCGCCACCTAGATATGAAATCTACAATGCTAAATCGGGGAAATTCTTCCGCAAGGGCGATGGTGGTTACCTCAACGTAAGCTGCCGGCCCTTCTTCCTTTTACTGAACACTAGTCACTAATCTCACACTCTAGTGGGCATACATTGGCAACGTAGCCAAGACTGAGAATGACGGGAAAGACCTTACATTTGCTAAACCTTAGTAGTCTGTAGTTCTGTTGTCCACTTGGGCCACTGATATAACCCTGCCTCCCTTGCGTTTCTCAAGCTTTGTGATTGAGCTCCTTGGCGATCTGGATGATTTACACCCGACCTTTGCTGTTGTTTACCTCTACTATTCACTTCGTATGTGAGGGCGGCATTTCCAGCTTTTCTGCAACTGTCAGATATTCCTCTTGCCTCGAAATGATCGATTACTTGACCTGTGCTGTGGAGGGGTGGGGACAGAGGCACGTAGGGGTGCATGCACGATTCAGAGCGCCTAGTAACCCATGCATCCACTTGTGCCAATGAAACCTACACTCCCTCGCGGGTTCCCAAGTCTTGCAATTGAGTTGCTCTGCAGACTCCTTGACCTTATTTCCTCTCGCTACTTCATGTGCGGACAGTGTACGGATGCAATCAACGCTCCGAACATACTCGGACTGTGTATTCGACACAAGTGGAGAAGGCCACCACTGAGAACTAACTAACAAGAAATTCCACCAACGTAAATGACAACGATAGTCTGATGGCTTTGTAGGGGTAGAGTACGGCTGGGTAGGGAGGATCAACTGTCGATGATAGTAAAAGAATAGAGGCGCGCTAAACCCTGGGGCGTGGATGACTAGAAACCCAGGATGAGAGCAAATACTAGGTCATTCCATGCGCACGCAACCTTTACTGAGTCTATCCGTCGCGGCTACATCTGAGTTAGACGTTTACACCCGGGGTAATAGCATTATGCATTGGTCGAAGGCCGTCGTTCAAGTAAGGAGGTCGACTCCGACATCAGACGGCTTATTTGGATACGGCTTATCAGCGGACGTACTATGGCATGTCTGTATGCTGGGCACTCACAGGTCCAACTCTCCCTTTCACGGGGACGGTGCAGAATCAAACCCGATGCAATGGTAGAAATCTAGGATCATGTACTGTCTTGGGACCACACCGGAGCATCCGTTCAGGCTGAATGAAACATACTACCGAGCGTAGGCGGTGCTGGCAAGTATGCAGGGTAGGCTACATTCGACCACGAAAACTATGTCGCAGTACTGGACGTGGATATGCCTTACCAACTAGAACTCCAGCTCCACAACCCATTCCGGGTGTTGATAAACCGGCGGCGCTGAGGCGCAAGCACCGGTGACACATCTGAAGTTCGGACGTCCAATATGCAAAGGTTGGACAGCTTGGGGAACATGGCGTGAACCATTTCTGGGCAGAATTTGGACGTCACAATAACCCGTTCGAGCGATCCATGTCGGTGCAGACGCAGCATGTCATCTTCGAAGTCTTTGTCGATCATAAAAGCGAAATCGTGAGGAATGTCGTCGCCACAATCGAAGAATAGCAGCAGGAGTTCGAGTCGCTTGATCACCGACGTGACGCAGAGTTTCCCAATCATATGCTCGCTGAGCTGATCGTCGATATCGACGGTGTCGCAAAATACAACGACGTTCTCCACAGTGAGGAGTTTATTGGCTGGGAGCGACATATCTGCGTAGTTGGTATCTCAGCTCTTTCCGATCCCAACAAGGGCGTGGCGGCTCACCCGGTTCTATCTGAAATGCTAAAGTGTCCAATGAGGCAGGGACACAAGACAAGATCGAGCCATCGCAGTTGTCTAGTTTCAACGTTCTCAGATTCGGCATCTGGATCGTGGATGGAAGGAAAGGGAGCTCGTCACACCAAATGATAGAAAGCTCTTCGAGTGCAAGCATACATCCCGGGAACGGCATGTTTCTCGACAGTAGTTGGTCAGACGATAGGCCCCGATAGACCACGTTTTGGATCGTCAAAAAGCGAATTGTTTCCGCACCCGCTTGTAGGAGAATCATTAGCTCGTTGATAGGCTCTATAGTGCCGTCGAGGTAGAGTGTAGTAATTGACGACCGAAGGAGAGTCAAGGGGATTGTAAGATGACCACCGAAGCCACAATGTAGAACCTTCAGTCCGGGAAGTGCGAGAAATAACGCTTCCAGACGCTCCTTGTCTGTTGTGTTTGCCAGAAAGAGAAGCTCAGAGCTTTGTGCCGCGATGCTTTTCCCAATCAATATTTCACGGACAAACTGGCCAATGTGGGGAGCATCGACCACCAATAGGCGAAATGCACGTAGAAATGTCTTCCCGTCCGATAGACAGAGATGGTGGAAAAGGAAGGGAAGGGATAGATTGCGCCATGACTTGCATACCAGGGAGCACTTCCTGAGTGGCCAGATGTCGTAATCGAATTCTTCGAGAACCAGAGATACGATTTCTGGTGGTAGCGTCTTGGAAGACGGGTAGCTGATCATCTTGTAGTTAATCTGAGTTTGAGTTCAATCAAGGTTCTGTAAGCGATGTCCTGCCCACCTGTTTCTCGAATTGCCCTGTCTGCTCCATGTTCAAAGCTGACGTAGAGATTGTTGCTGTCGATTGGCTGTTGATGTTTGGCTGGCACCTGATTCTCACGCTTCAAGGAGTAGACGTTCCGAGGGACGAAGGATGCAAGTCCTGTAGAAGTTCTAGCGGCTGAGCTCAGAAAGAAACCGTGTTCAACTTCCAGGAAGACGAACAACATTGAATGTTATCGCAAGATTACACGCGTCGATTCTACGCAGAGGATGGAAACGAGACCTTATTTCCGAGCTCACTCAAAGTCTTACTGAGGCGTCGATAGTTGCCATTACATTAAACAATGCGTGATATTGACACCTCCTAGGCAACAGTCACGAGCATAGGAATGTTTTCGTGCGTAGTGTTGTTGCGACTAGACGTGGCGGACTCTAGAGAGCGATGTCAGATACCCCCAATACGCAACACGCAAAGGGTTGATACTCACTCAAGGCCCCAGTTGACCCCAAGGTTATTGGAGTTGGAGAAACAGATGCTCCCGGTGAAACCCAAGTTCGTGATGCAACTCGTGAACAGTGATAAAAGGGTCCCGGCCTAACGATATTGTCAACAAAGATGTAGGTATGTCCTCGGAAGACACGTACCATAAGGTAGTGGCAGAAGGCGACATCGGGCCCGCCGACAGGGTTGAAGTTTATTAGGCCCACTGCGCAGGTACCCAAGGAGTAGATCTGCTCGAACCCGGGGGGTACGGTGAAGTTAGGACCTGTTGACAACATTATAAGCGTCGAGAACTATCTTTCCTGACAGATGGCGCCGAAACAAGGGAAGACGACGACTCACAGGAGGGACTGTTCGGGAAATTGCACGGAAAGGTGTTAGTGACCTCACTGAGCGCAAGCTGGTCGAGGGCCGCTTTGAGAGACTGGCAGTCGGCCAGCAAGGGGGGGTCAGGCGAGAGGCTGAGGTCATTCGAGCAGAAGTCTGATTATGGATGGAGCATTAAGCTTGCGCGTCAGATAATGGTGTTGATTCGCTCGGTGGATGATTACGTACCGTTACCCCCGCACCCAACCTCGCAGCCATTGCCGACCACCCGCTTGGTGAGCGACGTTTGTGGAGGAGACGAGCGGTTACGGGTCTTGGCCGCGGGGAACTTGGCGAGGCGCGCAGGCGTGACGGGGACTGTCGTTATTGTGATTGTATAGTCGCCAATAGTCACGGCTTGGACATTCGACACAGAGCGCTCTACATTGGCTACGGTGGTTGTTAGCGAAGGCGTTAATGTGAGAAATTGAGCGCACCCTCTACGGCGACACCAAGCACGCCTGCACTCGCGACAATGCTGGCGAGGATGGATGTGATGGCAAAGATACGCATGCTTGCGGGAGGCGAGGTAACTGGCGAGGCTGAGGAAACACCGTGACTCTAGAGGTCATAGTTTATATAACAAGAGCGGAGGGAGAACTGGCATGGCTTGGCGTAGATCAATGCCAGTGGTAGTAGAACGCTCCCATCTTTCGAAGTCCTCATCGATCATATGGACGCAGCGGGAGTGCCTGGGAGGTGTTCCTGTCAACACGTTACAAGCCACCGCTGGGTAGCGTAAGCACAGCTCTTGCAGCTTTACATCCCTCGCTCGCTCACGATTTGCAAAATGGACAGGAGTCTTCATAACGATACTTCCGATCTTCCTATACTTCAGGGGAGTTTCAAAGTTGCCGCACCGAGCCAATGCCACCATAACTAGGAAACCTCTTGAGGCTGGAAACGGCAGCGCAGCCAAATGAACATTTGGTGGGAGAACTTCCTCCAAGCCGATGTCCCGATGTTCAAGGAATGTCAAACAGCAATGTGGGCGGATCAAGCATAAAGACACGGTTTCTGGGTGATGACTGGCTAGACCTGCCATGTAACATGGTGTACCACGCCAATCGCTTCTGACTCGGGCCGCGGTTGAACTGTTCTTGACCCGAAACCTACATCCGGTGATCTACTCAGTTGGATGGTCAGCCGATGTAGGCAACAGGACTCACGAAAATAGCCAAAAGCTCAGGATGCTTGCGTGTAGATGGTATTTACTCGCCCTCCTCCGCAAATTCCATCCCAGTCTGCTTGCACATTCATACCCACATTTCGCTTGCTGAAATCCAAAGCGCAGTCCACAAACGACATTCAGTGCTTCAGGCATTCTAGCTTCGATGTGGCGCTGAAGCATCTCATGTAAAGGTAGAGGATGAGTGGGAACGTTCGCCAATAAGCACAAGAGGAATTCAGAGGAGTTCGGTTTTTGTGTTCAGGTATCACCGGCACCTTCGTCCATTCATCCGTCCATCTGTTCCCCTGCAGTGTTAGTGTTCGTTCGCGTCTCGAGCGTTGTTCCTCCGTCAGTTCCAAGTACCGAAAGTACGATGATTGTGGGTGTCCATTGTTGATATGAAAAAGGAATAAGCGTGAGAACCCAAGGCTGAACGCGACAAATCAACTTGCCAGTTCTTGCTCCCTTCTCTTCGATTGGACATGCTCTCTGAAGATCTGACGACTTGAACCGTTAGTTGTGGTTGCTTATATTCTCGTAAATGGTGAAACCCAGGTTTTCTCCCTCGAAGATTTACTGTCTTGGATGGACTCTCTGTCCTTAGCAGATACAATGGTTTTTACCGTGGCCCGAATCAGAAGCTATTAATGGCATGCTTGTGGCACATGAGACAAAATGATAGGTCTCACCAACTGGCCAGAAACTGTCTTCCCCGTACTGCCTCTGACAATCCTCGAACATCGGGACATCGAAGCACTCCCGCCGGCCGTTTATCTGCTCAAAGATGCCTTCGCAAGGGAATTCTACGTATCAGTGCCACATCTCGATGCCACGATACCCGCGGTCAACGCTCCATGCGAAGGACCAGTGTCTGTTTCTTTTTTGTGAGTGAAGCAAGTAACGCAAGCCATACCCACACTGTCCAGCGCCAGACGCGTTGACAGGAACGTGTCCAGGCACTCTCGCATCGACCATATGCTTGACGAGTACTTCGAAAGATGGGAGCGTCGGGCCAGTGATGTCCGTCATCGGCATCCCTCTTAACGCCAAGGACATCTAACAGTCTCCCCCTCCGCTTTATGTTATAAAGCCTGTGGCCTCCATAGCCATATTTCCTCAGCATCACTGTCTGCCTAATTACGGGTCCTGGAATGAAATGAAAGGATCCGTTCTTACCTTTAGTTGGGACGCTTGGGCGCTACGGAAAGAGGGTGGCTATTGTGATAGCCGGATGCCGGTGATCGGGAAATTTGGATCTCATCAAACTTTAAGTTGGAATTAAATTAGCGCTGGGGGATTGAATTGACATTGGCACCAATTCATTGTCTTCCATGTTTATTGCACTTCTCTTCTCCCTTTTTACTTCATCTTGTCATTTTATTTGTCTATATCTTTAAATCTATTAAATCTATATTATTAGAATAGAATGGCCCAAATTGTTATGGTATCAAGATTAATGTTACATAATCAGAAATGAGCACTCACTTTAGGGTCACCCAGGGGAACAGGGGATGGATAGGTAATAGGGAATAGGGACTACCAGACTGAACTCTGGACTATCAATGCTGCCAGATTATGTCAAGGGTGGCCATATAGGTATCATGTCTTTCCTCATTCTGCATAATATACTTCAACAAATAGGCTTCAAGTACTCAAATCAAGCAAATCATCAAAACACTGAAGTAAAATATCAACAAATGTAGCATGTAAACTGTAGGATTATACATTTAGTATTGAGTTGACACATCTTAGCTGCTACTATTATAAGAGTAACAGAATGATCTCATGTCTGTAAGGACAAGAAAAGATATCACAGTAGCAAAGTGAGCTACAGGGCTATAAGTAAAAGGGTGTGGTACACTTTTACATGTCTGCTAATTAATTAAGTATGGATCTTTCAGATAGATGGATGTCATGGAAATCAGGACAGTGACTTAGTTGGAATTAGTAGGGGGGGGCAAAGGGATAATTATGGAATAGGGAACAAAGGGGCCATCAGACTCTAAATGCCCTCAATGTTATAGTCCAGTTTATTCCAAAGATCATCTCTTCTCACTATCATATCTAAATGTGGATGTCATGTCCTCTTACTAATCATTATTCTGATATCCTTAGTAATAACCTCACCAGTAACACATGTCTGCAGTACATAGGGTACCACATGTATTACAGTATTTAAAGACTAGTGAAATTCCAGGGAATGCCAGCTCATTCTCTTGGGATTCTGCTAATTCTAGTGTGATATCTAAAGTCAACTAAGCTATCTTCTGTATTTTTTTTTCTTTAGTATTCTTGTAGGAGCCATGTTAGTTCTTTGGATTAGTGTTGCCCTAACACACAAGTCATGGTTAGGGTGCAATAAAGACACTATTGCTTCATTAGAACACTCAAGTAGCAGACTTCAGATAGCCAAGTCCAGATGTGACATCCATTAAATCATTGTAGTGATACACAAGGGAGTATGGCATAGACATTTACAGATTAACTCACCTCCTTCAGTGTCACGACTCATGATAAATAAGCTGTATACATAGCAGAACATCTTTAAGATAGTCAGAAAACAAGGGAATAGGGGAAAGTGTTACTGAGCAAACAGAATGGGTAAACATCAACCACATGAACTTATATATATTGCTTGTATATCTTGTCACTGTTAAGGACTGTCCTTGCGAGTACGAGGGCCTCATGTTTGCCGCAGGTACGCGGCCTGCAAGGAAGAGGAAATAAGGACCAAGTACATACAGGCTTGGCTTCAGCTACTACTGCGCCTCCCACACTCTTGCATGCCCTGTATTTCAATAGGTGAGGATAGAAGAGAGAGAGACTACAACAAAGTAGTCGAGGGATGCAAAGAGGGTAAGAACAAACTAATATTCAGACTGAGGTACAAGTAGCTATGAGTAGAAACTAGCTACTCGTACAAACTAAATACTGAAGGGCACGTGGTATCTGTATGCCCATGAAACCTACATGAGTCTGGTAACAGTATAAGTATATGTATTAGTATGTAACAAATACAAAAGTCTGAGTATCCGCGCATACACGCAGACCAAAAGTCCCAATCTTGTATCCTGTGATCATGCCCCTAGTAGCCCCTAAGAAGCTTCCTTATCGTGCCCATAACAGTCACTAGAGCCTCCCAGAGCTTTTATGAACATCAGAGAACATGTGGGAATCAAGTAATGTGCAAGCCTTGAGCTAAGGCTCTTTCTCTCTCTATACCTATGTACTCCATGGCCTGCAGTTCCTTCACGTCAACTGACCTATGTTGGGCCATTCTCAGCATGGGAATGCCTCTAGACATCAACTCAATTGTCTGCTACACTGGTTGCAAGCTACAGATTGTTCAATGTGTACTCCAGAGTTTCTCGTGCTGCTGGGTTGATGCTTTGCTGCAGTTTTGTTCAAACCCATTCAGAGTATGTGTCGCCATTGTAGTTCAGTGGTAGTAAGAATATAGAAAAAATCACCCAAAAATCAGATCATAAAAGTCTGCCTGGAAACTGTTGGGGGACTCCAGCAACGGTATATACAAGCAATATATGTAGATGTAAGGCTGCTAAGCCCATGTTCCAAAGTTATCATTCACCGAAGATGTGCACACCCAAGTGTGCATTTTTCTACAAAAGGGTGCCAGTGCCAATTGTTTTGTAAACAGCAATAATACTCAAAATAGGCCTCTCACAATCTGGTTTTTCTGTACTATATCTATCATTGAATGAGTCCATGTAAGACAAAGTCACAGGTCGGAAGTTTGTTATTTGTTGATGCTCACCACTATTCATTCTGCTACTGTCTACTCCACAGTTTCCATCTGTTATCTTCTTTTACAATGTGGATCTCATCTCCATCTCCTATTCTAACATCTATTTTACCAAGTACTATTATAGATCAATAGGACCCGTACAGGCCATGCATTGCAGTGGCTACAGCCCCAAGTCCAAATGCATATTTTCGATATCACCTCTCTCATCATCGGCCTTGCCGTGAGCCCAGGCGTGCTTGGTGCCGCGCTCAAGGGTGAGCTCGTCATCCCGCGCCGAATCCTACGCTAATAACCCCCATAGCTGATGCACTGCGTCCCGCGTCAAATGTTGAAGTCGTGACAATCGGCGAACATACGATAACAATGACCACTACCCCCGTTTCACCCGCGCGCCTCGCCAGATTGCCCCTCAACTCTCCAGGCCGAAACCGGTCAGCCACGCCTGAAACGTCCCTTAGCAAGCGGGTGATCAACAACGGCTGCGAGTTCGGATGCGGTGGCGCTGGTATGCAAACTACACCCTCCTTGGCTTCGGTCAAAAGCGTAGATATCTGACTAGTGGTGTCACTGTTCACCCTGTATGGACAGACTTCTGCTCGAACGACCTTAGCCTCTCGCCTGATCCCCCCTTGCTCGCCGACTGCCAGGCTCTCAAATCAGCTCTGGACCAGCGCGCACAGGATGAACTCACCGACACCTTCCCCTGCAATATCCCCAAAAGCCCCTCCTGTGAGCCTCCATTTGCGTCCGCACACTGTTCCGAGTCTTATTGTGATTGTTATGCTCAATAGGCCCGAACTTCGTTGTGCCCCCTGGGTTCAAGCGGACGTACTCCTTGGGTACATGTTTGGTGGGCTTTGTAAACCTGAACCCCGACGGCGGTCCCGACCTCGGGTTCTGCGACTACCTTATGGTGCGTGCATCGTCGCTCGCCACGGAGTCGTGGTATTGACGGAATTAGGCCGGGACGATGTTGGGATTCTACGAGGACTGCATCACGAACCAAGGATTCACTGGGGAGGTCTGCTTCTCTGATAACGTTGGGTTTGAATGGGGGCTTGAGTACGTGTCAGCTGCTCTGCATGACATGGTTATCTGACCGCTTCTGCCAGAGTCCGTCACGGCTAGTCAGCTTCACAGAAACCACACCATATATGTGGTCCTCTTGACTAGTGTTGCCACAGCCCGGCTCAGGAGCCGCTAGCCGAATGAGCTGAGCTGCAAATGGGCCGGCCGAGCTGAAGCCGTGGCATGCGACTGATATTCCCAGGGCTCGGCTCTTTGGACGGCTGGCCCGGCTTTCAGGCTGTTTAGCCGTCGGCTTTGACCCAAATATGGATAGCCATGATGCAAGCACGACCACGAAGGCTGGCGCGCAAAACATGCTGCGCAATTGTTATTCACCACTTTGAACCCTCAAATGTTTACCGGCGCGTCACTGGGCGCGATTTACATCCTCTGACAACACATTTTCCTCATTTCAGTGGATAGCCGGCTTGGTGACTGCGCCTCAAGGATCTCCTCGTTGTTCAGTGGCTCCAGCTGTTGTTTAGTTTCAAGGTCCCCGTCTTGCATCGCGTCGCAGTATGAAGTCATCCAGTGTGCTCAAAGATGTCAGAGCATTGTCATAAGCTCTTGATTTGGATGTGGGTTTTTCCTCAAAAGCCAGGGAATACTGACACCTAAGTAGCACTCAGCAGCATCTCTCCGACTCATCATGGCACCCCGACGAAAAAACCGCGAAACTACAACACAGCTTCCGAACGGGATGCTACAGACAATGTTTCAGGCATCAGGCAAGCTACTCTCTCCTCCTTCCTCGTGTATTTTTGTGCTCACCTTTCTAGCTCCCACGCAAGTGCATGACGTGTCGATCGATCCCCCTGCTCGGCGAAGCACGAGAAATACTCTTCCCCCTCGCAATGCGCAAGGAGATGCACTGCGTAAGTTCATCTGAATATTTGGATCCATTTTGTGAATTCTTTTACTCAAAACTTGCTCTTAGCTGCCCCGCCATCAGACACTGTTCCTAATGGCAATATACCGGCCATGGCGGCAGCACAGACACGAGCACCCTCCCGTCGCAGACGCGATGGCGCTCACAATGCAACGGCTGCGCCAGCACAGCCGGTCGCGTCAGATAGTGAGCGCGAGGTATCATATCTATGTACTCATTGATCTTATTAATTCTTTTAGGTACCCAGCCCGCTCACAGCTCAAACCCTGCGAACATACAAGTAGAACCGGGTCCCGCAGAACCACCGCCCGCCGGATCAAGCTCCCTGGCTATCCCGCAGCGCCATGTCACAATTGCTGAGCCTCTCGAAGATGATACCGAGAACCCGTTTCAGTCAGGAACATTGCGCCACGACTTCGCGACAACTCTCCGTCGCGCTCCGGCACCGGATTCCGATGAGGACATTGACCTTAGCAACATCAGTGATCCCGATTCACCCAGCCGTACTTCACCGCTGCCCTCGTCTCCTCCTGTTCAAGCCCAGGCTGTCGCCACACCTCGAGTTCGTCCGCGTACATTTCCCGTAGCGTCACGTACCCCAGCACGAACTCCCGGGCTCCCCCGCGCTGGTCCCCACAGCGTGAATCGCAGTTTGCGGCGACGGCAGCGTAATGGCGCTGCTCCAAGCCAAAGCAGAGGCCGCTTTGTAGCATCGGATGTCTGGGCTTTTGTCCAGCGTGAAGATGATCGTTGGTTCTGTGTATTTTGTCAGTGAGTATCGGCTGCAATCCCGTCGTTTTATTCAGCCACTCATTGCATCAACCACTGGCAGTCGAGATCGAGTTGTCGCTCACCCCTCCGCAAACGCTAACCCTCCGCCGCTTCCATTGCGCGGTCGCGGCATCTTCTCCATGACCACTGCCACTGATCCTATCTGCCGTCACTTGCTCGTATGTCACCGTGATGAGTGGATTAAGGGATGTGATGTGCTGGGCATAGAGATCAAGGCCAAAGCTGCCATCCCGGTTGTCGCTGAGTATCGCCGACAACAGGGCCGGGCGCCGCCAGGTAATAGTGCCCCTCCAAATGACCGCAAATACTCTCCAGAGGCTTTCGTCGATTCTGTGACTGAGTGGATCATCGGCGACGATCAGGTGTGTATAGCTGGTTCTTTTAAATCAGTTTGAGTTAGTGATACTGTTTTAGTCACTCAATGTGATTGAATCGCCGCAGTTGCGCGCCGTCTTCATGACGCTTCGCGAAGAGCTTCGCGACTCTGATATTCCCCACAGGACAACAATCCGCAAGCGAGTGCAACAGATGTGGTATGATCATTTAGACCGATTACAGGATGAGATGGAGGTTTGTTTCGTACAAGAACGAGTCCTCGACCCCTCTACTGATGCTATAACATATCTACGGTAGAAATCTGTAGGGAAAATATCCACAACCATGGACATGTGGACAGACCCCAATCTCGTACCGTACATGGCCGTAACGGCACATTGGATCCAGGTTATCGAAGTTCAAACCGGAAGCGGCATCAAGCAAACTCTAATTCTGCGCGCAGATTTGATTGGGTTTCATCATGTTCCCGGTCGACACACTGGCGAGCATATGGCGCATGCTTTTTTATTCATTACAGATCGCATTGGGATCACAGCGCGGGTATGTCCACTGCCGTGGTGCTTCGGTTTGCCTTCACCATACATTTAATAACTGTTGTTCGGTTCTGTCATACAGCTTGGTTGGATCACAATGGATAATGCCTCGAACAACGACACATTTGTCGAATTCCTGGAAGAAGAACTACATCGCCGACACATATGCATTGATTTCACGAGGCTTGCGCGGCAAATAAGGTATCTCAATCATTCCCAAGTCAAACTCTCGCTGATGTCACGGTTCACGGCGTTCAGATGCTTTCCTCACATTGTTAATCTAGCATGCCAGGCAGTGATTGATGTGATGACTGATATGGACCTAGCCGCAGAGGATTCACCTGACTTTGTACCAGCAGTTACGGCAGACACTGCGACTTTACGTGATGCCATGGGCCGCGATCCAATTGCCATGGTGCGAACACTCATCCGCGCAGTACGTGTATCACGATTGCTGGTTAGCTACTTTCATGCCTTCTGACCTTTCCATAGATTCGCGTGTCTTCCCTGCGACGGCAATATTTCAAGCAAGTGGCGGAAGCCTTGCACAAGAAGGATTTGCAGCTTCTTCGGGATGTCGACACTCGATGGTCATCGACTCTTCTGATGGTTGATCGCGCTCTGCTGCTTCGTGAGGTAAGCCTGTCTTTGCATTTACCAGACTGAGCCTAACTCGGACTATGTCTCGGCAGGCTATTAATCGATTCCTCACCAAACCGGACTTTGCTGAGCTCCAGCGACATCAGCTGGGCGATGCGGAGTGGGAGGCCCTCGAAGCTTTTAAGTGTGTACTCCAGGTAAGGTTTTGTACTCACAACAATGATGACAGATTGACCAACGGTGATCATGTTGCAGGTCCCACACGCCTTTCAACAACATCTTTCTGGCGAGAAAACACCAACACTCTGTGACGCAATTCCAGCATTCGAGGCAATGACACGCGTGTGGAAGTCGCTCCAGGAAGAGCGCCCCGAACTCCATCACATCATTCAGCAAGGTCTCAACAAGCTTCAAGTCTACCGGAACCGTGCGGATGATGTTCCAGCCTATGTCCTCGCAATGGGTATGCTTACTTCCTTCCAAGCTTTTGTTTTACTAATCAGAGTATTCAGCAATCAACCCGAATATGAAATTGTTGCTCTACAGTAAATACCTACCTCATAAATACCAGTGGGCAAAGAACATTCTCCTGCGAGAGGCGAGTTTTTGTCATTTGTGATGCTATTAACAAGCTAAATTATCTTTCGCCAGCTTCGAAAGTATGACTCGCCCTCTGATGATCGTTCCGGCTTGTCCCCAGGATCCAACGCTGCACCAGCCGATCAGTTGGAGCAATCCTGGGCAGCAAACCTGTTGGGTCTTGATACCCCCGTTGCTACCGAGTACTCCGATCTTGAGACTGAAGTCGAGGCTTATCTGATTGACAAGCAATTTTCAAGCTCCAGCTTACTCTTTTGGCAGGTGCGTGACTTCATTTTTATTATGCCTTCAAGCATCATCACCCAGCGTGCTTTCAGGAGAACAAGTTACGATACCCACGCATTTATCGCCTCGCCATGGACATTCTGCCGATTCAAGGGTCGTCTGTGCCATGTGAACGTGTATTTTCATCTGGGAAGGAGACCACTACAGCACGCCGAAGCCGGATGAAGCCAGCTTTGATGGAGATGCTGCAAGTTATGAAGTTCTCGATCAAGAGCGGTCGCCCACTGAGCTTCACTAGTGGCACCAGCAAAGCCGAAGAGCTGTTGCATCTTGAAGCTCTGGCGGAGGCTGAGAATCGGCCTACTGACATTGCCACGTTCCTTGAAAGTTTGGCGGCGGAGGCGAAAGAGGCGGATGACGAGGCGATTGTCGAGGAAGGCTCGGGTGATGCTAACGAGTGGGAGGATGTTTGACAGTGCACAAGAAAATGTATTATATCATTTAAGCTACAGCTGATACACTCATACGAGCAAGGATAATTTGTATAGCTTGGACCCACGCGACTGATTCCGTTGAGTAGGCTACTGAAGCACAAAGAGAACGGATGCACAGCCTAATCAGCACGAAATAATGGACATAAATCATCTTGGGCACGCACCTAGCCATCGAAGGGCCCTCAAAAACACTAACCCTAAGGGCCCGGTCTGCTCGTCGAGATGTCAGTCCCTCGGGCCTGGGGTTGGCGGACATTGAACTTGGCAAAACCTAGCGCTGGAGTCTGCTCCGGGCGCTTGGGAATCGTCACAAATAAGTCACAGACATCATGGTGGGAAAGCAGCAATAGATGCAAAGTAAATACATGCAAACTTCTGCTTTCGGTATTTCTTGTATTTCTTGTCGGCGACCTGAAGTATCCCGGCTCAGTAGGTGATATACTAGTCCAAAAGAGTTTAACATGTGGTACGTTGGTTTAGCGGTTTGCGCGCTTGAGTACTACTTTTTAGCACGGAAAGGTTGCGGGTTCGAGCCACGGATGGTCCTTTTTTCACTTCTTCGTCCTGCTATCTTACCACTAACATTTATTAATAAATAAGCACCACAAGCTATAGTACTGTTTATTGGAGGGAATAGATAATGCAGTTGATACAAGGTGCCACCAGGTATATTAACGCTGACATAATAATGTGACAGGAAGGTCCTAACCCACCCGCAAACCCTCTGGTACAGCAGACCAAACTGTCGGTTTGGAGTAGGTTTGGGCCAGGTTTGGTCCAACCGTGGGAGCCAAATTTGGCAGGTAGGGACTAACATCTCGACGAGCAGACCGGGCCCTAAGCTGCCAGCTATGCTGTACTCGATTTTGAGGCATGAAGCCCACCATGGGAGCTACGAAACGATGTGGACTCGGCATTTCTTGTATCTTGTCTTCGACGAGTCTCATGCAGGTACGTGTCCTTGGAGAATGCAAAACAGGTGATAAAGGATAGAGGCTAGTTTGTACAGGACCCGCGCGGTCCCTGAGCAGTTTGGGGTCGGCACGGCTGGTGTCGTCGTCGTGAGCAGTAGGGAAATGAGAAAAGCCCGATTAGGCAGCAAGCCACAGCTGGGCCGTTAGCCAAGCCGAAGCCGCCTTAAGCCAGCCGTTCCCCACGGCTTCAGCTCAGCTAATGGGAGATTGGCCCGGATGAGCTGCCCTAGCTGGGCCGGAGCCGAGCTGAGCCGAGCCGTGGCAACACTACTCTTGACATCCTACCAAGAAGTCTATGCATAACGCAAAACCCTGTTGGCCATTGTGTACCTGTTGGCCATTGAGTAAAAACTGTACTGTTCGCTGCGAGGAAAACTTGGAATCATTGATATCTTGGCATCCCAGGAGCTCATCGAGTGCCGGAAGGAAAGGCTAGCTCTTTCCGGTGGGGACTAGTCAACCCCCAGCTGCCTGAACGCGCGATCGCTGTCCAAGACGAACGAGCGCTAGCCTTGAGTATTGAGTCGCAGATGACTGAGCCAACTATATACAACAAGCAATCGTGATTCTGGAGTATGCTACATACTCCAATGTCCAGTGGCCATAGTACGCTGGCTAGCGAGACACCGACCCCTACGCCGTCCACGGCATCCAATACCTTCCGAGTTATTACCTGAGAGAGACTTATCCACATATCGTATTGTGGAAAGGACCGGGCTTCCTCCCTTGCGGGCACACTAAACATCGGCACAACAAAACACCTCGTGGTCAGCATCTCGAAGGGCTTACGTACCCTGGGAGGGGGATAAAAAAATACTCACAGCCCATGTGACACCGCCCATTTGCGTTGCATACCTTCAGCGAATCTTTCATCTTCTGAAATTCTTGCTCTGTCCAGACATTCGGGACTCTGGGGGGTTGGTCCGGGGGGTTAAACCCCGTGGGCGTTGCTGGCGGCGTGGGCTTAACGGGCGGCGTGGTATGCGGTTTGCTTGGCGGAGGGGGTGTGGCGCCCCGCTCGTCCAGTTCTACAGGCCAGTCTCGTTCCTCCAAGTCGTCGAAATCCCTCTCCTCCATGACATCGACACTATACACACCCCGTTTGTCAAGACCATACTCATAATCTGGGGGAGCATTGGCGACGCCCTCGACGACGAGATCAAAATCGCTGGTGGGCCCGATGTGTGTATGTCTGTGGCTTTCAAATTGGACCGGGTAGGCCAGGACGGTGCTCGCCACAAGTGCGAAGAGGATGAATATTGAGGAGACGGAGAAGGCGATGCGTGTCATAGCGGAGGTGAAAAATGATCTAGAAGTGCGGAAGGTCAGCGGGGAAGTGTGTACGTCACTATGCGAAATGATTGGAAGGGCTCACATTATGGTCGACTTTGCGTGAATGTGAAGGCAAGGTACAGATTTTAAGCTAGAGGGCACAGGTTCTGAGTCAATTTCGCGGCAAAATAGTTGGGGGCTGCTCACTGTCCAGCACTAAACTATGAATTGAGGGGAGACCTGCTCTGATGGAATAATCTACAGCTCCACCGTGCTTTTATATCGGTAATGACGCAGGTGGCAGAGTCAGAGAGACTTATATACCTGCAACACATTGCTCGGGTGATCGGGTATTCGGCATGGAGGACGGCCATCTTGAAAGTAACCGCTAAGTGTTCCAAAGTTAAAATGGTTCAATACATCATGCATCAGATACGCGCAGCACACAGCACGATCACCATGGACTCCACGATCACCGTGATCCATTGTGGGCAGATTCTAAAAATAGATTGGCAGTGACAGATGAGCATGAGAAGCCGTCATAGTACTTACCAACGATTATGGTGTGAGGGGGGAAGAGGCTAGCAGGCGAGGGCTTGGAGGCCAGTAGTGGATGACCAAACAATCATTACTCAGCGTCGATCTGGGAAGTAAACCCAAACCTGCAGTACTCTAAATTTAGAGTCAGCGCCCGTACCCGTACCTGGGAGCCACCACGATCACGTCTCATGACGATACCACGAAACGTTTACCATTCTATGTTCGAACTCATGATGCGCTCGACTTCTCCATCTTCGATGATCGTTCGATGATCGTCCTCAGCAACAACTTGAAGCGTGGAGGGATGTCTGCGGAAACAGAAGCGGCGGGATCAACCGTTCAGACCCATCGAAGGCGTTGGTTTTATACTCAACATGTGGAGTGCGCAGCATGAGCATAGCAACATGCCGAAGGTTAACTCTGCCCCTTCCTTCGTACTGGCGTGACTATGCGCTATGACTGGTTGGTGATGACCGGTGACCAGCGACGCCAACGAATCGATAGCCATGAAGGTCAGTACAACAAGCGTTCGCATCCATTTCAATGTGCATTCCCGGAGGGTGTCTCTGAAGCCTGATGCGCAATGCGTGGCTCTGCCTGGGACCGAAGCTCATAGGACTACCTTGCTACTGCCGGGCTATTCGCGGGTCGCGCGCCATGCAACCGGTTGAAGAACGGCGAGGGTGAAGGGTTCTTAGAACTAACGGTAGGGCATAAACGTGCGAAGGACAAACGAACACGAAAGTAACAAAACAGCACAGGTAAATCAAGAGTCTCTCGGTCAAAGAGCACCGGAACTCCGCTACCAGCTACGAGTCCACGACCACGTCCCTGTGAAGGACTCGACGTACCGAAGACGCGGGGGAGCCAGGACCGACGGTGATTCCGTCTGAATGTCCAGTATTCCAAGGCGCTGCAGCAAAGGAAATCGATCCCGGAGCTCTTGCAGGAACGGGGGGTGACTTCGATCAGCCGTTATGGTCAACCGTTCCAACAACCCGCCTTTGTGGAGACGAGTAACCCACTCTTCGAGCCCGTCTTCCTGTAGGAATGCGAAATGGTCGGCGAGGGTTGAAGATGGGTGGATGATGATATTACCGACGCCGAGGAGGACCAGCTCGAGGTGCTTGATACTGGATGGGACGCAGATTCGGGTGATTGTGTGTTGGAGGCTGCGTCTGAGCCAGTCAGTAGGCCGGCATACTATAACAACGTTGGCAGTACTAAGCAGGTTGCCCGTGTCCGTGTCCGTAGCTGTATGTGCAGGGACTTGACGACGTTGAATGTCTCTGAACGTGCATAACATTACAACGGCTTACCCTGTTCCCGTTGAATCACCAACGTCTTCACTGAAGCCGGCAGGGAGGCCGTAAACGGCATATCACAGCTGTCCAGCCGCAATGTCTTCACATTTGGCATCTGGATCACGCACGGAAAGAAACGGAGATTCTCACAACAGATTACGGACAGCTCTGTCAGTGCGAGCATGGATACCTGGAGCGGGGAGAATGTGTGGACTTTGCCACCGTTGCGCTTGGGAAATCGGATGTCTTTGAGCGTCAAGCTGCGCAGTGTTCCCGCTGCTGCACGGAGGAGCTTGGTGAAGCTGAGGATGTCGTACCGCCAGCCGTGCAGATCGAGCGTGGTGATCGAAGATCGTGGAAGATATGAAGAGACAAGACTCGCTACGGCTAAGGTGCAGTGGAGGGCTTTCAGCTTGGGGAACGCGCGGAGGAATGCGAGCATGCAATGCCGATCGTGCCACACAGGCGTCGAAGACTCTGAAACGAGGTGCGACAAGGAGAAGTGTGGGTCGACCACTATCTCGCGAACGGACTGCCCGATGCCGGTGCCGTCGCGTGGCGCGTCAAGCACAAAGAATTGGTATGCGCGCAGGAAGTTGATGGAATCAGGCAGACAGAGACGAGGGAGGAGGAAGGGGAGCGCGATGGAGCGCCACCGCCTGCACGTCGAGGCGCAGGTGTTCAGCGACTTGCGGTCGTAGAGCAGTTCTTGAACAACGAGGGAGACGAGTTCCGTGGGCAGCGTCTTGCCACTATCTTCAGCTCGTTCCGTGCGAGTCTTGGAATGTATGGCTCTTGCTTACCTGGAAGCAGTTTATACCGTACAAAGAGGCCATCGTGGTTGACTGCAGCGTGCTGTCAGATCACGACCATAGACTTGAGCACAAAGGTCTGAGAGCTGGCTATTTGAGCACGGTAATTGTCGAAGCTACGGTCGGCCTGAGATTGACGACTGGCGAGAAGGAGGATTGTGCATGCATTGTCTGACTCGTTTGATGAAAACCAGTGCAAGAAGGAGGAGCGTGAGAATATATTGATGACAGGCACTATGCCTGGCATGCCTTGAAGCGGCCCAACAGAGACCTCGAGGCCAGGGTTCTTGGTTCAGCTTGAGACACGCCAGAAGCCTGTGCTTGCCAGGCTACACTGAGTGGGGACTGTTAATGAGACGTTGGCTTCGCGACTGCGATTGTGGCAGTGATGGTGATGCCCACTCACTCTTATCCAGTCAGCATGGTTCGACATGATGATTCGCCTGCATTCATAGTTTCGCCCGTGGCCCTCACTGGGGAATTCGATGGCGCCGTTACGTAGACCTACACGCCCTAAGACCTCCGTATCAGTCTAAGCACATCCCAATGGGATGCTCTGAACTCAACAACTCAATGATAGCGGCAGTCATATCTAGGTTACTACATCTCTTGATGCCGAGATAACAACCATGACAATCATCCAAATATCATCGACATCGATGACTTAGGTGGACACCCAAGCTACGCGCGCATCCAGAAGTCTGGAATACATCAGGATCACTCCAATTATGTTGGATGCTGTGACACTTTGTGGTCAGTTGATTAGGTCCAAGGCATGGTGCCCGGTACGCCCGTGTGATGGCTATAGCTCCTGTAAGTATCGTTGCTGTCTGTAGGACGCCATTGATTTAAAGTTCCTTTCCTCGTACTTGTACTCGCTGTCAAGTCGGTTCGGACACCCACTACGTTCATACAACTCTGATTTCTTCGTTCTGAACCTCATTGCCTTTCGTCGACAACTCTCATGTCTAGCAGTCAATCAGTAATCGCCGAAGATTCATCAAGTTCCACCCTCATCCCCCCACCAGACATCTCCCCAACCGTGACACCCCCATTCCCCAGCGATGCTGACATTATCGGGGGCCCTTCCATACCCATCCCATTCTTTCCCTCGACAGCGCCCAGCGAAGTCCCAACGTAACCGTCAAATGACTCCTCAATCTCCCATGCCTATATCTCACGAGCATTAGGTCTCCCTCAGCCTCCAACCCTCCTGCTAGTCGGTGAGTCAACCAATGTTTAACTTGGATATAAAGAAGGCTGATTCCAGCTACGGCTAGAACATCCTCGCTCATATCCACGCCGCTTCTGTAAGCCCATCTTACACATCGGAAGGCCACTTCGATGGCTGACAACATGAAGTAAAGCACTTCAGAGCAGCGCAAAGCCACGGGCGTTGCCCAAGTACAATCACCATTCAGCTCCAGGTGACGTATCCTCTGCGACTCACCCCAGAAGCGACCCTAAGGGCCCGGTCTGCTCGTCGAGATGTCAGTCCCTCGGGCCTGGGGTTGGCGGAGATTGAACTTGACAAAACCTAGCGCTGGAGTCTGCTCAGGGCGCTTGGGAATCGTCACAAATAAGTCACAGACATCATGGTGGGAAAGCAGCAATAGATGCAAAGTAAATACATGCAAACTTCTGCTTTCGGTATTTCTTGTATTTCTTGTCGGCGACCTGAAGTATCCCGGCTCAGTAGGTGATATACTAGTCCAAAAGAGTTTAACATGTGGTACGTTGGTTTAGCGGTTTGCGCGCTTGAGTACTACTTTTTAGCACGGAAAGGTTGCGGGTTCGAGCCACGGATTGTCCTTTTTTCACTTCTTCGTCCTGCTATCTCACCACTAACATTCATTAATAAATAAACACCACAAGCTGTAGTACTGTTTATTGGAGGGAATAGATAATGCAGTTGATACAAGGTGCCACCAGGTATATTAACGCTGACATAATAATGTGACAGGAAGGTCCTAACCCACCCGCAAACCCCCTGGTACAGCAGACCAAACTGTCGGTTTGGAGTAGGTTTGGGCCAGGTTTGGTCCAACCGTGGGAGCCAAATTTGGCAGGTAGGGACTAACATCTCGACGAGCAGACCGGGCCCTAATATCGCAGGTGAAATCGCTAGGCTCGACAAGCGAACCATAGCGGGCCTCAGTGTGGCGTTGGGCTTGATCTCGCTGGCGGCAATGGTGCTTTGTATTCTTTACTGCAGAAACAAACTGCGCAGGGCACGTAAAGTCAGAAGTGAGCATTGGATTCTCATTGTCAAGATATTAAGCATCGTAGTTACGCATCCTTGGCGCATGAAGGGCTTCTAACCACTATAGATGCCTTTAGAGACGCCTCAGTGCCTCCCGACTCCGCAACAGTGGCGCCGTCCACGTCTCGCGGTATGCGGTCTCCTCCAAGGGCAGGGGAGCCCAAGCGACTCCCTACCAGAGATGCCGACCAAAGGAGCACATCCGTGGGACGTGGCAGCACTCGCGAGTCCCTGCTTGGATCCACTTCTACGCGGACATCCATAGCCTTGGGAAATGGAAGTGCTGCTGATTCGCTGCGACTCGGATCCCCTCCTTCCTACCACTCCCAAATGTGAAGATGTCCACCTTGAAAGGTGACGGCCGTTGTATGTACGTACTAGTAGCAGCGTGTTAGTCGTGTTAGTCGTCGGGTCATTGAGCGGGGGGTTGCTGTTTTTCTCAAGAGAGGTGAGGCGCACAGACTCAGTTCAGATGCTTGCGTGCTGCCAACTGCGCGATGGAGAAGGGTGTTGTCCACCGGAAACCAACGAGTCGGAGGAAGACAGGATCAACAAATTTAAAGCCAACTTGTTCAACGCAGTCAAGTACTGATTGTGGGAAATTCATAATTACCGTGGGACTGTCTTCCTTTCTTGTCCCTTCTCGGTTTCTTCATGCTCGGCTACTTAAGTAGTATTCCTCTTGCACTCGAGGCCGACCTCGTTCAGCGCGCCTTACTGTTTGGCCAAATCGACAGTATCCAGTCAACAGACTCGAAATTAGCGCTCTACGGCTACACGGACTCGACACCTCGCAACTTAAAGCTTTGAAGTACTAGTGAGACGATCTCACGCACCAGTAGTACCCTTAGAAGATCTCGGTTTGGGCTGGAATAACTCTACGTCGGCGTATACACTTACCGATCGATTCCTCTAATTCGACCGTCGCGGATCACTTTACAAAGCCTCAGCTGTGAGTGAAGACGCCAGAACAACTCGACTGCCCCATCATCGAATGTCTCTTGCAGGAACACACCTGTTATCATGAAAAGAAACACCATGTGGAGCTGGCGAACACTCGTGGTCCGAGACCTGCGGCCTGCGAGTCCAACTCAATGTTCGTATCATGGTCCCAAGTACTCAACTAGCGACCAACAGTGTTGATGTCGATGTGGTGTGGTATTCCGTGTCACCGCTTTCCCTTATATACAACGCGAGGTCGCCTGAAGTAGTACATCTTCCCCGCTGCTACCCCCATCGCATCTGAACTACTCCAGACATTTTGCGCAGGGAATTCTCTTGATGTAAGCACTGATGTCACTACTTCGGTCAGTGCTGCGCGGAGTACTCAGAACGCTGAAGCCGCATTTTTCAGACTTAGCACATACCGGCGCGCCAATATGTCAACGCCGTACGTGAGCCTCTGACAAAGGATTTGCTAAACGAGAGAATATAATCTGTTGACTGGATAGTACTGCGGACATCGATGAGGCGACGTCAACTGTTACGTGAGTGTCCAGTATATCATAGGAGGTATATATTGGGTAGCTAACTACTTTTGTCCTCGTCACAGTTCTCGTTCTCGTCGGCCGAAGACAACCGTTGTTACCCAGGTGGATTCTGTTAGCTCGTAAGCCGATCTTGCTGAATAGAGGCATGTCTTATTTAGTTGAAACTATCCCCAGCACTACCGTCACCCAACGTGTCACAGCGTCCGCGTCCGCCGCTCCAGAAGAATCACTTGTGTCGCAGCTTGTATCTTCCCAAGCAAGGTCAGCAAATTCGAGACGAAAATCCAACCCGTGATACATGTATGTACCCAGTATTAATCATCTCCCAGTGACAAGCGAACCACCCAAACACTCGCCGGTACACTCGCTTCCGTGCTTAGTATGGTGGCATTGTATCTCGGCTATCGAGTCATCATGAACGCCAAAGCACGGCGAGTGAAATCGACGACTGGTGAGAGCTACGCCCGGATTATCGGGGGCCCAGGTTCGTTGCTTTCGCCTGCGCCATCTCCCGGCTTTCGGTATGGCCAGGAGCGAGAGGTACCTACTTCCTCCCCATTTACCGGCATAGAAGAGCATGGCATGGTCTCGCTGACAAGTCACCGCTTGGCAAGCAATGGTGGGATGTCCGGAGAGCGAGAAGTTATCGCGCCCGCCCGGACTCCCGCCGAAGCGCGAACGATCCACAGTTCGACCTCGAGTCATGCTGGGTCGACTTCGACTCCTCCTTCGTACCGATCATCCGATAATGATCATGCTGAGGGAGGGGCAACAACGCCGACGCCAGACGATCCTTTTGCTGACACAGCGGCTTACGAGTCTGCGCGGTCGCAAGGAACCGCGGGACTACCATCGCCTCCCGCTTGCGCGCGGACGACGTCTTCTGCTGCCTGGACTGATATTTCTTCAGTTGCAACCCTGCCTTCGTACCGTTCGTTCGAAGGCGCTGGATATGGCCGAACTGAATAAGTTGAGTTGACTTTCGGCAAACGCCCAGATCTATGATGTGTAATCACGGTGAGTCTCTCGTTAGTATCACTTGCCGCCAAGATATCTTAATTATAGACTACATTCGATCGGAATATTCATCTACTTTAGGCCACGTATATGTGCACAGCTGTAGACTCGCAGCTAGATCTTCTCGGAAATGGAGCTGTGTGCCACATATGTCGAGTCCGAGATTAAATTACCTCGAAGAGACCAGAAACAATGACGAAGGTAACAGGTTGACAAGGATGTTTACTTGCACGTACACCAATCAAAATCATTAAGATCGGTGTGCTATCTGAGCGCCCTGGCTCGGATTGGATAGTTAGAGGTTGAGTTGGCGTTATGGACGAGAACGGGGGGCTCTGGGAGAAAGAGCTCTGAGGCCTTGTGCATTTATGTAGCGCAGTAGTGACTCGCGAATCTCAAATCCGGTACGTCTCTCCCCTACTCCATTGCTCCCTCTCGAGAGTTGGCATGGCGAGGAGAGGAGGCGGAGGCTGAAAGTCCCCACTGCACCTGAGGCCTGAGCCACAGCGCATCTCGTCTCTGTACGTCCACTTTACTGGCCTCTATGGAAGCACGGGGCCCTACGCTGCGTCAGCATGGGTAATGGATACCGGGTAGGAAATGGATACCGGGTAGGAGTGTCGTCAGTGCTGGACGTCGGACGTCGGACCCTTGCGGTTTCGGTGTGTCAAGTGCCCTGGCGGATTGTGGTCGTCTCTCCCTGTTTTGCACCCATCGTCGTTCCAGAAGGGATGCAATGTAAGTACAGGCCTTAGGTCTCAAGATCTCAAGAGTCAACGGCCGTTCGCGCGATATCACGAATCGGACGACGACGACGATACCATACCCCATGCTGATGTCAGATATTATATTGTATCACAAAGTAAAACTCGTGTTTTGATAACACCAAACATAGTGAATATCAGACGTACGTCAACACCTGCAGGTTAATGGATAATATGTTAGGATATTGCTATTCATACGGCCTCTACGATTACCGGCAGGCTCGGTTTCCCGTTCTTGACGACGGGGATCATGTTGACCGCGACGCTCATGCGGACCTGCAGCTCGGGCGACGTCTCGGGCGGCGGGAGCGCGAATTTGAAGCGGCGCACGAGCTCGGTGAAGAGGATCTGCAGCTCGGTGACGCTGTGCACATGGAAGGGTTAGCCATCGCCACGCGGATGAGAAGAGCGATCAGCGAGAGAACGTACGCGAATCGCCAACCAATGCACACGCGCGCACCGCCGAAAAACGTGGACAAGTTCGCGTACGGGCCGAAGTTCGACGCAGCGCGGTTCCCTGCCCACTTCGACGGCTCGATCCACCGTTCGGGCTTGAACTCGTGCGCATCCGGGCCCCATACATACGCCAATCTACCACACAAGTTCGTGTTATCAGCATCGATGGAGGGGAACTGCAACTGGGTGGGGGGGGAGGGGAAGGGGGTAGGGGGCAGGGGAATTTACTCGCCTGTTCGCTGAGGCGGTGGCGACGTGGACGTGCGTTCCTTTTGGTACTCTCACTTCTGTTATTGTCTCGCCGGTGGAGGTGGTGATGGGCTGCGAGACGGGGATGACTGCGTCCGTTGACGCGATGCGGTCAGACATCGGGAGACCGGGGTGTAAGCGGAGGGTTTCCTGGACGTCGGTGACGGCGCGCGCACTCCGAGTCAGCACTGTCCAAGGCGGGTAGATACGAGGGGCCGTACCTTCAGGAATGCGTTGAGCCAGACCATGCCTTCGATGGTGGTCAAGCTTATATCGCCGCCGGGAGACGACTCGCATGCTTCGACGACTTCGGCGCGGATTTTCTCTTGGAGCTCGGGGGATGAGGCTAGGCGGTAGATGGCCCAGGATAGGGTGTTTCCCTACGATGATGAATGAGCACAGTTGGACGCTGAGTGCAAGGACGACGGACAGTAGTATCCTGCCCAGCGATCATCAGAGAAGGAATCTGCTGGGCCATCTCTTCGTCGCTCATCTGGTGTCCTAACTTGGACGACGCGTTGGCTTTCACTATGAGCAATCAACGTCGTCAAACAGCGTTAGAGCCAGTCAGTGTAAGGAGGAGGAAATAACGTGCCAAGCGCGTAGGTGACATCTCGCCTCCCCTCAGCGCCGATCCTGACGATTTCCTGTTGGCTGGCGATCAGTTCGGAGCTGACTGCCTTGGATAGTTCCTTGTTCTTCTGCAGGACTTTGAACGCGGGGGTTGGGAGCTTGAGGGCGAGCGATAGTAAGGTGGGCGATATGTATGGTACGATCGCATCGACGAGGATGTGGAAGGGAGAACGGACACCGGATAGGGCGCTAAAGGAAGGGACACAAATTAGCAGGGAAGGAGCGCTGATGGATTCTAACGTACATGATGTTCCGGTGGCTTGCTCCTAATTCGCTGTCGCTGTTCTCGAGGGAATGGAATTCGTAACCCATAGCGCCTAGCCCCAGTGAGTATATTACATCCACAGAAGTAAGTCGAGTAAAATGAATTACCTTCACCGACAGCATCGAGCGTGGCGTCGTGCAATGAAGGATAAATGTCCATCGCGCCGCTCGCGTCAAGCTTCGCGCCAGAGACCAACATGTCCTCCCACCGGTTAGCGATCTAGTCACAAAGGTTAATGAGAACGTCCATAGATCTTTCCGCACGGCCCACCTTCTCCGCGATCCCTTTAAAGACGGGAGGCAGCCCTCTGATAACCACGGGAGCGAACGCGGCGTTCATCACATTCCGCACCCGCTTGTGCTCCTCGCCCTCGATGTAGAACACGGCCTTCTTGCCGATCAGCATGTCCACGCTGTACTGCTGCTGGTCGCTGCGCCGCCACGTCTGCGTGTCGCTCATGACGGCTTTCAGCGCCGCGGGGTCGGAGATGACGAGGCGATCGGAGGCGAAGGGGCCTTTGATGCGGTAGAGGCCCCCGAACGTGGTCTGCCATGAGAACTCGAAGGTGCCGTATGTGTGGGGGAGGAGGAGCTGGGGGAGGTTGCCGTAGATGAAGGAGGAGGAGGGGGGCCCGGGGATGTGCGCGAGGGGTGAGCGCTTCAGGAAGACGCGGTGGACAACGAACGCGGCGAGGAGAACGGGGGCGAGGAGGAGGGCGGAGGGCATTGTGACGGGTCTGCGGCGGTCGTCCGGGTGGTCGAAGTGGTCGCGCACCCTTTTTACTCGTTGAAGTTGCGAGGAAGGTGCATTTTAATATATGGATGATACTCATCGTGGGTTGCGCACGAATGTGGCTGGGTGATTCGAGGCGTGGCCGCGTATCTAGCGTCGATGACCGCCATGCTTATGTTGTTGGCGACTAACGCCGCACGCGCAGCGAAGGATCGCCAGGATAGCGTGGAGCTGAAGGGGCAGGGACATGGCCTAGTCGTGCAAAGTGGCGCCAATCTCCGCGAAGTGAGCGCCACTGATGAGCAGGCTCGCACAATGTGAGATCTGTATCAATGGTGCGTTGTCCTTCCGAGGAGATGACCACTTCGTGTCGTCGAATGATATGACTGGCGTTTGTCGATGTTATGCTATATAGAGCCATCGAGAATGCAGGTGCCCGTTGTGAGAGGCTGGGGAGTCGTTTAGGCGATGAGGCTATATGAGGAATCAACGACATAGAAGGTCGCGACCCGACGCGCGTACAAAAGCTTTCCAGCAGACGACACATAAGTGAGGCCCTGATCTCTAGTACCTGCGGTCACCTCGATGTATCGCAGATTTCAGACTTTGAAAGCAGGTGTACCTCAGGCGTCCGAGTCTATCCTGATCATTGGGAAGAATTAATTCTGGCGGAGAAAGTGAATTTAGTCATGTTGAAGTCCGCAACTTCAGTAGCGCCCAAACTGACGCTCAACATTGTTCCTGGTTGACCATTATATTGAAGTGAGTTTCTCTGTCCTGTAGGCGTTGGTGCTCTCGGACAGTAGTTTTGGAAAACACACGCGATATTCCTACTCTCTTGGAATCCTGCTTTCTGATGTCAACCACAGAGGCTATCGTCGTCGATCGACACCATCGCTAGTAGCTACGATGAAATCAGCGGCGACCGCAAGTTCAAGGGTACCACTGGCAATTGTATCTCTCATTCTAAACGCATTGGGACACGACAAGGACACCCTCCGAAACTGCTCACTGACATGCAATGCCTGGCACGACCTATGTCTCCCCTCCATTTTCAAGACTGTCAACATACGCGGCGACGCCGACTACACTCGTGCCTTCCGCTGCTTCATGATCACCTCACCACATCTTCGACCTCACGTCCGCCGAACTGCTCTGTATATAACCGAACCTGATGCTCGGGACGAATTGCACTTCTGGACGACGTCTGGGTGGTTCGACGAGGAGCACACTACGTCGTTGATCTCGTCGTTTCCGAATCTCAATTACGCGGATTGTTCCTCTTTCCCCCTCGCCGCCATTTCTTTCGCGCTCCCACAGTTACCGATCACAACCCTCCATCTTCAGAAATATTCCGTCACTACCGACGAATTCCTGGACGTTCTCGCTGCGGGGGCCCAAACTCTACAGTCCTTAACAGTCATGTTTATTGACTGTTACCCTTCGTCGAGTCCCCCTGCGGACAGCATACCAACGATCATGTCTGCTTTGAAGGAGCTTAGAGCTACCTGCTCAATGAACCTTCCCCTCGTACCCGAAAGAATTCAAATGCCAAGTCTACAAACTCTCTTCTCTGATGTTGACGATTTCGAGGCACTTTCTACCTGTCTGCCCGTTTCATTTAAGACATTGGTTATCCATACAGTTGAAGAGGGTGCGTCGTAACCTACAATTTTCTTGAGCTCAGAATTGAAAGTCCCTATGGCTTACAGCCCAAAGCAGTAGCAAGATTCTGCACGTAGAGAATCTCTGCCTTATATCCGAAAATTATTGGGATGGTCTACCTTCTTGCATCGATACCATCGACACGTTTACTGCCTCTTCAAGTATCAAACACCTCGAGCTCGTCCTGCACAAATACATCCACAGCAGAGAGCCTGATGTTGACCTTTTGCACACCTTCGAGGAGTTCCTTCTGAATCTCCACGAGACCGGGTCTTTCGAAAGGTTGACGCTTACATTTCCTGGACAAACGGAGTCACGGTCGTACGAACACGTATTTCCAAGCCTTAGGCTGCTCGGTTTACTCGACGCGATCCGCATGGAGTCTTCTCCGATTTCTCTATCCTCCGGGCAGCGCTAAGATCAACGTAGATATAAAACAAAACATCGATAGATACTTTGTTCATGTAGAAGGCTATCCTCCACGTCAGTGAGGGCCACAGCACATTCTTTCTGTGCCAGCAGTTTGTGATCGGTCTTTTCGGTGTTACATATGTCTGACCACAAAGCTTTTATTCTACTATATATATATCAGTTTCCAGGTGTATACTATTTCGCCCTCCTAGAGTCCCATCATCGTTACTGTACAATTCGAACCTCAGGCTTGACTCTCAAGGCCCCGTCTCCGACATACCCGAATTCTTCTGTCTCGACGAACTGGCTGATGTACTCCGATCAGACCGATGAAAGCCAGAGAAAGGAGACGGGATCTCTAGCATCAGAAGATATTTGTCACTAAACCCTCATGCTCGTGCTGCTTGGGATCTGTTCCGTGATCAGTGTAAGTCGATGCGATGAACCCAACAGAGGTTGGATTTCTCGGGCGTGGACACCAGTGCGCACACCACCTCCTCATATACGGGTACCCCGCATGCTCATTCAGACTAAATTCCTCCGTTCCTTCGATATACTATTCTGTTTATGTCCACGCAAGCCCCTCGTCGCGGTAGGCGAGATCTCATTAGATGGCACAATCGTGACGAGTATATTCATCTAGGCCCCGGCCCCAAGCGAATCCCGTTGTGCGTCCATTGTAGTTAATAGAACGAGGAAGGGATTTAGATCACCAATAGTCCCTCTTTGACAACTTCCACCGACGTCAATGCAGATCTGTGAGTTGCCCCACAACATTACTGGCTTATTGATACCTTCTCTGGAATAACACACACTAGTAGTGCTAGCACAACCACCGTAATTATGACCCAGACAGATACGTCCATCATCACGCAAATCGTGTCCTCCGAGAACAGGTAAGCAGATTGTTTCGGTACTTGATTCCAAAATGACTTAGCCCCTAAAAGTGACAGGAGAACGATTGAAATACTCAGTGCGACCTTGGGCTCTGGAGTTTTCATGTTCGCGGCATACATAGCCTGGAGACTCCTCAAGAAATTGAAACTACGCAAGAAACTACCCAAAGTCGGTGGATCTCTTCTATTCTTAATTAGCTCGCTACACGCGAAAATTCTAACCCTACTGTCCAGGTACTTGGTGGCGCAACAACTAGGTCTCTCGCGTCGACGACAACGCTCATCCCCTTTCTGGGAGTGCAGTCACCTCAGAGGGCAAGAGATAAGTGTGCCCAAATCTTCTTTGGGGTACGGCGGTCTGTAGAAACCAGTGTGAGTGTCGCAGGGGGAGAGGGGCAACCTGTCGATGTTGCTGAAGAAGCGAGAGCCTTGCCCGCGCCCCCCTCAGACGGAGGGCGAACCTCACCTAATCTGACTTCTGCGCGGGCCACGGTTGATTCGCTGGAAACCCTTCCTTCCTATCACTCTCGATTGTAACAAGGCTATATGATAGCAATATGCATGACTGTGCTACATTGTGGTCGTCCTCTCTGAGTTCTATACATATGAATAAGTAGTCGGGCCTCGAGACGGAGTTCGCTGCGGTGCGAGTCCTTGCGCCCCGTCAGTTACTCTTGTATACATCCCTCGGCCCGAAAGGAGATCTGAGTATATGAGTAATGTTGATCATCATACAAAGGTGGCGGTCGAAACGGGCAACGTCTCAGCTTGAATCACGATTGAATAAATAAATAGCCAAGTGTTAAGCGGAGGCAGAGTTCCACTCATGAATGTTCGGCGCTGTATAACGTCTAGAGTGCATGATCATCAACATCGCTTCGTCCGCACTTCGATGGGACTCACGCTCTCTGAGCCGGATATAGCTGCGACCTTCTCTGAGGCAGCGAAATGTATGCTTCCAATCATGTCACGGCTAGCGTGCTGATGGTCGAATCCACAGTTGACCGTAACGCCTGAGCTCGATTGCCGACGATTCAACATGGCGAGCATCGAATTGGAATACACTGCAAACAGCGAGTGTGAGAGATCATGAGGACCTCAAGAAGAACGTGAAAATGGCATACATTTGGGCAGGAGGAATAGCAACGCAAAGGAGATCATATTCGTCGGCATTGTAACGAAAGTCACCATGACAGCGATAATACCGATGGAGGTTATGGTGCCGCTTTCAATGGATCGTCGGATTATGCTATTAACGAGGGCCTTGGAGCTGGAGATGGTGGTGTTAAAGGAGCGCATGATGTATATCATAGTCACAGAGATGAAGAGGTCAGCGATTGCCGATAAAACAAGGCCGGATATGACGACCTGGTCGTAGAATTTTCCTTGCCAAGTGTACATTTCGGGATTTTGAATGAGCTTGGCGGAAAATACTGTCGGGTTGTAAGCAAATCGAATTGAGATGATTAGAGTTGATGTATACGCACGGAAGCAGAGGGAGGCGTGAGCTATGATGAGAGCAACGATCGAGGCAGCAATGTGTCGTCCAAATCGTACTTCACGGCCCACTGGAATACGATGAAGTCAATACGTGCAAGGGGAGGACAGGCAGCTACGCACGCTTCCAGATGCGGGCCGCATAGAAGAACTCCACTGGCGCTGCTATCAACGTCTCCATCATGCTCATCGAACAAAGGCTCCATACACCGATGGTAGGCCCTTCCGTCGCCCCAAATTGCGATCTTGGCGATTGAACCCCGGGTGTCACTGGCAGTTCTCGAACAGGAACAATGAAATTGTACGCACATTAAGTAGAAGTACATCGTATGGCATTGGAACGCGCTTGCTATTCCGTCCATCAGCCAAATACCAATGGCCTTCGTGCCAACGCACGGCATCAGCCACCTCTCCGCATGGACTCGGTGTAGTAGACTCACCAATCCCCTCGTCCACTTGCTATCTGATCTCCACTGCAGCGTATAGAGATATAGTTGGAGCGTCGTTACGCCAAACAACCTGATAGTGCGAATAGCCAAATCGCTAAGGCGCCGACCTGTTGTGAACCGCATGTACGTACATGCAAGATACGAAAGCTAAAACCAGATATGGTGAGTAGACGCCCTGGACGGAACAACAGCAAATCGAGGTGCTCACTCGAGACCAGCAGAGCACCCAACGTATTATCGACGGCGGCACCTCCAGCCATCGTAAAGGCGGGCGATACGGAAGGAGAATAAAGAGGTTGGCAAACCGCTATCGGAGAAAAACATTTATGTATATATACAAGCGTGGGGGAGATTCGAGACCACTGTCTCGGGCATCATTCGACATGGCTGGTTATAGACGGAAAGTCTATACAGGTACCGAGCCTTGCCCATGATCCAATGACATGTCGCCATGCTTGTCTGGAGCTGGGAATAGATGGGAAGCGCCTGCACAATGATGCAACCAAAATTATCAACCTAAACAAAGCGCAGGTGTGCCACACTGCCTGATCGGCACTATCAAGTTGTGGTGGCTGGAGCATATCAACATTCCAGAGGGAACTTAGCGAAGGATGGAAGCAACATTGTCACTTGACAAAGGAGGAGAAGAATATTCGCCTACAACGGACAGGATCAATTAGTATATACACATGCAGCGTGTTATCAGAGAAAGGAAGGCTCCTTGATGCGATCATCGCTTAGGAGATTGGACTGGGAAAAGTGGGCGTATGTGTTTCGCGAGTCGGAGGACTCGGCGAAAGGGTGATAAGCTGATACTGCGAGAAAGACGGCGAGGAGGATACCGTATTCTGATTCTAATGAGTGAACGAAACGGAATACAATGGGCTCAGACTGACGGAGGAGGTGTATTGTTCGTTGTCGGTGCTAAGACTGAGGGAGTACAATTGAGAGATGTAAGTGGTAAGGTTATATCGAGCCTTACATGATGGGAGTGCAAAGCTCCTGTGTCTATCTTTAGGTGGAACAGGTGGAGGGGATAAGTCTCCGCTTGCCAGCGTTTTGGCGGAAATCAATTTTGGAGCGGCATCTTTGGCTGGGACTGGGGGTTTTGGTAGTGGCCGAGCGGGGAGGGGACGAATGCGTCTCTCGCGTCGAGGAGAGAATGATAGAATCGATCGCCGCCTTGATGAGGGAGGGTGTGGTAATGGCCGAGGAAGAGGGCGAGGGCTAGGAGGTTCTGATGCGGATATGCCTCTGAGTATATTTGCTAAGCAAGTAACAAGGCTACAATGGTCTTGCTCAACGTACACACAAGGTTCAGTGGCGGAGACAATGAGGTTCCATTGAGCATCGCTGTACACACTCCGATGGAAGCTACCGAGGTAGCGTCGATGATTCCGAGTAGACATAGGTCGCGGGCGTATTTACTATACTAATGTTCTTCCGTAGGATATCTGACGGCACAATTACCACATTGATCACGTATTACAATGAGGAGTACTCACAATAATGAATGTAAAAGAACACAAAAGGTTATGACAGGAACAGGATCGTGTATTGTGGGTCGTCCAGACTCTCAAGCTTAAGACCCACCCAAGCCAGCTTCGACGGTGACCATCAGTATCTGATCATGCCAGAATTACGCTCTCGTCTTATCGACGGTGAGATACTATGTATGAAATTGTGATATTAAGGTTGGCGGCGTTCTCATCTATGGCAGCTGTGTTGATGTTGATGAACAGAACAGAATTGAATATCAGATAAGCGCAATGGGAAAAAGCCTTGCGTTTGTATTAGACGATGATCTGATCGCGTCACCGAGAGGGAGGACGTGCTCAGCATAGGGTGAGTTGCTTTAATGATTCCTTGCCGAAGTGCGACCGCCTTTACGGTTGGAGCTGCCAATGAGGCGTCCTAGACATCGATGTTAAATTCGTCAGTTACCAATTGAAGGACTCGTACCCGAATCGCGTAGAATCATTGAAGCACTGAAGAAGGATTTATATTGAAGGGTTGCGATTAAGGGATCGTAGGACAGTCCCATCACACGTCGTACGCTGCGCTACAGATGTAGCCCGTCTATTTGCAAAAGGAGTCACGAAGCGCGGAGCTATTGATATCAACGTGTCCCGAGACGGGATCGTTTGATGCATCTCGAGTTGTGGGCTTCAAAGATCACGCGTCGTCGCCCGGCTGTATATATCGTCGCAGTCACAGTTTCTCCAGCAGCCCCGTCGATCGTCAGCGATTCAGTATGTTGGCAGTCGCAGTCGGTTGGTGGTTGGGCAACAAGATGGGTTGAAGCGCCCAAGGAAAGCGAGTTTGGCACGTGGCTACGTCACGTTCAGCGGGCCGGTATGAACCGCTCAAGGTCCTTACACAGGACTCGGGTAGGCACACACTCTTGCTTGCTCTCAAGGGGAGTTGTGGAATGGGCACTCTCGGAAGTCCCTTTCGCCATCCATCCATCATGGACGCAAATAGCACGGCAAGAATGATGGCAATCGGCGCGCTCGTACGTTGAAACCGTTTCCATCTCCAGACGCTGGAAAACGGATGCAATGTTCGAACGCAAACATCGTGTTTCGCTCCTGTACTGCGTTCGTGACTCGGCAGTGTCGTCCCTTTGTCCCTAGCTACGCTGACTTCGATGTTTACTTCCTAGGTTGATTGGGAGACAGCTACCACAGACATCAAGTACCAACCGTTTGATGGTCACTGGTGAGACGGCAAACTATCGCCACTCCGGGCATGGTCCTCCCATGGAGATCGTGCTCAGTGCTGCGGGCATCTCATGCCTTGAACCTTGTTACACACAGGCACTTTGGACGCTATTCCTCATCAACAGCATGCCCCATGTCGAATATCCGGCACACACGAAACCGTCGATTCTAAAAATTTCCAGACCGTTGACATCAAGCCGTACTCGTCTCGGGTTCATTGCCTTCGTTGCGGGTGCTTCGGATGCTGAGTGCTATAAAAGCCGGTCGGATTCGTCGAGTATTCCTCAGAGCAGGTCTCTTCAGTGCTGGACGGTGAGCACTTCCATCTCCCTCTATCGCAAAACCTACTTACATTATCCAATCTCTAGCTAAATACTTACAACACTTCACACTTAAACCAACAAAGTCAGTGCATCGCTGACTGCGATCACACGCCAATGGCTAACCGTTCGACTTTTAGATCAACATGATCACCTCTACCTTCGTCTTTCTTGGCCTCGTGGCGAGCACCGTCCTGGCGCACCCGGTTCAAAGGGATCTCGGGGACTTCGACGACTTGGTTGTACGAGACGCAGGGGCCGACACTAGTGTATACGACATCATCAAGACTCGCGACTTGGGCGATCTTACCACTCGCGACGTTGGTGCAGATACCAGTGTCTACGACCTGGTGCACGCTCGGGAATATCTCGACGAACGGGATGAGAATGACTTCGAGGAGAGAGACTACGACGAGCTCGAAGGGAGGGATTACGAAGAATTTGAAGACAGGGATTACGAGGACTTCGAGGAACGGGACTACGACGATCTAGAGGACCGAGATATCGATGACTTCCTCCACTACGCTCGATTGGTGGCGCGCAAGGGAGGTCGTGGTGGAGGTGGAGGTAGCCGCAGTGCCCCCAAGCCAGCCCCTCCTCCTAAGGCTCCCGCTCCTCCTCCTAAGGCTCCCACTCCTCCTCCTAAGGCTCCTCCTAAGCCCGCCGCGCCTCCAAAGGCTCCCCAAAAGCCCGCCGCACCGCCCAAGCAACCGCCCAAGCCTGCCTCCCCTCCTAAGACCCCTCCAAAACCCGCCTCTCCTCCCAAGACTCCACCTAAACCTGCCTCCCCTCCCAAGAATCCTCCCAAGCCTGCCGCCCCGCCAAAGCAGCCGCCAAAGCCTGCCTCTCCTCCCAAGACACCACCCAAGGCCCCCGCTCCGCCCAAGCAGCCGCCCAAGCCCGCCGCTCCGCCAAAGAATCCTCCGAAGCAAAAAAACCCTCCCGCCCGCCAGCCTATTGATCCCACCACTGTATTTCAAACTATTCCCCAGTATGTGGATCCCTTTGTGCAGATTTGGATGCAGCAACAACAGTACGTTTGACTCTGCTTCCTTTGAGTATCAACTGACGCCTTGTATCACAGGCAACAAACTCAGCAGGAGCAGATGGAGGAATGGATGTAAGCGGCCGTCCCCAATACTCCCTGATTCTGTTACTTACAGAATTTTCACCCAGGATGCCGCCAACGGAACCATGGCAAATGATTGGCTAATTCTTCCCGTCGAATCTGGCGCGCTTGTAGAACGGGTTCTCGGTGATGCGACCGCGGAAGCGTAGAGTGATATGTAGTCCTGTACTTCGACGTTGAATTGCAGTCGGATTTGAGCTGTGAAGTCATATTTATCCTTGACGTCCGGTTAATTCAACATTTCGAGTACGTAAGTAACAACGTCTTGATTCCGTCATTGGAGGGCCTTTCAATACATTCTTCAATGCATGCTCGATATCAATGAATATCTCCACGCACTCGCTTCCCCCAGAAACCCTCTTCATTGCCTGCTGCAACGAGGATGGCTCGTGGCCGGTTATTCAGCTGATCCCGGCCACGATCCCACCGAGGTCTCCTCGATCTTCGGAATGGCGCCATCACTGTACAGCGACTAAAGGACATCCCTCTTATCTTCACGAACCTATCCTCTTCAGCAGTACCCCGCGATCCACCTCCGACCCCGAGTCGCGCTATAGAACATATCTCGCCACCACCCCTCCGCTTCACGATCATGTTTGAAGACAAAGGGCTCTGTATTGCACTAGTAGACATCTCCCGTTCTCTACTCCTTTCACAATCATACCAGAGTTGTGCATGAGTACTGTCAGGTTGTGCCCTACATAATACATGAGTTTGTCGTAGATCCTTCACACAAGCTCGGAATTGAGGATCAGTGTCGCGGCCTGGGCAGAACGGGGTTTGATTGAGCATTCGAATGGGAGTACCTGTCTATTGGCATTGGCGCATTAGCTTGACACATACAAACCCTCTTCTAGGACACACCTTGATGATGCAGGAGCGTATCGAATATCGGGTTCGATATCTCGACCTCCTGCGTCCTTCGCTTTAGTGATGTCGAAACAGAACAGAGTCGACGCGACAGAGATCAAAATAGAGTCCATAGCAAAGAACCGACCAGGGCATATCCTACGCAAAGGTCAAGACGAATACCGCCATGTCGGATGGTAATCCTTCACGAACCTCCGCCCAAATCCGAAATTGGGGTTGGAGTCAAGAGTCTTCGGATTAAGTTTGCCATCCTTGAGAAATCGCTCGGGATTGAAGGTATCAGGGTCCGGGTGACATTCTTCGTCTCTCAAGAGGGCCCTGAAAGGTGATTGAGGGTCGCTTCTTCAAGAGGTATTTGCTATCACAGGCTCACCAAACATTGACGAAAACAGTTGATCCTTTGGGAATGAAATATCCCTTGTACTCATCGTCCATTGTAAGTCGGTGCGCTACACCTGAGAGTATAATCATTAAGAAAGAGACCTAGATAGAAGAAGAAGGGTTGACTTACCTAAAGGCCCCACAGACTGCCACCTGGCATTCATGTCAGCGGTAAACAATGAAATGAGAAAAAAGGGCAAAGAACAGACCTCAGGGCTTCCAACATGATAGCATGGACATATGGTAAATGTGGAAGGTCTTCAAACACAGGGAGTCGTGAACCAAGATAGCTGTCTAGCTCATTTTGACCTTTCCTTTGCACTTCTGGATAAAGGAGCATCGCTGCGACGAATGTAGAGACTACTGAACGAGACGTTTCGGCACCACCTAGTCCTCCCGTCCTGAACTGCAAGTTTATCGAGAAAGATCTATACGCACCCGCATAAGCTATCCATGCCACATTTTTGATAAGCTCTCGATCGGGGTGACTATCGATACTGTATCCGCCCCGGGCCAAACTGCGTGATATAACACAAGAGTTCCCCTTACCTTCGCGCTGGGGGATCATCAGAAGATCGCGATTAACGGGAATTGTCAGTGCACTCACCAAGAGGCCGCAACCTTCTTCATATGGCATCTCTCGCATAGCGATGGTATCGGGCCGCACCCTCTCTGCGTAGGCCTTGAAGCCGCCCCCCGGCATCCAGCTTGGAATATACTTCAGGAATGGAAGGAGATCAACCACGAAACTTCCTGAGATGCTAGCTTCTTGCAATTGTACAAGTGCTTTTTCGGCACGTTCGACATTGGGATCATGTTCAGGCTTGACATCTAAGCCATAAACAAGAGCAATGATGCTCGCCGACAGAGTACTCGCCTCGATGTAAGCTAAGATCAAAGTTACGCAGCGATGGGCTTACTGGTCGATGTGATGAAGAAACCTCTGGGGTTCCTTCAGTAGTCGTCGAAGAAGATCTCGAGAGTACCGGAGTTGCGTTGGTTGATGATCAGGTGCATTTTTTGGATTGAATTCTTGCCAAAATGCACGACGGTGTGTGCGCCATTTTTCACCGTAGGGCATGAAGCTCATCATCCGCCCCCAACCTAGACTGGAACAAACACGGTTCAGCATGCATTTCAGCGCCATTTTTCAATGTACCCACAGTTCGTTTAACATGGTGCTAACGGGTCTCAACATTACGTGAGTGCTCGCAACTTGTGTAACAAGAGCTTCTAGCTTTACCTATCCGAGTAAAGCGACGAGCGCACCGAGAGGAGGTCGTTTACGGCTTTGTAGGAGTTGAGCACGACAATTGAGTTCCCCAAAACATTGAGATAGATGATATCAGAGCCTATGACAACGTTAGCGAGCCCTCAAAGGTAGACCACGCGGCTTACCATATTTCTTAGACCATTCAGAATACTTCTCCCACTGGAGTTCAGAGGGCATATCCAATAAGTTGCCGATGATTGGATATCCGCGTGGACCTGGAGGAAAGGGCAATTTGGTCCTGCCCCATCGCATCAGGCCAACGAGAGCTAGTATAAGCACAAAAGAGATGAGCCAGATATCAGACATCGAGAAGGGGCAACCTGAACAGTTTACACTCTTCGCCCATATATACGTCGCATCTTGCCAAGGCTTCAATGAGCCACATGGAGTAGTGTTCGACATACCATTTGCGGTTTCAATTTCGTGTCGAAGATGCGGCCATCTCGCTATCAACGAATATCGTACCACGGTGTGTCTTCGATATCAACTCGGCATGGGCAAGGTGTAGGTTGGTCTTCCTTAGGGCGTATTGTTCACGAATGAAGCTCGAAGAGCGGCAGCGAACTTATATTGACTGGCATCAGATCGTGGGCCTTGTCCCGCATGTAGGTTAATTCACTCACCCTACATATTCAGAACCTATCGCGGAAACTCGACGAGGCTTTCCTGACGACATCATGAGAAAGCGATAGGCTCAAGCCGCCTCGACGATCACTTGGTGTTTGCCCGTACACCTGATGTGGGAGGTTCTTGCTTGAGGCGGACCGTTTGGAGTTCTAATATTCACCGATGGCGAGGAGTAGTGGACCTTTTGCGTGGTAACAGATCGTGGATTTCGCTTTGCTTCTAGGTTGATGATCAGCAAAGCATATGGTGCATCAACAACATGACCTTGCAGGTGACATCGCCTGTTGATGTCACTGCCCGCTGCGTACCGAAGCACAGGAGAGCACTCGGAGTCTTGCGGATTGTGATTGTCCCGTTCGAAATCCCGTTGATGGTGTGGTTCTCAGTTCAGCGTAAACACCATCCCATTGAATTACGTGGATAATAGTGCCAAATCGAATGCACCAAAAGTCTCTAGTAGTTGACACTGGTTACATCAGATTGAATATTAAATTTCCAGAGACTTACAAAATTGGACGGAGCGATATGTGTACAAATCAACCATTCGTAGAGGGGCAGTATCAGGCTTAGAGCTAACCGGTTTGGATCTAATGGCGGCAGAGAAGTGGCTTCGCAAAGTGAAACGACGACGACTCAGTGGCGGTCAAGGACAATTACTGGGGTTGGATACCCCATATATGATCAGTGGAGGGCTGTGTGCTTCGCAAATACATGCTGTGGCTGAGCTGGGGGCCATTCACATTGATGAACAAATGCCGGTTGAGGTTTACGATCAGGCGTGTTGGATAGCTAAGGATTCCTGGTCACAACCAGCGATCATGTCTGTTAAACTCGAATTAAGTCAGCCACGAACCTCTCAAGTGCTTAATCGATGCTCGTACCATCGCGTTGCCAGACCGACAGACCGTCTTCACGCCAGATTTGCAATTTATAGAGGCTGAAATTCGCACACATTCACTGCGCCGCGTTCCGCACAAAAAATGAGATAGCTCCATCCGCATAATATTGCTATTGCTACAGAGGTGGGCAAGTGGGTGGCGAAAATCGACTACTCGGCTGAACCAACCGCTTGCAAGACCCGCCTATACACTATGAGGAGGTCAGTATTACCAAGCCATCGGCGAATCGATTATCACCAACCTGAGAACTGACACTGCCCAATTAGCCGCAGACTTCGCAGCGAGGCGTCAGCGACCTCGAGCATTCTTCCGACCATGTCTGAATTCGTCCTCGCCGCTGCTTATCAAGGTGAATAGACGATGCTCCGTCGCGAGCGAAGGGTTTGAATCCTACAACTTGCGTGACCGAGATCGATTGCAACATAACAAAGGCGGGCGCAGAGAGCGAGATCACGGGGGGCTTCAATGAGAAGAAGTCCTAAGCAATGATAAGGACTAGTAGTCGGCACGGCAACAATTTAAGGCAAGAGGTATGACTGTGACCGGTCACCGAAACTTGCAACCACGAAAATAGATAGGAACCAATATGAGAGATCTTTCGAGCTTTCCTTTTCGCGCTCTATTCCTCTGCTCACACCGGGATTGAGTGCTGATCCTTCATTCCTCGCTGGAGGCAGCATGCAAACACGACGGAGATACGGCGATGAACACGAACATGTATGGTTGCTGGCTCGAAGCGGGCTGTATTCAATATCTGTAGCGCCGCGGAGTCATGTCGGCGAAGACGCTGCTTCCTCCAGCACCGTGGCTGCGTTACTAATGGGTTTCTTCCACGGTTTGCACCTGGGCCCGTCATTGCCACACGCACACGAAGTCGCATTTTCTACGGGCGCATCAAGGGATGATGATGCACAAAGGGTAGCTGGGCCATCTTTTGAACGACGATGGTCGTCCGATGAGTCCAAGCACTCACCTTATTGATCATTAGACCGCTGTTACAACTCCCTCTACTGCAACAAATAGAGAAACTTGAGTTTCAGATGAGAACTGTGAGGGCCGCCTTCCTGGGAGGACTTCTGAACTTCTTCGACTAATGTGAGACGTTACGCGACCGAGCGCAGCGCGTTTGACTAGGTATCCTTGTTCTAATGAGGTCGTCGAGACCGGCCTGAGGTTCGGTATCAGTGCAGGGAGAAGCAGCGGTAAGGTGAATGCCGAATCTTGGCCGAATCGTAAGACCGACGGGCGCTAATTCGGACCACTTACAACCATCACCACAGCTGAGCAGGATATTTGGGCAACTATAAGTCACCAAAGGCTGGTTCACGCCGACATTTGTCCCGGGGCCGTCTAGCAACTCATACACTACGCCATGACCTTGGAATTGTCAGAGCACCATCTTGTTGTCATTGTGTGAGAGTTTCCGTTTCGTCGAGATCTCGTGTGGTCACCAAGGAGTCTGTGAGTGACCTTGACCTTCGCAATAACAATGCATCAATAACCAACCCTCATTTCAAGTCTTACTCTATGCAGCTTGGGTGATGATCTTCATGACAAGTTGGCCATATTTCCCTGTCTCCTGTATCCCCGTTACCGGTGGCACATGTATGTTTGTAAGCTGTCCTCTAGTCACTGGACTTCGCACTTTTTCTCCCAATATTCTCCATAAGATTGAAGCGTCAGTTAGGTCAGTCCCAAATTTCTGAAAAGTCACTGGGCTTGAGCTTTGCCTCGCTTTCCAGCTCACCTCCCTGCGAAACCGCCCCCGCTTGCGCGCGTACGGGTTCTTTTAGATCTACGGGCTGAACTTGAATGTACGCGACACCTGTTACGCTATATTGAAAACGGCGATAAAAATACAGTGCGGACTCTATCTGCAGCTGCGCTGCCATGGTTAACCGTCCTAGACAGTCACTCGTCGCGTCCTTATACCTATCTTCGAACGTGGCAACATACTCGATCTACGCCTTCTTCTCTTACACTCTTGATCGCAGCCCGGAACACTAGCAACTGTTGCACTAGTCATCGACTATGACTACTCACCTCCGCACTAGCGCGCCCGAAACACTTTCCGGTCTCTCAACTTCGTCTCAACTCCAGGCACACATCGCGATGTTGTATACGACTATCATCTCAAATGGAGCAAGCCATTTATCGCAACGTTCTACTCCAGCGCCCGTTGGTTGATTGCACCTTTCGTCCCTGGCTACGCTCATCGCTTGCTCATATTTACTTCTCGGCTTGCTGGCGATAGTTGCTTGCCGAGATCTGTTGTCGGCCTCGTCCTTGCTTTTGATGTTCCATCACGATTTCCACAGTTACCCTAAAGGACAAGGTCCTCAAACGAACATGGTGCTCCCTGGTGCTGCGGGCGTTTGATCCCTCGAGCTCGCCGCCGACGCGGCAAGTCAATCTACACCATTAATATCCTTTCGCACCAATACGAACACAGTGTCTCCAGGACATACGTCCGATCTCCACGAAATAGCTCCTTTTTGATTGTAAGCAGGATAGCGCAGCAATTTCGAGGTCATTGCCTCCCAGTCTGGATCGTTACGAGCGCGCCGGCTTCTATGGAGGACTAGTATAAAAGCGATCTGAACTCATAGACGATTCCCCAGAGCAGGTCTCTTCAGTGTCGGACAGTGAGCTCCTTCCTTTCCTCACAGATGATGACGGCTTACATGGGCCAATCCTTAAGCTAACAACTTCCATCTCTTCCCGCTCAACTTAACGAAGTCAGTGCAAACTCTTGATCCCCATGCCCATGGAGCGTACTCACTTTGCCGTTTACAGACAAGTATGATTCCCTCTACGTTGGCCTTCGTCGTCCTCGCAGCGAGTTCCGTTCTTGCTCACCCAACCCTTTCCGTCGATTATTCCCAAAAGGACACTGATTACACTCGCGAACTCGACCTTATGTCCCGCGACCTGGAAACCGTCACCAGTTTCTACAACCTCGTCAATGCTCGTGGGTATGTTGACAAACTGGATGAGCATGAGAGAAGAAGCTACGATGAACTTCAAGGACGCAATTACGACGACATCCAGGAGAGGGATATATTGTACGTTCCGTTGAAGTTGCTCTAAGGCATATTGTGCTGATGCCATTAATTGCAGGGAAGACTTCTCCCGGTTAATGGCACGTGCTGGAGGTCGGGGCGGTGGAGGCCGTGGTGGAGGCGGACGCGGGGGTGGCGGCCGTGGAGGAGGTGGTAGGGGCGGAGGAGGAGGAGGCGGTGGAGGTGTTCCAGGCCTCAAGGCTATTCCACCCGGAGGGATACCTAAACCTGTTCCTAAAGGAGCACCGAAATCTCCCGGGCAAGTATCGAAGCCCGGGGGACCTGCACAGCAACCCACGAAGCCAAAGGCCCCTCCGAAGCAACCAGCGAGCCTTCCGAAGGGAAAGCCCAACTCACTGAGTCCTGCTGGCGCTCCGACGCTGAAAATTGATCCGAACACTGTGATTGAAAATGTGCCGAAGGTTGTCGAACCAGCGGTGGAGTGGTGGACGCAGCAACAACAGTAGGTGCACTTGAGCTTTCACTGGCTTGGGGCTAACTGATGTTTAGACAGCAGTAAAGATTGCAGCGACGAACATCAGCTTGGAGTACGTACCCAAGTTTTAAGTGCTCGACGTTTGCTTAGTAGAGTACTTGTTCGTGTCGGTTGTGTATATCTTGTCCCTAACACCAAAAAACTGAGTGAATTCCATCCAGCGACTGAGTCTCGTTCGTAGTCGCGCTTGCGAGTCTTGAGATAAAAGGGGCCCACAAGTCTTCATAAGTCGCGGGCGCCTGCTCCTCCGAAAACTTCAACCAAACTACAACTCAATATCCCTCCAACATTCGATGTCTTAACTTCGCATCCCCTCCACCCTCCATCAATCTTTCTCTGAGGCGTCTCCGTCTTTGAGTCTGGTTCTTGTTTTCCTGACAGGCAAAACTCCTTCCAAAGCTTGTTCAGCACTCACGCACACCAGGAGCGGCGGCCCTTGTAGGTAACTCTGCCAGTGTCGAGATGCGCACTATATCATTGCCCGCAGACCATGCGCTTCATACACTATATCGTATGCCAGCCACTTGGAAGGGGCCTTACCGAACAGTCGGGTTCAGGGTAATTGGCGCAACCTTTGTCTTTTCTGAACTCCACATTCGAAGGGACACCTGGTCTTTGGTCACAACTTCACCTCGACTTCCGGATTTCAACAATCACTGTTTGCATTTCCGCTGCTTTCAAAGGGAATTGGCCCAAGTACATGTTAAAATTCACAAATGTCAGCAAGCTTTCATTGCCGCCCCCTCTTCCCTTACTCTCCACATTCGCCTCACTCACTTCGCGAAATACCCCCTCGAAGGTCCCCCACGTACCATCTACACCCGAGTCTCACCGGGCTGCCTCGAACCCTGTAATTCCACCTCAGACCCGTCTGCGAATGTCGCGTTTTGGTGGAATCTTTTGGCTGCACGAGTGCACTCTCCATTCACCTGGGTTATCTTGCGTCCATCCGTCAAATATGAGGCGGCGTCGCTGTCCACATGTTGTGCTAAACCATCCTGGGCTGACGGTTCTTCGTCATCCGATGGTCTCCGCCGTTTTGTGCCCTTTCGCTTGGCCGAATCTACCGCCTCAGCCAATCTCATTGACGACTTGTCGTCTTCCTTGGCTTCGTCGGCTACAGTGTGGTTGACGCGTTTTGGGGATGCATTCTTCTGGGTGGTAGTTCGACTCGATCTGGTCTTCCTTACTATTGCACGCGCCACGCTCTCCACTCTTGCTCTCTTGCGCCCCTTGGTCCCATCTTCCCCCTGAAGCGCCGAATCTGGAGGCCGTTTAGCCATCTTCGCTCTGATCATCTCTCGAATGGCACGCGGCGACATATCGGCTTTGCGCATTTCCCCTGACGGAGCCCTTGCCCGTTTGCGCTCTTTGCCCACTACATCGACGGTGACAGTCGAGACCTCAATTCTGTCTGGTAGCTGCTCTGCGAGCTCGAACTCTTCTGGCTCGGCGGTCAAGACATGAGACCCGTTCGACGATTCACCTCCATTCCCACCATAATCATCTCCACCGCCTGGGACGTCTCGCCCGTGAGATGAAGCCTGTACTGGGACGAGGGAGGTATTGGCGTTTGATACAGCGAGATCGTCGACATTCTCGAGTTTGCGGACCTTTACTCCGGGTACTGATTGCGCTATACTCCTCATCTTGAAGTCGCCGACCTCGACGTTCGCTTCATTGATGATAAATTCTTCGACGGACTCGCTAGGCTGAGGCTCGCCCCCCACTGCACGCTGATGATGGGTGACGGAAAGGCAAGCAAGGAGGATACTACTCACTTTGTGATACAATGAGGTGGAGGTAGGTGTCAAAAGGTAATTGAGTTCGGCGTCTGAAGGTACATGCTCATGGGGTATGTGAAAATAGGACGGACTGGTGACAGCTTGAGATGAGGAGACGAACGCATGGCTCTGCCGAGATATCTATATTGATGTGATGGGCTCGGATACATGTGTTGACCGCCTAGTTCTGGCTGAATCGATTGTCACATTGATATACAGATGAGAAGAATAAGGTACACGAACTGACGACCGTGCTCACTTGGACTCCTTTACGAGAGGTGAGGCTCAGAGGTACTCCCCCGCCGAAGTTCTATACTGAATGACAGAGCAGGTCGAAGGATCATCGAATGCTACAGCGTCGCGGCACATGGCACTGACGACACACTTAGCGATTGAGAGATAGCGAGCCTGTCTGTACAGAGACGCTGCCCACGCTGTCAACGGGTGTATTACTAAGAAAAGGGTTCCTCCAAGCCTTAGTGCGGTCCGAAATGAGAATGAGACAGACAGGATTCATGTTAGATATGAAAGGGGAAACTCATCCACCGAAATACTCAAAGCGCGCCAGTGCTATCTATCTATTTGGCGAGAGGAATGCATGGTACTGGTGAGTATATCAGGTGACCATATAGGAGTAGATAGGAGATATATTCGGTCAATGATTAACATGATGCTAGTAAGAGAGACAAAGAGGAGACAGAGGCTAGACAGAGGACACATTGGGAAGAGGTAAAAAAGGCTATTCCTGTCTATTAGGTATCTTGATCAATAGAGATAGTCTGGAAGGTAGACTTTGTGCATCTTCACTTCTGCAAGACAATATAAGAAAATGTAAAAGACATTGGGATGGGAACATACTCGTGTTGACAGTGGAATCAGGGGGCACAGCTCCTGCGCTGTAAGCGGAATAGCGGAGAGTCTTTTCAGCAAGGCCCTGCTTTCCAAAAGCTAAATGTGCAGGGATAGTGAGATGGCGTTCACCATTAGGGCACATGCCCAAAACACCAAGGCTTAAACCTAGAAAGAAGAATGTCAAAGGAGAATGTCATTGCAAGTTGTGCTACTGGAGATATGTCTACACACCTTTGATCACATCCGGGCGGCCCACGGTGAACTTGAACTGAGAAAAAGAGCTGAGTATGAGAGTATCAGCCTAGATGAGGTTACTGGAACCACGTCAATGTGTGGAACACTCAAAGAAACAAGATGAGAGGATCAGTGAGTATGATTGACTGTTGTGGTCAAGAGATAAGAGACAAGAATGTGTGTGTACCGAATATATAAAGAAAGTCCGTGTCACGTGGAACTAGACAGGGGAAAAGGAGTAAACAAGGGGTAACTTGTTTACAGTTACTTACTGAGATAGGGGGGAGACACCAGTGCACATCAACTTTCCCAACTGAGAGAACAAAGTAAATCTTGACGTCAGCATCCTGGACAGCTGTTATAGGTGCATCCTAGGAACCCCTTAGGGGCTACTAAGGGCGCATCCACGTGCGTTCCCGACTATGGGCTCGGGCCACGCATACACGCGGCCACGCGGACTTCCCAGATTACGGACTAAGTACATATCCGAGCATGCTGGACATATTCCTACCTGTAAGGGGACACTCCTATTTTCTCTCCTTTCCTTCATCCCATGGACTTTTACCTACATTTTACCTACATTTCCTTTGTTCCCCTTTGTTCCTTTTCGCTCCCTTTCCTTTCCACTTCCTTTCCGCCCACTCCTTTTGCATCCGAGCCACGTCCGGTGACTCTGGAGTCTTCCCGTGCTTCAGACACTTCGGACTCGCTCAGACTCGTCTATACTCTTCGGGGCTCGTCTGGATTACCTCTATCCTCTTTCCCCACTTCATTACCCTTCGCCCTTACTTCCCCAAGTTGCTGGCACGACTCCCGTGCATTTACCCTCCACTTCATTATCACATGTTTCCTTGTACCTTGTGATATTCGCTCGGACTTGTGGCTGGTGTACTGTACAGTTATCCTGCATTCCTCTCACGCTACTACAGTATATACTTCGCTTCCTAGCATGGAGAATCCTTATCCTGTTCTCTTTGGATTCTCCCTCTGCTAGGTGAGCAGCCCTCTCATGTACTGTAGTTAGTCTTATTCATTATCTTTGGATTCTCCCTCTGCTAGGCCTGCGCTGTCGGCCATCTTGAGGTTGCCCTTACACTACTGGACTCATTGCTGTTTCGTAAACGCGCGGATGCCGCGTGTTCCCCAGTATATATTTCCTGTACCATACATAGAGTTACCTTAGTTCAAATAATAGTTCCTTTTCCGCACTCACATCCTTGCCTCTCATTTGAGGTCCCTCCGTTGCATCCCCTCGCCTCTGCTCGTACCCTTGGTACCCACGTAGGACTCCTTCTGGAAATACAGGGCACGCAAGAGTGTGGGAGGCGCAGCCAGTAGCTGAAGCCAAGCCCGTACATCCTCGCTTCCCCCGTTTCCTCCGCGCGTCTACGTGGGCACCCGCGGGTCCGCGTATCCCGAGCCCCCTGCGAGTGTGGCTCTTAACATTGATCCAGTGTATACTCCTGCACCAAGGTTTTGACGTCTGGATAGGCAATGGGCAGTTTCAGCTCAGAGCGTCTCCTGCCACTTGAGCTTTTCTAGAACACACCTGTCTACGTAGCAAATCTGACACACTTCTCCATATCTTGCGCGCACCCACAGCACCAGCCACAAATTGTAGCCCTATTCATGTTCAGAGTCAAATTCCAAACCTCAATAGGCTTGTCCATTGCAGCAGAAACAAGTGTCACTGTGCCATTCTTCGCAACAGCAGGGATGATGTTGCAGATGCGCTTGGCATATGGAGCTGTACAAATGATAATCTGAGCGCCACCGAGGGATTGGATGTATTTTACAACATCTATATTACTCGAATCGACATGTTCATGGGCACTGAGAGACATGGCCAAGTCTTTTTTAGAAGGTCCCGAGGAAACTGTGATGTTTTAGTCAACTGCAGAACCGTCCCTCGGTAAATGCTCACTTTCAACCCCATTTTCGCGGCAAACTATTAATAGCAATCGATCAGACAATCCCCGTTCAGTAGTACATTGCACTGGACCGTACCTGCACCGCAAGATGGCCAAGGCCTCCAATCCCTTGAACAACACAAATATCGCCCGGTGACCACTTCGTAGTGCGTATGGCGTCAAACACCATAGCGCCTGCGCAAAACAGAGGTGCAAGCTCTGCGTAGCTGGCCTTCTGGAGAGCTTCTTCCTCGATACCAATTACCACTATTGTATGTGAGAACCATCACAAGCCTAGCCCAAAGTACGACTCACTTGTCTCAGGTGCGTACATGTATTCGGCGTGCCCTCCATCAACAGTAAAGCCTGTAAAGTCCCCATTTGGGAAAATCCAGTAGTCTCCCTTCCGGCACACATCGCAGCGATTGCAGTAGCCACCGTTCCAACCAGCACCAACCAAGGCACCAAGTTTAAATCGCCCGGTTTCTCCATGCGCTGCCAGAATACCTGACCCTACAGCGGCGACTTGCCCGATGACCTCATGCCCAGGGGTGCAGGGGTATTGCAAACCAGGCCAAGTGCCTTCTTAGACAAAGTGTTCTAAGTTGCACATGCCGGAAGCGTGGACTCTGATCAGCACTTCGTTGTCTTTCAGCGCACGAAGAGGGACTTCAATGATCTCCCATGGATTATTTGGCTTGGAACAGCAAACTAGAAGCATTAAGGGCAAATCAGTATTTGACAATGAACTGGAACTTGATCAAGTTACACATACCAGCTTTGAATGTTTCTGGTAAGTTTGAGAGAGAAGACAGGAGGATAACGTTTGTTGTCGTGAGTTGCTGCAGGCTTTATACCCGGGTTTGGGTTATCAAAAACGAGCAATTGTGGGTCCAGCACGCGCTCACATTTGCAAGACGATAGTTTGTGATTCCCTCGCACTCCTTAAAACCCCTGGAGTTCCGTTCTGAGCGGTGTCGACAATGCGGTCCAAGAATCCTTTGCGTGAAACGGCTGCTGATAGATGCTCCAGGGGTGGCGACTGCCTACGGCTGGAGCATTCACTGTCTTAATAACGCTGGGCGGCAGACTGTCCAAGTTGGAGCGGTTCCAAAGTGATGCGTGTGCATCAGAGTGCGAGTCGGATAGCGTCCTCTGAATCTTGAGCGTCATCGTACTACGTAGATAGTGCGCATATCTGAAACTGATGTATCCCTGAGTAGTACGCATCGTGTGATCCATCCCGTCGTTATAATCCGCCCTCGCGCCAGTTTCTGGCAAAAATAAGAGTGTTCGATAGAGCCCATGTGCAGAGCACGGACGATAAAACGTCGCACCTCCGCTGAACATATCTGGTAATACTGTGGGCGATGATGATAAAGGCAAGGGAATCGGTTGACATTGTGTCAGCCATGTCCGCGCTTGTAGGCGTCCCGAATCGCATCCGCCGGTAGGCTTGAAAAATGGTAACATGAAGTCCACACGTGAGAAATCATGAACATACCTTTATTAACGTTTCGCTCGCAAAAACTCGTAAGTACCAAGCCAACACAAGCGACGTGTACTCACCTTGCGGAATTTATCCTCGAGTACTGGTGAACCCATCATCGCGGCAATTGGACTTACATACAAAAGGCATGCTTCGAACCATCATTTACTTTTGGTCGCATTACACAGAAATCTCAGGGAACGATGAGCAGATAGAAAGGCGAAGGCTTCTATTTCGAAGCGCAGAGGACAACGAGAGAGACTTTTGTTGATGTACTGCCGAGCCTCGACCAGTACAACCAATACGAGCCAATACAGAGGAGTGACTGCTATCGGAATACGTCCATTAATCACGATGGACAACGAAGATCATCGGACATCGTACCTTAACCAAAGCGCCACGGTTGGCTAACAACGTCTCTTGCTGGCTCCCTGCTGGCTCCCTGCTCGTGCTCGGGGTACTGGCCATCATCGAAGTTACTCCAAGGCCATATCTCACGATTCTCCGACGTCCATGAAAGCGTAGAGGAGGAGACTTCGAACTAATATTAATTGAGGTAGAATGTATAGGATAACCGGTTGTACTTAATAGTTAATGCAAGTGACTGACAGACCGTGATGGTGAGGAGAGGACCCTTGCTACGAGCGGGATATTTGGCATAGGTCTCAAGCTTTCCGCCATCTTCTTACTCATCCAACGACATCTCATTGCCAGTGCTCGTGCCGGGAATGCACGTTTGAGTTCGACACCGTTCAATGATCTTTGATACACACTGTATCCGTCTATCACCACTCTGCTATCTGTCATCAGCTGGACTTGATGGTGACGGACGACAGTGCGCATTGTGTAGTGCTCATCAACATTGAAGTTAGAACTGGGAGAATCTCGTCAGTATCACAATCAAGCCACGTAGAAAAAGAACGCACAGTTCTCCAGTCGTGAGCAGGATGCAATTCCTTCATGTATGCAAAAGAGACCTTGCTGGGATCTAGATTGCCACCGCAAGACTCCACGAATTGCACGAAGCTGTTAAGCTTGGCTTTATCGTCCGGGGTTTCGTCCTTGATCAGTTTGCTGTCGGGGTGCGGATCGCGGAGTTGCTCTCGTCCTTTATACCTCACGAATCGGATAGGGAAGAAGAGGCGGGATATCGTTGGTTCAATGTCGGTATCGACCAACCGTGCGGCTTCTTTCGACACATAACGGACTTAAGTAACAAGGTGAACAAGGTCTCGGTAAGTAGCAGTGAATGAGCGACCCACGTCTTAACTTCGGCGCAGAGCCTTTCATTTCCCGCGGAAGTCGTCGCCTGAAAGCATTGTAGCCAAATAGATACGGCTCTAACCCATTGGGCTCGTCCCAATCCACTGCCTCTCGAGCAGACGGAAGGCTGAGAACGAATTCTTTGAAGTCTTGTCGAGACATTTCATAGCCACTGAAGATAGCGAACTTCGAGTTGCGCGGGGGCATGATGGTTAGAATATAGAGAGGATTGGCCATTTCAATTTATAGTAGTAACACAATGGTCATGTGACCGTGACGCGGGACCAACGCGCAGATTGCTCCTCATATCAAAATCTCTTTGCTATTGTTCTCTCAGAATCTCTGGGCTTGCGTCCATCCGTCAAATATGAGGCGGCGTCGCTGTCCACATGTTGTGCTGAACCATCCTGGGCTGACGGTTCTTCGTCATCCGATGGTCTCCGCCGTTTTGTGCCCTTTCCCTTGGCCGAATCTATCGCCTCAGCCAATCTCATCGACGACTTGTCGTCTTCCTTGGCTTCGTCGACTACAGTACTTGTGGCTGACGCGTTTCGCGTATGCATTCTTCTGTGTGGTAGTTCGACTCGATCTGGTCTTCCTTACTATTGCACGCGCCACGCTCTCCACTCTTGCTCTCTTGCGCCCCTTGGTCCCATCTTCCCCCTGAAGCGCCGAATCTGGAGGCCGTTTAGCCATCTTCGCTCTGATCATCTCTCGAATGGCACGCGGCGACATATTGCATTTCCCCTGACGGAGCCCTCGCCCGTTTGCGCTCTTTGCCCACTACATCGACGGTGACAGTCGAGACCTCAATTCTATCTGGTAGCTGCTCTGCGAGCTCGAACTCTTCTGGCTCGGCGGTCAAAACATGAGACCCGTTCGACGATTCACCTCCATTCCCACCGTAATCATCTCTACCGCCTGGGACGTCTCGCCCGTGAGATGAAGCCCGTACTGGGACGAGGGAGGTGTTGGCGTTTGATACAGCGAGATCGTCGACATTCTCGAGTTTGCGGACCTTTACTCCGGGTACTGATTGCGCTATACTCCTCATCTTGAAGTCTCTAGCCTCAATCCTTCGAGAGCGGTGCACACAGTTTGACCGCATCGGTCGCAGCACTAACTCGAACGTGATACGAACTTCCATTCATGTTGTGCAGTGCTGGTCGCGTTCCGTTGGCCTACAATCTGTTACGCCACATCATTCATCAATTGTTGATTGCCAAGGCGAGTTGGTTGTTTTACCATCTCAACAGTACCCACACTGGCGATCACGGAGTGTTATTCGCTAGGAATCGAAGGTCCAGCGGTGAGGACACCTTCAAGCCATGGGTGCGTTTCTACGGCACTTCCTCGTGCATTGACGATGATATCACTCAAGAAGAGTGTCGAGGCGCTCAACAACACTAAGAGAGCGTTGCTCTATCCGTACAGCTTTAAGACTCTGGCTCGTAGGTCACTGTGTGCGTCGAGCGCTGATATTCATGTCGCCCACTGTCGAGGGAGGGGGACCAACCATCACACCTCAACACGTAGATGCATGGTATAAATACTATGCGAAATTCGAACAGATATCGTCAGAGCCGGTCTCTTCCACTTCCTCAACTTTAGTGCTGGACGGTAAGCCATACCAACAACATCTGCATGCATGTTCTAAAACGACATTATCAGCTAAACATTTACCCAAATCCACTTCAAGTCAACTCCAATTCTCCTAGTGCGCATATCCTGACGACGCCGAGAAATACTAATATTTACTACTCACGATAGCATCCGACAAGATGATCGCCTCCAAGTTTGCCTCTCTGTGTCTTTTGGTGACCTCGGTGTTGGCCTACCCAGCTGCTGTACGCATGGGCGATCGGGATGCGGTGCAGAACTTCGAACGCTCGGAGCCAATCTACTACTACACGTACCTCCCCGCATTGCAGAGAAGGGATCTCGAGACGCAAGAGTACACTGCAAGGTACGTGTCACCTCCTTTGCCTTGTTGCCCTGTTCTTGTTGGATTCTTATCGCATTGATGCTCAGGGATCTTGAGATGCTGAAGAAGTACGTCGACTCGTTGGGCCTAGAGAAGAGGGGTCTTTTCAAGTCACTCACCTTCAAAATGCCGAAGATTGGAACATCGCCAACCATGTCCAACTCCCTTCCCGCACCCAAACCCAAAGTTTTAGCCCCGCCTCCGAAGGTCGAAGCTCCAGCACCAGCCATACCAGCTCCCAAAATCGAGGCACCAAAGCCCCCAACACCACCCGCACCTGCTCCAAAAGTTGAAGCGCCGTCATCAATCGTACCAGCTCCCAAAGTCGAACCTCCAGCACCAGTCGTACCCGCTCCCAAAGTCGAAGCACCAAAGCCTCCAGCACCGGCTTCGCCTCCTCCTCCCCCGCCTCCCCCGGTAAACAATCCCCCGCCCAACGCTCCACCAGCTGCCGCCCCTCCGGCTCAAGCACCCGCTGAAGCGCCACAGGTATGTTTTATATAGCTGCTGACAACTATCCACATCTTATTGATTACTTTCATTGCGACAGTCTGGCGGTTGGGCACAGAAGATTCAGGGGGGAGCTGAAACACTCAACGCAGGGATGGGTTTAACTTCTTCTGTAATGGATTTAGTTACGGCAGACAAGAACTACGCCACCGTCAAGGTTCAAGCGGAGCAAGCTTCCCAGGCGTCCGAGTCCTCATCGTGGGTTTCACTCTACATTCGAATACCGCTTACTAGGACTGACAACCAATTATTGGGGTAGGAGCGCTCAACCGGCCCCGACTGCATAAGATGGCGGACCGTCAATTAGTAGTAGGAGCTGCTGAGATAGTGGGCTTTTGTATACGTTAAGGAACCATAGATGATTGTTCATGACTGATTCTGCAGAGTGATACCTCAATATGTCCAAGGGAGTCGTTGAAAGTCTCAAGGGGAGACATCAAAATCTGCTCATATCTCCCACATGAATTTAAGTGAGTGATCCAGGAAGAGGTTTAGAGTCGAATTGCGGGAAAAGAACCAGACTATGGTTTACCAAACGTGATGTCTTTCCCCTTGTTTTCCGTCTTGAGAACTTTGCCAATGTATGCCCACTAGATAACACAGTCAATTTCGAAGGGAAAGGGATAACCATCGGATACTTACATTCAGATAACCCCCGTCGCCCTTACGGAAAAACTTCCCTGATTTGGCGTTGTAAATCTCATACCTAAATATCAATAGTTCTTTGAGGCGGAAGACCTTCAAGCAGTAATTGTACGAACCCCACTGTTCCTCCGATTTTGACATCGAACTCTTGATGCCTGTGGTCCCAGTCCACGCCCCGCTTGCCATCAAACTTGGTGTCATGTTTGGTGTGGCAAGCAATCCAGTTGAAATTGGGATGTTGGGCATGTAGTTTACCGACGAGGTCCTGCGTAAACCTGCTCCGCGCCTGTTGGAATAAGTTGCCGAGTCAGCTAAGTACGCGACGCGTCATATTGCACGATTTACCGCTTTATCCTTGTTTATACCGTCTTGGATACCAGTGATGATGCCGGTTATGGCTTCGCCAATGATGTCGCCTGCTCCTCCTCGTCCCTTTCGGGCCTCTAAGAGCTGAGTGGTGTTAAAGGTCTCCGAACGAGCGTCGAGTCCGTGATCTGCGTCGATGAGATCCGAAGGAGCCCTGTACACCACAGCGGAAAGCGATGTCTGAGCAAAGAGAATGGCCACCACAGCGGCAATGAGAGTTGTTGGTCGAGAGAACATAATTGAGAGGAAGTGAATTGAGGGGAAGTGAAATCGTTAATGGACACCAGGTCGCTATGTGAGGGGGTTGGTTGAACGTGGCCGGCACGATGGGGCTTGTTCATTGTCGGATGTGGGGTACTTATACCTCGAGAGTTAACGCGGTACGCACTATGGTCGCTAAAAGGTTATTTTTAGTGCACACCAACGTGGTGGTAACAGTGAAACACTTGATCCCAGCAGAAATTCAGATCAAACATGTCCTGGTGAAGATGCCAAGTAGAAGATGACTGAATGAATTTCACTCACAACGAGTCTGATTTAGGTAGCCTCGCCGGAATTATAGGGAGGACAACGGTCCTAGGCCCTGTATAAGAAGATAGCCATCATGATACAAGCTGAGGCAAGTGTTCATGGTTACCTTGCATAAAGCTGGGCTCAACAATGTCGTGAGATATGTATCGATTGCGTGTGAGATTGTCTCCGCATGCTTGCAGAAGCTCTGCATAAGATGGGCCATTCGCGTATCATAGCGTTGCTAGTCATTGAAGACGACCACACATCGATACCTATATCATTAGTCGTTGAAGTCGCAGATATATCAACTCACAGTCTTTTCACGATTTGCGTAACGACGATCCAGGAAATAATGGATAGTTGATTGTGAGTTGAGGGTAGTCAACGCAGACAGGGGTTGGGGTAACGGGTTACTCCTATCTAATATATAAGGTCGCTATCGATATTGAGTACCGAGTATGGTGTCTGTACTGCTGGGGTAGTTCAGTCCAATATACCACTAAAATACTCGGTTTACAGTGCTTCTCAAAGGCGCAACGCTTCACTGCTCAAAGCGCAGGAGCATATGGCCAGTACTTCTTGTGACGGCTTCTCCAGTCTATCCCCTAGATTAGAGTGAGCAAAAATAAAAGGCGTATGCTTGAGACACAGGCTACCCACCTGACATGCTTCAGAGCAATAATATACGGACTAGCCCGTCCCTCAGCAGATGTTGATGTTTTGAATGCGCTCTCTTACCTTGCAGTTGGAGCATTGCTTGAGCGCGCCCAAGCTGAGGTGAATGAGGTAATATGGACTCCAGAAATATTAAGACTTACATCGGAATTGGCACAGACGATAGAATCGGGAGCGCCTCTCGATCTCAAAGCCTTAGCCTAACTCATCTGACCTTTCATCTCAGCGAGCTGCGCGAGATTCTCTCCAGTAACCGCGGAGTCAAAGGGAGGTCCGTCTGCACTGGGCTTCACCCAGCGCTTTGGTCGGATATCTCCCGCTTTCTCCATCTTCCCCATCTGCAAGTGGACCTCACCCGAAGTATTTCGGGATGACGCCGGAGTGATCGCGTTAGCACCGAGACGGTGGCGCCCCTTGACGTCGATTGCACTAGTGCTGAACACAAGTGTGAGTGACCGGCTGTATATCGAGTCAAGGCGGCCTATTGCCTTGCATCTGGTGCATGCTTTCAGTTTATGCTGAACGATTGCCCTTGACACTAGCACGAGCCCGAAATCAACACACATTGACAGCGAATGAGAATATTGTTAGGCAACAGTCGACAATGAGACCGTACCTGCATCTGTGTACATATAGCTCGTCCACTCTTTGGCATCGTCGACTGATTTCATCATTAGCATCCAGTCTTGTAGCTAATCAAGTAGAGCCATGTGGAAGCGATAATGATCACTCAGACCATGGGCAGTCTACGGGCCGGACTTGTGCAACGTTCCGAAGCTCGCGGCTATTCGAAGCTATAACCCCTTCTGTCTACTTCTTGGTGATTGACCATCTCTACGAAGGCCGTGTTCTGACCTCCTTCTGATTTATCGACATCGCCGCCCATCAATGAGAAGCCCTCAAAGCCTCTTAATTACCAACTCTATGATTCTTGCCTCACCCTCGTAGTTCCTCCCTCATGCAATGCTCGACTCCGCTCAAGCAAAATTAAACGCTCCTCTGGTTGTTGGTATGGCTTCCTGGCCATGTTGGTTTTGAATCCAGAACTGATGTGTTCCCAGGAATGATACTCAGCTCTTCGTAAGTCTGGCACACCGTCTCTACATCGATCGTACCAAGATCATGATTTATACCCGGCAGCCTATTCGGAATCACCATCGCACAATCTATGTACTACTTTCGTCACTACCGCAACGATGTCACCATTATCAAAGCATTTGTGAGCCGCATTGCCTATGTTTTTAGAAGATCTCCTATCTGATGGCGCAAAAAGGTCGCTACCATCATGTAGGACTCCCACCTTTCGCTGACAGGTGGAATCTCATGATCCTGAAGGGTACTCGACACAGCACATACGATAGCTCTTAGCTGGGCAACATACTTCTACTACGTGGTAAACAAACTGGGTGAAAATATGCCAATGTGAGCAAGTGGTCTGTTCCTCGCAAATGCTTTTCTTCTGACTGGTTTCAGACCGCTCTTAGTTGGTTTCTTCATTTCCATAATGACCCCCAATGTTAACCCGACGCAGATACAGGGATATATAGGCGTGAGCCGCCTCATTGATGACTCTTTCCTTGCTCACTTATGAGCGTTACGTTAAGTACACTGTCATCACACTCGTTCAATGGTAGTACATCATACCGTTTAATGAACTTTGATCGATCACTCATTTCTTCTGATAGTGCCTATACCCTACGAGTTTGGCGTCGTAAGCAGAGTTCCTGCATGCCTTTGTTACTGCCTAACGACTCATCAAATCAGTGGGACGACATAAATTGCTGGTCGTAACTCTGGTATACCAGTCTTTATCTTCGCTGGCTTCCGATAACTGATAGTTCACCAGCTTCTCACATCCCTTCTTCAACTAGGTGAGTTACTATCTTCATTGCCTGTATCATACTGGATCGGCGCCCAACTCCAGCATCTGGTCTCGGTGAGTTTGATTGTCAGTTACCAACATGCGTCACGCATTGATGGCGGGAAACTGCAGGAATGAATATATTTGTGTAAGTCTCGGCAAGTCTCGACCCCGTGACAGCTGGCTTATTCCCTTAACTCGCAAGAACGAAGTTCAAGACCGTCACCTCGATGCATGCTGATATCACCGAAGTACCGTGCATCTTTTTATGGACTAGCATTCATACTGACACGTACAAGGTATTCGGTGGAATACAATTGGCATCGAGCGCTTTCTGTGATGTCGTGATCACAACAAGCCTGGTCGTATACCTCAGGCGCAATCACTCCCCCTTTCGCGAAACCCGGAACATGGTCGATCGGATTCTTTTGTTTTACATCAATATTGGTCTCGCCACTTGGTAAGCCGTATCATACCGCCCACGCCTGTACATGCTGGCTCATTTCAACTTCAAGTATCGTGTCTGTCGTTACCCTTGCAACAGTGCGTTTGGACAGTTCACATCAACGTTGATTCATTCAAAGATCGGATCACCAGTGGTTTGTAATGCCTGGTAACTATATATTTAGTACTACACACCTATTGCTCGGGAAGGGTACGTCTTACTAAGTAACTGAAACCCGTGCCAGTCCGCTGATACTACGTATAGTATATATCAACTCTTTACTCGTTAGGTGAGCGCGTCCACTCAATCACTTAGGATATGAGTTCCAAGTTTCTACGCAGTCTGAATGCTCGTAAGCGTATGGGACAGCGGGGGCTTTTGGGTTCAAGTGCAAGATATTTAGGTCCGTTTGACGTTTGATCCCGTCTGCCTTCAGACGCTTCCTCACCTCGATATAGTAGATGAAATACACCTAGAGGACATGTAACACCATGTTGCGTTCACCGCGCAGTCGAGCATCAGCGAAGACGGCGCAAATGTATTGCTGGTTCTCTACATTTAGCCAGGCACCTTGCCTGATTTCCTTCATATATATGATCGGACGGGTTGCGTCTCATTTCCCCGATATATACATAAGGCTACTCTTCAGTGTAAGTACTCGTCTGGTATCCACCCATGAGCACGATATCCACCCTTACCACTAATTGGCACTTGTGAGTGCAAGTCCTCGCTTCCATCGGCAAACGCTCATAAGATGTCGTTGGGGTATTCGTTGGGTGTACTTCCAGACGAGCACAAGAGGTGAGTGCATTGGTCGCACCGAGCGGCTATGAATTACTCATTCACCCATTTACCAAGGCATCATATTTTATTTCCCACTCGATCCTTACCAATGACTACTTGACAACGCTCGACATGGAGGTATGAGCCGGTCCGTCAACAGTCCACCGAAGCCATTGGCTAACCAGTACAAGGTTCAACTTATCTGGGGGAAGACATTCGGTTTGGGTATGTACGCCGATCCAATACTAATACTACAGTCATTAATTGTCTGATGTACTACCTTGAAACAGTTAGCTATTTGTTCGTCTTCAACCGCTATTTCCCACTGGCCGCATGGGCTTCATTTGCGTTCCCTGCACCTTCGCCTGACGTGAGTCTTATCTCATTCAGGACGCATCACGAATTGAAGCGCTTCAGAGGTCTGTACCTCTTCCACTAGCTCAGAAGAACAGCATTTAGAAATGCACCTGCTTACTTCGTAGCTGCCGTTACCTATCCATGGAGCTGGTCGCCGCCACCGGTACCTCCGTGGCTGTGGCTGAGGCAATGTTGATCATCAAGTATTCTTCCTCCCATTATTAGTTACCAATGCGAACGAAGCACTGACCACCCGTATTTTCCTAGGGTCTATGCCATAAATCACCGCAAACGATGGGTCCTCCTCGTTCTCCTCCTAGTGTGGTTGGGACAGTTCGGTTCTATGGCATACTCCGTCTCTGGTTCAGACAGTGAGTCCCCCCAAATCCCAAATCCCAAGTCCGCCGATACTCACTCTCCCCGATGGTACCAAGTCATAGCTACAGGCCCCTCATACTCCGCAAATCAGTGGATATGCAACTTGAACACATCTGCCGCATCGTACGTCGTCGGGCCGGCTCAGCCTGCACCGCCCTTCTCATCAACTTCTCATTCACTTACTCGTACCCTCCCTCTCCGCTCCTCGTCCAGCCACTTCCAACTCGGCTTCATAGTGCCCCTCGTGATCTTCGACTGCACCGCCTTCACGCTCACCTTCCTCGGGCTCTCCAGCCACTCCACCCCCGGAGAGAGCATGTTCATCGGCGCCGCGCCCCTCCTCCCCCAGACATCGATCTCAGCGCACGTCCTGCGGGACGGCCTGTTCTATTTCCTGATCCTGTGTATGGTAAACATCTCGTGGGCGATAAGCAGCAGCTTCTTGGATGTGAGTCTCTCGCGCGGGTCCCTGTGCCATGTGTCCGTTGTACTGATGCTACGCGTCTGTGCCGAAGCCCGATTTTCAGAACATCGTACATCTGTGCGTAGTTACTACCCGCCGTTTCTATTCGACCGGTCCACTAATCTGGGGTTTTCTTCCGCAGACCTAGCTCTGCGTGCGTCCAATCTTCGCTTCAGCTCGCAGAAATAGTATCCGTACTGATATACGACCATAAATCATCAGCTTGACAGTCGTTCTCATGAACCGCATGATCCTCCACACCCGCAGCTACCTAGAGCGCACACAAGCAAACTATTTCCAACCAAGTCGAACATCGAGGCCAGTCTCTCTGCCGGAATTCGCTATTGGTATTCACAGCCCTTCCTATTCATCTGGACAAAACACTATCAATACAAATTCAACTTTACACGATTGAGTATCGAGTACTGTTACTATACAACTACACAAGTCATTATCCACTGTCTATACCCATTACTTCATCTTCTTCCACTTCATCGGTCCATATTCATTATTCAGTACGCAATCCTCGCAGTCAACCCGTCCTCCTCCCTCTTGAAGCACCGGTGCTTGCTGACCTCGTACGCAAACCTTTCCATGAACCCCTTCTCACCAATGTTCAGCGTCATCTTCGTAGCGTCTCCGATAGCCGTCGATACGCCATAGTGGGCCGTTGTCACTACGCTGTACGACGCTACAACTTCCATAGAACTATCGGTGGGGTCTGCGTATTGGACTTCTGGAAGGTTGATGGCCTGTTGCACGAGGAGTATAGCTGTTTATATACATAATTTCGATCAGCACCAGCAATCTTGAATGATGTGTGGCGTGCACTTACCTTCCCCAACGGCACCGATCGCCTTGCAATGCCCGAACGCCTCTCTCAACCAATGCACAGCGCGCCCACTCTTCATCAACAACGCAACATGCTCCCCGCTCGGAATGACGAGCGCATCGAACATTGTGCTACGCTGCCCTTCAAAGTGATGATCCGCATCAATCCCGCCTCCCTCGACACCAATCTTCTCGCCAGCAGCGTAGACCTTGCCCCTCCTCGGCCCAATAACGAACGCATTCGCCGACGCCGACGTAATGAGTGCCTTGATAGCCACAACCTCCGCCTTATCGAACCCATCCGCCAGCAGAATGGCGATGCGCCGGCCTTTGATAGTCGGCTCCTTCGGCGCATAGTACACCTGGCTCAGCCTAGCGCTTTTGTTCCCCTCGTTGGGCTTCGCTGACGCATCGGGGACGTCGCCTCCCACGGCGACGGCGACATACTTCGCGAGCTGATAGTCGATGTTGTTGAGGATGTTAATGTAGTTGCGGTACACGGCCGGGTCCTCGCAGTGGCTGAGCTCGAAGGCAAGCGCGCTCTGCAGGTGTGTTTGCTCCGTAGGCGAGAGGGAGTTGTAGAAGAGCTGGGCCTGAGAGTAGTGCTCGTTGAATTTTGGTCCACGCATGCGTTGGGCTATTCCGGAGATCTTGCGAACATGACTATCCGACCGAAACGCTTTAGAGGCGAGCTGGACAGTTCAGATCAACACTCACTCATCGTAGCCGCCTTCCGAAACAGCGACGGGCTGAACGGCTTCCTGGCGGTTGGGCCAATAGTTGACGGTGCCCTTGTGGATCTTCATCTGCATTTGCCCATCGCGCTGGAAATTCATCACAGGGCAGACAGGTCGGTTAATGGGAATCTGAAGCGATGGTCATTGCCCGCCCGGAGACACTCAAAGTGGAGGGAACCTACCTGTTGCCAGTTGATACCTAGACGGCTAAGCTGCGTGTCGAGGTAACTAAAGTTCCTGCCTTGGAGCAGCGGGTCGTCGCTGAACCCGATTCCTGGTACAATGTTGCTGGTACAAAAAGCAACCTGCTCCACCTCGGCAAAATACTCATCAACCACCTTGTTCAGAACCATCTCGCCCACAAAATGCAGTGGCACCAACTCCTCGGGCCATATCTTCGTCGCGTCGAGGATATCGAAGTCGAAGTTGTGTTCGTCCTTCTCAGAGATGACTTGGAGTGCTAGACGCCATTTAGGATAGGCCCCGGACTCGATGGCTTCATTCAAATCTTTGCGATGGAAATCTGCGAACTAAGGTGAGCGTACACGCTGTGTGGATGGTGATTGTGGATTACCAGGATCTTGACCCGCGATTTTAAGAGCTTCATCCCAGACTAGGCTGTGGACACCGAGCTCTGGGATCCAATGAAACTTCACAAAGTGCTTCTCGCCCGTAGCGTTTAAGAGCGTGTACGTGTTCACGCCAAAACCCTGCATCATCCGGTACGAACGAGGGATCGCGCGGTCAGACATCACCCACATGATCATATGCGCCGCTGTCGGAATGGTCGTCAGTGGGAATTCCGAGTTAACACAGGGTCGCACTTACACTCTGGTTGAAGCCCAACAAAGTCCCAGAAGTTGTTGTGCGCGCTCTGCCCTGTAGGTACTTCGTTGTGAGGCTCAGGCTTGACCGCATGGATGATATCAGGGAACTTGATCGCATCCTGGATGAAGAACACCGGGATATTGTTCCCCACGATGTCCCAATTCCCCTCCTCGGTGTAGAATTTCACCGCAAAGCCCCTGACGTCGCGAACAGTGTCCTGTCATCGTCATCAGCATGAAACATCGCGAGTGCGAATCAAGCCCATTCGCTTACAGCACTTCCTCTGGAGCCTTGCACCGTGCTAAACCGCACGAATACCGGTGTCGTACGTGACGGATCCATGAGGACTTTGGCCTTCGTCCACTGCTCTGCACTCGAATCATACGCTTTGAAATAGCCATGCGCACCAGCGCCTCGTGCGTGTACCACTCGTTCTGGGATGCGCTCGTGGTCAAAGCGCATAATCTTCTCTCGTGCGATGTGGTCTTCAAGCAATGCTGGTCCTACGTTTGAGTTACTGCCGACCTTGAGCCTGACAGACATGGTCAGCACTGTTGATATCCACAGATAACACACACCTCACCAGTTGTCTGTGTCGGCTACATGAAGTCCCTGGTCGGTGGTCATCCGCTGCGAAGGACCACACTCGACGCGGAATTGAGTCAAACTAGCCATTTTTGCATTGTCGGTGATACTCGATACCGCCTGCTTTGCTGCTGCTGTGACGGAGGACATGGTGGGAGAGGGCGAAGGAGGAATTTTGGATGAACATGGGCATGGCCGTCCCTTTATATAATATATAACGGCGGGTGGTGATGTAGTCGACGTCAGAGTCCGCTTTCATGACTTCAATCTCAGCGTCATTCGCGGTCACGTGGAAGCTTCTGTCTCAACTGTCCTTAGTTGAATTTTGTCATCGTTGCCACCTATGCATTTGTCAAGTGTTCGAGGACAGATCTACCGACAGGTGAAACTTGACGGGTCCATGATCAGAAAGACACCGGGAGGGGACGAGCAGAAGGAACCTACTCTACCAACGTTGGATACCGAGGTATCCAGCCGCTCATAGCTCAGGCAGGCGGGCTTCGGAGGCCTGCTTTCTGATCTATGGTGGCCCCAGCTTCTGTGCAGGTGTCGAACGTATCTTAAGACCTCCCACATGCTGTATGATTTTCTAAAATTTGTCCCAAGTCGAGGCGATCAACGAAGAACTCCGTCTCCGTGTCCAACCGTCGTGGGAGGGTGCATTTACATTTAATCTAGAATTACAATTGTGCAAACCCAATTATCACTGAGAAGGTGAGACGGCGGTAGTATTGTTGGCTACTGGCAGCGCAGGGCCCACCCGCGCCGGGGGCGCCACCGGAACTTGGGAGCAGAACGCGGAACCCTCCGTGGAAGGTCTGCTGTTTGTTACCCTAAACGTGTTACTCGTCGAGCAGAGCCCGATTTGCTTCAGGGACATGTCGTATACCGAATAGAACCGTTCCAAAAAGGTGTAGCCCAGAATAAAATCGAGGCCAGTCCCTCCAAACGCTCCCAAGTCTCCAATTATCAGATACATGGCGTCGTTTCGGCCTCCTATGCACTCGTTGAGAGATTGTGGCCAGACCTGAGAATCCGGGGTCATCTCAAAGGTGAACTAATACATGGTCAGGAAGACGCGCTGAAAGAGGAACGGAAGGAACTCACTCCACCGATTTTAAAGTTCAAACTATGGAGTTGGCCATAGCTCGAGGCGGGGATGCTTAAGAGACCTGTTGCCTCGTCCTTGGTGGCGCCCGTGGCTTCCACGTAGCGGTTGAACGCATCTACGGACCTTAGAAGAGGTCTATCGCCATGTTTCATTCCACTCACCTGTCGAAAGAAGGACCAATGTCGTTCCTGTGTCAACAATACCAGCCGTAGAGTTGAGCAACAGCCCATTGTTGTAGGTAACGGATGCGTCGACACCCCAGTATTTGTTGGCAGGGCTGCTATTCGTTATTGGCCTAACGCGACTAGTTAGGAGACACGCTTGTGTTACCCTCCGGTGGCACATACACGTATTTCAACTCCCCACTGCATTTCGACGTGTCAATAGCACCTGATCCTTGGTGAATATATGCCAGTAGTCCTCTAACATTGGTAGACATACCAAATGTAATCTCGCCGTTATCTTCGCCACCCTTAACAGTGGGCGAGTAGTAGATCCCAACGACGTTGCGCTCTATGCGTCCTTCACTGACCAGATTGTCGGCGAAAGTGGAGACCGCACTCTTATTGAGAAGGCGGGTGCCTGCGCAGATGAGGAACGGCGGGACGATCAAAGCATATGCTCGAACCCACCTTCATTGAGATCGGTTGGGCCAAGTCTGCGTGGGATGCCATCGTCAGCTACAAATTTGACTTCGTGCGGATGATTCTTACCCAAGTATACCATCGAAGGGCGCCAGACCACGATCGAACGTACCAATAGCAACAGACTGGTTCTGAACTTGATATTGTCCAAACTCGACAGACTGCACGGTTTCTTGTCCTAAACAATATTTAGCACCCGGTTATCAGACGCATGGCAATTTCAACGACAAACCAATGAATTGAGCTGATCCATACATAAGCATTTCGCCTTCCCCCGTTGGGTTACGGACGGAGCACTTCTGCCCGGTACAGCTCGTCGTAGAGCTGCCAGTGTCGATCAAAAGTGTGACTAGCAAAGGACCTTGTCAGTGACCTGGTTGTGTATGCCGCTTTTACCGACCGTTGTGCACATCTCCCACTGTTAGGTTTGCTGTGTAAAGAACAACTTGATTATTGGCCGGGGCGGGACCGGAGGCTCGTTTCCCGATAGGTTTCAACGCCTGCTTTCGAAGATGTGTCGCACGCGTTTGGTCCGCCTTGGCTATGCTACCGCCGTTCGTCGAATGATAAGATTTGGTCAATGTATTTGGCGTCGGCGAGGTACGAGCAATAACGGCGGGCGTGGAGGCCGCCGAGAGCGCGAGGAATAGTGAGAATAGAAGGGAGGATTTGTTAAACATGGCTGTAGTTGTATTGGGCTAGCTGTGAATAGTAAATCGTAAAGATCGTGAGTGCGAAAGAACGCGTGGATGTGGGGGGAAGGAACGAAGGATTCCGAAGGCGGGGGTTCTGCTTATATACCTTTTGGTTTGTTGGGCGGGCGATCCCGAGCCGCAGAAGAAATTGGCTGGGCTAGGCTATGCGAGCAAGACGAGTCCAAGTGGTGATTTCAGATGCCTTACGCGTGACGTCACGCGTCAACCCGCCGATACGCTCTCGCTGCGCAGCAAGACACAGCACCAAGGTGGAACCGAACAACGCCAGTACATGAAAGATTGGGAGATGCGAGTAAAATTTATGGTATCCTCGACATCGTAGTAATACAACTGCGACGAAAGTTGAGTGCAAGCAAGCATCAATTTTCCTTCAACGCACCTGGCATCACAGCTTTGCCATAGCCGCAATTTTAGAGGACAAACATTCGTACCTCAGAAACTCTGCCATCCATTTGGTCATTTCCACCGTGCACTCATGGCCCACGCCCTCTTGAGCCATCACTGTCTTTAACCCTCTTTCGCCGACTTCGAGCCCTTGGACGAACCGTGCGCTCGCACTCCACGGAACGATACGATCCATCGCTCCCCGGAGGACCAGGATCTTCTTGCCCAAGAATGGATTCCTGGAGTCATTGACAGTGTATGGCGTGTAAATCGGGTCCACGTGGCGGACGAGGAAAACCAGCGATGGTGGTAGGATCGGCAGGGTGGGCGGGGTGAGTTCGAACTCGGATTCCGCTGCTCGGCGGGACATGAGGGCCAAATAATCAGCGCATCCGAGGATGACGATGCCAAAGGTAATCCGTGGTTCTGCTACCAGTTTAGTAATGGCCATCCTTTGAAGAAAAGACATACCGTGAGCCAACGCTAGCCAAGCGGTGTGTCCTCCGAGGCTAATTCCTGCAACGCCCCATTGCTCAATTGTTCGTTCGCCGTGGGGGAAGAGGTGTGATGGGAGAAAATCGATGAGGTGCGAGAGGTCTCGTTGGGTCCCGACTTTCCGCCGCCGTAAAAATCATTTCCCCTGTGAAATACTGTGGAATGCTCACGTTGGATTCCATACATGTCAAGCCTGCAGTCAAGTATAAGTCTCTGCGGGCCAGAGAGCATGTAGATAACATGAAACTTGCGCGTGGTTTGGGTTCCCTTCGCTCCAGCTCATGTTAGCTTGCTCGTTAACAAGCCTTCTTCCATGGTTTCTGAGATCCTACCATTGGTGAGCTGAGTTTCGCAAGAAGGGGTACAACGCTCACTAGGCCCACAACGTAGAGGTCCCTCTTCTTATCGTCACTATGTGCGATCATGACAACCTTTTCTATGATGGGTTCCACGACCGCCAAGGACGATCCCCGGCCATGAAGGAAGAAAAGGACTGAAACGGGCGGCAATGGAGCGAAGGCTTCGCAAACGGATTGAGAAGGGTGACAATATATCTTGACGTTCAAACCAGAAACAACGAACGAACGAGATGTTACTGTGTAGGCCGACATGGAGAAAGTTGAAGTTCAACTCCTTGGGCGCCTAAATGCTCAACTCAGGCTTGCGCTTTGGTGAGGTCACCTTCAATTGGATCGCTGCGAACATCTGTCCACGTCTGCACCATACTCGAGTCTCGCACTCACTGCGATCGCCTAAATACGCTGGATTACCTCCTCGATATGACTGAGTCCTTGTCCCTGTTGGGTTACCGGCACTTCTCAAGTCCTTGCGATACGAAGAGTCACTTCCAAGTCCTGATAAATCAGTGATGCTGCATAAATATAATCATGGCTCACTCGACAGCCCGCGCCTCATGGGGATCACTCTTTTCCTGCCACTCGGGGACGACACAAAACACACAGTGTACCCCAGGGCCCGGTGAGTTACACCCAGACACCCAAGACGTCTGCTTTGTGGGGGAGGTCAATGGAGAACCGCTGCTCACGATGCCTAGTGAGCAGATCAAAGCACTGCGCTATCACTTCCACTTTGTGTGAGCACGCCGTCCAAAAGACGGTATTGGGCCAATGGTTAGGCTTTTTAACTCGGAATTTCGCGCGTACATCATCAGAAGGTACGCCAAAAATTTCTGATCCTCTTGTGATGAACCTTTGATTTCTACGCCACTCATTAATGACTTCAGGTGTCGGTACCCAGCTACCGACAAGCACGGTTAGTAGCAGAATCAGCTGTATAAATGGGTTCGCCCTTCTTGCGGTGACCGGTAGCTGTATTCAGGCCTCTTGCGTATAAAAGAAGGCTCGTTTGCCTTTGAAAACTCCAGCTTCCAACAAAAGCCTCTCTACACAATGTCCTCGGCTGTCATTCGTCTTGCATTCCTTGTCGTCGCTGCAAGTGAAGCATTCCGCCGGCGTCCACGATCTCCTCCTTACCTGTCTTCACAGTGAGCGCTGTTGCGCAAACGCAGATCCCCTGCGCACGTCCGTTCACCGTACGCCCAAGAGATACTTGCGATGGCATCTCTGCAGAACAAGGAGTTTCCTCGTAAGGCTATTGGCAGACGCTAGTCAGTGAAATACTGACCCGAAACTAGCTTCTAGTTGACAGCGTCCAGCTCCGGTATCATCAACCCAAACTGCACGAACATCTTTCCAGGCCTCGACTGGCTTGGGTCTATTGACATATATCCAACCAATGTGATTTGCCTACCACCGGTGTGCTTGGGCTGCAACAGTGTTCGCGTCGTCGCGGACGGCGATACGTGCACTACAATCGCAGACAACGCTGGGATTAGTGTGGGTACCTTGGTGGCAAACAATTCAAACCTTGGTCCCGATTGCAACCGACTATGCCCCGGACAAGTGAGCGTTTAGCCCTCGGCTGTGTCTACTGACGGAACTACTATGTTGCAGGTGGTATGTATAGGGGAGAGCCTCTAGACCGACAAGGTAGCTCTTAAATGTTGAGAATCTCCGCCTTTTTGTTCCAAATATGTGTATACGTGTGTGGTGCCAAATACAAATTGAATCTAGGTTGTAATGTACAAATACATGGCGTAATGGACACAGATATAGCATTACGCAGTAGTGAATGATGCATGATTAGTCCTAGTAGTCGGTGTAGTTGAAGATGTGGTCGACTGCGTCTTCATATTCGCATCGTTCGTCACGAGAATAGTAGTCCACTTCGCCCCTACCGAAATCGATGAGTCTGTAGCTAGGTGTGTCCATAGACCTCGACTCCGGCGCCACAGTGAGCGGCCCTGGCTGGACGAGCATGTTGCGCCTGTACGCCGAACCCTGTAGAAAGCCAGCATCATGGAGTCGAGCGTACAATGATATAACTTCTTCCCTGGGAAAGAAGTGAGACCAAAGACCTTTCAAGTTGTATTTAGCACTTACTTTTCGGCGATGCTGCTGGATCGACCGGCCAGAGATTTTCCGCAGTGTTCTAGAAGTAAGATGGGACTGCCACCTCTGTTGTTTTCGGGTACGTAGTACCCATAGAATTTCGGTACGACGGGGCCGAGCGGTACGGGATTGCGACAGGACGAAGGATTCCCGTCGCGGTGGAAGGTCGCATATCCACAATAGTCTTGCATGAGGCATTCGGGTAGCTGCGAGTACATTATTCCTTCCCTCCTCAAGTGATCCTTGGCCTCGTACCCGCCGTCATGTAGCTTGGCAGCCACGATAACATGACCGTTGGGAGAATTCGCGGCAGTCAGCGGAGACGGTAGTTTGAACGAGGCTTTGTAAACGTTGGACCAGTGGCCCGACCCGAGTTTGTTGGCCTGGCCGAGGTATATATGCCCTATTTTCCCTTGTCCCTTCGTAGTTGGTGATCGCTTTGGGTATTGACGGCGGTATGGATATGACTTCTGGTACGGGCCGTACATTCGTGTTGTCTGATCGCTATCGTGGACGATGAGGGTGTCTGGCAGATATTCTTTCGGAATGAATTCCTCGAGGTTGGGCAGGTCCTTGATGTACAGTGGGTCATATTGCGGTCGCTCGATACGCGAATAATTTGGAGTGGTGTAGAGCAGGGGTATCAAGCCCTCTGTGAAGAATGGGAGCTCGGCAGATACCTTTGCGCGTAGATCACTCTGAAGCTCCTTTAGGGTCTTATAGAGCGGAGGTATCATGATTTCTGTGAAGAATGGGAGCTCAGCAGATACCATTGCGCGGAGATTACTCTGGTACTCTTCGTAAGGAACTTCGGGATAGTCGTAGAACGGGAATTGTTGAGCGATTAGCCGTGTATTCCAAGGTGGTAATTCCTTTTTCGGAGGCTCGGGTACTACAACGTGGTTGGGCGTGGAGTCTACTTGAGGTTCGCAGGCCGCTTTTGGGGGAGTATATGATTCAATTCCCGGACACGGAGGCTGAGCTGTCGTTTCCGTCGATGTCGATGTGTTGTCGGGATGAGGCGAGAGAGTCACGGCAGGTTCTTTACGACTCGATGTTTCCAGAACGTTTTCGGTGGTTGTACACCCCTCGGAGTGTGTATCCGAGACGGTACTTTGAGGCGTAACAGATTTTGCGTCGTTTTGGAGTGATTCAACCACGACCTCTGTATCCGATGGTTCAAGTACGTCGGTCGGTGTCAAAGAGGTGGGCTGCCCAGCAGAGACCTCGTTTAGAGCTACAGGCGGTGCATATTTAGGGCTAGCCCGAATTGTCGTTTCAATTGGGGCCTGGAGGGGTTCGATCCTGACGGGGTCTTCAGAATCTGGTTGTTCAGGAGGTTCAGTGTTCGTTGGGGTTACTTCTTGGTTTGGTTTCGACTCTGCATTGGGCTCGGAGGAGCTTACAACTTGTCAAACTGTGAGCTCCTTGCCAAGATAAAAAGGCGAGGACCTACAATCTTCTTCCTCCGCAGAGATAGCACCCGGGTTAGGCGTGCGGTCGGGGTCTGCACTCCCGTCCCCTGATCCTGAATTCAAGGGGATTTGGTCTATTGAGGGGGAAGGTGTCGAATCTGCCGTCAAGATGTCAGCTTTGAGTCTTAGTTCAAGCACGCAACCGTACCTTGGTCCGAAGCATCACTACTCTTCTTGACTTCGTCCTTTCGCTCAGAGGAAACCTCTTGCTTATCTATCTCTGATAACCTGAGGTCTCCTTCAGTTGTCAATGCTGTAACTCGCCGACATGATGAGACGAAAGAACACACTGAGAAGAGTATGGAACGCACCCATGTTGTCAAGCTGGGGGACATTTTTCTGGACTTGCTCAGTGACCGAAGCTTGCGTTTCATCATTGCCTCCCGAGAGCAGAAGTAGCGGTGCCGTTTCCATGTATTCAGTACCTGGACGTAAATTACTGAAATAGGGGGAACCCAATTTGGCTGATGAATTGCCGTTTATAGACATTCGTAACTCATAAGGTGTCTCTGCGCTGCGCGAGGCATGATCTGAAGGGGAATCGCCTCGGGAAAGGCTGAGGCTTTCGTCGCTGGAGAAAGGGGTCATAACAGCGCGTACTTCAACTACCACCGGAAGTTAGTATGGCTTTGGGTAGAGCGGGAATGTCATACCTTCGACGATATTTTTGTCTTTCGTCGCATGAGGATTCCACGAAGCGTCGATATCAGAAAGTTCGGTGATCTGGAGATCTGATTCCATCATGGCGTCGACGATGTGGCAGTCGTCGCGCTGCTCACAACTTGGAGGCGGGGGAGTAGTAGTCACATCTGAATATGTCTGAGTTGGCGATCCGTGGTGTGTCGCATGGGTCTGACCAAGAGATAAGTCGACAGGGATCTCAGAGGTTACCATTCCAAAAGGTGATTCCGCCGAGCTACAGGCTAGGTAATTAGCCTTGTCTTCGTCGCTGCAAAGGGTATCCTCGTGCACGTTCAGTGACACGATGTCAGCCGAGGAGCCAGATGCGCTTGGTGTGGCTTCCGTCGAGTTGACGCTTGCGTCCTCGATCGGGTCTACAGACGCCTGCATGCCATTGCTATCTTCGTCGGAATCTAGGGGTAGTGGTATGTCACACGGGGAAACAGGGTGGTCTTGCGAGGATGGCTCAAGCGCTGCGTCCTCGGATGTGGTAGCCGGTCGAGGGTCACCCAGTGGCAGAAGCGAACTATCTGGGCCCATCGTGTTTAGCTCGTTGTTTGCATTCTCAGGAGTCTGACACTGTCGAGTGGCGTCTAAAGGTGAGTCACCTTCCACGAGGTTCGACGCAGGCGAAACGTCTTCGCTGAGTTTTCCAGTTGAGCTGATGGATGTCGAAGAGCCGTCGGCAATTGGATTTTGGGGCTCAGCATTGAGGACGGGAGGAGGACCCTCGATTGGCAAGTCAGGGGTAACTGATGGACTGCTATACTCGTTGGAACTGTCGTCAATTTCTGCTTTCGACGTGGCCGCGCTATCGTCGGTGGCTCTAACCAGTTCTTATATAGTGTAAATTATTTGAGGAGATTACCGCGTTATATCGTGAATTGGACATACCGCCACTCGTCTTATTATCATCATCCTTAGACGCGCACGTCTTGCACCTGCACTCATCAGGTCCTACGAGTTCCTTTGCTTCGTGGCTGCAACCATCGCACGGCTTGTTGAGAAATTCTTCTTCGCCCGAAGGTTTGCGAATCTTCAGTATCGGCCACGGATTTCGTACGCAGGGGCACTTGGGCTGAGGAGACCTAAGGGGATTGTCGAAATGCTTTCCGGTCGCCTTGATTTGTGTAGCACTCCAGATGTATGACGACGAGCTGTCGCGAAAAAAGGAGTCCAGCGAGTGTTCCCAATTACCGGACTGAAATGAATTTCCAAGGAAATCTTTGGGACAGATGCTAGGAGTGTCGTTTTGCCAGACTTGTTTGACTTCCCGGGGGGACATGATGGCGAGAGAGAAAGATAGATGGTATTCCTTCGCTTGGCCGACTATTTATAATTTCAAAGGGGCTGGCCACAACGACCACCTTTTATTCCGGGCCACAATCCAAACACGTTGAGCGGCCACAATATAGGAGAACTACCCCTAAAAGTACACGTGACTGTAATGCTCATTCGCGCCGTGACAAGGATCACGCAGCGTGACATCCTATTATTCACACTTCTCCTCGTCGTACTCGTCCATAATTGATTTGGGCACTTAAACCCATACGCTGCGCGTTTCATGTCAGGCAAAGTCATTGCGAAGGACATTCGGAACTTCTTTGGACCCCCCGGTGGCCAGAAGGCAAAGCAGAGGTCCAGCCAGGTGCGCTTCCTTTTCACGCGTCCCTTGTGGCGACTCTGAGTCAGTGAGCAGCCACAGGCAGGCAGTAGTCAGCGGAGCCTAAAGAACGACCCTATCGAAATAAGTACGTGTTGAATCTCGGGACCAGACGCGAGGCTGATGCTTTGGTGCAAGGCGATGATGAGAAGAGGTCTGCACCCGCTCCAAATCGTGTTGAATTACGCGCTAATTGCTCGCCCAGCCCTCCGAAGCCTCAACGTGCTCAGTGAGCCCCACCCTCGTTCCCAGATGCTCGCACACTGATTCCATATCGCATGCAGTCGCGTGTGTATCGTTTCATGACTCGATGTGACTCCGTACTGAAGAATGACGCGTGGGTATATCTAGACTGACGAAGGGTGAGTTTACTCCGTATCTGAAAGCTTGACATCAAGGGCTGAATGGCGGGTATGCATTGAAGCGGAAAGAGCAAGGCGACCAATGCACGAGGTCTTCTAAAGCCATCTGACCGGATGGATGAGGACGACATACAACTCAGAAGGGCTTCTGGAATGAAGCGACCTAAAGCCATCCTCTCCAGCGACGACGACGACGACGACGAAATAAAACCTCCACCGACGAAAAAGAAAGCGACCGCCCGCGCGCCACCCAAACCCACCACCGCGACGTCCAAGTCAAGCGACGATGACGACATAGTGAAACCGCCGCCGACAAAAAAGAAAGCGACCGCCCGTGCGCCAACGACATCCAGGCTAAGCGACGAGGAAGACGAGGAAGCGAAGCCACCGCCGACGAAAAAGAAAGCAGCACCCAAACCCCGGCAATCCATCGCCAAGTCGAAGGATACCGACGACTATGAAGATACTCCAGACGACAAGCTGGTTACGAAGAAGGCCGCTCCTCTTGCGAAACCGTCCAAAGCCACCACGAAAGCCCCTACGCAGCCCTCTACAAAGCAAGAAGACGCCGACGAGCCACCCAAGAAGAAACCGAACTGGTACGCAATGAAGGCAGCCAAACTCGCGGGTCCGAGTGCGCCGGGTTCGAAACAAGTTCCGGAGGCGGCGTCGGAGGATTGCCTGGCCGGCCTCTGCTTCGTGTTCACAGGAGAACTGAGCAGCTTTTCGCGGGATGAAGCGATCGAGATCGCGAAGCGTTTTGGCGGGTGAGATGGCTTTGTTATCTTTGAGTCGCGGGCTAACCTGGTGTTTCGTAGTCGCGTCGTCGGGCAGCCGTCTGGCAAGACGAACTACATCGTCCTTGGCGACAATGCTGGGCCATCGAAGCTAGCGGCCATCAAGAAGCACGGCCTGAAGTGTCTGTCCGAAGATGAATTCCTCGACTTGATCGCTACGAGAAAGGGACCGGGGAATGGCAAGGGATACGACGAGAAAACGAAGAAAAAGATGGAGAAGGAGCAGGCGGACATCAAGAAGGCTGCGAAGGAAATCGAGGCGAGGGAGAAGGAGGCGCAGAAGAGCGGGAGTAGCTCGACGTTCGGCTCAAGGTGCGCTCGTTCTACCCCTCTTCTTCAGGATCTCATCACAGCGCTTGAAGCTCAAACGCTCCGAACATTGAGAACCAACTCTGGACGACTCGTTATGCGCCGCAGACACTCAAGGAGATCTGTGGCAACAAAGGGCAAGTGGAGAAGCTCCAGCAGTGGCTGACGGACTGGTTCGTCCTGTTGCTCCGTTTCTATTGGCGATGCTGATTTCGGTGGGTCAGGCCCGCAAGTCTGAAGTCAGGCTTCAAGAAGCCTGGTAAGAATGGCATGAACATTTTCCGCGCGGTGTTGATAACGGGTCCACCGGGCATCGGTAAGACGACAAGTGCCCATCTCTGCGCGAAGCTTGCTGGGTTCACGCCGATCGAGCTGAATGCCAGCGACGCGCGGAGCAAGAAACTGGTGGAGGTGCGTACCACTCACGCGACGCCGCGGCAGTCTTGTTTACCTGCAATTGTCGTAGAATGGAATGAACATCAACAACAAGTCGCTGGATGGATACCTCGCCAACAGCGTCGACGGTCACAGCGTGAGTCTGCGCGTGCCACCTTGCTGACAGACGCCTAACACAAGAATAGGCGACTAACTCGGCTGGTGTTGCGATCACTGATCGGTCCTGCTTGATTATGGATGAGGTGGACGGGATGTCTGCAGGCGACCGCGGTGGCGTTGGCGCCATGAACGCGTTGATCAAGAAGACCAAGATTCCCATCATCTGCATCGCGAATGATAAGGGTGCGCAAAAGTTGAAGCCCCTCCAGCATACTACTTTTAGCCTCTCGTTCCGAAAGTCGGTGACTAATCCCCCTCTTCGCGCGACTGCATACTGACGATATCTGCCAGACCCGATGCGGCGGCTGTACGGTCTAGAATACTTACCATTGCCTACAAGTTGGTCTCCGTCTTTTTTCCTCGATAGTATATGTCTGACCCACGATTATCACAGGGAGAAGATGAAGGTTCCCGCCAACGTCGTAGACCAGCTCGTGCAAGGCGCACAATCTGATATCCGTCAAGTGATAAACATGCTCTCGACATGGAAACGATCGAGCGACACAATGGACTTTGACGAGGGGAAATCTATGTGTGTTTGGTTTCCTTTTGCCTTGAAACCGCTGGACATGTCTATACAGGGTGAAGATGAACGAGAAATATGCGATACTGACACCGTTCGATGTCACGCAGAAGATGCTGGGCCCGTATCTGTTCTCGCATACCGCTCGCGAAACCCTCGGAGACAAGATGGAGCTCTACTTCCACGATCATTCGTTTACCCCGCTGTTTATTCAGGTATTGCTTCGCGGTGCTTTGTTTACGCGTCGTTTCCTAACCCCACCATCTACCCAGGAAAACTACCTTAAGACGCAGCCAGCCAGGATCCGCAGCCTACAAGGCCCCGAGCAGATACTGAAGCATCTGGACCTGATGGACCGCGCGGCATCGTCGATATCTGATGGGGATCTGGTCGATGCTCTGATACACGGGTAAGCTGCTTCCTTTCATGCCTGCACAAGGGCGTTTCTGATGTCGCGGTTTGTGCATAGACCCGAGCAGCACTGGTCCCTGATGCCTCTGCACGCCGTATGCTCTGCTGTTCGACCCGCCTCTTTCTTGTACGGACAAGGAGCTGGTTACGGTGGCCCTAACGCCATGTCCTTCCCTCAGTACGCAGCCTTCTTGTTGATGGTCGCGAATGTTTATGAAGACGCACTGCAGATGGCTCGGACAGAACTCCAAGCAGAATAAGCTGAACCGCCAGCTGACAGATGTCCAAGTCCGCATGCGGCTAAAGGTCTCGGGAGATAAGTCTGAAATTAGACAGTCGTATCTCCCAGCTCTATTCCCCCACATTGTCGGGCCACTCATTGACGATGGATCAGTAAGTTCAGGGATTTCGCTGAAGGAATATATTGCTCACGTTTGGTTTAACTTAAGGCGGCGGTGGACGAAGTCATTGAGCGAATGGACGAATACTATCTGTCTAAGGAGGACTGGGATACCGTCGTTGAGCTCGGCGTCGATCAAAACAAGGACGAGCTTGTCTTGAAAAAGATCCCTGCGGCAACGAAGACTGCTTTCACTAGGAAGTACGTCGCCTCCCACCTGTTATCAAAGGTTGTCTTCATGATCTTTGTAGATATAATGCGGCCGAGCATCCGATACCGTTCCACAAAGCCTTTGACCTTGGAAAAGTTCCCAAGAAGCTTGCTGCATCTGGACCAGCGCCTGACATTGAAGATGCTTTCGATGTATGTACCCTGCCAAGGCGTTCCTCATCGTTGTCTTACCTCGTTGCGTTTAGCTCGACGACGAAGTCGCAGAAGCCTCTGATGACGACAAGGAAGATAAGTCAGCGGATGATATCACTAAAGACAAACTAGTGAAGGTCGCGAAAAAGAAGAAAAGCGCTCCAGCCAACGGTGGAGGGAAGGGTAGAGGCAAAAAGGCCGCCTCATGATTCGTCGTTGATGACTATCTACGCACTTATTTACTCCATGGACACCTTGTTTAAACATCACAGAGATACCTTATATTGCAGTCAACTTTCTTGATTGTTCCAATGGAAGCAAGTACACGCTTGAAGGCTTCGTTGTGACGATCACATAAGTCGGGTGCGATGTGTGACCATGTTTGACTCCACAGGATCGTTCTTTGCGTAACACCATGGCGATGACTTTTGGTTGGAAGAGCGAAGAAGAAGACACCAAAATGAAGATTGAGGAGGTAGACACAAAACCAATTCTCAAGTCATCGACATCACCGACTCCTAGACTTCCCAAAACCGAAGACAACGATGTCAAACTCACGTTCGTTAAAGCGGAATCGGAGGAGGCAGCCAAGGTAGAAAAGGCAGAGCCTGCGGACATTGTAATATGGGTCGTCGAAGTCGAATAATGTCCACTTGCTAAACGCGTGTCTTTTAGGAGATGTTGTCTGTATGTGAAGACTCGGAGGAAGAAAGGATGTTCGGGGCCAAAGCCGCAAAACCGACGCCGCATGTTGACGAACCATTCCAACGAAACGCGACGGCTGGACCTTCGTGCCCGGACAATGCTCAGAGCACCACTCGGACCGAGCAGGATCGTACACCTCTGGTTCATCGTCCGGACAAGCTCAATAAAAGGCTCGTCTTTGAGGCGGTTCAAGTGCCGACCCTCGAAGACGTGTTGAAGTCATACCGTGTTCAGGCCAAACTTCCCGACCACCGAGAGGAGGTTAAAGAAGTGAAAAAGGTACGCAACTCCGCTTTGCAGTCTACTCATGCTTGACCAGCGGTTTCCAGGCGAAAGTCAAGAAGAACAACATGGAATGGAATCTCGATACGGTTACGCGAAGGCTCGACGCCATAGGGCACGACCTATACCCGATCGATCTACCCGACGATATCAAGCAAGCATGTTTTTCTCGTAACTTCCTGTGCAATCTATACGGTGGAAACATACGTAAAACCTTCCCGTTCGACAACAAAGACGACGATGACCTCGTTCGCGGGGTCCCAAAGAACGAATTCATGTACCCGAACTTAAACTATAATCCCCATCTTCCGTTGATTCCCGGAGCACCTGGGCTGTACTCACAGGCTAATTACCCGGCCGGTGCGGGCCCGTGGCCTAGGATACAGAGGGTTATGGTGAGAGTCAGGGTTGGGGTGTGGCAGTATATGGGGCATTATGAACTTATACCGACCACTTCACTGACCAGGGACGAGTGGAAGGAGCAGGACGTTATTGTAAGTGATTTACTTTGTCTGATGTTTATCCTCAAGCTGGTCCGCTGAATATGCCTTCCGATCCTACATTCTATCTCGTAGGTGCGGAGGACCTGGGCACGGAAGATCTTTGATAAAGGATGGGGACGCCCATTGCGTGCCAGCATCACTCTCCGTAAACGACTCGGCAGGGAGCCTACTCACAAAGAACAGCAGGAAGCTCTCGCGACCGACAAAACATTTCAAAGTGATATCACTGCAGCAGATATAGCTGCAGCATTTGATCGTGGCGAGCAGGTACGTCTTTCCTTTCTTCTGCCCTACTTCAACCACGATAGTCATTTTGGGTCTGATGATGGTCATTCATGCTTGTACAGGCTCTGTCGATGTGGTGTATGAAATGTGTCGGGTACGACACCGAATTTCAGCGGTTCCTCGTGGCTCGTTCTGCCACGACAACTATTCCGAATGCCAGGCGAGACCTCTGAGTGGTTTTTATGGATCTTCACAACAGTAAGCGCCAAATAAATTTTCAAGGGATGTAATTTCACTTGCTCCCCAGGGAAGAGGCTGTATCGTTTTACGCTCACTTGATTCTGGCTTCCAGCGTATACGCGCAACCTGCTCATCCAGCCGGATAACTAATTGCGGCACCGGAGTCTAGATCCATGTTAACTCTTAGCTACGACCTCATCGATCTCGGTAGGGGTGAGATTGACTACTCTTCTGGAGTATGACTACGCGGCCAGCGTTGACTTCATTTACACCGACTACTGAGTCAGCACCGACCTTGCATTATCATTCGCTCTTGCTATGTCTTTCTTGGTCGCTCTTTGTACACCGGTACATCATAAGCTTAGATTGTGGTCGTCACGACGCACGTACACATATACGGAACAACAACACAAATACTTTCAATATTTAAGACTTATTTTTTGCTAAAGGCTTTGCGCTACACATAGCACCTGTAGCATTGCAGTGCCGTCAGGAGATACGGTTAACAGGTGGGGATTAACACTCACTTGTCCGGCACGTATGTCGCAATTAGCAGCGATGTTGGGATTGTTCGCTTCCAAGGTAGGTACAGTGATACCAGCCTCGTCTGCAATTGAGGTGCACGTATCACCGGCCGCGACGACGTGAACATCGTTGCAGTCCAAGCATACCCGTTGTAGGCAAATTACCTATGTTATGTGGATGTCAACAGATGAACGCCAGTGAAAGTTGACATACTTGCCTGACCCGGAAAGATATTCGTGCAATTTTCGTTGATGGTGCAGGAATTGGACGCCGCCAACTGAAAGCTGGGCATAGGTCAGTACTCAAGCGGCTGGCATACATGAATGGGAATCGTGTTACGAGGAGACGCCCTGGTCCGCAGCGATGGCATCGCAAGTATCCCCTGGCCGCACGGTGTACGTCCGTGCACATGGGATCTCAGTTTGAGCAACAGTGCCCACTGCGAAGATATGTCAGAGGAGACGTAGATGTTTGCAAGATGCCCACCTGCGACGACGACGAGGAATGCAAGGCGAAGGATAGCAGAGGACATTGCGTAGAGAGGCTCTTGTTAGAAGCTGGGGTTTACCAAGGCGAACGAACCTGCTTTTATACCAGAAAAGTCCCCGAGCAGAGTTAACAGAAGCTGCCGAGCAAGTACCGAATGACTGGAGCATCGCAAAAATAAACCATCGAGGCAGGTCACATTCGTCGTGCAGAGCACATTGTCCGAAAACCGAATCATAACCAATAATTAGATTGGAGGTAGGAACAGGCACTTTACAACCAAAAATAGGGACAGAACACTAGAAATAGCACAATCTCTTCAGAGTGATGCTGTCCATTCCGTCACTAGCCGTGCTTCTCGGTACAGCAGTATACAGCCAGTCACGAACACTGCTGAAGTCCAACGTGAACGCAGACGCTGCATCATAGGTTCATCATTGAGAAGATCAGAAAATGTTATGGAGTGCGTACCTTCTGACCATAGTGTACGCATGTCGCCCCAAGAGACGAGTGGTTCCATACACACGTGTGTCTGTGTCGTACGCGCTATGATCGAAGCAGTAGGGTAGTAGGGGAGCGGTAGGCAAATGTCTACGACCAAGCGCTTTGAATACCTAGAGAACGTCTCGACCAAGTTGCAACCTAAAATATCATAATGTCAACTTCTATACGTAGAGGCCAATTTACGAGTGGGCGAACCGGAAGCAACAACTCCTCAGGGACCCTCCCCAAGTTACATCAGCGTTGATGGCGTCGGGCGTCGGTCACGGATCACGTCAATGAGCGTACATGCCGGGGATACGAAATAATCACCGCGGGCGGGCATTCAAGTTGAAGCGCTGGATCTTGAGTGAGCCCCGTACTCTTTTTACCAGGATCAGTACGTCGAAGGTCAAGGTCGTTCCTGGGTGGTTCCTTGAGGAGGTCATCGGTCTGGGGTTACATCAACTTGAAGGAGGTGCTCCAACGTGTTCGCAGTTGCCAGTGACTGCCGGACTCGAATACTGGCGCAGAACCCAGACCCAGACGTTCTCGGTTCATATATTGACTAATATTTGCGATATGCATGTACGGCGACCACCGCGACGATGCATGAGGGACGGTGGTGTGTTGAAGAGTCAACCCACACCCACAAGTATCCTGTGACTGAGAAGATGCATTTGATGTTTACTTCTTTGAGGGTGAGTCCATCGCAAGGGGAGAAGATACTGGAACAGCGTTGTGTTCGGATCCTTGATGCGAGGCCCAGCGAAATACCGATCACTGCAATCGCAACTTAGGTGAGGGACCCGTAGTTTGGAATAGTCCCACGATAAGACTCATTTTCCCACAGTCAGTGGGTATCACTTCGTTCTGGATCACGAACAACTTCTCACTCCGGGATGGGATATGCAGCTTTTATCAGACCCTCGGCGGCACATTCAAGCTGATTGGGTTGCAGACGTATCAAGCACCAACCTTCCAGATGACTTCATGTGGCTTCAACATTTTCAAGCAGGTGTATCTGCATGCATATTTACGCTTCCCTTTGGCGATCATAGACGCCGCAGAATCTGCAAGTCAAAGTTCAGAACATCCTTTGATCGCGAACGCGTTCTGGATGATCATGAGTGAGGAGGTACGCCCATCCATAGCAAGGAGACGTAGGATTGACGTTACGAGCCAAGTGCCTGCTGTTGTGTTGTATCGGCCGTCGTAGATGAAATCCTTGGGCAGCGGATTAGGGCGGTCCCTTTGAATGTCAACCTAGCTGTAATGAAGATAAAAAATGTGAGTATACGACACGTCGCACGACGAACAATGTTTTTCTCTACTCTCGAAGACAGCTCCCGATGAGCAGCCAACCGGTCACAACACATCGGTGTTTACCGTTTAAGCTAAAGCTCCAACCTCCAACCTTTAAGTCGTATGCACGAGCACGAATCCCGACGATCGGCCTACCGACGACCAAGTTCTCTCGGGATATCGGAGAGTAAGTCGAAGTCTTTACTCGAAAGACTCCAGCGCCAACGAATCTTGACATCGTGCTCGCGAAGCGGCGTCCGGGCCAGGAAGTCAACATGGAAGTGCACGCGCCCAGCAAGTGGGAAAGGATCCGGCTGGTACGTGCTCCAGTCATTCTCACTCGACACCCCATCTTGACTCTCCTTCCAATTGCTATGTCGTATCTTCTGCTTCCATATCAAAATATATTCAACTCAACCCACGAAAGCCGGTTCCTCTCCAACACGCAAAAATTCTGAAAGTGTTAGCGTGATTCGCATCCATCCTTGTGAGACTGTGCAACCGGCAGTGCTAGGTCATGATGCGGAAATGAAAATGAGATGTGCATTCCATCATAATTTCTGATTTATTGACAAAATACTAACTAATTTCTTATGTGCGCCACACGATAAGGTTGCGAACGTCGGCTGCTCTCTACAACTTCGTCGTACAAGTCGTGCAACGGTGCCAAGCGGTGCCATCAATAAGTGCTTAAGCGCTGGAGTGGCCCACGATAGGCGCTTCATGTTACTGACGACAGTGTTGTGGCACACTGGCAACCCTTCGTCTAATGATGCCCTTTCCGGTGACAAGGGTTGTGTGTCGAGGATTCGGGCAATCAACGACGTCCCTGCACTTCCTCATTGCGCTGTGGCAACAACGTCAACATCGTCAAGGAACTACACAACAATGCCCGGATTGGGTTTTCTTATACGAGCGCCTCATTAGTACTTGTACTCGAAGGTATAAAACAGCTGAGATGATGCGTATCACCCCACTCCACCATAAATCTAACCCCACTCCTACGGAATCTTCTACAGCGAACACCATTCAGAATTACCCCCTTTTTTAACCCTCATATCGAATATAGATATAAATGAGTGACGAAAAAGATACTGGCCTCAGTGAGTCGCTTCTTGCTCTGGCCATACCTGACAAGACGTAACTCCCTATCTAGATACACCACCTCCGTTGACGAAACAATGGCATATCATCGAACTTCCATCAGGAGGGACGCCTGAGACGGCCCGATTTCCTGAAGAGACTCCATACACTGAGCAGGATGATGTTCTTATGGAATGTGATGAAGGCGATCAAGAAGCCCTTACTTCCTTCCAATACGCCGACCGCGGTGAAAGTTCCGACGGTAACTTCAGTCCTTTGGCATCCCCAGGTTTGTCGGGACTTCCGGATATTTCCTGTACGTCCAGCATACTTCCCCCACGTTGACCGCGGCCTCTAACTCCATACCCAGCGCAACTATCCTCTATTTTTCCCGACGAGTCACCGGCGGCTTCTCAAGAAGTAGACTCGGCCAACTTTCTTGGATTTCTGCCGACGCCTTCAAAGAGCGGAACGGACAGTCATGGAACTGACATCCAGGGAACCGAATCGAACGCTAGTCTTTTTGCGAGAGATAGCTGTGGTGCCGACGATGTAATGTCTCACTGAGCTACGCCACATGGAGCCCGTTCCCCCATCTCCCCGATTTCACCTGTAGCATTAATGTTTAATGTATCCATTGACCGTCTGTATAAATATGTTGGTGCCTTGAATTTTTCAGCATCACTGATGTGTCCCACAACGGGCTTAGAGCCTCCAACATGTAACCGCATTTACTCGTACTCGCTAATGATTCCTCGCTGAGCTACACAAACGGTTTACACGGTATTTACATATTTACAGAGAATATACAGAGAATACAGAGAATGCCTGCGCTATCTTACGGCCTTGTTCGTCGCCTAGATTTGGAAGTCGCTACGCTGCGCCCTCGGGCGGCACCTCTTTGTTGATCTAGAACGGCTTCGTCAGGCTTCCGCTTCTCCCCTCGGATGTTGGGAGACGAGATTTCCTCCTGATGAGTAGAACTCGGGGACGGAGTTGGGGCACTGCTGATACTTCCCGAAGACGGAGTGGAGACCGAGTCGAGAAGAGTGGCGGCTGCCGTAGATGTATCGGCCACTATATATTCCCTGAGGAGCGTGTCTAAATCGTCGGATTCAGCGACCGTGATGGTTGGGTGCATCGAGGGATCCTGGCCGAGTGAGCTATCTTGGGCGTTTAGCCCGAGGGAATCGAGCAGAGACGAAATATTGGATTGTAGTGTGGCAACATCTGATTCGATATCGTTTGTAGCCTTCCAGTTAAACAAAAGCCGTCGAGTGTCCACGCTCGCCGGAACGATCGAATCATTGGAGACGGCGGAAGATAAGGTTGATATGCTCGGGGACACGTATCCATTGAGTGAGTCATAATTAGGGACGATTGGTGCAAGCTGCTGGTCCGACGGTGTCGAATTGGAAGCGAGGCTGTGTGCTTGTGTAGGTAAGGCCAAAGCCTGTAGCTGACTCGGAGGTTGGAGCATCCTCTGGAACGCGCTGAACATGGCGTCCGCATGGGTCACTGTCTGTACTTGGTCAAGGCTCCTGGACAAGATAGCATCGCTAGACGAGTCTTCGCGAGTGCTATTGACTGCGTCTACCGTGGGCGTAGTCGGATCCGGGGACAGCAGCGGTGGGAACGCTAAAGGGCTGAGGAGGTTGGGAGTATTTGTAGACAATGCCGATGAACTCGACTCCGAGGGTGCAGCGGAAGGGGGCCCGGGTACATGCCCTTGAACGAAGGTGTTGATATGCTCGATTCGTCCTGCGTGTCACAGCTTTCAGTTTGTCTATTTTGGCAGACACGTAGGGCAACTGACCTTTGTGGGTGGCCGCTGAACCACTCAAATCGCTAGAATAGTCCACAAGCGACCCAGTGCTTTGGATTTCGTCATCAGCCATATCCACGCCTTCTTTATCACCTATCATCAGGCGAAGAGTCTGAGACGACATCGGAGTAGACAGAGCTTGGTCGCTATCGGCACCAGCGGAACTACCAACCGGTGTTCGTTGGCCGAACGCACCGGCCAGAAAACGAACAATGCGATTGATAGTATCTTGCTGCTTCTCCACACGCACTCGCGAGGCACTAGCCTCCTGCCAAAGGACTTGGTTAGACTGCTTGAGTTCCGTAAGCTCGGCAGAAATGGCGGCCTGATGACGCTCAATGCCGGCCACCTCGTCGACGATGGAGTGTAGTTGCACGACTGCCGACTGGTCCCCTTTGACTTGTTCATGTCTATCAACCGAATCAACCGCTTCACCGGTGGATGCACCGTGCTTTCTCCGTTGAATGAGGCATAAGAGGTCTGGCTGGCCTCGTCGAAAGCACGGATGCTCAAAGCTCCAGATCTTCGGGTCAATGGGGCTTTGAAGAGTTCCTTGCTGGAGGTGAGATACTTTGCGGAAGCCATACATATTCAGTTGGCGGACGAAAGAGTTGAAATTCTGGTGCTTGAACCACCGACCAAGAAGCTCGTTTGCGAATCGTTCGTGGTCCACAACTACATCGCAAGGTAAGACCGATATAGCGCGAAAGGATGGACACTTACCCATGAGGATGTCTCCTCTGTCGGACCAGCGTATCAGATCGGCGTTCGATTTATCGGTAATAATTCTTGGAAAAATAACCAAGGTCACAAAGAGAGCATGAATGGACAAATGTTGCAGCTGACTCGTAGAGCTTCTGTAGGAAAGCTGGAACGAGCTGTTGCGTGGTTTTGGGAAGAGATATAGACCCGCGATGAGCTTTCGCAAGAGCGAGCTGAGGCTTTGGCGCCATGGATGTGGCTCCTGGAACTAGAGTGAGATTTATCTGTGTATATACAAGAACGATGACCACAGAAGTATGGCTTATAACTCACAACTAATTCAGTGAGGGAGGATGTGCGTGGGTGTGTGTTGGGAAGAGGATGGAAGTTGACGGCTTGCGAAATTTATGGTTGTTTGTATCACGGCAAACCACGAAGCTAAGTTGGAAAGCCATGTTTTACTTTCGTACCTCCACGTAAGTTGAGCCCTGATATCAAAGCACTTCGGGTACCGTGGATTCATGTAGTGTCAAGGCTGGTATGAGTCAACCCGCAACGCAGGTAGGCTACGTTCAGCCACACACCCACAGTCTGCATCCACACGGTCCTATGGTCAGAGAGTGTTTCCCCGCCTACGCGTAAGCTCTTCAATATGGTTTCACCTATGGGGGACAGGGAGAGCGCACTCTGTTGAGGAGTCTACCTGCCGTCCATGATATTTGCGTCTTCAACCAAACAGGGCAGCAGACATCGACGACATGCCGGGAATGTGGACCGATCACTAACAAGGAAGTAAGTTATGGGAACAAATTGTCGGGGAAGATGCAGAAGCACATCGTATGGGGGCCACCATTGACGGGGATCATTCCTCCAAGCTCGTAATTCGGACCGAAAGAAAACTGGCCTTCGGGGTGCCCGACAGAAGACACCACTGCTCATTCGTCGACGAAACTCTGAAGCTAGACTACTCGTAGAGCAGGAAGTAGGCAGTGTTCCGCCGTGCACGGGGGTCAAAACTCTGTCTAGTGCCTCGGCTGAATACACCGTTGCCCAAGTTAAGTTAGAAAGGACGGCCGTCTGTGGGTACGAACGTGATGTGGCATTCGTGTGAGGGCTTTCGCCAATGGCTCGACCAGTTTGTCGGAATGAACACAATCAGCCATGAGCTAAATAACATAGGTAAGCTGTTGTATCCTGCAACACGGATCAGGTCACCATATATATGTGGGGCGTTGTTGGGAACATGAGCTCCGAACGAACAATGAAGAAATTTCTGGAAACCAAGTTGCGACGTGTCCAAGGACGCGGAGAGATGAATGAAGTCGTGGTTTTTCTCCAGCAATTGCGTAGCCAGGCTTGAGGCTAACAAACTCAACGAATATTCTGGAGTAACATTCGAACCAGTCAAGAAGTTGAACGCTGTTTCTAGAAAGTTCAGTGCTCAGTAACCATTTTTATCGTGAGTAAAAATATCTTACCGTGAGAGAAATCTCAAACAGCCAATCCTCCTCACCCAGCAGTGTGGCTAGTTTTCCAAGCCATTATTGCCGTGATCTCGCAGTGAGTATCGTACCTACCATAGTGGACCGGACCTACTAACTACTCACAGGATAACTTCACACTCATGTATCGATACTCCAATATGAGAAATCTATATATCCATGCCTCAGAAGCCATGGTCCGCGGATGTTCAGAGCAACAAATCACTCAGAGCGTGATCAAATTTGTACTCAGTTTTGAATATTTGCCACTGAGGCCAACGATAGAAGACAAGAAATAGCATCTGGGGATGTTGCGCAATCCACGCGGTTATTGGTGCGATAAGCAACTTGCTCCCACCTAATCCTGGGTTCTCGATCACACGTTACCTGGCCGTATGTTGAGGCGGAGGTCGGTCTGAGCCTATAACAATCAACTTTCTGACTGACGGTCCCCTCGGCACACCCGCTTGGAATGGAGCACGCGAGCTCATATCCTCTTCGGTTGTGGCTTCGTCTCTCAAAGGGGTAGAATGTGACGCCGTTTTCGCCCCACTAGTCCATATTCTCATGTGGAAAACCACTTATCTACTAGGTATGCGTCGAGGAGCCTTTGGTGACGCTATCTCGCTTCCTCCGTGGTTTTTGTCTCAATAATGACTGAGGAAAAGCAGAAACACTCCGTCGACGGTGTCGGTGATGTCGCAGATTTTTTGAAGCAGCATTCAACGAAGTCAGTCGTCGACACCAATTCCATTGGTATCGATAGCGATGAAGCCTCGATATTGGTTGGGGAGACCATCGCGAGGGCAGAAGACGTGGCCATAAAGGTATAGATATCCTAATCTTTGAAGCTTTTTCAGTGGAATTCATCTGCCTTAGGTCATCTCAACTCAAGACGATCCTTCGCTGCCAGTCTTAACATTCCGCGCTCTGTTTCTGGGCGCAGGGCTTAGTGCCTTCTCGTCGGTAAGTCGAGCTCGTAGCAATGAGCATCACTCTAATCAAGGCTTGTAGGTATTAGGCACTATCTACACCTTCAAACCGCAGAATGCGACAGTTTCTCAGTTGTTTTGCCTCATCATCGCATATGTCCTTGGGACTGCTATGGCTTGTACGTTCTGCCAACACCCCTTTAGGATGTGACTGCATACTGATTTGCGTAGCTATAATCCCTCGCGCTGGGTACTTTCGGTGGCTAAACCCAGGCCCTTTTAACGTGAAGTAAGTCCCAACACACTCTCGTATGGCGCTCCCGACCTCATCAGCCGACAGGGAGCATGCGTTTATCGTAATAATGTCGTCCACCGCATCAAGTGTTGCAATCGGAATGGAAATAATTGCAGCTTTAGGTACGTCAACCCGGATTATGCTCCTACCCTGTCATTGAATGCAGATTAGACCTGTTCTACGACCTTCGGCTCAATGCAGCTGTCGCCCTCTTCCAGATATTTGCTACCCAAATGCTCGGCTATGGCATTGCTGGCATGCGTTCGCATCTGCATTCTTCTCATTCGTTTGCTGTATTCATCTTGTAATTCAGTCCGCAGCTTCTTGGTATATCCAACATAGTGAGTCCACCGAATTTCTTCATCGCCAACAGCCTGATCAATGATCCATAGTGCATTCTACCCGACATACATTTCTGTTGTCAGCCTACTCCAGAGCCTGCACTTCCGTAGTTCTCTGAACGAAAAACGACGGTTTGGTCCATTCCATGTTTAGTCAGTACGAAACTGAACCAGTTTTCTTACAGCAAATTCTTTTGGATCGTCGTACGTTTTCTCGACTTGGTTCGTTCGTTCGTTTTGACGGCGCTCTTCAGTTCGCAGGCATCTTCTGCTGGGAGTGGGTTCCTCAATACCCTTTCCCTTTATTGACTGCAATCTCTGTCATTTGCCTCGCCGATAATGGTCGCCACGAGTTTGTACGTAATCTGTTTGGCGCAGGATCCAGCAACGAAGGGATTGGGTTGTTTTCGTTCAGTACTTCGTGGACACTGATTACGCAAGGCAACCCACTTGTGTGGCCTCTTCAGACACGTACGTTACAGTTGCTACTCGTCTATGTCTTCTGAATATATGTTCGTCAAATCAGAGGTCAACTCTTATAGTACGTCTCCCCTATCACCTCCCCTAAATTGCTGACCACTTGATTGCAGTCGGATTGGCCCTCGGGTATCTTATCCTTACTGCATGCTACTACTCTAACGTCTTCAACGGACGCGACCTTGCATTTATGTCGACATCTCTTTTCGGTGGAGACGGCCAAATCTACAACCAATCCGCCGTCATTGGTTCGGACTACAAACTCAACCGCGCCGCCTTGGAGGTTATTGGCCTTCCGCGATACACCACAACCTACGCTATCTCGCAACTGTGCTACAACGTCTCACTTGGCTCTGCGGTTACGTATATACTACTTTGGCATTGGAAAGAATTGCGTGCTGGCAAGTCATCCAGGATTCAGTAATTCCGCACTGTGATGAGTTTTGTTTTGTAGCTTTCGGTGGCATGCGTTTCTTGCGTCAATCTCACGACGAAATCGACGATCCTCACTATCAAGGTCCGTCTACTGCATGGTATCCTGTCAACGTAGCTCACCTCAACGTCAGAGATGCGAAAATATCGTGAGTAGTTCAAACTCGAAAGCGATATCGAGCTCAGTAAGATATGTAGCTGAGGTTCCGCAATGGGTATATGGGTCTCTGTTTCTGCTTTCGTTGGGCGTTGGCATTGGCTGCAGCTACGCCAGTGGAACTGTGCTTATGCCCGCATGGAGCATCTTGATATTCACAGGTACGCTGCACACGTTCGCCCTTTAATGATGATATTGATGGTATGACGATATTGATTCTAAATGGCACTCAGTCTTCAGCATACTCATGGCAATCATATTGGGCTTCAGTAAGGGTTGGCTCAGTCAAATTCCTACTTACAAACTGATCATATCGATAGTCAGCGCTACGACCGGTATGCCCGACCTTGAAGTCCATGAATTACGTGTTTACTTCCGTTTAGGCTTTAGTATCTCCGTCAAATACGTTGTTCAAATTATGGCTGCGTTTATTCATCCTGGCCAACCGATGTGAGCGCCTCGCATGCCTCCCTACTGTTGCTAATGGCGTCGAAAGCCCTGTCATGTATTCCAACCTCTTTGGCAATAGCACTTCGTTCCAAACTCTGTACATGCTCCAAGGTGATATTGTTGACGTGGTGGCATGACCTCACACTCTCACCTCGGGATGCACAGACCTGAAGCTGGGACAATATATCAAATTACCCCCACGTATGACCTTCGTGGCGCAGATAGTAAGCACATTAGAAAGTTCATTGTCCCGCAATATCTAACCGGATCAGGCTGGATCCATCGTGGGGTCCATATTCAACTACACAAGTGCGTATCCCATCGTTTCTCGTCATATAGATGACAAGGACTTATTGCTGGCGTGGGTAGTGATGAAGGTGATTGTATCGAACAATCGCGAAGTTCTCAAAGATCCTATAGGAACGCGGGTGGTATGGGTTCCGATATCCCGCGTCGACATGCTGATTCATTAAACACGTAGTGGAGTGGTTGGATCATTCAAGGGTACAACTCAGCCTCCATTGCTATGGGCGCTCTCGGCAAGGAACTCTTCTCTTTAGGGAAGCCGGCGGGATATTGGATCATTCCGTTCGGAATGTAAGTCCTTTTCCATTCTCCGTGGCGTGTCTCATTTCGGCTTTAGCATCATTGGGTTGTTCGCGCCGCTACCGTTCTGGGGCGTATGGAAACTTTCTCGACCAGGGAGTCGATTGTCAATGACTATGGAGTACATCAATGTTCCTATCGTGGCGCTATACATCGGCTGGTGTGTATTCAATCTCTCCATTTATCCGCGGTTCCGAATGAATTGCCGTAATATGTAGGCTTCCATACTCCGTCAATGGGCAATGGTGGTCGTGCGTCGTCATTGGATTTGTGTCCCAATGGTGGCTGCGGACACGGAAACCCAGGTGGTTCATCAAGGTATGTCAGGAGTATATCTGGAGTCTACATGGTGGTGTTAACTTGCGCAGTACAACTACTTGCTTTCCGCAGCTTTAGACGGTGGCTCTCAAGTGATCTTGTTCATTCTCAGCTTCGCCGTATTTGGCGCAGGCGGTAGGGCTGTTGCGTTCCCATCCTGGTGGGGAAACCCTGAGAATCTCTCCGTCGATCGCTGTAAATCTACGTAGGGCAACATTGATGTGGAGTCTCTCCTGCTCCAACCCACTCCTTATACATACCAAGGATGTAAGAATGCTTTGGCATTTTGTTGCCCATCGACGGGAATGTTTATCCTGCTTAAGCATGTTCAACGACCAATGTGCTTTTGTCACTTACCCCTAAGTCGAACGGAACCTTTTTGGACCCTTTCCCACATACGATCAACCGCCTCTTGAAGGCGCCCCGCCCGACCGCCCGACGTTAGCTGACGCTGCGATAGCGCAGATCCTCCTCAAATGGCAAGTTGCACCCAGTTCGAGAACTTTTAATTGTCTTTCCGGCCAGAAGTATGGTCCCTTTCCTCGATACAGCTTACCCTTTTTGTTGATGCTGACACGGAGGCCTTAAGCTCAGCGCTACGCTTATTGTCTTTTTGTCTCGCAAACCCGCAATAGCGCAGCCCCTGGCTCTTATTGTGATTAGTCGACAATGTTGCTTCCAGAATTCCCAGCCCTCTCTTCGGTGTTCATATAAGCACGCTCAATGCGTCGACCAAGTTCATTGCAGCTCGTACAGCAGTAGCTCGTCCTAATCATCGTCCCCTGGTCGTACGCTGGTCGCCTCTTCGCTTATTTACTTCCCTATATTCATCAAGTGCTGCCGTCTTTCTTCGTTCCAATGGACAGCCGGAGTAACGCATCGTCGCACGGGGAAAGGAGAGTGATGCCAAAGGTACGAGGCAAAGATGTACTTGAGTGAATTGTCGGCTGAATCGTTCGACAGCAACAACTCGCCCTTGACAATCGCCTACCCCCGATCGCGAACACAAGTGTTCAAGTTGCTCGACCTCGATTACCATCAATACATCAGCTTCCCCTGCAGTCCCATGGCCGCCTTCAGAACGTCTCGAACGTCCCTCATGCTGCAGTTCCACTGCATGCCGTCCTTGACACTGCTTTCAAGCGGTCGACGGAGCGCATGCAGGCTGAACTGGTGCAGTTTCGGTCCATTTGTTCCCGGGCCCTACACAAGGAGCAACAGGACAAGGAGACGCTTCGCCAGCAGTGCATGACACTGATGCGAGAGAGGGATGTGGCCCGCGAGAAGGTTCGGACCCTCATGGGACAAAAAGGAGGCGATATGCTCCTTGACATCGATCCCCATTCTCCCGTCAGTCCCGGCGCTGTCCTTCCCATTTCGCCCACTTCAATCCAATCGGACGCCCAAGGCAACGATATGATGTACTCGTATCCACCTCCCACCGAGGCTACTCCATCTGATCGAAAGCGGAAATCTGGGATACGCAGCGCCAGCGCTGACCCCATCCTTTACGCGCCCACTCATGAAGGCGATCGTGAACTCCCCGCTAGCCCTCTCAACCCCCAATCAGCCCACGACAACGCGTATCAGAAACGCCGGCGGACGTCAGAATCCCCTTCTCCCCCACGATTTGATCCAGTGCAGGTCACTGTCTCCCATGTTGATCTGATGTATATGCCTGCGAATGGGCGGTTGGTCTGCCGTGCGTGCATGTAAGTTTCGTCTCGATACCTCGTCACCTCCTGATGCCGATGTTGATCTGAATTACTCATAGACTTCGGAACCAAAAGGAGCACACTAAGCCATCATCAGACCCATCACGGACGCTCCTCGTTCCCAAATCATTCTCGCCCAAAGCTTCCTGGGACGAATTGAAACGACACTGCGTCGACGAACACCCCTCCGAGTGTGCGGACCTAGCTAGTCTAGGCCCGAATGATGTCCTTGAACTGCGCAGACGATTGTCCGCACCCATTCCTCCTCTTTAGAACGCATGTCTATACCCTTCCTTTTCCCCACACGTCCCCAAAGCTTCGGACCTTATCACGACTTGCGAGGTTGATCCTCGCTCGACGAAATAACGCACGTGTACGAATTGTACGAATTGTTCATGTAACTTATCAGTATATCTGTCTGTCTTCGCATTTTGCATCTTTGCATTTTTTTTGTTTGGGTTTCTTGGCTGTATCCATAGGTTTTTGTTCTTAATATGTTGTAATTTTCCTGTACGATGTGTAACAGAGTTATCTTGAGTAGATGACAGTTTGTACGGTCGGTACGTTCTTTGGCAACGAAACTGTATCTGGACATCTGAATACGAATCCGTGAGAAGGAAGCTTTTTGACTCAAAGAGGCAAAGCGCCGGTCAAATGCGAAATCGATGTTCTTGAACCCTGCGACATGTCAAAAATTGAAGTATTGTCAAGAGAAGCTTGGGCTCAGCGTTAACCCCCCCTGGTTCCTTCCTTCCTCTTTCCTTGTCGCCCCCATCGCCTTCGTTCGCTTTTACAGCACTCCGTTTCGTTTTCGAGGTATTCGTTCGGTGGTTGCTCGAGGAAGTACATAGTTATTTCGATACCCCGACGAAGGGACTCGTTGCCCGGACCTATACCACTTCAAGCAAAACCGACACTAGTACTCCTTCAAACAAATGTCGACAATCACTGGTTTCAGGCTTACCTCCGCGATCATCACATTTACCTGCTCCCTCCTCTCAGCCATCGGCTCAGGTCTCATCCTTCTATGTTATCTCGCGCTGCCGTTGAAGAAGCACTTCAGGCATGTCCTGATCCTCAATTTAGCCGTCGCTGGTACGTTTACCTTCCCCTTTTATCAGTTTTATACGGGTGTACGGGTATTGATCCTCAATCGTAGATTTCATCAACTCGGTGAACAATTCGGCGTCGGGGGCGCAAATCCTGATGCATCGCAAAGATCTTTCGCCGGGGCCAGGATGCGTGCTTAATGGCTTTGTCGGGCAGTTGACTGTACAAGTGAGTCTTCCGCTGTTCTGCTGCATCACAAACATCCTAAACGGTGCGCACCGCTAGGCGACCGACACAGCTATATTCGCGATTGCGGTAGTCACAGTCATGACGATCACATCGACATCCTCCTCTTCACGCCTAATCTCAGGTGAATGGGCCTGGCCGCAGATCCTAGGCGCGACACTATCAATCTGGTTCCTCCCTGCGATCACAAGCTTTTTGGCTCTGGGGAAGGAGTGGTATGTACCTGTGTCGGGTAATTGGTGAGTCTGGTTTGTGTTTATGCTGTGTTGTTAATCTCGGTGTCATGATGAACAGGTGTTGGTTGGTTAACAAGCCGACATACCTTCGTTACGTGCTCACGCACGGGTGGAGGTACCTATTTATGCTCCTCGAGGTACGTGCAAACCCACAACTGGATTGCTCTCTCGTGTAATGACGCTCGCTTTGTAGATCATACTATATACATATCTGGTAACACCTAAATAAACGTATGCCCGACTCGTTAACTAACTCAATCGCATGAACTTTAGCACTTCTACCTGCGGCGCCACTTCCGCAATCTTGCAGTCCCGCTGACCTCGAACCCCCCTGCTTCGAACGATACATACCAGTCGGGCGCGACAGCGACTACTCAAGGCACTCAAGGCACCAACAACACACAAGCTACGAACAATACGCGCTCCACCGCGAAATCGCGGGGCGCGTTTTCCTTTAGCAGGCGCACGGCGCAAACGCCTATCCTCGAGCCGATCACGTTCAGCAGGAACCCAGATGATGATACGCGGACGAGCTACACGCAGTCGCAGTCTCACGCGCATGAGAGGAGGCTGAGTTCGCCGTCAACTATGGAGGAGCCAAGGTACTATAGGAGGCCAAGAGGGGAGAGCGTGTCTGTTGCTGTGCGGACGAGTGGTGTAGATCACCCATTGAAGGAGGATGAAGACGAGGAGGACGAGGATAGAAGAGGAGAGAGTGGCATGCATGCCGCGGACAGCAATAGGACGTCGATTGCGATGTCGCGGCCTAGTAGCAGCTTCCACCATCCCACATCCCCATATCCCGGATATCCTCACGATTACCCGCGTCCCAGTACACCTACAGCGACGCGTATCCATTATGGCCTCGTGCCAATCGTGCCAATCGTGCCTATCGCCTCAACGTCCGAACCCCCGTCGCCTATAACGCCGTCTCACGACGGCTTGTCTGTCTCTACACACATGCACATGCAAGATGGCGAGATGGATAAAGGTGCAACAAAAGTGGATGTGGAAGCGACAGAGGACGAACGTCCGCCTACATATACGATATCCACGCACCCCGTTATTGGCGGCGAAGACGACGAGAAGACCCCGCACATCCACTCGCATACCCATCCACCCTCAAAACACTCCCTCACCTCCTTCAGCTTCAAACAAATAGCCCGCAGGCGGCGGCGCCCCCCACCCAACCCCCCACCTATCCTCCCCAACCCGCGTCAGCGGGCTATCCAGCGCATCCTCCTCCTCAACGCCTACCCCCTTCTGTACATCCTCCTCTGGATCCCCGGGCTTGCAAATAGGCTGGTGGAGGCAAGCGGGCATACGAGTAAAGTCTCGCAGATTCTGCAGGCGAGCACACAGCTGGTGGGGCTGGCGAATGCGGTCACATACGGGTGGAATGAGAGGATTGGGCGGCAGTTAAGGGAGAGGTACTTTAGGTGGAGAAGTGGGGAACGGGAGCCAGCTAGTGATGGTTTGTAGTCTCTTTGACCGTGAGGTGCGTGTCCCGTCCTCGTGTTGTTCATTTGGTGTCGTATGTCCCGTCGCATCTTTATTTACCATACTTGTTGTCACTATCTATATATCCGTTTATAACATAACTTAGTATTGTCATCCTTCGCTGTGCATATTCACGACCCCATCCCATGTATTCCATAGGTTACTCCAAAGCTCGATCTACGGATCTTCGTACATATTTCGTTTACTTTTCATAGTCACGAGGATAAATTCATTGACCAAGCATTGACAATGAATCGCGTGGCCGCTATACATTCTCCCCCCGTGGTAACAACTTTCGATATTACGAGCATGTATGCCCTTCGTCTTCTCGTCCGATGATCGAAGCGTACGGCAACGAGACGTCCAGTGATCCGTGTAATTTTGTGGAAAAACGAATCGCCATATCCCATCCACCGACATTGTTCTTGTTTTTTGTTTAAGCTTCACTCTTCTCGAGACTCTCCGTCACTTCTCTCCGTCAATTTTGGTATTCAATTACCCTCGCCGATATCTAATTTTGACGAAGCTCCGACTATACATTGATATTGATGGCCACCGGTCACCGGTTACTGGCTACCCACCAATACTTACTCAAGTACACACGTCCATATGGCCATGCGGGAGAAGCCTGAAACATCGCAATTTTTAGCGCAAGTCATAGATAGACCCGCATCGGCCTTAAGGTATGTTCGAACTGGTCACTGCATACTAGCACTTCGAACCTAGAAGAATCGAGCCCGAGGGGAAAGGCGGTGCACTCGCCAATTCGTGTATGTCTCTCCTTCATCATGATCTCCAATCTCATCATCATCATCATAATCAGTAGTACCACGTCAATACTGGATTAATTGTGCGTTCAGCTTCCCGCCTTCTCCATTGACCGCCGCAGCGTAATGTAAGTTTGTGTTTATATCTAGTTTTTACCCTCACGCTAACTACTGGTGACTAGTGGATCCGAGAACCCAGGAGTCCAACGAGCTGCGAGTCCGACGAAATCTAAGACCCTCCGGGCTTGCCCCTCGTGATCCTCAAGCTCTTTGATCTTTGATCCTCATTTGATGCGATCCTGATCTGTGATATTGTCGACAGTCGGGGCAAAGAGAGTCTACCTTCCAGTTTCATGGCCAATCCGACTCAAGAGTCTCCGTTTATTGGACTCTCGCCTGTTGAGGGTTCGAGGGGTCCCCGATGTCCATGTACCCAAGGCTCAAGCCCTCCGAGTCAATGCCACATACCCAATATCATAGTATTATCTCGATTGAGTATAGCACTCTTCCTTGCACTCCGTGTACGCTGTGCCGGAGCTTATGGGGTTCGCATCTATTTTTCGAGAGTTTCAACAGCCTTTCGAGCCACGTTAATTATTAGCAGCGATCCTCAGCTCGAATCTAATAGTAAACGGATCCTCCATCACCATCAGCTGTGTCCGGAGGCGTTAACACCGTACCAATGTAACACTGGGTACGAGCTTAAGTATTTACTACAAGCTCTTACGTTGAGTTCAGTCAACTTATGGTCGGGTCGATTTCCAATCGTCAATCGTCAATTGTATATATATATATACTGTCAGTAATCGTAGAGATAAAGTTATATAAACGTTATGAACGGCCAAGAATGAAGAATATGTAATGGTATGGATACAGTTGCGTGGCGAGTGTTCTGAATACGAATAAATAGATAACTTAAAATGCAGCTTTCATAAGCTGTTCACCCGAATAACGGTATTAAGACGTGAAGAGGTCGTGTTGTGGCGCAAGAGGAGGAACAGTTCGGGAGGGGTGAAAAGTTGGTGTGGTGGATTGGAGACGGGAGGCGAATCAAGTAATCTATCGTTTACGGTTTGCGAAGCGAGTCCATGTGTGCACGGATTTTGCGGGCTGTTCGCGCGGTCTTCACAAGACCCTGCGTCGCTCTCGGACGCCAGTTATCCGGGAGCTGCTCATTCAGGAAGAACCTCTTCAAGAAGTCCAGCGAAACCTCGTTCGAGTCTCCGAAGATGCCGAGCACCAGTGCCATCTCGCCCCTCGCAATCTCCGCATGCAGCGCATCTAGCGTGACATTCGCGTTCTTGTACTCCGGCGACGACTCTCTGCGGACGCGCGCGCGCGCGACGTCCTCGATGGAGAGGGTGCGCTGGTCGGAGGAGTCCGCGAAGAGCTTGTTAAGGAGGCACACGTCGGCGGTGACGTGGAGACGCGGGTACTCGTGGTCCCATGGTATGTCGTTGTGCGCGAGCGAGCAGTTGTGTTCGACGCCGTTCACGCGGCTGATGTCCAACAGCGACAGCGGCGGCACTTGGCGCAGGAGCGTGTACCCTCCGAATGTGAGCAGCGTCGCGAGGGGGTAGGAGAGCCCGAAACCGTCGATGAGGCCATGGAAAAGCTGGGAGTGCGTGATGTGGCGGCCGTCATGGGGGCTATATGGTGTGTGTGTTAGATATACGATACTTGTGGCGGGAAGGAAGGCACGTACAGATAGCCGTGGTTTGCCAGGGCGTTGAGTGCTGGACAGGGGGAACGATCGTCGTCGGTCGTTGGCGGAACATATGGATGCTGGACGCTTGCGATTAGCGGTGCCTGAGGTGCGAATGATTTAACACTGTCAATGATCGGGACGTCAGTAAATACACTAGATACGCGTCAAAGTACGCGGATACTGACGTCGTCAAGACTCCTAGGAGAATCGCCACGACTACGAACTTGGCCGAGCGAGTGAACATCTTGCTTTTGTTGACTGGAAGTACTTCGGGGGAGGAGGAGAGAGACAGCCTAGAAGAAGAGAGTAGAGGGGGGAGAGAAAAGAGAAGACGAGACGGCTCTAAGGAGGACTCGGACTCGGGTAGATTGCTGAGGAAGCGAAAGTAAAGTGAAGCATACGGCTACTTTCAATGTCGGTTATATAGACTTCACTGGTAGCCAAGGTTCCCATCCCGTCAATTCCCCCGATGGGCACATGGATCGTTGATGGAAAAGTCATTTGCGGACACAGCTTTGATCAGGGCTCGGGTGTGTGGGTCGGTTTTAACTCCGTGAGCGCGCTGAGCGCTGCCTCTGAGAACCAAGACAGATTATCATCAACACCACATGTTTGAAACACTTGAATACTTCGTCTCAAGTCAAACTTGCGATTTCTTGCTCATTGCACAGCGTCTTTGTCCCTTGGGGATCGTAGTTTATAATTGAGGCAGACTTGGATATCGGATGATGGAATGCAATTTGGGGCTTGCAGGCAAGCGAAGAATCGCTATGGGAGTTTCGTTCGCGTTATCTCTGTGCTCTGCCTTGTACCAGACGACGATCAATTGTGATAATCAGGAAGCAGATACCAGTGACCGACGACAATCACCCACAATTCCATGTATTGGACTGATTCGAAGAACACCATCGCCCATACCTTCGATTCCCATCACCCATACTTTCGCTTCGCTATCATCAATCCATTCGCCCACCTATGTTTTGTCCATATCTGATTGAAGATATGACAAAGATATGAAGCCCAAGCCTAGCGCCGGGAACAGCGCCTTCAGGCCCGTGGTGTATCCCTGCGACACACACCTGCTTGCTCCCTGCGACAAGGATGTTTTCTCCAGGAACAGAATGTGAAACGTCCCGTACGCGGCTTGCGGCCAGTAATTTACCGGGGAAGCAGGCGCTCCGAGCGATAGTAGTATTTGTATCTGTTAGTATACAAGGTTATTGGCTTGTCGCCTCACTCCGTCATCAAGATGTTCGCAATGATATTCGCAACATGTTCGTCGCGTCCCAACTCAAGGGTGAGTACCTTGTTACTGAATCTGATCATGATCGTTGATGCGGTATAGATTCCTCGGTTCCTAGCTGGTCTGTGTAGCAAAATTCGAGTCAACAAGACCTCAGCCATTTCTTGGCGGCATGGCACAACGGCCGCTCATAACTGCCCTGCTCATCGACCTATCTGGCACAATACACGTCGGATCCCAGCCGACACCGGGCGCTGTCGAAGCCATTGCCAAGCTGAGGGACCATGGCGTGCCGTTTCGCTTCTGCAGCAACACGAGCAAAGAGTCTACAGCGGCTGCGAAATGGAGGTTAACGCAGATGGGGATTGAGGTGAGGGATGGCAGTACTCAAGAGCTATGGACGAGCATCGGTGCTGTGAAGCGGTACCTGCAGTCACTGGGAGTCAGACTGTGAGTGGTATGTACATTGTTTCGATGGTGATGCTCATTATCATGTAGACCATTTCTACTATTATCGGAGTCGGCCAAGGAAGAGATCGGGACCTTGCCTGGACATGACAACGCAGGCAGCTACGATGCAGTTGTCGTGGGACTGGCTCCCAACGACTTTGACTACGATCATATGAACACTGCGTTCCGGATCCTAACGGGCGAGCACTCCTCTCGATCACCACTACCATCGTCATCAGACGGCAACAGCCTCTTTGTCCCGTTGATAGCAACACATCGAGCGAAATACCTAGAATCTGCGTCGCCTCCCGGTCTCTCGCTCGGCCCAGGGCCGTTCGTCGCGGCGCTCGAGTACGCGGCGGGCGTGCAGGCGCACGTTGTAGGGAAGCCAACGAAGGAGTTCTTCGGTGCGGTGATTGGCAGTTTGCCACAGGAGGTACGTGAGGCGGAGGGGAGGATCGCGATTGTCGGCGACGATGTCGAGGCAGACCTTGGGGGCGGGGCGATTGAGTTGGGGCTTTGGAGAGTCTTGGGTGTGTACGAGATTCTTTTCCTCGCTCTCCCTTCCCGCTGACAAGTATGTCCATTAGTGAGGACAGGCAAATATCGTCCGGGAGACGAGGACAGGCCTGGCGTTGCTCCTCCCGATGAAGTGTACGATTCTCTGGCTGAATTCGTGGATACGTTACTCGCAAGTCCAAGTTAACATGCAATGCGTGGCAACAGGAATTAGTGGGCCTTCTTATGATCTACATTACGGTGTAGTCTCTTTCTTTGCATCTATATATATATGATAGACTTAGAACTTAGACGCCCCAATGACATAGCTTCATCTACGCGCTGTCCGTTGCGACTTGGGCACGAATGGGTCAATGCCACAGTATTGCAGGTGCTTATTCGTTGATGCCCGCAGCGATGGTAACGACGGTGAGGGGGATGGCAACCTTCTATCTGGCTATGCTGCAGTTGTCTCGGACTCGGCAAGACTCGCGTCTGACTACTTCAATCCTCGACTACCATCATCTCGCATATCGCATATCGCATCCGGACAGACAGTGAGATCTGAGAGCTCGCGCTCCGGATCCTCGCTGCGGATCAGTGTCACGTGTGGTCGGCGTTATGAATGTGACAACAAGCGTGACAACGCACCAACAACGCACCAACAACACAACAGTATTGGCGGACAATGCATTCACATTCCAGAACACACTTACTCTTAATGTGTGACGGCGAAACATATCCTACGTGTTGGCTGAGCACGGTTTGCCAACGCGGCTCGCCTTCCGAGCGACTCATTCGAACATTCGAAACATACGGAAGAGTTCTTTCAACTGTTGTCGAATCTCGAGAAGTCAGCGTGTCTACGAGTGTGGGTTTCGAAGCGGCCGATGCCGAATCTGCGACAATTATTAGTATGGCCGAAGCCGAAGCCGAAGCCGACGCTGAAGCCGAGGCCAAAAGGATGATCATGATGATCGTAGTTCGTAGTGGGCGATGATTTTGAGGAAAATCTTAGAAGGTGGGCGATTTGGCTGGGGGTTTAGAGCGTCTTTGGTCAAGGGTGAGTTCTTACCTTCCCCTCTCCCTCCCCTTCTCTCTCGCTGAAGAGTATTTTCAGCGAGAATCGGCAATGGCCATCCTAGACTCAAAGTCACTCCCTGTGGTGTTCAATCTTCGGAGGTAGCGTCCTCCTGTATCTGCAAACAGCCTGTCCAATCTAGACAGCAGCGAAGATGGATAAGTCCGTGTAGCTTCCGCTCCATATCATACTAACGAGGTCTCGCCGGACGCGTTGCGACCCGGCTAAGTGGATATCGATGCACCGAAAGCGCTCAGCGAATGACGAAGATAGCAACTCTACATACTTGAGGTTGTGACACTGTCGTTGTCGGAATGCCTTCTCGGCATTTCGACTGTCGCCATCTCGCGTCTAAACATTACACGCCGGATATCCATGGGGGCGCCGTCGCCATCGTACCCGCGGATCAGTGGTCGATGACTACGGTATCATCGCAGTAACGACCCATCAAGGACGCCAGTGCCTGATAACTACTTGAAATGCTGTCAAGGCATGGGCACTTTGTGCCTACCCCACCTACGCGCTTGACCCTCGAGCGACAACTGCGTACGCAAAACCGAGGCCGGACGCACCGGGACTCAGCATAGCCCTCGCAGCAACTCCCCGTTGGGGATTGTTCGTCGAGGCACGAAGGCATATGGAGCGCCGCAGCTCAAGGACATGGTGGGTGGTGGTTTCGAGGTGGGGTAAGCGAGATGTTTGTTTCGTTCTCATTGTCCCTTTTCGCTGAGGAAGGAGTATATGTATTTTTAGCGGCTCTCGGGCCGACGATTACAAGCTAGAGCACGGAGTCCTTTTCTCTGTTGAGATTCACGACTCGGTACTCTACTTCAAAGATAACCCGCCTCCAACAAGTGTGGACGGGAGTTTCTCAATCCCCGAGAAACCCCTTCTTCGGTCCTGCTACGCTTCTCGTTTCTTCCTCCTCTGTGCCGGCCGTAGAGTTGTGTCCCCCGATGAGTTCGTTTCGACGAGCTTGGCAAGGGAATCCGAGAGAGGATAACACGTTACGAAGATACGGCGACGGCGGCGACCACGCTCCGTATATACTGACTTCCAGCCTTTGACTACCATCTTCTAGACAGTACGTTTCCGGTCCTCTCGGGCGCGCATCATTAGGCATCGTCGTCGTCGTCATCCTATGGATCATGACTGCTACTGTGGTAGTAAGAGCGACGGCACATCAAGTACGTAAGTGTCCGCACCCAGTGGTAGAGACGTGCAGCCAGTGCAAGACGCAGGCTCGGCCGTGTCCTCAAAACATATCAAGCCGGTCTTCAGCCGAAGCAATGGCCCCAGAAACTTTACCATCAGGCGCCAGGTTCGTTGGAGCTGAAAGGGGGTCGGTCGTTATGGGTGGTGGTCTGCGGTGGTACCGCGGTAGACCTTGCGACGAGGGGGTTGGGGCTGGGCCTTTGAGAGCCTGGGTGTCGGCCGTATTCGCTTTCCCTGACCCTTTCGCTGAGCTGTGGGGTATATTTAGTGATAACCGGGAAGGAGCTGCCGGAGACAAACACAAGCACGACTCAAGGCGCGCAACGCGAATGGGAGTGCCCAACCGAAGTACAGTATCCTCTTCCACAATTCGGTGTATTCTTGAACTCATACTGACTCGTCACTGAGATCACTGAGATGACCCCATATTCTTTCGTCGCGACTTCCAGGCAAGAAAGGATCGACGCATTTCGGGCCGAGCACTTGTTCTCCTACAGAATCATGGGACGTGTTCACCTCTCCTTGTTCTCTACTGCCAAAGAATATATTTAGCGAGTGCCGGCGTTTCGCCCCGAAGACGGGCATGAGCTGCGAATGGGATACAATTGAATGAAGGATCTCCTCACCTTCTATGATCCTCAACTCAGTGCAGTTTCCTCTTCTCTGTGATAGACTTAGATTCACCAATGAAATCGCCTCATTCACTTCTCCGTGTCTTTGTATCTTTGTAGTTGCCTATTCCTCCAGGTTGCCCGTCCGCGAACCATCGATGATCCATGTGACGGCGCTTAGGCTGTCCACCATTGCACCCGGTCGTGTGAGACCCTTTCTGTTTGTGTATTTCAAGGCGGCGTTTATCTGTCACATTTCAATGTGCATGCAATGTCTCCCTGTCTGCCTGAGAAAGGCATCAGCAAAAGCGCGAAGAAAATCCGGATGCGAACCGGCGGCGATGGGATATCGATACGGACGACTAAGCTGCTGCATACGCATGCAGCTCTCCTCGCCCGCATCGCATGCGGTGATAGTCTTCCCACACTCATGCCATACATTGACTATCCACCAGAATCGCGCGCCACACGGTCTGATCTCTACGCGTGATGCATATCTCTTGCCGTGCCTTCGACAGTCATTTTGGTTGGTCGCGCTGTCATTACGTGATACCATGTTCTATCAAACATTATCAAGGCAGGCGATGCGCGCGTCTTATTTCGGTACATGTAGCAAAGTTGTAGGTGCATTAAGCATAACTCCTCGGCGGTGATACTATGACGATTGCAGTAAGAGACAAACGGATAACTCTGCCTAGGCCTTGAGTCACCTGTACCTGTTATCTGCAACCATGGGTCGAGCATGGGGCGGCCGCCTTGCGCTCAATATCAAGGTTCAATCAAAATTCACAAATGGAATTCCCGGACCTTCTTGAAAACGCCACAGCATGAGACAAAGCAAGTTGAGACTGGAGATTCATGGCCAAGATTATTTGAAAGTAGTATTGAGTTCTCACTGATATTCAAATCAGAAATATGATGTAAGTCGTTGGCCAAACAACTGCTGTTTGGCGATTCAGAGCCCATGCGTGCGCGCCCACTCGGGGGTGTCGGAGGGAACCAGGATGTACTGGGATTAAAAATTAAAAATCCCTTACACCTTCCTTCCTTCCTTGATCAACGGCGTTTCCCAGTTTCACAGCAATAGATTCTGGCGCAGCTGGCCGCTGACTTCGAATTTCGAAAATGGTCTTCACTCCACAGGCTGAGTACTGGCTGAGTCTTAACTAGGAACCTTGACCGTGAGTCGGCGGTTCTGGCGCCTTCTCAAGTGCCATCACGTCCAAGAGTCAACCCAAGAAGAAGACAATGGGCCTCGCCTTGGCTAGTAGTCCATCACCCATCCACACGACAGACAGACAGACAAGACATAGAAGAGCACGAGAGCGCTGGCTTGGTCGGTGGTTCAATGCGTGCGCGTCATTTCTGAACTCTTCGTCGCAATTTTCCGACAACTTGTTTGCGCGCACCGTATGTATACCTCGGAAGTCCCCGCAGACTGGGAGGCGAGTATGGAGCGATCAGATAGTTGATGAATCAATGAACTTCGTAGTGATGAAGGAATCACCCTCGAACGATGACCGTGGACCGATGATATGTCATTGAATGTGTAGATGGACAGATGATCTGAAGAGTTAGTCTCTTTGATTCTATCCTAGTCTGATCGCGTCTCTTCGATCCTCGCATAATATGATGATTTCTGTTTCTGTTTCTGTTTCTGTTCTATTTTTCGTTTTCTGTTGGTCAAACAGCTCCATCGTTCTTCCCCACTTCGCTTACAGGTGGGTGGCTCATTTTTTACGCGGCGGACACCGTGTGTTTCCAGATTTTTGGCGTGCTCCGTGCGATGTCCGTGCGATGATTCCCGCGATGATTGCTCGTCGATAGGAATTTGCACCAACGAAGCCCCACGATTCCCGCCATCACTCGTACCTCCTGCTCCTCTTCTACCCACCCACCAGCTCCGGTGCTGCATGAGAAAGCGCCTCCACGCCGAGGAGCGTTTTTCAGTCTCGGATCGAATAAATATAGAGAGAACACCTCGGAGCGGACGAGGTTGACAAACCCCACCGCTTCGCAGCAAAAAGAACAACAGTACGACAGGTCCTATTCTACAACTAGCCCCGCCGCCACTACCAGTGCCCACCGACCGACCGACGCGCCCTCCGCGTAATCGCACAATCAGTGCGTGATTGAATTGCAAAGTATACGAGTATACGAGTGAGTCAGTTCATCAATTGGTTAATTAATTGGTTTCTGATCTACTGGATGGAGGCTAGCATCAATCACTTATCCAGTCTCATTTGATGCACCATCATCGCTCCTTTTTCGTCGTTCCTACTTGGGTGTGTGAGCGGGTGAGCCGAGTTTGTCTTTTCGCAAGTATCCCCTTTGCAAGTATAACAGATTTCTGAGCTAGGAAGTAAATAACTCCAGGTGAAACGGACGAACGCGCTGGGTGAAAACAAACGGTTCATCAGAGAGATTTTGGCATAGCCCTATGGCCAGTCCAGCACCGCCAACAGCTGTATCCCCTTTTCTTCTGCCGATGCGAAGGTTGAGTCGGTCATTTGTCGTGTTCATGGTTACCTGGAAAGACAATTGGCCAACACAAGGAAAGCTGAACCAATCTGGCCTCGCTCCTGCAACGAGAGTTTCATAGATTTGTCGATCTGCGGCCTCACCGCCGAAGCCGCAGCAACGCAGTCCGTCACAAGATACGCATTCTTTGTCTTCTCCATCCGTCTTATAGCCTCCATTGTCTATCCACCCTACGGCCAAGTCGACTTTGATACTTTCTCAAGAAAAGAAGCATACGCTTGCGCTTCCGCTGACGTCAACCCAATTCAATCCACCGCTTCGAATCGTCGAGAACACAAGTAACAGCACACCGCCGCAAGGAGTGACGAGATATGTTAAATTTCCGGTGGGTGTTCTTGCTTGGTAATCTAGTACGTTACGTCTGATTACCTTCCTTCCAGGAGTTCACCGTCACAACTCTATCTTGTTGCATCGAACAGCTGACCAGTAGCCGTCATTGCCACCCCTCGATGAGTCTCGCCACTTTCTTCGACCCAGTTAGTATTGGTTGTTGAGATCGTGGAGTCTCACTTGCCACCGATGGAAATCCACGTTCCCAACTGCAAGGGATCGCTGCAGCCATGCACGACATCGTGACGAGAATATTACTCCATTTATCCCGCCGGTCAAACCTGCAACCGAAACGCTGCACGCATCGTGTGTACCACACCCATCGACGCATGCGGTTCACACAGGCAGCATCCCTTTCCGAACTCAGCCGAACATGCCGTTCGCCTGCTTTGTTCGGCGTTGGCTGTTTGTGCGGTGCGAAAATCATGTAACGATATCCCAATGGACATGCGGGTATCTTAATGAACAGCGGCGTGCTATTCTTATACCAAACTCGCCACTTGGTCGAAGACGCGAAGACTGGCAGGTCCGTGTACATCGATGTTCTAGATATGCCTGAGTCAGCACAGGTGGCCAACCCGTGTTACCGGGAGCTGAGACGTTGTAGTCTTTAGGCAGTGCATTGTGTACGAGTTCTTTGAAGTCACAGTGATTCGATATCGTCGGGGTGTATTTGTGCTGCTTGTGTGTCCATACATCCCAGTGTAGCGGAGATTTCTGCCATTCAAGCTCTATCAGGGTGGCGGATATTAACGGTCTAGTATTTGTCTAGCTCACTCTTTCCGCCGGCTGCAAACGGCATCCTTCGCTGCGAGGAAGATCTGCCTTCTTATGGTACTTTTGTCTCGTCCCCCGACAGGAGCCATATGTTTTCCTGGAGTCGCCGTTCTATCAAGTATCCTGACGTTGTTCTCTCCGATCTTCTCGTATAACAGGCGGTACCCTTTGAAGGCAGCCCAGAGAGCGCGGGGCTTATCGGTCGGTGGGGTTCTCAGTAAAAATGGAAGCACTCGGTCAGTTCTTCATGCGTAGCAGCTTCCTTCAGAATCAGCTTACTGAGCTTCAAGTGCTTCCGAAGTGAGTGACTAAGTAATAATCACGTCTAGAGAACTGCCCTATTGACACATCGCCCTAGGTTACCATAAGCTACTCGCTTCAGGCTCAGGCTCTCAGCGTATATCTGCCATCAGCTACCCCTCCATGTATGGTACATGTCCGATTTAAGCGCCACACTATTACTGATTTTCATTGCCCATAATTGACACATATTGATATCACCTTGATGACTCGTGATGCTGGTTTTGTGGAGAAGTGATCTGAGGTTGTCCGTAAGCATCATGTATGTAACATTGTTCCCAAGTAGGGTGAGGTGTATCTCCTCACACGCGAATATTCATTGCGATCTCCTAAGATGGGGATGGCGACCCGTGCCCGTGGCGGTCCGGATGCATACCTGGTAAAATGGATCAAGCAGGCCATTCTGGAGGTGTATCGGACTGCGGATCTACCAGGATAAGGAGTTCTCTGGCGGATGGCCAGCTACATCGTGGCCCTCCCCGCTGGTTCGCCCGCGGGCGATGCACGCTTCGAGCGTCTTCGAGCGTATACGAAACGCAGCACCTCCAGCCCGGGTGATATCGCTTTAATGACTTGGCTCGCTTAACCTTTGCTCAGAGATTCTACTACTAATTGAAGGCTAACGCTGGAGTATACACAAGCTCCAGAGAACGCCGGTCCGTGGAAGTTGTGGGGATCCATCGCACCACGAGATTGAGTGAGCGGCAATGGGAGTGTGCATCGTGTCAGTAAGCTACTGCGATTAGCACGAGAGACTCCCGGGGTTATTGACACCCAGGTTGTATCCTAAACGTAAGAGTCCGATGTCCATGGTCGCCTCGAAAACTTGAAGGCCTTTAGAACGTGTTCTGACTGGGTTCTGACGCTCACTCTCGCGGATTCCTCACGACAAGGACGCTATAGGAGACTAGTCAAGACACCGACGAGCGAGGTCATCGGAAATTCGCAATGCGCGCATGGGCGATTTTCGGTAGTAAGAGGCGAGTTCCAAGTACCATGGGGAATTGTACCCAGAGTTGGCAATCACCTAGAAGATCGTCAGGGGAGAAACTGATTAATTGCCATCGGCCATTATTTATTCACCGAGTATCAGTGATCTCCATTGAAACCATGATGTTACGTTACGTTCGATGGGAATATGGGAGTGATGTCTGAAATAAGAATCGCAGAGCGATCTGGATTGTAATGATTTGGACGAATGCTCTATCGAGCAATGTCAGTATATCATGGCCATGGGAAATGCGTCCATTTCGATAACCCAGTTCCGTACTTGGTGTATGAGTGGTACCAGGTACGAGGGGAGTGGGACACTGTCCACAGCATCGGCGCGGAGTTATCATGGAGGCACGGGTTGAGACTCCGATTGGATCCACTGTTTGGTTCCCACGTGCCTTCCTCTTGCTTGCAATCCTCAACGAACCTCTGCCTCGAGGTCGCCTGGCCTCGGATGCTAAGGGCCTTACCCTGGCTTACCGCCTCGGCCAAGCTAGCGTAAACTCTAAAATGCTTCGTCCAACTGAAAATCCCGGTGCAGAAGAGCATGATCGTTTGGGGAAGTGCAGGCAGGATATATCCATCGATTGTCGCCGTTCTGTTATCGCGGTGGGTCAAATTCTCTCACACAAATCGTGGATACCCAAGGACTAACAGATCCATATGTCTTAATTGATGCAGTTTCCCACAGAAAACGAAGGATAGACGTCCTTATATTGCAGTGGCGTTATTGCGAGTTGTTTGATTTGCGTGGACGCCATCATAAATGGAAAGCGTGGACCTTTCTAGACAGAACGTGGCGACGATGCCTCGGCGAGATGGCTCTTTCCAGCTGTCCAAGGAGGTCGTTCTCCCCGACCGTGGAAGCGAGCTGCCTTAATGATCCCAAATCACTGATGCTGTGAACTGGTTTGAGTTGTAGTTGCAGGCAAGCCAGCTTTATGATTTCAGGCCGGTGACTTAAGTATTCTGAAGGATGAGGTTCCACTATATAATAACTTCGTCAGTTCACCTCTGCACTCATCCGATCACCCCGCTTCCACTACTGCTACTCGCTCGACTATGCTTGACGATCCAACGAACATCAGACTCCCCAGCATCAGCGAGTGGATGCCTGGCAAGTACCCCCCCTCCTTGTACTCTATGTCATATCTTCTCATGGCGTGTGTCTACAGAAGAGCCATTGGGTACACGCACAAAGGCCTACTATACAGCACAGGCGCAGGTCACCCAGATACGAAACAGACATTCACCACAACTCCCCGACGCCCGCATCCCTCCCTTGAGGGCAAGAGCGGACTCCTCGACTTCGTCGGGAGGGCCGCCCTCGAGGAGCTCGCCCACCAATGCGCAGCGGCCGCTGTCCCCCGCCTATAATAATAGCCATGAGTGTCGTACGGCCCGATCCCAGGGAGAGCATCACAACCCCACCACACGCTTTCTACCTCCGCACCAACAAGTTAGGGTTGCAGGTGTAGACCACGACGCAATGGACGTAGACGCCCCTCGCGGCGCTCGGCGGCCCGCCAGGGGAAGCGCTCCTTCTTACAGCATTCTCCAACCCGATCCGCACAGTGGCAAGCTGGAGAACATCGCATCCAATTCTTCATACGGCAGAGGAAGCCGGTCTCCAACTTCCCCGACTCGTAGTGGCATGGTGAATGGCTTCGATCCTATTTTCAGGGTGCCCCCTTTGCACAAGGTGGGCCCACAAGCGGAACGCCCACAACAAGGTTCAGGCAGTGGATCGCCATCAAGCATGGATGTGGACCCTCGCCACATGATAATATCCTTTCCTACCGCTCCCACCTCGCCCGCAGCTAGTCGCTACACACCCATCGATCGGAGCGAAAATCGGGATTCTGGTGTTGACGATTCTTCGACCCATGGTGGAGAGACGGGTAAAAAACACCTCTGCCCTGTTTGTGGTAGTCGTTTCAATCGTCCGTCCTCTCTTAGGATCCATATCAATACACACACTGGAGAAACTCGTAAGTTCCATGAATTCCTCTAGTAGGAAATGGAATACTGACGAAGAAAACGTCTAAACAGCTTTCAAATGTCCCTGGCCGGACTGTGGGCGTGAATTCAATGTCAACTCGAATATGAGGAGGCATTACAGGAACCATGCCTCTCCTGGATCATCTCGCAACGGCAGAGATGGAGGTACTCAGAAACGGCGGAGGCGGAGGACGACTGCTCCCAGCGCTGTTGAATACACCCCAGATACCCCCGTCCCAGGCTGCCACGCCATTCGACAGCAACAGAATGCACCGCACACATCAGGGCATCAACATCAACGAGCCTCATCTTTCAATCCCCCTCCAATCTCTACGCTCTCAGTGCGTGAGGGCTCTTTTGCGAGCGCGGGGACATCTGAGAGCGAAGATGGCGATGGATACGGACCATGCGATTCTGAGGACATTGATGAGCTCAGCGAGGACGATTTTCGTGGCCCATCGAGAGTAACACGACGGCCTGCGTTGTTACAGATCGCTTCTTCATCAACGGCTTCATCATCCCCGGTTTCGAGCCCTAGCCTCTCGGCCTCATCCTCAACCAGTCCATATAGCCGCACATCGGCTTCGTTATCGCCGCCTCCGCCAGGGCCTCACCCCCGTCCATCGCACCCATTTCTTATGCACAAGCAGGAACCCGGCTTTGAGGCCAGGATATTGATCAGAGGCAATAAACATGGAATTCTCTGATAACACATCCTCCTCTCCCTCCACATCGTGTTGACGCATCTTCGATTATCCCTATCCCTCCCCTCTGAAACCACCGCCCCACGGGCTTTACCCAGTCACAATCGCATTCGAAACACCATCATTGTTGCACTGGTGTGCGGAGTCCGCTCAAGTCGTAGCGATTTGAAGAAATCTCTCCCCTTCTTTTGGATAGTTCCCCGTTCCGAGTCTGCTTAGCTACCTGTCGAACCCCGTCCCCCAATTTGCTTTGAATTCGCTTTGAATATGTTCCCAGTGCTACTCTGCTATGTATGGAATTGCTCTCGTCGTCGCACAAAACCACATATCATGTATCCGTATCTACTAAATATCATTTATCACACGTATACGACAAAACACACCGACGTCTCATCTCTCCGAGTGTCAAGTGCCAATTATCGAGCATCGAGTATCGTTAAATCAATCTCCATCTCGATTTGATTTTGATGTAGTACTTACACAATTTTGTTGGTATCAACGATCAATCAACATAGTGTCGGTGCTGTGTTCTCATATGTTAAAATCTGGTGAGATTATACGCACTCAGACCTGAGAAATTAGAGCTGTGAATTTACCCAGAGGTTGTTCCAAAGGCGCATGGTTTCTGATAGCTTCTCGAGAATCCGAGGTGTTCGTCCTCAGAACAAATCAGTCAGAATCCGTGTTTCAAATCGAAGTTCTCAAATTCAATTCTCGTCGCACCTTGCAAGTCGAATATATTCCCCACGATGCCACGGGGAACACATGGACATGTTATGCCAATCCTGGACTCGGAGGTTGACCTTGAGTTGTTTATGCCAACCGGTTGTGTTGGGTCCTTGACTCCTCAATGAACTCGATAGATCTGATGAATCGTGATGTCCAGTGTATAGCCTGCCTGAGCGCAATCTGCTCGGACAGCCTCTGGGTCCCTGTAGAGGTCTGCTTCTTCTTGGCTGTGGCGGGGGTTGGGGTGGCAGTTCTACTATCAGCATCATCGTTATTATTGTCGCAAGGAGGAACTTGGACGCCTGTGTGTGACCGGCGTGTTTTGATCAGAATTCGGAGGGGTGGGCTGGTGCGGAGTTGCTCTATATGTTTCGTTTCCCGGCGCCATGCCTTCTCAGAGAGTCCTTTGTTACCGAAAGCAGACGGAAGCCTGGGGCTTCTGCGTGTGCCACACCAGCAAGCCATGAGGGAGACGGTATTGGCTCCAAAGTGTTCGGACATTCGAAACAAGATAGAAGAGATAGTAGAAGATAGATCGAGGGCTAGACAACAGTTGCGCCCCCCTTGTTCCCAGTCGAGGAGCTTAATCCATCATACATAAGGTTCCAAGGGAGAACGGATTCTGCAGCAGACGTGTACACCGCCTGAGAAGGGCAGATATGGCCAGCAGATGCTTCAAGATTCCGCCTGGCATGGCAGCCTCTGCTAACTTGATAGTTATAATCAGGGGCTAGTACGATGAATAGGGGACTCCCTTACTCCACTAATCCGTGAAATCAAAGAGATTGAAATTGACACTGATCTACGTAAATGCTGCTTATCTCTTCGATTCGAAATATACACCGTCATAAACGTGTAAATAGACCCCAGTTGATCTTCTCTAGTAGGAGCTTCTAGAGCCTTATGGATTCGCACGTTGAAGGCCCCAAAAGTATATCAATGGCCGAGATGATTCTCTCCATAATAAACGCACAGCTTCTGCGCTCAAAGTGCCTGCGTTCCGATGTTCTGACCCGTCGCATCTCGGAAATAGAACGAGTGATGATAACCACCAGTACCGCCCTCGAATCCACTGGAGTGAGAGCCTGGCTATGTGTAACATGGACCACCAGATTGATGGACTTATACGAGGGGATGAAGCGAGAAGTAAGAAGTAAAGATTGAGCGGAGAACAAATATATATCAAAGTTCAGAGGGCGGAGCACGGAAGCGTTTCCGTCCTAGAAATGCTTTACGACGGCAGGTAGACTAGTATCAATGAAGGACAGCCACTTTGTCACCGGTCACTATTTGTGATAGCCAATCTTACGACCCTGCTTTGTTACTGTAAGGATTGCACCTGCGGATTTCCCTAGTATAACCCACCGATGAGGAGTTCTCCTGTGCCCGGTGTCACCGAGATCCAAGGCTTCTCGTGATCGCGCAATAGAGCTCCAACAACTCCCTCTGTAGGAACTAGAACAATTGAGCATTGGCTTCACACACATATTGTCAAAGATGAACTGAGCTTGGTTCGTTGGGTGATGTATTTGTTCCGGGATAGGGGGGATACATTGCAGCAAAGATAAGATCAAGTTTCATATCAGCGACATTGATTATCATCGGGGTCTCCCGGATCGCGCCCAGCGCGTTTGAGTCTTCACGGCGACATCAACCGAAAACCATCGCGATGACCGAAGCAAGACCTTGGATCTACAGGTGCCTCAGGCCGACGGCAAACTGTACTCGGCATTCGTTCGACGTGCCGCTATATGAACCTGGTGGCGTACAGAGAAGGTTCAGTAGATTTGACAACTCGATTGTAAGCCCGCAAGACTCGAGTGGAGGCCCGGGGCCCCCGGGACGGTGCTGTAACATGGTTTGATCCAGGGGACTGTGCATTGATTGATGATACGTGGTATTGGTTGCAGGAAAATCATGAACCAAGTCCCGTGGCCCCATGACCTTGACGAGTGAATACGCGGACCAAATTTGGGGGTTATCCATCATGTATCGACTTGGGGCAACGCGGAGATCAGAAAGGCGATAATTATAACATTGGGCGAGCGCGCAATGGAACTTCGTGGGCAAGTTCTGATGCTATTGTATAGCGCACCGTGATTCGGATCGAGGATATTGTCCTAGAGGGGAAGAAATGTGGAGTAGGATGGGCGTCCTCATCTTGCAGATCTTGTTGCTCGATATTGCATTCAGAAACGACCCAGCGGTTTAGAGCTTCTGGATTAGGCAGAACGGTTCGTGCACACAGTATATGTCAAACAAGAAGTACTAAGCAATCCTATTAGTGGACCCACAGACCGTGGAGGTAAGAAATTTGCTTTTAGGTCCCCAGTGCCTGCCCTGATATCGGGCGCTTCGTTGGGATGTAACTGGCGACATCCTGTGAAACATCGTTACCTGTTACGAGAATTCCCTCTAGCTTTGGCCAAGGATAGGAACGGTCGCCGCTAACATCGTCTTCCCACAGCGAATCGATGGCTTCATAGAAAGTCTCGACGTCCTGTACTGCATCCAAAACGAGACATTTCAAATTCGGGAATGCCTCGAATAGCCGATAATCCTCGAAGGTCGGGGTGTATACGATTTTGTGGAATATGAGAGTGGTTACGTGTGGGAATCGAGTGGGGTGGCATTCGCACAGGCTCTCAAGGGAATGGAGAAAGACGTCCCAGTCTGAAATCCAGCTGACTTCTAAACGCTCCAAATTTGGCGCATCAAGGATATTGAGAATCGTAGACTGAGTGTCGCTTGAACCGTAGGTTAAACATAGGGAGCGGAGATTGGGTAAATCAATGATGGGATACGTAGTGTTAGGGACAAGGCCTACTCGACCAGTTGAGATTGCGAGGTGAGTGAGATTTCTTGGTGCGGCAAGAAAGTCGTAGAATTGACCCCATTCACAAGGATGGTTGAGAGCGCGAACAATTTCGAGGCGGGACAGGGAAGGCCGCTCGAACGACTCCTTGGTTACAGGAATGAACCCAAAGGTTCGGAGAGATTTTAGCGAGGGTAGGCCACCCATAAAGATATTAAAGAGGGGCCCAATATCGACCGGCGAAAATTTGGTTTCATTTTGAGCGAGCTGAAGATGTTCTAGACGGGGGGCAGACGCACACTCCAGCAATGATAGGAGACCTCGAAGGTACTGGCGGCGAGCCGAGATACGGAGGAATCGCCATCTACCGATATGTTCGTGTAAACGAGAAAATGTTGAGAGCAGCGTGGCTCTACCGTCCGCCGTGGAGTCGTAACCGTATTCGACGGCGATGGTGAGAGGCGAGCGACGAGATCTCTGAATGCAAATATCAATCGATGGACTTTCTGTGGGGGTAACGCAGATGGTTGACCACAGCGAAGGGGTCATTCCCACAGTGTTCCATCGCTTTGAAACGCAACAGAACGATGCTAAGGAATGTAGATCGGCAGAGAAGTTCTGAGGCGTGGCTGCGTGGGTAGCCTCCTCAAAAATCAAGAGGAGGACCTCGAATGGTAGACGAGAGACCAAGTCAATCTTCTGCATAAATGGCTATATTGATAAGTAAGAATTCCGTCGTCCGGTGGGACACAATAGGCCACTCACCAGTTTTTGGGTGACAATTGTTAGCGGTGCGTGTCAATCAGCCCATTGTGCCCACCTTTTAACTTACGTCGAGTGGCGACGGAGCCACCCGGATGATCTGAGGACAATGGACTGCTGAGATACAATTTTTCATTTCAAACAATAGGTCGAGAACTTGTCGTGGATGATACAATCTACCTAGAGACGCGTGTCCTGCAAAAGCTGCAGGGGGCTGGGCAAACGACAGACTGCTGTGCTCACGAAGACAATTAGCCTGTTGCGAGCTTGATCCACCATGACGACGATCCAGGAACGCAATCGCTGTCGTTCCACAGAGGTTGCAAGCAAGAATTGTCTGTGCTTGAGTCAGTACACGAACGAAAATCGTCAAGAACGATGTCCAGCTCAGCGCAGAGAAAATGGTGGAAGGACATTTTGATTTATGGGAAGTGAAATGTATGACTATATTCGCACGCAGATACACTACGTTATGTTGTCAGTAAGGCTCAGCGCTCATCCGCTATCTCACACTTACTTTAAGCATCTTGGCGCTTTAGCCTTCGAGAATCACTGGTGAGCTTGCCAAAGTACGTAATCAAACTATGATGAGTTATCTGGATTCTCACCTTATAAGTCTGAGATAACAATACCAACATTATCCTCAACTGAGATAAACATGGTCTCCACCTGGGTGGTGCAACAAACAGTGACAGAAACAGAAATGGATCGCTGGCGATGATGCGGTAAGTATCCCACCCGCCGCGCCGCGATGGATATGTGACTCGATATATATATCAATCTCAACGCTGTTGAAATTGAACTGAATCCGGTGCGACTTCGAGGATCGGTTCGATTATTCGACTTGATATGTAGTTTGGAAATTTTCTAAAATGGCTAAATGGCAATAGCATGCACTTGCTCTCAAGGCTGTCTCAAGAAGCGAAGCGCAGCGCCAAAGGCCGTTAGCCGGGAGTGGGCGGCCGTGCTTCATGGAAAACAAGAGCAAAATTTTCAACAAATGTCATCGACATCAACGTTTCAGTAAGGAATGGGAGATTGCACAACATCTCGCGCCCAGTCCACACGCTGATGTCAACCCCTGCGGAACCGAAGCAAACGAGCGCTGACACAGAAGCATATCCTGGGGTGCAGCAAGAAGCGTTCTTGCATCATGCATCAATCATTGGTGATGTTATCATTTCTCTACTGAACGTGACAACTAGTCCTATGAATAGAATGTCCTGCGTGCCGGATGACACAATTACACTGATGGTTCGTGAAATGTCCATAGCGGTGTTGGTAAATACTTGGGTGAGATAGCCACCGAGAAATTTCAGAGTCTAAGAAGTCGGCGGGCGGAAGGTAAAAGAAGCTGCGAGAGATTGGCTGATTCTGATGCTATCACAAGCAGCCCAGGATGCTGCTGCGCTGAAGGTGTTTAGCCCGAGGCGTAGGTTGTTCCGTTGGGATTGTCCAGGCCTACTTCCACGCCACCATGGCTAATATCTGATATCGATGATATGGCATACGAAGAGGGCGAACGTATGCCTCCTACTTCTGCATCATGATCGCTCTGGCACACGACGGAGCTTCGTTGCAGGAGCACCGGCTGTTCTTGGTACATTGGATCAATGCTATCCACTGGCGAGTTTTGGGATTGGTAACTTGTAGTGGTGGTAGCAGTGGCAATAGCAGGATCGTAATCGTAATCGATATATTGGGAGTCGTCCTCGTCGGGGAGAGCTATGGATAGCAGAGGGGTGGAGAAAGAAATAGGACTGGCCCTGAGGCCAGAATCCGCCACATAATTGAAGGTACTGGTTCCACCGCAATCGGGGTCGTATGGAAGAGGATGTGAGTACGTCGGGGCGGAGGCTGATTGGGGGTATGGATTGATATTGCTGCTATACAGCCTTCCCGAACCAGAAATAGTGCGAGTATGGATGGGCGATAATCTTGATCCGGGTGGAGAGTCTGGCGGTGGAAGAGGGGCTTGTTTCCCGTAAGCAGAGTAAGGCGTGCCGTTCCAAGATGTATGGGGAGAGTCCGAGCTGAATGAGCGGGCGGACGATAGCGGTGTTAGGGAGAGATTGGTGCCTGAGGCATTGGATGGGGTGTTGTAGTTGTGATTCTGGGATGTAGATGAAAGAGATGGGGAGTAAAACGTCGCGGAAGGAGGTGGTAGATCTGGGTATACATACGGCGTAGTAGTATGCCCATTCATCCCCGCAGCAGTGACATTGCCGCCAGTGCTACCTTGGTTTGGTGGAGGTGATGGAGACTTCCGATCTTTGCATCGACGCCCGCTCAAAGTGATAACTCTCGGTCCGAATCTGCATACCTCACAACTCTCATATCGAGCGTCGATCATTACTCCGTCGCAGAGGGGACAGAGCACGTCTTGTCCGGTCTTAGGTTTGACGCCTTGTCGTCGTTGGGTCCTAGTCGTTTCTTCGCGACATCGCCTACACCGTCGGTACCTAGCCTCAGATGGATGTGGGTCCAAATCGTTCGGGCACTTGGTGCACTTGTTGGTCTTCATTTTCTTTGCCCGCTTCGAACATAACGAGAGGAGTGCTTATAGCGGAAGAGCGGCGATATACGGAGTTGCTACTCACAGACTGTGCGGATCGACCGTCCTTCTTTTCGTTCAAACATGACGTGCAACTCTTGCGTGCGTCTCCTGGAGGCATTGCGGCGTGACACTTCGAACATTTTGATTCGACAAATGTTAATAAGGGAACCTGCCCGTCTAAATACGACAGCCACAGTCAGATAAATACCGTGTAGGTACGAGTTAAAATAGTAACTGAAGACATACTATGTGATGCTCTTGACCTATGTCCGACCATTGTGGTGATGGAGGATCCATCATGATGGTCGGTGTATTTAAGTCGAGGGTTCGAGACTACCACAAGGATAGTGGATGGGGCAATCGCGAGCTCGTAGCTAGGAGAAAACAAGGCATTGTCTCCGTGCGCGAAGTATAATTGCATCACCAGAAACTCGTGTCGAGGGCATTGGCGAGTTCATTATGCGGACCCACAAGGGCCCACAACTTCAAGTAAGATAGATGTCAGGACCCAGGACCGGACGCGAAGAACACGCTGCTCTGTCGAGGTGGCTATGACGACGCACGAGCGTTAACGCGATTATTGTATTTCTTGCCGCAACCACCCGCAACCTCACTCTTTGGGAGAAGAAGAATTACCGTAAATAGATGCCTTGTTGACGTTGGCTAAAGCGTACCTTGCTGCAGTTGCGTTCTGCGAACGGAGCAATCACTTGGGACGTTACCGCGGTTGGGACCTCCGTCGAAGAGAAATGTCGTTGATTTCAACATATAGAGCCAGCACCCGACGAGGGGAAATAGTAAAGCGGCGCGACAGCTGCTACAAAATTGAGGACGAGAGTTGTGATCTATATTATAGTTATTACCTTGTTTTAGCTTCAGTCAGAAATGCCGCAATCTTATGTTGAAACTGACTGTGGGAAAGTATGATATGATGCACCGTCGGCACCACCAACTCGGCGTGGTTGGACCCGGTGTTTCCGCTGCCTAAAGCCACTTGGACGTTAGAAAAATTCTTGATGACAGGCAGCAGATGGCGCCGCTATCCACCGCTGCACGGAGCTTGTCGCAGAAGCGCCGATTGAGGAATCTGACTTTTATCTTTATGTCCTGGGCAAAGATCAGACATCATCATCACAGCTTCTGGACCGCCTCGCTCAAATACCACCGAACCATGCGATGCGCGCTTCAATCCCTAGTGTGCGCTCAGTTTGAGACCACCATCATCCCACTCCTCGAGTTACAATGCGTGTCGCGTCGTTGTTCACCTTCTCAACTCTTGTGGGAACTTTTACGTGGGCGTTCGATCCACGGAGCTACTCGAAACAAGTTGCGACATGTCCAGGCGTTTTGAGGACCAGTGAGGGGAACACGGTGGTGGATTTGCACCTTCGTGAGTTTGCATTCAGTGTGGAGAAGCGAAACAATGCTGATCAGCGAGTGCACCGTAGGATATGTTGATATCAATCCAAGTGCGAAGCGCACAGTACTGATGGTACATGGTTGGCCAAGTCTTTGGAGTTCGTGGTCGAACCAGATTGAAGAGCTCAAGGTGCGCACGCGCTGTCTCTCCTAGTCGTCTTTGGGTATATAGCTCTCCTCAATGTGATCCATGGATAGAATGACTACCACCTCGTCGTCCCAGACATCCGTGGCTTCGGCGAATCGACACACCCGGGGGACGTCGAGAGCTCGGGTACCATCAACGATATAGCCGGAGACATGGCGTGCATCCTTGCCCACGCGAACGTCGAATCGGCGATCTGCTTAGGGTGCGTGCTTCTTCGGTCTTCCTTTCCCTCGATCGGGCAGTACTCATTGAAGTATTTGTTGTGTGGTCTATAGACATGACTGGGGGACGCAAGTATGCTACGAGTTCGCAAGAAGTCGGCCAGACGTGGTAGAGGCCGTCATAGGTTCTGTGATACCCGTAAGTATAGCTTCATCTCACTCTTTTGCACCTAACTCATTACCGGTAACCCATAACCCATCCCTATTGCCCAGTATATCCCGGCCCACGGCGACTACATACCCATGAAAGCCCTCGTCCCCATGCTCCCCAAACTCGCCTACCAGCTCTTCTTCAGCGGCAACACGTCGGACGCCGTCAAAGAGCTCGATGCGGATATCAGACGGACGATCAGGGGCACGCTGAGGACGGTGGATAGCGCTCCCCCAGGGCACTTTTTGATGAGCGGGGAGACGTTCCTTGGGGCTTGGGATGGTGTTGAGGAGGTGAGCTTGGTTTCTCGCTATCGGCGGAGGGGCGCGGGACTTACGTAGTGGACCAGATCCCGTCCGTGCCATTCTTTTCGAAAGATGAAGAAGATTACTTCGTCGAACAGTTTAGTATCCAGGGATTCAAGAACAGTACGCCTCCCTCCTCCCCTCCGAGCTTATGCTAACCTCACTCTGCTCCCCTCTTCTTCTACCATTCCCTAGCCCTGCAATTTTACACGAATGGCGTACGTACCCACTTGCTCATACATACCTAATTCTTACTAAACCAAATTACAGAACCGCTATCTGTCCTGGGAGCACGCACATTCGCAGGGGAACCATACGATCCCTCAACCCGTCCTGAGCATTCTTCCTCTAGATGTACGTGTTCCTCTTCATAAACTCTGCGTATAACGGCAAACCTAAGTCAATCCCGTTCGATGTAGGATCCGGTCGCTGACTGGGAGGTTGCAGCCAAGCTGCTAGGCTCTGGGGAGTTTATCCCTAAGTTGACAACGAAGGTAAGTTTCTGCGTTCTTTCCCTCAAAGTACATAATATGTACAGCTCGCTAACGTCGTTTGATGCAGATGCTACCCGGCGCACACTGGGTGCAGATCGAGTACCCTAGAGAGTTCAACGCCATTATGCGTGAGTGGCTAGAGGGATTCTCGCGTGCTGGTGGTCCACCTCCTTCGTCTTCGCATGACGAGCTGTGAGCGCTGTAAGCCATCATGACGCATCACGCATATGGCGGAAGGAGAAGGTAAAAGCTAACAAATGTATATAGTTTCAAACCATAGTTGGCGATGCTCGAATAAATAGTCGGCGCCGTGGTAGCAATAGTTGACCGTTACACGAGGGACTGTAGAGCAATTGACAACCAAAAGTACAGCAGTTCGTACATCCATGCGACTATGTCTGTATTTTCCTCTTTTTCTTCCCACCAATATCCCAGGCGTCTTCCCCATCCAAGTCCATGGCGTTGTCGTCGCCGCTCCCCTTCTTCAGCCCCTTCATCTTCTTCCCCACCAACTTGCTCAAATCCTGCTTCCCTACGTGCACCCGCCCTCTCAGATCGCCCATCTCGTCCACCTCCATATTCTTCCTCTTCTTCCCCAGCCCGCTCTCAATGTCCTTCTTCACGACCTTCGGCCTCTTCATCGCCTGCTTCCACGTCTCCGTATCCGCATCCTGGTGTCTGCGCATGACCAAGTCGAGGGCGGGGCCCATGGGGGTGAGCTCGACGCGCGGGACGCGAGTGCCAGACGGAAGGAGCTGGGTAGTGTATGCACGTATGTGCACTTTTGGGAGGTTGAGGTTGGTGGTGGTCTCAGGGGAGGCGGTGGTGAGTCCGGCGGGTGTGGGAGAGAGGGAAACACTGATAACGTGCTCGAGTCCATTGAGACATATTGAGTCAATGACTTCGCCGTTGAAGAGGCTTATAAGGAGGGATTTTAGTTGGATGAATCGCGGATGTGTGTCGAATAGTTCAGAGGCGAAGTGCATGAGTGGTTTGTTGCCTGGTCTGGGTTTGGGTGTCTATCGGATAACAGTAAATTTGAAACCTTTAATGAGGTGGATGTCTAGGAGCGGAGACGTACCTTAAATGAATCCATACTTTTGTGCTCTTCCACTCCAACTTCACACATGTCCAACACCCGTCCATCATACATCCTGACCAAAGTAAGCCCATGCGGCCGCTTTTTGGTCGTCTGCCCGATAACAAACAACGATGCATCGTTCTTGGCCGCCCAGAACTCCAAAGATGATTGTGAAGTTGAGCCTGAGCTTGATGTAGTGGCATCAAATGGGTGAATATCGTTTTTCTTGGAGAATGAGATGCAATGCGGTCGTTTGAGGGCCATCTGCGTAGAAGCGTATTAAGTGCAAGGGGTGGGGCGGATTCGTACACGGAATTGAGCTCACCAGATCTTTCATAACTGAACTAACCCGCTCCCCTGCATGTGTTCCTTTTACGAAGATCGCAGTCCGTGCATCCTCGATCTCTTTCGGCGCTCGAGCATCAAGGGCTCGTTTTGAGCGTGCATTTTTGGGTCGCCTGGAGCATGAATCGTATCAGAAGCTATATGACCGAGAAGAGATGACCTACACCGTTCGTAGCATGTTCGTGAATTCGTTCTGTCGAAAGCCTACTCGACGGCGATATCTCACTGAAAGTTTTTGATGGGCGCTTGTCTCGTGTCACGTGATGCTCCTATCAAAGCCTCTAAATTCGTTCGAACCTCATTTGAATTTAGAACTTGCCTTGTGTGGACGGTTGGGCGGGATTTGCCAACTAGGAGACCGAAAGTTGCGGCGGACATCACTAGCACACCATGACAGGAAGGCTCTCGAGTAATTGGTTTCACAAGGAGACCCCCTATTCCAGGGAAACTCAGGCAAATTCGGCTGTCGGGAGCTTTACCTTGCAACCATCATCATGCAAGTTCCTCAATTGCCTTCAGAGATTATCTGCCAGATCCTTGAGCTTGCAGCCCAGTCATCGACGTGCCTCGCCATCTGCCAAGTCAGCTCATGGGCCCGCGCACTCGCAATGCCTTATCTGTTCCAGACGGTCAAGCTGAAGAGTTACACGCGAATGGAACACTTCATGCGAACGCTCATTCCCCTCGATCCTCACGCTCGCGAAACCCCTTCCTCCTCCTCCATAGTATCCAGCAGCATCAGCAGCATCACGAAGAAAGCTCTGGGGAAAAGGGAGCCCGCGAACTTTGTGCGCCACCTCTGGGTTCGCGATTTGTCGATCCATGTGTTTACTTTGTCGAGAGTTTGCAAAAACCTGACACATATCGCAATGGATCAGAGCACGATGGTCATGCTTGTGTCTATGTCCAGCATGGTGCCGTCCCCCGAACGGTACAAGGATCTTCACTTATTCCTGTTCGGACGCGAACGCTTGCAGTACCATGTCCTACTTCATCCACCTCCACCTAACGCCACCACCCTCAGAATCACACACGTGCACTTTGCAGAACCAGTAGCCTACACCGATGAGAGTTTCAACTTCATAGCCTTCCCGTTCCCCCGACTCACCCACATGGCAATGCCGCTTCACCCTTCCAACTCATCGAAGGACGACCTCGTCGTTCTGATAACCCTGCTCCTTGCTGCGCCGAAGATGGAGATGCTGCTTCTTATACTGTATGAAGACGTGATTGATGAGGACACTGCTGGGAGAGTTGTCGATACATTTCGCCGATATCGCCCGATGAACCCGGGGTCGTTCCTCCTCAGGACGCCTCGAGACGACCTAGAGTCGCAATGGGAACGGGAAATCTATGGTGCAAAGAGTATTTGGGAGAGGGGCGAGGAATACACGCGGAGTCTGTTGGCTCAGGACGTTGCTAAGAACGAATGACCTCCGTCAACTGCTATACGTGTTGGTGTGAGGGCTGGGCTTATTGTAAATTCGGACAAGCCAGTGGTCACGGCTCAAAAACCCTTTAGATCGTAAGGCCATAATAGTAGGTGTGAACGAATGAGTCGGCCATTGCCGCCCTTCTCACAGGATTGGGGCGCTCCATTCGGCTTTCTATTTGTGAGCGTTTCCTTCTCAGTACGCCTATCAGTAAGGAAATCAGTGGTTGAACGAAATCCGAAGACCAGGACCAGTATGTAGGCGATCAACTCGAAGAGGTATGCCTCATCGCATCATTCTTCCAAGCGCACGCAGATTCAAATTCAAACTCACAGAATCTGCTCGAAGCCGACGGTTGCGCGATATCGGTGGTCTAATCATTGGAGAACGTAATATCACCCATCCCCGAAATCCTGGCGTCAATATTCGAGTATGTCATCGATCTGGAGATTCCGCAGAGCTTCGTTCCCGTATGTCCCGTAGACCGACTTTCGCTTCTTCAAGCTTCAAGCCCGGAGGGTGTATACCCACATGGTGCGCACTTGCAGCGCGCTCTATCCTTCTACTAACGATACTCATCAATCAGGAATCATTCATAGAGGATAGTATCTCGACCAACAACGAAGCACTCAACCCTGATCGCACATCGCATCCACGGGGAACAACTCCTCTGCTCGACGTCCGGCCGCACCTCATACCCCCTATGTACGTCTCCCGCGAAGACGAATACGAAGAACTGTTAGCCCGAGGTGCCACCCGCCTCATGTGCGAGACGTTCGAGCTGCAATTCAAACCCGGAGTTGGCATCGTCGCGTGGGCCGACCAGAATATCTTCGACGAGTTCACCGGAGAAGGCATGAAGAAAGGCGATCGGTGGAAGATCCGTTTGGGGAGGTGTATCCAGCTCGACGAGGAAGACTTGGATGGATCCCAGTTTGTTGAGGACTTCCTCGAGGACGCCGTTTTGTTCCCCCTGCATTTTCCGCTCAGCAATCGCGTGGCGGAGCGGTGGGAGACGGTTGAGGTTACCCCGGGCGTCTGGGAAACGCGGCTCATGCTTGATGTCGATGACCAGTGTGTGCAGGACGACGCAGAAGGCGATGTAGGTGCAGATGCAGATGCAGATGGTGGTGGTGAAGACGGCGATAACGAATACGACGACGACGACGATTCTGACATGGACGACGATTTATACGATCCGCAGACGTTCCCTGACCTTGTAGACACCAACGAAGCGCACATAAGACATTTGCTCCAAGAGGATCTCGCGCTGGGACCCCTCGATGACGTGGATCCTCAAGCGCTGGGCATCACTGTCAATCCCGACAACGTTGTTGTCCAGGCTGGATACGAGTCTGACGGATCAGTTTCCGTGCAAGACGGCCATGAAAGCGAAACCATATCCGTCGATGTAGACGAGAGCGACGCCGATCCGGCGTGGGAAATCAGCGCGAATGTCTCTGATGCTGCTTGGCCCGGCTCTGATTTCGAGGAAGCAGACTGGGCGAGGAAAAGCAAGACACTTTCTCCCAGTGATGAAGTTGACGGCAAGGACCCTGTGGACGAGGATATGGATTCTTACAGTGAGAGCGACTCAGACTCTGCTGAAATGCTAAGTGGTGACGAGGCAGTCGTGAGGAGATAACCTCCAATCATATAGCTCGTTAGTACCAAGATCTATGTATTGAAACCCCCCATGGATTTCTCAGCCTACAACTCAATTCTCATAACCGCACTGATCACACTGGTATTCGCTCGGTTCAAACACATTGCAGACATGGTCAGACCAGCCTGCATTGAGTTCTGGGACGTAAGAAAGAGACGTAAATCAAAATATATGTGGCCGCAACAAAACACCTGGAGTATCATACACATTGAAGTATCGTACACATTATCAACATCCATTGGCTTATAAAATTAAGAGGGTAACAGTGGGGAGATCAGACAATAGTGAAAGCATCGCTCCTCCATTCACGGCCTCGTGTGGGAGCAGTTTCAGTTCGGTTGACCCAACCATCGGGGTGCCCCGCGTTGGGGTCAATGACAGAGCTCTTCTTGTCTGTCATGACCTTGAACTGCGAGCGTTTGTCGGAGGATTTGAGAGAAGACGCCTCGTCTTGCTTGCGCTTGAACACCTATTTGACAACAATTATCAGTGAAGGAGAGTGAAGTACCGGCGAAAGGGGGGACTCACGTCTTTGAGTGCCTGGGCTCGGGTTGCGTCGTCGCTGACCTTGGCTTCGTTCATACGGTCGCGTACACCAACGAGCTGGCCATCAATGTACTCCACCCCGGTTCGAATGGAATCAGCGATGGCCTGTACCACATCATGAGCGAAGTGAAAGCCATGGAAGGAGAGCCTAACTGACCTTCTGGATCTGTTTCTTGACCAAACCGGTTGCGACGCTGCCAAACACCTTGTACAGCAAGTCGTGCTTCGAGCCTCTGATGGAGAACTTCAATGAATCCATCTTGACATTCACGTCCTTGACCTTGATGATGCGACTCTTGTCGCGCTTGTCCGTGGTGACAATGTGGATGTCGACTTGAAGCCCCTTCCCTCCAATGAGCACGTCCGCGAGACCGCTGTCCGACATGTTCGGCCCCATGCCACCTTTCTTCTTGTACCAAAACGCAACATCCCGCATATCGACCTGCATCTGCGAGCCCTCCAGCCGAAGCTCACTCCTCCCATTGTCCTGGATAGCATCGTACGGCGACATCTTCAAGTAATTACGCATCTCCATCTCAAGGACATTAGGCAAGATGTTGCGGCCAGCGAGCACGAGGTTTTCCAGTACGAGGTCGAGGTTGTCGTCGGTGTACTCGATGCGGGGAATGGGGAAGTAGCCGGCCTTGTCGACGAAGGCGGGGACAATGACGTTGCGGATGTCTCGCCACAGATGGGGCTTGAACTGGAGAGATCCTTGGTCGTCGAAAAGCAGCTCTTTGGTCAAGCGGGCGACATCGTCGCCCAGTCTGCGGAATCATATGAGTATATAAACATCTACGACCCGATAGGTATTAGCACTTACTGTTTGTTTAAGGGGTCTTCGCCCATGGCACCAAACCAACGGCCGAATTGGTCGAAGAGGTTGTCGAAATGACTCTTATACTTATCGTCGTAGAACATCCTGCCCTTATCTTTGAGCTCATTCGCGGCCTGGTTGCACTCATCTTCCAAGACGTATCCGGCCTCCAGGAGAACCTTGCGCATATATGTATCGACATTGGCGAACCAATCGCGAAGCTCGGGGTCCCGACGAGTGTCGTCAATGAGGACGTTGATGGCGTCAAAGACTCCATCCATAGTTTGGCCGTTGGCGAACCTCTCTAAGAGAGTGCGCAACTCTGAGAGCGCCGTCTGCAAGTCAGTATCCTATATCAAACACCCCCCGTTAGAGTTGTGAAAGGATACGAGGACTTGTAACTAACCTGCTTGAGTTGCTTGCCGCTTTCTTGACCCTGCACGCCAACTTTCTTAGCGTGGCCAACGTACTCTTCAATAGCGCCGAGCAGCCATCGCATGCTCTCCTGGTACTCGTCGTGCTTCTGGCACTCGATAACGACCTTCTTCCCGCGATAGATGAACTGATCCCTACGTTCTTCGGGAAAGTAGTCCTCCAACAAAAACTTCTTCGTGCGATCAGCATGCTCGTTGGCGCGGTCTTTGTGTTGCGTCGGGATTCGATCGGTGATGTTATCGCGATAGCCACGCATACGATCGCGAAGCGTCTGCTTCTTCTCATCTACCTCAGCATTGGGGTCACGAGTATCGTCATCTGCAGCCCGACGAACGTCGTCGTACTCTCTGAACGGGAATTAGCACCATGGTTAACGACATGACCGACGAATCACATACTCAACTGCCTGTTGCCTCCCTTGTTCTGCTGTTTCTCTACCTCGTTGCTTCGCAGCATCTGCCTCGATACGTGCTTGGTCATACGCCCTGGACGCTGGTATGGTGTCTCCGCTCTCTGTCTTAATGGTCGCGCCCTTTCCGAACTCGTCTTTTGGGTGCTGAGTGACACGGTGGTCTGTACCCGGCACACGCGCCTCAAGCACGGGAGTTTCGTTGAGGCCCGCAACGCGACCGCCTTCGGTGATAAACTGATCTTGAGGCGCAGGCTCGTCAACTCTGCGAAGTTGATCCTCAGACGGGCGCATCTGCTCCGAAGCCTTGGAAGCTGAGATAGCTAGCAGATCACGTCCAATGACTGAGAAATCGGTGAGGAGTTTCCGAACTTCGGCGTTGGTTAGAATGAGCGAGACGAGAGTTCGAAGGTGGCGTGTAGCTAGATACCGGCCGGTTAATCATCGACAAATACCAAAGACAGGGTAAGAACTCACCATGTTGTGCGTCGTTGTCTATTTTCGACTTGTCCAAGGGGGCTGCCTGATTGGGGTCCTTATTTAAGACGGTACTGGCATTGGTACTCCGTGTATGCCAGATGAAGCTTTGCAGGAGTTCATCCGCGTTTTTCTCTTGTACAATAATCTTGGCCGTATTGATGACATCGCGAGTGTCCTCAATTAGGCTTCGACCTTCCGGGGAGAGCTTTGAAAGATCGACGGGGGAGTTTGCTAGAACGTAGTCGAGCGTTTGTTCGATTTGCTCGTTCGTGGGCATGCGACCTTCGCGAAATGCGCCGACAAGGTGGTACAATCGTATCTACATGACACCGAGATACAGAGCCCATGAGGGGTATGCCCTCAATTTCCTCAGTGAACCACGTACCTTTCGATCAACATCTGCGTCTTTGGCTGCTCGATCAATTGGAGCTGTCACGGACCCCTGAGGGAGGGTCAGATACAAGGCCTACTGTGAAGCATATGGACGATGCTCACCGCTGCGGGCTGCTCGCTGATATCTTTTCGTGCTGTTGGGAGGGACATCGTGGTGGTGGTGGTGGGAGGGAAAGAGGAGTATGGGGATTTGACGAGGGATCCAGCTCTTTATATACCCTGGCCTTAGGCCACTCAGGCTTCTGCATGACGGATACAGAGACGTCATCAGTAGATCAGCGGAAGTGGTGAGGAGGAGTCCTGGAGCAAAGGGGAGTTGCCAGGAGTGTTTGACTTTCGAAGTAGGCTCGGAGTCAAACTCTGCCAAATACCGGCACTGCCACAGATCTACTGATCGAGGAATAAGCCCTGAGACGAATAGAACGCAGATCACACATTCTATCCACGGGGTACAAGCCCCCTCCTTGACGTCCGGCCGCACCTCATACCTCCTATGTACATCTCCGTCGAAGACGAATATGGAGAGCTATTATCGCGGGACGCCACTTGCCTGATGTGCGAGACCATCTGGTATCGAGTTACAATTCACGCCTGATGTTGGCATCGTCGCTTAGGCCGACCGGGTTGTCTTCGACGAACTTGCCGGCGAAGACGAAGGCACGAAGAAAGGCGATCCGTGGAAAATCCGTTTGGGCAGGTTCCAACTCGACGAGGAAGATTTGGATGGGTCCCAATTCATCAAAGGCTTCCTCGAGGACGCCGTCCTTTTCCCTCCATCAGCAACCGTGTGGCGGAGCAGTGGGAGACTGTTCAGGCTACCTCAGGCGTCTGGAAAACGAGACTCATGCTTGATGTCGACAACCAGCATGTGCCAGGCGACGCAGATGGCGATGACGGATATGAGGAAGAGGACGACTCCCAGATCGACGAGGATTTATATGATCCGGAGGCGTTTCCTGGCCTCGTAGACACCGACGAAGCGTACATAACCCGAAGCCGACAACTTTGTTTTCCGGGCTGAATACGAGGCTGATGGATCGGCTTCGCCTCTAGAAGACAGTCAAGGCGAAACCATGTCCGTCGCTACCTTCATGTCTCCAGCTACTTTATGGCCCAGATTCATCGTAATAACCAGGTTTATCGGGCCCAATCCTCGTCTGAAAATTTCACCATTGGACTACAGGACTTTGACATCACACGAGGGGTACCAGGACGACCTAAAACCTCGACATCTCGAGATAATGCACGATCGTGTTGTGTTATACGCGGCAACCGCAAGCACAGAACGGTAGCAATGTGTCAGATATGGCATACAGGACATAGTTTGAGTGTGGACGATCACAGGTGCCTAAACTGACGTTTGGCACAGTGGTACTTGTTATACCAACAACATCCAAAGAGGTCAAAAGCCCGGGGATTCATGAAAGACGGCTTAAAATAATGCTTCCTTCCTGCTGCTGCCTCCGCGTCCCGCCTGCCCGATGCGGTTTGCGAGTATCATCTTCCAGCCATCACGCAACTGCCGAGCCCCAGAGCTACGGCGTACATCATGAACAAGAACCCAATACTTTGTCGCAACGCATAATTACAGTAGAACAAAACAGGCAGCTCGCATCGGAAGCAAGTAGAACAACAAGATAAACACGGAGAGTGTATGGTAAATGGTGCTCAATGTTCACGCCTTAGCCAGCTGGGATTGCAGTGGGAGATAACGTTTGGAAAGGACATAATATTCTGTTATTTATATATCTAACACGAACGAATCTCACCAGGATATAGGAAAGGAGGATATCAATGAAGACAATATTCTGAGAGCGATGTATATGCTGTACGGAGCCGACTGCGTCGCTTACGAAGGGGGGCTGGACCATGGGTTTAGCGTCAAGGCGTACGTGCAGATTTAGCTGAATTGGTACGTACACGGGAGGGACAGCGGTGACTGGACCTAGATAGCGGACAACGGGTCAGAAATTGTACACCGTCTGTGGATTCTATTTGCTTACCAGGGTCGGCAGCGATAGCTGGGAAGGGGGTGGTGGCACACTAGAAAGAAGAAGTGGGGGTTATTGCACGATCCGCGAGGGTAATATGCAACATACGGCTTGTTCGACATCGGACTGGACCTTTCCGGCGGGGAGATGTGCCTTGCCTACGAGAGCAGGGGGCGTGGGGATGACATCAGAACAGTCGATCAAGTCGGCCTGGTTCTGTCCGAGCAACGACATCTTAAGCATGGTCGCTGCGAAACGGTTCTGGATCTTCGGCATATTGTCTATTTGCCATTAACGGTGAGCTCCCAGGCGACAGGTGGGAAATAGAAGGTGGCGCTTACCAACCATGGACTGCCATTCACAGGAAGTCCTGGAGTCTAATTATACTGCTTCAGTATGATTCGAGGCAGACAATTGGTTTAAGCACCTCGGGCAAGCTGTAAGAGACGCGGAAGCGTTAGACATGAAATTCGAAGGGGCAGGATGGAAAAGACTCACCAAGTGGTCGGATTGAAGCCTGATTTCACCCGCCAAGGGCGACTCAACCTCACCGTGGTTACCACCAGATCTGTATAACAAGTGAGCTTTGTGCACACAGATGGTAGACCATGCTAATTCATTACCCTGGGAAGGAAGTTCCACGGAGTTGGGTCTCGATGAAGAATTGAGAGTCGAAGATGGACGGCGTCGAGTCGAACGGGGTTCTAAACATAAGTAAGCCACCACGCTAGACGGACTCACACCTTAGAGCTCACCCAGGAATCTTTATCAAAGATTATGTCAGGACCAGCGAGATGACGGAGATGTGGGACTTACACTTTCGTCTACATGATCGGCTGCAGCGATTGTGTGTCTGAATTATCTGCATTAGAATTGAAGTCATTGATGAATAATATGGGACATACGAAGAAAGGAGCCAGACGACCTCGACGGCAGCAAATCCAGCGTCGCCCATTCTGTCTAGAATGTCTGTTACGGTATCTATTTAAAGCAGTGAGCGATACTTTGTCGTACAATGGCATCAAAAGTCGCTTACCGAACGGTTCGGGGACCAAGCCAATTGGAGACGCCGCCTTGGCTGGGGGGCGACCCAAGAAGAACGGGATTCGAGGGGCACCCGGGCAGTTGGAAACACCTAATGCACCAGCGAATTGGACTCTACATAAAGGCAATTCAGTGACACCTTACAAAGTTAAGTCGACGAGGAACGTACAGGTCACCTGCGGATATGTTGTGTCTTGCAAGGAATGGTTTCTGCGCCTCGACAATTTCGTCAATACCGAGGTTAGCCGGGAAGTTGACTTCCGGGTCAGAGAACGTAAGGACGGAACCATCAGCGCCGCCTCCACTGCACACGATGGATAAGTAAAGTAAAATGGCCTCAAGCACAACGATTTACCCTTTGGTGGGAGAGAATCCAATGGCGTCGTGGAATGTTAGGCGAAGGGATTCGTGCACCTAGCGACGAGCGTGGATGGTAAGGCAAAGAAAGCAGCAGTAAACACAAGTAGCGTACTTCTTCACCGCATTCGCCGCCGTCGAAGAGGTTCTGCTGAAGGTCTTCCAAGATTGGGAAGAGGACACAGCAAGCAGCGTTGGCAGTGACTTGACCGCCAGCGCAAGTCGCGCGCTTCTGGGGCAAAGTTACGGCTGGCGATCGGAATATCAACACGGTATTTCATGATGGCCATAGGAAAGGGTTACCATTGACGGCCTGGAGAGCCGCGCCTAATGCAAAAACAAGAGCGGAAAGAGAGGCGAAGGTCATTGCGATGCGAGGATGCGACTGCAAGTAAGACTGAGGCCTTGGAAAATAGTGTCAACTACTCTTCCCTTTTATACCTAGCGAAGAGTCCAATAAAATATTAACATCGGTGTCGTTGTACTGGTTGATCAGCGGTGTACTTCGAGATGATGGGCTTTCACATAATTTGTCGAGGGTGAGAATGGGTGTGTGTACAACCAGAGCGTCGGGTGCATGAACGGCGTCCGTGGGCGCTGAATACACAAAGTGTTCGACAGTCCACCCAAGCCTGCGGAAGCGTCTGAGGGTCGGGTTATTTTTGAGTACAACCGCCTCCGGGTCCGAGAGAGTGGAGTTCGGTGTGCATCAAAGTGAGCGAAGTAGCCCAGGGCAATAAGAAAGGCAAATACTTGCTGTAGCTCAAACCGTCGGAATCGGTGGTACCAAACTATGTCTTGGTCCGAAACACTGAGAGGTTGGCAGTACCCTGCGGATGAAATCTCCTGCCCAAGCAAGGTTGATTGTCCTGTTCGGTATTTGATAGACTCGAGACACTTCAGAAATACTCTGTTGTTGGAATGACTCGGATATCTCACAATCAATCGGCTGAAGTCGCACCGATGTTAATTTGCTCCAAGGCTTCGGTACTACAAGCAATATGAGTGGCGGGTGGTTAATTTTGGTGAAAAGGATGCATGCATAAGGCCGACTAGGGTATCCGGGAAACAAGCTTGGATAACACGACCGGGGGAAAGAGTGATGGTCGTCGTGGGACATTCAAAGCTAAAAAGGCTTCGACGTTGATTCCGATAGCAGCTGCTCGCTTCACTCAATACATCGGTATATTGAATTAACCAGCCCGGAACCAATCACCATGAGCGGGTTTCTCATGGTTAGTGCAGCCACTCACCGGGTATGAGATTGTCACAATGAAAGTGCACCTCGTACGCTAAGAGATCACCTACAAGTTGATGAAATCGTACTGGGCCGTGTTTTAGGCGCGCCAGAATAGAATAGGCTGGCTTTGTTGAGGGAACCCAAACGATGGCACTACCTAGGTTGTCAGTTCTGGTACACGGTAAGAGCTGTACAGATTCCCAAGATCCATAAGGAACACTCTGCGATGTCCGTCGTTGCGTCAGCCCAGATGCCATATGTCAAAGCGGGAGAACTGAGCTAACCCTTCCTATAGTTTGCTCTCAGAGTGACGCGATCACTCCAGTTCGACAACGTGAGGAAAGGGCGAGAATTAGCTGAGTTATCTTAGAAACAGCAGGAGAGTACAGGTAAGGTGTCCGATTTGATGGTTCAATATTCGGTACTGAATGTTCAACAATAGGCGGATCGCCGTTGCACATGTCATGTCAGTGACTGAGGTGAGAGGGCCGAGCGCTTAGCGGCGTTGTTCTTGATACGAAGGTGCCGGAATGGAACAATGGCCTTTAATTAGAGCGGAATCAGAGTTTTTCCATTGAGATTAAGAGGAAGCGGAATGTTGGCACAATAGTTCTCCCCAGTTCTTGAAAGTAAGTACGTCATTGCACTTCGAGTCTCTAATTGCTCACGCAATGTGGGTCACGAAAATCTACCAGAAGATTCGGTTGCCACGGTCAACGTTCTACCGACATCTTTCTGACAGACAAGTAAGTGATGAGAACAATCGAAGGCTAAGAGTGCGTCCCAGGAGAGCTCGTATGAGATATCCTTGCCGGCAGCGTTAAAAACAAGCCTACCGGTGCCATGGGTACAATTGGGCTACAATGAAGTCGGACACTCGTTCAAGCTCGGTCCCGATGACTCTTCTCGCGACAATGCTAGTCGCTCATCAGCCCCAGAGCAACACCGCCGATGGGTGCTACGTGCTAGTGGCCTCATGGTTATGCCATATAAGGTGTTGTCGGCGTAAGATCACCACAAGTGACAAATCGGCTTGAACACTTGCGCTTCTCTGCTGGTCTCAATCGTCTCCCGATATACCATCTTCTTCTCTTCCTTGTCTTCCGCCATTCCGTGGCGAGTGCATCGGATGTACTGTTCTTGCCGCATCCGCTGATGCAAACGATGAATAGACGACGGCAGACGTTGCCCCAAAGGTGGTTCTGGATCTCGGGCACCATCCACCGCAATCTGTGAGGGGACATAATGGAGTTCGTACAATTTAATTTGTTCTCAGCGGCAGAGCGTTGGGGACGAAGTGTTCACCCACGCGGTCCACATACCAGATCGCACGTCCCTGCAGTTGATAGATGTACAAGCGTGAATATTCGAGTGGGTCTTCCTCAAATCATGGCAAACGAACGTCCATAACACTCGGAGCAAGGGCAATATATAACCGAGGATTACGGCCACAGGCGTAGGCGTGAGGAACGGAGAGATTCGTTAAACGTCGACGTTGGTTACTGCGTTAGCTGCGAGCGCGAGTCGACGAGGGGGATGGCGGACGATGCTGCAGACAAGCTGCCAAACGCCGGAATCATCTGCTCACATCAAGTCCAAGACATGATTATGCCGCAGGGCCGGTATGTCCCCATGTTTGGCGTTGACGGTCCTTCTCCCGAACGCGCGCAAAGGCAGCCCACATGTCGTAGATAAACCCCCAGTACGGGGGAAGACTACATTCCGGAGGTAGTGCATCTTCCAAGAATTCCGCGATTTGAACCAAAGGCAATGCGGTGCTAATGGAGCCAGAAAATGTTTTCAACTGCGACAATGGGGTTTGCACGTCCGGAAGGGTTGCCAAAGAAGGTGGAGTATGCCAGTTAAGCTCTAAGACCCGTAGATTACGGGAGATGGGGGCAATCTCGGCGAGACAAGAAAGGTCTACCAGCGTCGACTGGGGAATTTCGAGGGACTCCAGGAGTGGGAAAGCCTGTAAGAGCGTGACCAGTTGTTTCTCCTCGAGCTCGATACCCCTCTTAGTCCTGAGTGTTAGGTGTTGTAGATTAGATAGCGAAAGAAGCGGGCGCAAGGTTTCAAAGGGATGAGGTGTGTGTCCATTATCATCGGGGGAAGTCACTTGAAGCTGGCGAAGATGGCACAACTCCGCACCAACTATCTCAATAAAATGGGGCCAACCGTGCGAATCGACCGCATCGCTTTCGTATAAAGTAGAGCAAAGGGCGAGGGAAACCAAAGCCTTCGGGAAATGAGGCAGTGACACCCACATGCTAGCCTGAGTGAAGGACATATGGAAGTGGAGTATCTCGAGGGAAGGGAAGTAGCCTTTGATCCCGTCCGGTACTGTCGTGAAACTGGCGTTCGAAGAAGCCGCACTCCTTCCCAATTCTACGTAACGTAGCCGTGGGAGGATCGCAAGAGCGTCGATGACGGAGTCAGTTAGCCAAAACGCAGGTATTTTGACGATTTCAAGATAAGTGAGGGAACAAACGATCGATGTGAATGGTGGCAGCAACACGGGGTTTTCGTATTCATTGTAACTCATTGAGACTTCAAATGTCCGTAAGTGGGGCATCTTGAAGAGGACGCATTCGGACGCCATTGAGGCCTTTTCGTGTGCTCCAAAGTGAAGCCCAAAGTTGTCTACTGTGTTCTTTCCTAGCGTCAGCGATTGAACCGACGTACGGCCGAACAGGGATATGACCACGTGTAGAAGGCGAGCATCAATGTCGAACGACAATATCTTCAAGCGCGGAGTCGGATCTGCAGCGTGTGATTTGATTTGGTCGAATACCGAGTGTTCGTAGTTGATGTTCCGTTGGAACGCGATTTTGCGAACTCGCCATGCATACTTGTCGAAACGTAGCCAGTCGTCATCCTTGATAGCACGAGAAAACCTCTACAGAGGGTTAGCCAGATCCTAGGCATGAATTGTGCCCATAGCACTCACTAGAAGACGCGATTCCATTTCAAGAGGCGCCAGCATATTTATCAAGACAGACGCATCGATATCATACCAATTGACACTGAGGGCCTCGTTTGACCACGCTTTGCACACGCAGGCATTAACGACGTTGCTTCCCTTGGTCGAATACGAGAATATGCGGGAGAGCACGCCTCTCATAGTTAATGCATGAGGCATGAGTGAGGTGGTAGTTGACATCAACAGCTTGAGCGCTTGGGATTGTCAGCGATGTGAGCTTTTGATGTCCCCTATCGCGCGTTGATTACCTATTGATAGCATGTTATCCCACTACAGGACCGTCCGAAGTAGCATGGATGTGCCAAGCATTGAAGCAGAGGTGAGGAAAGGCGGAATCTACGAGGCATTGGGTGGGAACAGGGCACAAAACGTTCGTTAGGTTCTACGGTCCGGCATCCCGCCTAGTAAGGATGGGAACTTGGGCGTGAATCGAGAACACTGGTTGCACATGCCACAATGTAGCACTGTAGTCGAAGAGTCGAAGTCCGCCGGTCCTGGCAAGGAGGGCGCTAGGAGATCGATGGAAGGAAACAAATAAACATGGCGAGCAAGAGAAATCGGCCACCCCTATCGAATACTATCTAATAGCACTTACACTTTACAGTGGTCGACTTAATCTATGACGGCTAAGCGAGGCTAGCAAAGTAGTTGCTGTGATAGGATAACAAGAGGCATGGTGCACAGGGACGATTCGCAGCATTGCCTCCCCTGGTGCGGGATGTATTCCACGCGGAACTCTATAAAGTGCAAGTCCGAGATAAAATGTTCAACACATTATAATACTGTCACCGTCTTTGTGAATGGTAGGAAGGTAGAGATGCCATGGAGCCCTCATCATAGCTACTATCAGAGAGCACAGACGTCCGCGTAGAGTTCGACACAAGTGGCGGCCCTCGATGACCAGCACTATCCATGGAGGGATGCGCTGTTGATGTTCTCCCGGCTTCGACATCTGGGTCAGAATATCGTTCTGACAAGAATATTGCATGCTTTCCCTCCACTCGTGGTGTATACAGTAGTCCTCCAGACTTAATCAGTGGTGACATCCCTCCGGAGGACATAGAAGTCTCCCTATAGGCTTCGATGATGTTTTCGGGCCTGCGATCTACCGAACGTACATGAAGACAGCACAATACTAGGGCGGTAAGGTACTCACGGATCATTGCTCGTATTATGCGTGGTTTGACCTTCTTGAAGACACAAAACCCAGCAAACACTATCGCCGCTACCAGGAGCAAGCCTAATCCGACGCTGAGCCCCACGATGGTTCTCCTATCAATCCTAGGGGATTCGTCGATCTCAACCATTTGAGACGGATGTTGACTTTGAAATGCCTCACCTTGGCTTAGAAGGTGTGGGCGTGGGCGTGGGCATGGGGATCTCAGTTTCTGTTGGAGTTTGCGTCAGGAAGTTGATTGGACTGCTACTGTGGGTGTTTATTGTCAATCGGCGGACAAGTATTCCAAGTGGGGAGGCGCTTACAAGGATTGGGTGGTTTCAGGAGCAAAAATGACTGTCGCTGAAGTACTGATGGTGGTCGCGGTGCTAATAAATCAATGAAAATATTGTTCATGATCGAATGGGACAAGTCGTAAGATACACATACGCTGGTCGGGAGCTATCGCTGGTAGGAAGGGCAATCGGCGAAGTGCTCGTGGTAGTCACGGTGCTAGGAAAACATGTAGGTCTCGTTCATAATTTAACGGGCAAGTTGCAGGATGCGCTTACGAGGATTGAGGAGGAAGGACTGCCGGTGGAATCTCTGTAGTGGTCACGGTGCTATGCGAGTCTTGTTCATGATCCAGTAGTACAAGCATTCCGCATTGTAGGATGGACTTACGGGGGTCGGGGGCTATCCTGGATAGGAGTGGTCGCTGGAATCGTTGGCAGAGTCTTCGCAATGGTCACATCCCTAGCAAATCAAGTAAGGCTTATTCATATTCCATTGGAAGTCTGTCACTTACGGGCGTTGAGGAGGAGGGCTGTCGCGGGTAGTAACGACTGTCGGTGAAATGTCCGTAGTGGTTACAGTGCTGGCAAAGTAACATTAAGTCTTGTTCATGATTGACGTTGTAATGATGCACGTACATGAACTGCGGGCTGTCGCGAGCAGGAGGGACTGTCGGCGAAGTATCCTCGGTGGTCATGGTGCTAGTAAAACGATGTGGATCTTGCTCATTGAATGCCGACATAGTGCTCACAAGACATTTATATTATTATTATTATTGTTGTTGTTGTTATTGTTATTGTTATTATTGCTGTTGATATTGACGTTGTTGTTGCTATCATCACTATTGGTGAATCGTCGAGATCGTATGCTATCACATCGTAAGTGCCTCAGATTCAGAACATCGATAACGTATTACTCACAGCGATGGGCTAAGAGTGTGCGCAGTGCCGGATCAAGCACGGTGAGTACTTGCGACGTGCATAAATAGCAAATGACCCAACCCACGGGGATGCTATCATATCTGTCACGTCCTCAATGGGAACAGGACCGTCGGAACCATCATCAGAGTCAAGGCTGGTGTCGGCATCGCGGCCAATCATAGATTCGACACCCTTCCTATGGGCACCGGCACCGTCTGCTCTCGTTTCGCCGCACTTTCCTCGGGCATCAGCGGCGTCAGTTCTCGGAAGATCGTCGTTGTCTACGCTGCGAAGCCAATAATACGAAGTCAGGACTTTGTTAGCATCTGTCTCTACTGTGCGACACACAATCTCTTCACATCACGCCTGGCGTTAAGGGAGAAACGTTGGCAGGGTAGCGTTCGTAGTCGGGATGTGAGGGTTGTGAATAGAGGGCTGGACATGAAGGTGAGGAGAAGAACCCGGCGCCTGGAGTCCAGTGTATTTGAACAAAATGGTCCAATGATCCGTCCTCGGCGGCAATTTTAAGAGGAATCGAGGCCACTGGTTGTCGCTACGGACTGGGACAGCGTCTGCTTCCATGTCTATGTTTGAAGATATCACCGTGAACGTCAGCCATCGATGCTATAACTACCATACGAGTAATTGAACAACATACCCATCCCAAGGCCTCTGATGCAGCGTCCATTGAGATCATCGATGGTTGTTGTCATGAGATCAAGGTCGGGGCTCTTCTTATAATTTCGCTCCTGTCAGATGCAACTGGATTCCTGTCGAGATCAGAGTATATCTGCGGGGTGCACTCACGAAGTCTCATGGTGCAAGACCATAAACTAATAATAGAAATTTTGGTTGAGACATCGCCATCATGTTGTTCGGAAGCGAAAGGGGGCAGTGATACCTTCGTCCATGAAATGGAGGTCGGTTCTAAGATTCATACAGAAGAGACGGGATCATTGAACTGTCCGTTGCGGGCAACGGTGGTGACAGCCCGCGCCTGCGATGCAGTGACTCTGGGTATTGTCACGCCGGAGGGCAGCATGCTGATGAAATGGTTCTGCGTCAAATAGTATTGTCACATTTGAGAACGGTACGAAGGAAGAGACGCTAATGAACCGTTGCCACTATTGGAGAGTGCGGACCCCCGCGTAGAAGTTTGGATGAGTGGTGGAAGCTCTCGACGACTTCCACGAGCAAGATTTTGTCCTGGCAGCGCTCTCCCAGCTTCGACGTCTCCGGCAGAGCGTCTTTCGGACAAGAACGTGGCGCGTTTATCCCTCGTCTGCGGAGGGGACTGGGTTCCTTGAGGCGTGATCAGCGACGTCATTCCAGCCGAGGACGGAGACATCTCTCTATAAACTTCGATAGTGGTCTCAGACCTGGCATCTACCAAAGGTACGTCAAAAGGGTGTGCAGTCTCACGATCGTAAGATACTCACGGAGGATTGCTTGTATCACGCGGGGTTTGACCTTGTTGAAGACCCGAAGGCCAACATACACCATCGTCGTCGCCGAGATCAAGCCCAGCACGATGCTGAGCCCCACGGTAGCCCGGTCAACCCTACGGGAGACGTCATTGTTAACCGTTGAAGATGCTAACGTCAGAGGCGATGCTGACTCCAACTACCTCACCTTGTTTTGGAGGATGATTGCGTCGGGGTGGGGATCGCGGTTTCCGCTGGGGCTTGCGTCAGATTATTGCTGATCGGACTGCTGTATGTACTTGTCAATGGGACTACTATTATGCTTTGTAAGATGGGCTTACGAGGATTCCGTGATATCGCGGGTAGGAAGGACCGTCGGTGAAGGGCCCACATTCGTTACAGTGCTAATAAATAATGTAACACTGAGTTATAATTGCTAGATGTATCACTCACGATATATTGTTTATCATTACGGTGGCCCTTGTACCGGTGAATAGGAAACATTAGACATGTTTCGAGCATTGCTTACCTTGTGGAAGGTGGTGGAGGTAAGGTAGGCATCGGAGACACTATAGACGATTTCCTATCCTCAGTGAGACTAATGGGTGTTCAATGGTATATTCTACATTGCGAAGTAGTTCCAACACACTCACGAAGCAAATTCCTGGGAAATAATTCTGTTTGGTGTTAAGTCGACGCCATGTGCAATCACATTGTGAGTGCGTCTCGTTCAGGATGTTGTCAACATATTGCTCACATCGATGCACTAAGAGTGTGTATGAGGCACCGGATTAAGCAATGAAGATGAGTGTCCATTGAAGGAATAAACTCACAGGAATGCTTTTATAGCCTTGACCTCATCACTGGAGATAGGATCATCGAGATCATCTCCAGAGTCCCTGAGGTCGGTATCGGCTCCAAGACCTCAATGTCAACACGACCTCCAGCTACTGAAGCTATAGCTACCATGTGAGTACTTTGGTGACGTAGTGAGGATGGATGATCAGACGGATAACATACTGCTATTTCAAAGGTTTCTGATGATGTTCGTTGAAACTCCCAATGGTTGTTATCGTGATCCCATCCACTTCCACGGCCATTGACTAGAAGAGACAGAATTGATGAAAGTCAACAATCTCATAGCGTTCTAACGTGGTGCAAAGCTTCACTTACTTGAGGTGCGGCTACCTTCTAGACTGCGACTGTGGGCGAATATGTCGTAGGGGTGGAGACCAGCATCATAACCCGCCGAAAGCACAAGGCGTAAATACATTTAGGATATTGACATCGTAGAAGGCGGCAGCAGTGCCGGGGAACACAACCATGACCGCGGAAACCTGGCCTCACATTTGCCCGGAATATGATCATCGCCCAGGTGTATTGGGAGCAGCGGTATCGACGCAAATGGATCCATAGATAAGACTGGACGCAAAGGTTATTGCTAAAGAGCGAAGAAAGAAACAAGAAGGGGATAGAGAAAAAGGGAAAGGAAAACGGAAAACGGAAAATGGAAAAGGAGGGAGTACAACCCCCTCCTTCTTTCCCATCCCTGAGTATTATACTCCTTGAACGGCGAACCGATGGACATCTCATCAATGTTAATGAGGGCTCGAAATTCGGTTGGAGGAATCCCTGCGCTGGTTTGTGGATGTCGTCCTCTCCCTCCCCATTCCATTTCGCAACTCGCTCGCGTGCTCAGCCGTTCTTATCAGTCTATCAAAGACAGTGTTGAGCACGATGAATACAGAATCGAGCCGGATGACTCACATAGTTCCCCTGCCTCCAGACCCCGAACGAAAGAGCAATGAGCAAGCACGGGGCACTAGGCAGAGCATTTGATGAACGACGAACGCCGGAATTGACTCAGTCAATAACGAGCAACAAACCATAACTTGATTCATGATGGGAGAATACGAGATGCAAGGTACGGACGGGGGTTATGTTTGCACTCCGCACTTGAATTCGCACACCGGGCAATCGGCCCGGGTATCTCATCTACTTGGTAGTTACGGGTCCTGGAATGAAATGAAAGGATCCGTTCTTACCTTTAGTTGGGACGCTTGGGCGCTACGGAAAGAGGGTGGCTATTGTGATAGCCGGATGCCGGTGATCGGGAAATTTGGATCTCATCAAACTTTAAGTTGGAATTAAATTAGCGCTGGGGGATTGAATTGACATTGGCACCAATTCATTGTCTTCCATGTTTATTGCACTTCTCTTCTCCCTTTTTACTTCATCTCGTCATTTTATTTGTCTATATCTTTAAATCTATTAAATCTATATTATTAGAATAGAATGGCCCAAATTGTTATGGTATCAAGATTAATGTTACATAATCAGAAATGAGCACTCACTTCAGGGTCACCCAGGGGAACAGGGGATGGATAGGTAATAGAGAATAGGGACTACCAGACTGAACTCTGGACTATCAATGCTGCCAGATTATGTCAAGGGTGGCCATAAAGGTATCATGTCTTTCCTCATTCTGCATAATATACTTCAACAAATAGGCTTCAAGTACTCAAATCAAGCAAATCATCAAAACACTGAAGTAAAATATCAACAAATGTAGCATGTAAACTGTAGGATTATACATTTAGTATTGAGTTGACACATCTTAGCTGCTACTATTATAAGAGTAACAGAATGATCTCATGTCTGTAAGGACAAGAAAAGATATCACAGTAGCAAAGTGAGCTACAGGGCTATAAGTAAAAGGGTGTGGTACACTTTTACATGTCTGCTAATTAATTAAGTATGGATCTTTCAGATAGATGGATGTCATGGAGATCAGGACAGTGACTTAATTGGAATTAGTAGGGGGGCAAAGGGATAATTATGGAATAGGGAACAAAGGGGCCATCAGACTCTAAATGCCCTCAATGTTATGGTCCAGTTTATTCCAAAGATCATCTCTTCTCACTATCATATCTAAATGTGGATATCATGTCCTCTTACTAATCATTATTCTGATATCCTTAGTAATAACCTCACCAGTAACACATGTCTGCAGTACATAGGGTACCACATGTATTACAGTATTTAAAGACTAGTAAAATTCCAGGGAATGCCAGCTCATTCTCTTGGGATTCTGCTAATTCTAGTGTGATATCTAAAGTCAACTAAGCTATCTTCTGTATTTTTTTTTCTTTAGTATTCTTGTAGGAGCCATGTTAGTCCTTTGGATTAGTGTTGCCCTAACACACAAGTCATGGTTAGGGTGCAATAAAGACACTATTGCTTCATTAGAACACTCAAGTAGCAGACTTCAGATAGCCAAGTCCAGATGTGACATCCATTAAATCATTGTAGTGATACACAAGGGAGTATGGCATAGACATTTACAGATTAACTCACTTCCTTCAGTGTCACGACTCATGATAAATAAGCTGTATACATAGCAGAACATCTTTAAGATAGTCAGAAAACAAGGGAATAGGGGAAAGTGTTACTGAGCAAACAGAATGGGTAAACATCAACCACATGAACTTATATATATTGCTTGTATATCTTGTCACTGTTAAGGACTGTCCTTGCGAGTACAAGGGCCTCATGTTCGCCACAGGTACGCGGCCTGCGAGGAAGAGGAAATAAGGACCTAGTACGTACAGGCTTGGCTTCAGCTACTACTGCGCCTCCCACACTCTTGCATGCCCTGTATTTCAATAGGTGAGGATAGAAGAGAGAGAGACTACAACAAAGTAGTTGAGGGATGCAAAGAGGGTAAGAACAAACTAATATTCAGACTGAGGTACAAGTAGCTATGAGTAGAAACTAGCTACTCGTACAAACTAAATACTGAAGGGCACGTGGTATCTGTGTGCCCATGAAACCTACATGAGTCTGGTAACAGTATAAGTATATGTATTAGTATGTAACTAGTACAAAAGTCTGAGTATTCGCGCATACACGCAGACCAAAAGTCCCAATCTTGTATCATGTGATCATGCCCCTAGTAGCCCCTAAGGAGCTTCCTGATCATGCCCATAACAGTCACTAGAGCCCCCCAGAGCTTTTATGAACATCAGAGAACATGTAGGAATCAAGTAATGTGCAAGCTTGAGCTAAGGCTCTTTCTCTCTCTATACCTATGTACTTCATGGCCTGCAGTTCCTGCATGTCAACTGACCTATGTTGGGCCATTCTCAGCATGGAAATGCCTCTAGACATCAACTCAATTGTCCGCTACACTGGTTGCAAGCTACAGATTGTTCAATGTGTACTCCAGAGTTTCTCGTGCTGCTGGGTTGATGCTTTGCTGCAGTTTTGTTCAAACCCATTCAGAGTATGTGTCGCCATTGTAGTTCAGTGGTAGTAAGAATATAGAAAAAATCACCCAAAAATCAGATCATAAAAGTCTGCCTGGAAACTGTTGGGGGACTCCAGCAACGGTATATATATGTAGATGTAAGGCTGCTAAGCCCGTGTTCCAAAGTTATCATTCACCGAAGATGTGCACACCCAAGTGTGCATTTTTCTACAAAAGAGTGCCAGTGCCAACTGTTTTGTAAACAGCAATAATACTCAAAATAGGCCTCTCACAATCTGGTTTTTCTGTACTATATCTATCATTGAATGAGTCCATGTAAGACAAAGTCACAGGTCAGAAGTTTGTTATTTGTTGATGCTCACCACTATTCATTCTGCTACTGTCTACTCCACAGTTTCCATCTGTTATCTTCTTTTACAATGTGGATCTCATCTCCATCTCCTATCCTAACTTCAATGATTCAATGACTATCTATTTTACCAAGTACTATTATAGATCAATAGGACCCGTACAGGCCATGCATTGCAGTGGCTACAGCCCCAAGTTGAGAGAAGTAGTGACAAGAAAGCGAAGCCATCCTTGCCGTCTGTGCTGTTTGCTCATCCTTTCTTTCATGCTTCAGTTCTACTGAGATCCCTTGCTATTATGACACTCGACACCAATTCCAGCCATGTTGCCGCACCATTATATTCTCGCATACGTGTATCCGACCATAAGCAATACACTCACTTCGCGAAGCATGTATTCACTTCGTCTCATCGTGCATCACCACCCACCATCTTATAATAATGTAATGCAGCACAGGTTTCCTACCAACTAAAAGAGCTCTTTATTCAAGTGGGAGTGTGTCACATCTTGGAGTGGTAGGAAGGAGGAGATCCTAAGGAACCAGCGTCGCTCGCCTGAGTCGTCCGAATAGAGGTTTGCACAAGTGGGGACCCTCTTCCCGAGCGGCCATGTCCCGCAGATCTTCTCCCCTGTTCGACGTCTCCAGTGGAGCGTCGCGGAGAGAAGAATCGAGCTCGCTTATCCCTCGTCCTAGAAGACGACTGCACCCCGTGAAGCGCAATCAGTGGCGCAATCCCAACGGGAGACGTAGCTGCGTCTCGCCGCACTTCTGTGGTGCTATGAGACGCACCATCTACCAAAGACGTGTGATTAGGATCCTTAATACCATTCATAATAAGATAATCACTGAATCCTGTCTTCGCCCTTCGTGACTTGACCTTCCTGAAGACAACGAAGATAATGGGCATCATCACCCCCACAGAAAGCAAGGCCAACGCGATGCTAAGCCCTACGATGAGTCTCCTGTCGAACCTAGGAAATTGGTCGTCAGTAGGGGGTCGAAAAAGAGAGAACATCTTATCTTAACTCAGAGGATGTCTGTGATTGTGCGTTGACTGTATAGGTTGGGGATGTTAACGCGATGGAGGTGCTATGTTTCGAGCAGGTTTATTGTCAACTTCTCGAGTAGTCCCACGATCTGAGTTGGACTCACGCAGGGGTCGTGGATGCCGATAGTGAACTAGCCAGCATAAGGCCTCGTTCAGGATATTCAGCGGCGCACTCACAGGATACTGCTACTATTGATGATAAATCAGCACTCCTTCATTTCTTTGACCGTTGCCTTACCTTGCCGCTTTTACCGGAGGTCGCGCCGTAAGCGTAACAGCTGTTGGTACTACGGGGGGCTGGGAGTTCCCTTCTTGGCGGTATTGTCTGATTCGCCGTCTGATTCTTCGTCTGAGTCGGAAGACGACTCAGATTCCGATCTAGATCCCGACTCATCGTCGGAGACTTTACTGCTACTAGGTAATCAATGGAATATAAGGTGAATCCCTGATAGCAATCCGTCTTATGAAATGGGCGTAAACTCACGGAGTCGTGGTGGTGGTAGGCCTCAATCCAAAAGATGAGGTGCTGAGAGCGGGCATAGCTGGTGGTTGCGGCTTGGGGGGTAGGGGAAGGATTGCTGATATACTTCGGCTGGACATGGGGGATAAACCGATCTACGGTCAGAGCGAAGAGGTTGGAGCCTTGAAAACGGACGGCAGGATGATTGTCCTTAGTCGGGAGTATATCTATAATGAAATCAGGTATCCAACCAGCTTGACGGAGGCGGTGAATGATTACCACACCGCCATATTTGCTCAACGACATCGTCATCAACACCATAATCGCAAGAGCTATAGCCACCAAACGGATGTTCGTAGTATTTCAATGACTCGGGAACGATGGCCGAGGACGACCAGAGAGTGGCATGGCGTCCTCATTAGTTCGACTTCGAGTGATCCTGATGCGTTCATTTGTAGGCATGTACGCGAGTGAACACTAGTGTTCACTGGAATCACTGATACATCACCATGTTGCACGATCTGCGATTGTCATCAGCGTTGGCTCACCATCGGTTGATTCTGATGTGGAGGAGTCGGTGGTAATCTACTTGGCTGTAGGCCCATAGTTCGAGAGACACGCGAAGTCCGACTCACCTTCGAGGCCAGCGTCAGGCGAGCGCCAGGGCGAAATCAAGTTCGTGAATCTTTTTGGTCGTAAGGTAATCACCATTGATGAGCCATTCTCGAAAAACTATCACTTTGCTTGGATGCCGTCGTGCTATGAACGATCATATGGTTTGAATAGGTGATTCTTGATACACGCCTTCTATAGAATCAAGATGCTTAATTTTGCTCGTACATGGGGTCGATAACGAGTAGCGCTCCATCAGCACCGTCAGCATCCAAACCTCCGAGCGCCTCTCAGAAAGCCCCGTATCCTGCATGGTTCTTAGCAAACACCCATCTTCCCTCTTCACCCATTCTACGCACCCCGACGATTCCGCAAAGATCTTGGCGTCGAGCTGATCCAAGAATCCTTGGTTAGATTGGGACAAAGACGCGCTTTGTGGCGCGCATAGACACGACGTATGAGTGGACCAACTAGGGGCGGGTCAAAAAACGCGTTGGCTTTTCTTCGAAGTACTTTAGGATAGCCTATTTACATAAATCTCGATTTCCGGTGAATCGTACCACACGCCAGCCTACACTTACCGATTAGTTGCACTGAGCGCCTTGTCACAGGCGTGGGTAATTGCTACCGTTTCTGGACCAGAGGCGAGTTCCGTATTGCACAATTCATGCAGTCAGGGCTGTCAAACTCGCCATTGATTGACTCTGAAGACAACACCGAAGAGCGACGATGGCAAGCCGCGCAGCCAGGTGAATTCGAATGTGTCGAATCCTGGCTTTCATGATATTTACCCCGCCAGACTTCGCGACATATACGATTCACTCCAAAATGCCGACGCTCGTGCAGCCGTGACCTCCGAATTGATTGCATTGCTGGACAAGATTCCAGCTGGTTTGGCGGACCGTGGTATGTCTTTATCGTTTCACCGTTCAGGTAAAATGCTTTGCTGACGTGCCGATGAGTCACCTTAGTCCTTTCTTCCGCCCTCGAGGTCAAAACGCGCCACTCCTCAATCCCACAGCTAGACCTCCCCAGTCGCAAACGCGAAATCGAGTGCATCCTCGACCACATCTCACGCGACTCCAAATACTCACTTGTCAACCCAGAGAGATCGCGGAGGAACGAGCTCTTTAACGAGGCTGCGCAGACGCTGTTGAGCTGGCTGCAGGATATCTGGCGGGTTGTCTACGAACATTCGACGCAGTACGAAACGGCGCACCGATGTCTGGTTTTTGCAGCGGAGTCGTTGGTGAAACTGTGTGAATCACGCGGAGCGTACGTCCTTCATCTACTACTCATCACCATCGACGTGTCTATCTATCTATCTATCCCCTTTCATGATTATGAGATGTTAATTCTCTTCGTTTTGGCTTGCGCAGAGGCTGCAAGTGCCCCTTAAACATCCCGATCAACGTCTCGATCGAGAAGGAATCCGGGGAGGTCGTCAAGACGTTCGCGTTTACTGGGCTCTCGAACATCGACCATGTCATACTATGGGTGTGGCGCGATCTTTTTGTCTCTATGCTCGTGAGCAGCCCAAGCGCTGCACAGGCGCAGATCCCGCAGATGCTGGTAGACATTGAAGATGTATTGACGTGGCAGGGGCTGGAGTGGTTGTTATATGGCGGGCAACGATGTATGTCTTCGTTTTCAATCTCGTGGTTGATTGCAGTCTTACGATTTGCTTTGGAGCGTAGATCTGTCAGAATCGAGCGACGATGATTTGTTCGGAAGCATTATGGGGTTGGGTTTCGCGTCGGATACCTGCCTCGAAGATGACGACGATGAGCTCCTCGACGAAGTCGACACCGACGGAGACAGACGGTGCTCCTGCAATCTCCACGCCTCCCACTGGTCCGACGAGCTGGACAATGAGCGCCACACCGTCCGCGAGATGGTGCAGGACCACCTCTTCAAGGTCTTCCGCACCGACCCCTCTGTCGAGCTCTACACCTCCCTCAAGAACATCCACGCCGAACGCGACTCCGTCACGGACGAGGTCTACGAGATCCTCGCCGACGTGCAGACGTACTCGTCGGACAACTTCGTCGCGGCGCTCGAGATATACTCGGAGGAGTGCGACGCGGACCAGATCATCGAGCTGCTGGAAGAGTATGGGCATCTGCTCCGGCCGCGCGATGCGCAGGCGCACCAGCGGGCGGTGGTGACGCTCCTCTCGCAGTGTGACGACGAGTACGAGGCGACGGCTGTGCGGATCATCGAGCAGGAGCTTAGCGATACGGTCCGCGCGGTGCATGCATCGCTCCGGGGGTGCTTTTCGGGCATCGACGAGCAGGCGAACAAAGACGAGCTCGACAAGATTCATAAGCTGCGTAGCGCATCCGCGCAGCGGCAGACCCGCGTCTTGCAATGGGTCGAGGACGTCGTTACGCCCTCCTCGTCGTCCCCGCCGAACCCCATCCAGTTCGTCGCGATGATGATGGGGATGCCGACGCCCGGGGGCGACAACGACGGGGACGCCGATCCGTTCATGTATGTCGATGTGGATGACGATGATATGGCGGATCTGCGGGAGGCGTATCGCCCGGGGCTGAAGGAACGGTTTGGGGGGTGGGTGGATGCGGCGGGCCCGCTGAGGACGAAGGTGGCGCAGGGGCTGCTGATGAGGGTGTTCAAGAAGGTCGTGGAGGAGATGCCGTTCTTCAGGTGTGTGGATGTTGTCGACGAGATGATGGAGCAGTGAGTTTCTCCCGCCTTTTCACCTGTACATGCGCTGATTAGTTGATATGCAGCATGGCGGACAACCCAACGACATCGCACATCGTAGACGCGCTCGAGTGCCTGTCGTCGTTCTGCAAGCTCCAGCGCAAGACGATCCTGATGCGGAATGAGAAGGCGAAGAGGGCGAAGGCGAAGATGTCGAACAATAAAGCCGCTGCGCAAGCGTCCACGTCAACAGCAGGAGGATCGGCGGGATCGACAGCAGCAACGGGAAGCAATGGGGCGGGGGTGGCCGGGACGTCGAGTCAGAATGATAGAGATGAATTGGACTCGCCGCCGCCTTTGATACCTATCGATTTGCCCACATCGTCTTCGGCATCGGCTCCTCCGACTGCGACTGCCACTACGTCGTCACCTACCTCGGCTACATCCCCAGCCTCTGCTACAGCGTCGGGCTCATTCCCATCCCTCCCCATCTTCGTGCCAACGTGGTTGCCTGGTAGGACGACAACCAACCCGTTTACGCCTGGGGGCATCGAGGATGTCGACTAGCTATAGTCACTCCTCCCTCGCCAAGCCATGAAGATGCTGAATTTTGAAGGTACTGGAGCCGGAGATACAACTAAAGTTCCAGGTATAGAATACGACTGAAGATAGACTATTCTCTTGATGTTTCGCTTGTATCGATATTTACGCCGCTGAAGAGAGCTATTGTGTATATTAATCCTACTTACGATGATAGGCTAGCATTGCTTCTATTCTATGTTAATCCTTTTTGACCTATGGCTTTGACTTTCTTCCTGCCGCTGACCTCGATCCACCACACTTGCCTTGTTTCAAGGGATAAGTCACTTCTGGGTCTTGCTTTACACCAATGTAAGGCTCAATGCCCCGCCACTATTGATGTTATTGGCTTTGTCTTTGAACCAATCATGCAACACGAATTAACGTTAACCTTCGGCTGTGAATTGCTTCCGGCCTCAGTGGTTGCGGCCCCCTGAGGGTCTCCTGAATCACATAGTTACCTTTTCGGAGAGCCGAGTTTGCAATTGTCCTCTCGACCACCATCTTCGCGACCGCGCCCTTGTATTCTTTTTCTTTTTCTCGTTGAGGAGCGCTGAGGACAGCCGACATGAACACCAGAACTCGGAAAATGAAGCAGCCATGCCATAAGCGGGTGAAAAGGTTCTAGACGGTGACACAGTCGGACCGGCGTCTGTTCCTCTTGCAGCTGGGCAGATGATGGGCCAATTCTGCCTCGAGGCAGGTTTCCTAACGCGGTGGCTCTACCTCGTTGTATACCGTAACCCTGAAATCATCGCCTGGCCGTCGCCGTTGAGGGAGAACACGTTGGAAACGCGCGCCAGGTCCCATTTTCAACAAAAAAGCCGCAGGCTGCAACACAAGGCCCTGCGACTGTCCTTGTTTACGTTTTCCTCTGCTACCATCCTCTATTATCTATCATCGTCAAGGAAGGACGAGGCCGCTTGACCTCAAAGACCCAGCCAACCAGACCGAAGAGACCACATGATGGCCAGCCATTCGCCGCAGCGCAATCGTCCAAAGCCTCAGCCGCACCAGAGTGAGTGTCAGCGTTCCCTTCTTACCTCATGCGCAATCGTATCGTGCACAGTGATCTGCACTGGCTGCGCTCCCGTTCCGTTGCTGGCACTTGGCCAGAGATTTCCAGCTTGAGCCTTGAGGGGGCCTTTGTCTAGATTGCCGTCGTGTCGTGCTTCTGAGTTCTTCCTCGGATAAGCGTTTCTGACCAACCAATGTCTATTCTCAGTACCTCTTCCTACACGAGAAATGTCCCCATCGCCGACGTATCGCGAGCGTCAGCAACGAAGCGTCAAGACCCAGTCGATGCCGCTCGTCCCCTCCTTGATGCAGATCTACCAGAACCAGCAATCCAGCCCGACGATCTCCAATCCCACCGCTAACAGGACTCGCTCGCCTCCCCCTCAAGGCACCCTCCCACCGAACACGCGACAACCTCAATCCGCTTCGAATGTTAACGCTAACTCAAGTGCGGCTGCTGTCCGAGGTTCTACCCCAGATCGTGGAATAACCCCGCCCCCTGCATCCTACGTGGGCAACGCACCCAATCCGGGGGTGCTCGCTCACACGCAAAGCACACCGAATGTGAACGCCTCACAAGCGACTCACTTCCCCCGACCCAACAGGGCACAAGCAGCCCAGTTTCTCTCCTCGTTCCAGGAGATGGAACACAATTGGCAGATGACTGATGAACTGCTTGCCGAGATTGAACAGGCAGATAAGCAACAAACCCGCAGCCAGGCCCAGATCCCACAAGTCTCATCCTCTGCGCAGACCTCACTTTCCCCTCGCGACCAAGCGAACGTTGTGGCGCCGGAGTCGCAGCAGTTGAGAGACGCGAACGTTGAAAGGGTGAAATCCGGTGAGCGATCTAGTCCCAAGGACTCTCCCGACGTCGGCAACCAACAACGTAGGCAGACGATGCCCGCTAGGGAGAGTCCCAACTTTCGTGATCGCCAGCCAAATTCGCCCACGGCTCCTGCGTTCCCTCCCCAGGAACGCACTCCAGAATTAAGGGGTCCCTCTTATCATGTTGGGGCGAACGGAGGCGATATGCAATCGCCTGCTTATAATCAGTACCCACGCGACTCTCCTCCCGTCGCACGTAGGCCTAATCCCGACGTCCGTTCCCAGCCCCAACAGCCCTCAGCAACCAGCCAGACCCCACCTGTCGCCCTTACCCGCTCTCCTGACCGCTCGCTGCCCTTTCAAGAAGAGGCTGAGGATGATGTTCACCTGAACGGCCATCATTCCAAGGTACCAGATGATGATGCATGGGACGAAGAAGAGGAGACTGATCAAGATATAAGACACGATATCGTTTCCCCTGCCCCCTCCTCGGACATCCACCCAACCGGCCCTCGTTACGATGTCAGTCGCATGCACGTGGGCGGTAGGGAGAGTCGAACCGGTCATCGAGGCGACGAGGTTGTAGAAACGCGGGCCACGCCAAGCGATGAAGATGCGTTCACCCCTCGATCTCCCACGGCAGAGCTGCCAGAGGATCCTAGCAGATTCGTCGTGCACGACCACAGCAAAACGATTCGCGGGCCCAGGCACCGTAATGGTTCTGCGGATCAGCTAGGTTATCGCGTCTTGGATGCGTCGGCCTTCGTACAGCCATCCTCAGGCAAGGCACCCGAACCCACCTCGGCTACGTCGGATCAGAGATTGGCTGCGACTCAACAATCTCTCACCGAACGTGCACAATACGTTCAGCCTAATAATATCAATATCAGGCCCAGCGATCTTCAGAACGGACAGTACTATTCCAGTCAGATACTATCTGATGACGCGCAGAGCCTTTGGGAACACCCGTCTGCAGAGTATATACAAGCTTATGTGCAGTCCCCGCGTCCTGGTGCTCCTGTTCCTCCCACCCCTCATAGCCAGACCGCCGCCCCATCGCCATCGCCGTTCGTGTCGGGAATGTATAGCGATGCTGCGAAGGATATGGCGTTTAGCCCCATTCCACCTATTGGCTCCCCGTACCCTTACCCCTTCTCTCATGTACGTCGCGCTAATACCTACGCTGGACAACTTCGCAATCCCCCTCCTCCATCGTCAACGGGTTACGATCCCAACCACCCATCCGTGATTCAAGAGCAACTCGTCAAGCAATGGCAGATCTATGCTCAAAACAATCAAGGTCACATTTCTGACTCTACCTTGTCTCCTTCGTCTACCCCATACCCGGGAGGGGCGTTTATCCCCTGGGCTTATTTACATACGAAGAAGATGCTGGGAATAGACGGGCACGACCCCCGAAGTATTCAATCGAGTCCTAGCCACGAGCCATTGCCATTGCCACCGAATCCAGCCGTTGGGCTGAAGAAAAAGGAGGCTACTTCGAATCTTAGGGTCAAGCCGGAGCCCGTGAGGAAGCCACCACCCAGAGTGGAAAGTACTCAGCCGCGAGACACCAGCCCGGAGCCCTCTACCTCCGGCGAGGAGACCGCTGGCGAAGAAAGATACACGATACCACGGGAAGGCACATGGCTATCCCAAAATACCCGCCCTCCTACCGCCGGCGCTGTCGATGACGATGCTGATTGGATTGACGAGGACGATGATCCGGATGACGATGATTTATTAGAACTAGAATACCACCCGTCATTTATCAATAACGTTGAAAAGCGCCGCCGCCGCTGGGATGCGCGATGGGAAGCTCTAGTTCAATCGGTGAGTATTTCAAATCTAGCTTTTCTCGTACCGTCTTCATGATCCCGATTCCCCCATTCACTTCTCTTCCTATATACCCCGGCATCCGCCTGGTTATGGAAATTCTGTCCCTGCGCCCCGGCATTGACCCACTTACTACCATAACTAACCCATTTCTTGTCACTCCACAGTTCCAAGCACTTGATCGGCAAACTGATGCTACGCTTGTTCTGCTCGCTGCGCCGTCCCACTCCTCGTCGAAAATGTATTCGATCACATCTCGGTCCATTCGCCGGCAGCCAGCATGGCGAAATTCCCCCGCGATGGCGAATCTACGATCGAACTTCCGGCATATTGCTGTGCAGCGTCGCGCGACGAGGGTGCAGAGGCCAACTCTAGCTGATCGCTTGCTGGCGATGCCTACTACGTCGTCCTCAGGCGGCGACGGGAGCGACGGGAGCAATGAGTCTAGAGAGGAGGATCTAAAGAGGGCTCTCGGGACGGCTTTGGGGAGTCTCGGGGCGCTTGGAACTATCTATGAACAAAGGGAGGCACGTTGGAAGGACGAGATGAGGCGGATTGGTGAAGACAGAGAACGAGTGGAACTTTTACTCAAGCAAGCTCTAGGGGAGGATGCTTTGAATAGCTTGCGCTCACCGCACGGTCTATGATTGTAGGCTCTATGGCTCTATGGACTATGCTTTTCATTTCGTACAAGGCATACGCTCCTGTATGGCTTCGATGGCTTCCAAAAGCCTTGTATGGTCCGACACTTATGTATGTACATATTGTACGAGCTTTTGAATATGCCATGTATGCAGAGTTGTTGTCGCAGGCTGATAGCAATAGCCGTAGTATATGTACTATCTAACAGATGGAGATTACACAGAAAGGACGCAGGACCGTCTATATTTTACAAGCTAATGTAGAATCAGTTTTCAACGAAGATGTCTGCGACGTTAGTAGATACTATCTTCTGTTATCCAAAGACGCTCCACCCAATCCCACGCAGCAGGCGTCTCCAAAACACTCCGCAGCGGATCAATCGCTACCTTAGAATAATCCACCTCGTCGATATATTCCCTCAAGTCTTTTAGATCATCCGCCGTTGGATCCTCTAGCCCCAGTACAGCGTTTGATAAACTCGCAAAATCATCGCCCAGACCACCGAGCAAGTCCTCGTGTTCAAGGGGGGGGCAATAGTTATTTTGTTCGTCAACAGCTGGCGCTGAGCCCCAACTTCCTGGATCCGCCCAGCCTTGCCCCCATCCGTGCCGTAGGGTACTCGGTCCAAGTTCAGCCGTCACATCGCATGTCTTCAACTTACGGCCCAGCGAATATGCGTATAGCTTCGAGTTTCAGTAGCAGATTGTGTCCATCACACGTCTCTTCATCGGAAAGAAGAGTGAGACCAGAGAGAATGGGCGTAGAAGAACGGTGGCCGACGACCAAGGCGACGACAGCCGGTACGGTCTTGAGGAACCGCCGCCATTCCTCCATGCTCGGTTCGTTAACAAAAGGAGCAGCCAGCCACGACTCTGTGATGTCACTACCGTCGATGTACTGCGGAACAGCAAACAATGATTCGTCTCTGGCAAACCTCCCATCTATCTGAAGGCAACCCTTGTTCGAAATTATAGTATACCCGGATTGGGAAATATCGAACTTAGGTGGGCAGGAGGCGTGATGGCCATGACGCGGAGCTCCGATATGCTACCGGCCTGTTCGCTCGGTTGTGCGGGATAAAGGTCGCTGAGGATATATTGAAGCTTTGGAATCGCATCTGTACCCCAAGCGAGGAATTCTACCGGGTGGGGTATAATGAGTAATGAGCATATCCAGAAGGTCTGAGAGGGACTCTCCATATTTTCCAGAGAGAGGATACGCAGGCAACCAAGGACTCGGACCTGACTGGAAAAGTGCGTTGAGCAATATATAGTTCCTCTAATTGGGGGAATGCGCGAAGTACGTTGAGAAAGTAGTCCAAGGGCCATGCCGAAGTCTCGTATTCGCATGCGAAACAGAGGAGTGCCAGGGCACTCAGAAGCGCGCAAGATGTAAGGCTAATCGACGACAAACGAAGCTGACGAACGCGCCCAGCATGGCACGGGGCCAATCTTGCTAGTAGTCCGGCAGTAGTCGGCGTGGTGTTGCGCATAAGCAGTTCTTTGTGAAGACAGATCCTCAGCGGCGTCGATTTCGACCGCTCTAAGTTGAGATTGAACAGTTTATTTTGGCAGGAGGATTGTTGGCAGATGCTTGACCAGAGTTGTGGAAAACCGATCGTCACGTCTCGCCACACTCGACACACAGCCGAAACGACGTACACGACCGGCGGTTGCTTGTAACATGGGCAGCGAGATCTAGGACCTCCAGCTGGTCTAAGAGGGAGAAAGTCCTGTCTCACCTCCCTATCGACGAGATCCTCGAATATCTTGGCCAGGATTTCAGGGTGAAGTATATTGATGGGCAATCTCTCGTTCTTCAATAATCGGTCATCTATCATTGCACGGTAGATATTGGTTCCAACTAGATCAAGTCAGAATGAGTCTTGAGTATTGATGGAATGCGGGGTACCTCTTCGTCGGAGAGCTGCCTAGCTCTGAGAAGTTGTCTGTGAGTTTCGTTATGTAGTAGTCCGGGCCAGGAGTGCTTTGGGTGTGCTTACATTGTAGGCGGGGAGTCCGTTTGTGTTCTCCATTGTCGAGAATGATGAACTAGGAAGTAAAATGTAGAACTCCAAGCTTCACAGCGCTACTCAGCGCCGAGCAGCTTTCGGAAGAGAAACGAGAGGGCATGGACCGAGGCCCTAACAGAGACACACACTTGGCCCCTAAAGCTGCCATACTGGCGACCAGGGTGTACCGATGACAAACGAAGCTCCCGGATACGCTCAACATGGCACGGTACTAATCTTCCCAATAGTTCCATCGTAGTCGGCTTCATGCAAGTTGCGCATGGGCATTTCGTACCGAACGAAGATCCTCAATGGGATCCCTTTCGAGCGTTCCAAGTTAAGATCAAGCCACTGGTTCTCGCGGAAAGATATCTGGCGGATGCTCGACCACAGTTTTGGAAAGCCTTCGTCGCGTCCCGCCACAGCCGAAACTACGTACACGGCCGGTGGTTGCTTGTATATATGGAGGTCGCACAGCTCTGGCATGCTCCGTCAGCGACCTCGAAGAGACAGTCATCACATCTATACACGCTGTCCCCGTCGTCCCAGAAAGGCTCGGATACCTCCTGGCCTCCATCCGCACATGTTTCGCCTTGTTTCTTGTACGAAGCCAACTCCTTCTCCAAGGCCTCCAGCCGCGTAGATAGAGTGGCACACTTGTCCTGGACCTAGGACAGCGACAAGTCAGCGGAAGGCGGACTGGGTGTGTTGTGATGTACCTCGCGAAGCTGCTGCTGGGAGTCGTTGCACCGTGCAGATAGTGACATGATGGAAAATGGGGACAACCCAGTCACTTAGCGGCGCGTGCGGGAGAGACGCCACAACCAGTCACGCGCACGCGTTGTGAGTTCAAGCTCATACACAGGGCCGTCACCTTGCATATCAAGCGCTACGGGCCAGTCCCGCCGTGCTCACTCACAAATTTCACAGAATAAATCACCATCGCAGCAAGGGTATACGGTAGTCGAAAGCCGGCATAAGTACGTGAAATCCACGTAGGGTTGACCTCCCTTCGAGTTGAATATCTCGCCAAAAAGGATATCATTTCCTTTCGCGCTCCCGCCAGGAGCATGTCATCGGAGGTTCTAAGAAGATCACTGCCATCGTACTCCAGGAAAGGACTAAGAGAACGAGACAAGAAGCCCACTGGCATCTCCGCATCTTGGGTAGAGTGCTTTGTCGAATCCTTCACTGTATGCCACGAGTATTTTGACTCTGAGAGCGGAGGGGAAGGACTACAACCCATATTCGAGGGATGTAGTCTTCCCTTGACGGTCTGCGCATCATGACTGCAGTCAGTATCAGTGGCCTATCAATGATTCACTGGCCGGCAGGTAGGTACAATTTAGACGAATCAATCTACAGTAATACATCGACGTTCCAAATTTGTTCTTTACCAGAGGATTCACCAGTCACGATCTGCTTGCCATCGGGGGAGAAAGCGATGGACCATATTTCCTCTGCCTCAAAATTTGCCAAGATCTCTCCGGAGTATGCACTCCACAGGCGAATGGTACGATCCGCAGAACTTGAAGCAATGTACTTGAAATCCGGTGAGAAGGCCACACAACAGACCCAACCAGTGTGTCCACATAGGACACTCACTGGAGTACCAGAAACCGCATCCCATAGCCGTATCGTCTCATCGTGTGAGCAAGAGACGATGTGGGTATTGGATGGGATGATTTGGCGCCTGTTGGCGGCAGTGACAGAGCATAGGCGTGCGCACTCCGCGCCCAGAGCATGTACAGAGTGTTCTGTGGGAAAGCAGTGAAGCTGTCTCAGTATGAGGGGCGCAACCATAAGCTCGTAGCACTGATAATCTAGGAGGATCCAGGTGTAAGGCAACATTCAAAGTATGCAACTAAAGAGGAAGAACAACAACAGCCGCCGCCACTCGCCTATCAAATCGCAATTATCTTGTCAAGCAATGAACTTCGAACCACCCTTCTCACCTCGCGGGATACTGAGAAGTTGGAGTTGGTAACGCTGTCAGCTGGGAGCGTACTTGTGATTTGGCTTCTAGTCGGGTAAGTGCACAATGCTTCGTATAGTACTGACAAGAGCCTGGACAACGACATCTGTCTGTACGGGGGCCGTACGCGGGGCCGTCCCGTGATTCTGAGGCCCCAAGGCAAGGTCCTCTATAACCAGTATGCGTGCTCCGTCGAGAGTTCTGTGTTTGTTTGGGTCGTGCATGAAGCCATCCAAGTCGCAGCCGTCCTCTTCATCGTCTCCTTCGTCTCCGGCGACGTTTCCAGCAGCGTCGGCCTCATGCACAGTCTAGTCAGCAACACCCCCCACGAGTCTCGTTTCCCAGACGCCCGGTGTCACCTCGACGGTCTCCCATTGTTCTGGCGAATGATTACCATACGGCAGATAGAGCGGAAATATAATCGCGTCCCCGAAGAAGTCCTCAATACAATCCGTCCAAGTCTTCGCTGCTAAGCTCCACGCGCCTGCCTAAGCGAATTTTCCACTGATCGCCTCTTTTCACGCCTTCTCCGGTGAGTTCGTCGAAGAGATCTTGGTCAGCCCAGGCGACGACCTAACGTCTGAGGTGAACTGCAGCTCAAACGTCTCGCACATGAGACGCGTCGCGCCGCGAGCGAGCAGTCCTTTGTACTCGTCCTTGCGGAGGGCGTATATCCGGGGGACGAGATGAGGCGGGAGTTAAAGGAGAAGTGTCGTTGCTGCAAATCCCTCAATGACGGGATGGTCCCCAGACATAGCTGGAGAGAAGGCCGCGAGTTCAGTACGTTCAGGTGCATCGATACGATCACGTGTCACGTGTTATCCCCATTACGGATTCAAATTGTCACTCAATTACAAGCCTTCGCTGGATCTCAAGTCTCGACACTAGACGAATGGGAACAGAGCTCGAACAGGACGTCCTTGGAGTAGAGGGTGAGGAAAAGAAAGTGAAAAGAGAAGAAGGGAAATACGGCGTACGTATATTCCACACTTTCCGTATTCACAATTCACTGACGGCTTTGCCTTCATAGCGATACAGCCCGGTATTGGGAGCCTCCGAGGATGTCAAGTCAGAGGTGAAGCACGAGATGAAGGTGGAGCATTGCGCATTACCGAAGAAAGAAGAAGATTTGGACACGAAGATTGACCTCAAACTAGAGGCAAAGACAGAGACCCCATCCCTCGCGGTATGGACTGGCGTTCTGCGCATTTGACGTCTTCTCCTAGAACCTAACCTGCTTTCAGCTCGACGCTAGAGGTACATTCCCCGAAACTTCGCAGGCAGCGCCCTCCGAAACCACTAGCACCATCTCGTCAACCGAGAGAGTCGCATCTGACCTCGAGCTATCATACCCAAGTACGCCACAATCCCATGACGTCGGCCTTTCATTTCCACAGGAATTACGGCCTTCAAGTCCCTCGATCGACTCGAAAACGGATGTCAGAACGGAAGGCGAAGTCAAGGCGGAGGCGGGCGTGAAGGCGGAAGTAGACTCCCTGGCTGGCCTTGTAAAGGTAGAGGCGAAGCTGGAGGGGGGAGATGACGCGCCGTCAAACCCACTCAAGGAGGAGGAAGTGGTTAAAGGAGAGATTAAAGACGAGATACCTCTGGCAACGGTACATTTTGTCTTTGACTCTGCCTCTCCTAGCTCCACTGAAGGCTCTAGCAGGCTCTCGATCGTCCTCAGACACCTATGAACGAAGATAATGCCGCCATTGATCTACCCGAACACCATCCCAAAGCCGCAGCGACGGAACGTCCCACCGATTCACCAATAGGCCTCGCCGTGACCGACCCTCTGCCAGATATACCCACCGCTGACGTTTACGAGTCAATGCCTGCAGGCTCCAAACTCGAATCGACGGACGTCGACTTGCAGCCCGTGCCGGCACCCGTAATGAGATGCAAGTTCATGTTATGCGTTGAACCACCCTCGCTCGAATCTGTGATGGCTCATTACAAACGGTGTGCTGACTGGGCCAAGGTATGTAGTGTCTTACTATCGTCTTCTGGTTGCGGTCATAACCACAAGATAGACTATCGTGAAAAAACCGAAGAAGGAGGCAGTCATTCCATTGAAGACGCTCGCAGGTCGATACGAAGCACTGGGGGTGACCGAGCCCTTCCATGTTCCACTGCCTATCGACGTGAGGGATGTGGCTTTCTCCCGACAGCTAATCTCGTCAATTTATGGCGGCAATGTTCAGCAGACGTTTCCCGTCCCTAGCGCTAAATTCCTCGCACAACATGGCTTGGACGACTTCATGTGCCTGAACTACATTATGCATCCCAATGCGCCGGAACTTGTCGGAGCACCTGGTTTCTACTGCTCTTCTGGATCAGGGGATCCTAAGGCGAAGCGTGCGCCCTGGACGAAGATCATGCGCCTCATCCTTCAGCTAGGACCTTCCCGTTGGCAGTATTATGGCCAGTACCAGGTCGAGCCGAGCGATGCCCTTAGCCCACAGGAATGGCTTGCTCAATCACCAGGAGTGTGTACTCTTCACTTTACTGCGCAGATTGTGTTAACTGTGACTTAGTTTAGACGCCAGTGGGTCAATGAGATCATGATACGGCAGGGATGGGGAAACAAGATTCGATGTGAGGTCTTGCTCCGCAAACGACTAGGACGGCTTCCGACAGACAAAGAGCTTGATGACGCGGTAAATATACCTGGGTTTGCGCAGGAGGTTACCCCTGATGATATCTACGAGTCCTTTGCCCGTGGTGACCATGTAAGCTCACTCATTGGAGTGTACACAATTACATACTTACCTTATCTAAAGTTCATCGCACTCTGGGGAATGAAGTGCGTTGGATACGATACAGCATTCCAAGAACGGCTAGTTGCAGCTAAACAAGCGGCGGCAGCGAATGAAGACGTGAAAGAAGAGAAGGACAAGAAACCAAAGGTGTCCAAGAGGAAGAAGCAAGCTGCTTCTTCTGATGCTCCAAAGAAACGTGCTCGCAAGGACTCACCTTCAGACCCGGAAGGTGACTCTAAGCCCCTCGACATGAAGGTAGATGACGATGCTGTCGACGATACCGAGCAACCTCCCGCTATTGTGAAGAGTAATGATGATGATGAGATCCAGATTGTCCAACGACCAGTGTTGCCTAGCAAGAAGGTATATACTCCTCGGGGCACCCGCTCGCGCCCTGCTTCAGCAAAGGTGATCGTTATTGACTAGGCATGGAGCCGTTTGTACATTATTTTACTTTCCCTGTGATTTTGCTATGATCTTGCTTTCGTTGTCCCATCAGTCCCACATATAATGTATATAATATTGGCTTATATTGAGTAGAGTGCCTATTATCTTGGAAATATAGTTTGTGCAAGTCTATAATCAAGGGCAGTGTTGAACACCACATTATCCATGAACCTCATCCCGAAACGCTGAAAGAAATTCGTCGATCATATACCAATCGGGATTTGAGTCGTCTAGTGGCTCGAAATACACCGTACACTCTGCAGGAAGGACACGGCTCATGAACCGCGCGACTTGCTCTGTATTGACAGTGCTTGCGTCAATATAACCACACAGGTGTGCTAATCGGGGAAACCGATGGAGCGCGTGAATGGGGACCGCAGAGGCGGACCAGGTAAGTTCAAGAATTTCCAAGTTTGTGGCGATGGGTGCTAGTTCGTTGATACAAGAGAGCCGGATGGCAGATGCATGTGGTATTCGGAATGATTCAAGCTGAGGCGATGCCCGGAATATCGAGACCAAGGAAGCCTCGTCGATATCTGTTTCTAAGTTGTACGGGGATAGAAGGTGAAATGTCCTCAGTCGAGGCAGAGAGCAAACTGCCCTCAAGTCAGCGGCAGAAGGGGTTGTACGCCATCCATGTTTTGAGGCAAGGCTGAGTTCTTCAAGGGATCGGAACTGGGACGTTATGATCCCAAGAAGCGGGGGCCAGTCGTCTTGCAAAGAAGTGGATCTGAGGTATCTGAGGGATAAAGACGTCAAGCCCTTGGTGTTATGTAGTTGAGCTAACCATGTTGCGTTGTTGAAGCTCATGGTCAAGGCAAGGCAGTCGAGGGAGGGGAAATGAACAGCGGATGGCGGGAGGGCGATAGCAAGATCGAATGGTCTGCCCGTTGGAAATGCTTTGATACATCGGAGGCGAGGGTGCAATGCGAGGTGATGAATAAGTGTGCCCGTCATCCAAAAGTCGGGAATCTTAAGGCTCTCGAGAAATGGGAGGTCGCGAAGCGTAGGTCCTAGAAATTGTACCAAGGAAGCGACAGTGCGCGGCTCGTCGTATTTATACTGTATGGACAATGCCCGTAGGTCGGGCATCCGGGTGGATAGGTAGCCAAGTTTGGATTGTGAATCATTTTCGATTTCAAGGTTTTCTGGGACAAATAAGACGGTGTCTGGAAGCGCCAGGGACTGGACCGCCGAGTGACCAAACAGTGTTACAGTCTTGTATGGGACGTAGGTCGTGAACGTCAACGAAGTCAGATTAGGTAGAAGCTCAATCCGTGGTCTGGTGATGGCGATTTCCGCGAATACTGATGATTGTTCCCAGCGTCCACTGAAGGTTAGCTTTCGAACCCTCCATGCATATGCGTCGAAGCGTGCCCAGTCGCCAACCCCTATGCCGCGAGTGAATATCTTAATGAGTGTTAGCTTCATGAACCCACTGGAGTATATATTTCTGACTCACAAAATTCCCGTTTGAGACTTTCAATGGCGCCAGCAACGAGACTAGGCAGCGTATTTCGATGGCAGACCAGGTGTAGTTGAGCGCCTCGTCGAACCATGCCTTGCAAACGCGACCGTTTGTTGCATTTTCACTCGCACTTGAGTACGAGAACAGTTCGCAGAGTAGTTCTTTTATCGACAATGCACGTTGAACTGATGACGAGTTCATGAAGGCCGTAGGATAAAATATGGAGCTAAGCGCCTTGGCCAGAAGTGGCCAGCTTATCAAGGGCTTACACAACACTGGAGCACTGCTCGCATAAACGGATTGAATGAAAAGACATACCTATGACGGTTAAAGTGATACTTCATATAAGAATCAAGGTCAAATATACTTAGCCCCTGTAGGCTGTTTTAAGGTGAAATAGTCGCCGACCGTAGTTGGAACACATTTGGACAACGTACAAATCTGTGGCTCGGCACGGGCAGTAGGGAGTAATTGTTAGATCGTTACTAGCTATCATACAATGGCCTAGTGCAGATCAGACGCTGCCAGTCGAACACCGGACTTGGTATGACATCCCAAAACAACGAGAAGTGGCGCTCTCCCGAATATATAACATCACCAACATAGTCCTTTAAAGCTGCTGTATCAGCCGCCATAGCCTCGTTTCGCGTGGAGTTTTGATTTTTCAGGGCTTCACCGGCTGGTCCGCTGAATGAGGGCTGGTTTGGTGGCGAGAGTGCCAAGATTTCACAGAGGTCAAGACGGGAACCTATGCGATCCCTTTGCTCCACGAGTAGTGAGAGCCGGAGGAGCGAAAGGCTTCGATCGATGATTCGAAGGGTACGGAGGTTTGGACAGAGAGGAATCGCAGAGATTCCACCCCTTGGCAGGGTGAGGGCGGATAATATGGGATGCGAGGGACGATCTACGACGACTAATGTATCTAAAGCAGGAACGGACGTGAAGAATAAGCGCCACTCGTCGAAGCTTGGCTCTTCGTGGTACCTTTGTCCTAGCCACAATTCACGTACGCAGGAGAGATCAAGAAGGTCGGGGACCTGCGCAAGAAGAGTGGGTCCAGAGGTGAAATCACCGTCCAATTGGAATGCGGAGGGGTTGGAGACGATGGTGCAAGATTGGGGAGATCGCAATGAGGGCATAGGACATTGCGAGTGGCGAACGGAAGGGGGAGCCGTTAGTCGTAACTCCCTTACATTTTCCTTGGGAGTGATGAAGCAAGGAACGAGGGTACGGAGAACCCGTGAGACGACGCTGGTGCGGAACCCCCAGATGAATATTTCCACATCGCGGGGGAAAACTAAGTATTGCAGGAACTCGGATATGCGAAACCTATTTGGCCAACCACCCACAGCAATGATGCGCAAACGTTCTAGAATGACCTTACTGGCGTGGGGCGGAGTTGAGTCGTCTGTAAGCCTGACGTGGGCTAGGCAAAATTCTACCAGATCGGGCGAAGCTCGCAGAACGTCCATCACTTGTCCTATGGAAGCGAGCGATCGGGTGAACGCGACGCACAAGTGCGTGAGCCCGCGAAACCGTTTGAGTGTGTCGAAGAATGGCCAACAACCTATGAGAGTTACCCTCCTCAGATGAGGAGTACTACTGTCGCAGAAGATCAACTTTGGAGGGGGGGAGGGCGGGTCCTCGCTGTCGGGTTGAGGCGCGTCCATGGCGAGAGTGAGACATTCCAACTGAGGAAAAGTTACGGCCGCCAAGCTCGTTTCATTGAGAAACTCGGTTGAGATATCCACAAGATGCAATTCTTGTATTCGGTGGGAATGTGATGCGATGGCATTGAGTAGGGGGATTGCCAACGTCGCTGGATGGCATAGCAAAGGCCAAACACCTTGTGGACGGAGGGCCATGGAGGAAACAAAGATTCGGAGCGGCGTATCTCCCGATCGTTTGATGATTTCTAACATACTTTCTCCGTCTTCGCAAGTGTAGATTGTTGACCACAGATTTGGAAAACTGAGCGCCGCCTCTCTCCATCGCCTACTGACCATCGACACTGTCTGAATTGGTTGAGGCTTGCGAAACCTGACTTGCATATAATTGGGAATGAAGCCTTCCCGAGAATGCAGCTGCCACATCAACTCGTTGAATATCAACCCCAACACCTCCAACGGAAGCCTGTGCACCGGAGAAGCCATATTGCGAACAGAACGCAAGGCCGAAACGGCATAGATAGCCTTAGACTCCACAATGACAAACTGAGTCCGCCGTCATGATCATCAACTTGTTGACAAGAGTGTGGTGCGCAGTGCTCACCTGCTCTTCAGAGAGCTGGCCCGGCTGTCTGAGCTCAAGTTAAAGTTAGCTACTAACGCCTCATGCCAGTTGTTCGTTTCACTTACAGTTTTTTCAGCGTGGCAACTAGTTCATCTAACGAGCGAGACGCATCATCCACAGCGTTAGACATCTGGGCTGCGGAGGGAGAAAGGAAGGAGATAAAGTAGACATCTTCGATGTAATCAGTGCGCCGATGTAAGCGCTGGCGCGCACACTCACGAGGCTTTTTATAAGTACCGACGACATCAGGTAGTTATCGGTCCATATTATCTGTATCCTAATTTTACACAGCAAAAGACGAGATTCAAGTTCTCAAAACGTATCACATATCAGCAGGGTGCTCGCCCGATGGTTTGTAAATCGGAGCCCAGCCCCTCGAAGGGGGATTGGGAGTCGGCTCGCTGTCGCCCGATGTTGTCAGTGGGATGTACCGAGTAATGAAGAGTAGGAATTTTTACCTCGGGCGTTGCTTGAAGGCATCTATTTCAGGACCTTCATTAGCCTGCTGCTTTTGTTGCTCGCTAACATCAAGTAAGACATTAGATATCTAGATGCGGGCAAAGAGAGATAGGGTGGACTATCACATACCTGACAATTAGTTGTTGGGCATTATAGGAGGGATCTTCTTCTGAGGGTGGACTAAACGAGAGGCGTTGGTTACGCGCTGATCTCTGTGAGTACGGCGAACTCACACTGGCACCTGACGTTGTCGCTGAAGGAACTTGGCGACAGCTGGATTTTCTGGTTCCGCCCTTCAAGCGACGAGGAAATGAACGGTTGGTGGGACATACGATCATGAGTGATTGGGTAGCGTACCTCTTAGCAATCGGTTGCTGCTTGTCGTCCGAAGCCGGTTTGTACACAGGCTCCCAGCCGCGAGAAGGCGGATTTGGCTGGTCCGGGCTAGCGGGGCGAATTAAGGGGTGAGCAAGGGGGAGTATTACAACGAGTCTCACTTCTGGTGGGAGGAGAAAGTTTCTCGGTCGATATCTTCTTCACTGTGGGAGTTTATGATTCATTTTCAGGTGGTACTATGGAAGAAGCACGACGCACCGAGCGACGGCTTGGGGTGCCTGCGGTTCTTGAGGCATATAGATGGGTTCCCAGCCACGACTTGGATCTGTATCAGAAGGGGGGCTATTGTTGATTCAACCTGAGTTAGGCGATGCGGCGTCGATACCGTAGACACGTACCTTGGTCGATGCCTGAAGTCTTCGATCTCCGAATCTGAAACTCGTTTTCCGCTGCTCGAATGTTAAGCACACTATATTCGGAGTCACGCTGAAAACGCACCGTATTGTGATGTCTTGGTCACTCGACCTCCAGTTTGGAAGGGAGGAGATCGATGCGGTAGTGGAGTTTATACTGGGAAAGATGGTCGCCGAAATGAGGCGCAGACCCTAAGGTCAATATGAAGGAAGACTTACATTCGTTTGACGAGGATGGGTGCTTCGAGGGTCGGATATATGAAGGACAATGTTACTGCGATAAGCAGTACTACGGCGAATGATCTGAACATAAGCAATCGCCAATAGTTTTCACTAAGCAAGGTCGATCAGATTGTACAGGAAACCACAACGACGGGGCGAACCTATGATTTAGTGCGAGTTCAATGTATGAAGTGAACGCAGGGCGTAAATGATTGGTGAGAAGGAGGGAATGCTTCCGCCCTTATATGCCACTGCAACTATATCGTCTGATTTCCATCCACGTCTGGATTACGGGGAAACAAGTGCATTCTTCACCCCCACCCTCGTTCGCGGAAGGGTCCGTATCGAATAATGGAACGTACGTTCGTTAGCGGAAAGTCAAGACTTGCCAGTGTTCTTCTTCGAGGATTCGAGTACACGACTAGATCCTTTGCTAGCGCACTTTTCAGATGGAGGATGGTGGTGCAGGTCTAGGCCACCGGGTACTGAGGCCTGAGCGATCGAGGGTGAAAGAAATGGCGCGACTGATTGTAGGAAGCTCAGTGCAAAGGAGATTTGTGTTCGGCGTGGGTGTCCACGTCCAGCCTATTCCAAGATCAGGTGATGAAGAGGACCATCTGAACGAATAATCATGCGGTCTAATTACCTTGGTTCAGCACAATCCAATGCAAAAGACTACTACTCACGACGCGGGCCACCGATCGACTCGATTGAAGTCGGCTCTTCGTCGAGTCTCGATTCTCCCTCATTCATGATTTCAGCCGATACATTCCCAGTGTTTCGCTTGGCTAGTTTGGACGATAGGCCATTGCAATGTGAACGGTGATGCGCTTGCAGAGCACCCCTCGTTGGGCCCAACTGCGGACTTCCAAAACAATCAAGCGCTGAAGACAAATATAGCTGTAACTTTATTCTCTTCAGCGAACTCCTTGTACAGAATCCTACCGTTCTGAACTAAAGGCGACTGGCATCGCTCTTGATATGCCCCGCGTTTGCTGCCTTCTTCCCCAATCGTGTCCTCCACGAGAGGCGGAGTCCACCCGATTTCCGAATCCAAGTCAGATTGTTTAACGAGGATATTGGATAGTTCCAAACTTCCAAGACGGAGAACAGCTATGAGTTACTGTCAATCGCACCACTGCGGAGGCGGTATCGTATCGGCGACGCTACCTCACAACATGTCTTCCTCGCCGAGGTTCGCACATTTCGCATCACAGCAGTCACAGTGCCTCACCTGTGGTATCGTTGAATACCCTGCCAGGCGAGTTGGGGGTACGTTTTTTTTACTTGCGATACGAGCTATCTCATGGCGTGCTCGCGTAGCTCGACCTTCATTGTGGCCGACAACTAGTAACTGGTGATTGAACTTGAACTTCGCCAAGTGCTCTGTTATTCGCTATCCAGTCCCCCCTCCGCCTTGGCGATAAAAAATTAGAGTCAGGCTAAGGAACGCGCCCCCGTTATTAGCTTTCAATTCGCTTTTAGCCACTGAGTGGCATCTGCAATGGAATCCACGAAAGCAAGAATTTCGGCAGCGATCCGAGCTTCTGACAGCTGGTATGTTCTACACTAATTACCTGAAGATACTCGTGGAACATGCCGAGCAGGTTTGCGGGGGGAACGATGCCCTCCTATATACGTTGATACCGAGTCCCAGTATTCACTTCCGACTATAATCGATAACTCATGTGCGCTACATCGGACTACCTTCGCCGGCCGGACATACTAATGTTTCTTATAGGCGCTGTTGACATTTTAGATCAAAGTGACGTAGAGCACTAAACGCGAGCTTAGCAGCTTCCAGTCTTTTCGCTGGCCGGTATAAAATAAGGATCCCCTGGGTGACTCTACCCAGACCTTCACTCCTCCATACTCAGGGGATCGTAGCAAAAGGACTACCGTCTTGAACCATTTTATCCAGTACGCATCCTTGTCACATTTCTCAGATCCTTCGCTAACGTGTACTGTCTAGTAAGAATGCGTTTCATTAGCACCACGCTTTTCCTTGCGATCCTCTCGGTTGTGAATGCGGCACCCCTAGGGTCTGCTGTCGACGCTCAGGCCGACGCCGACCTTTCTCTCCCGCTCCTCCGCGGTCTTGCCCCCACCGTTAAGCAAGCCGTCACGGATGTCAATGTCGCGTCCGGGACTGCCCTCAAGGATATCAAGGGCACAGTCGGGACCGCCCTCACGGACGTCCACGATACACTGGGACATGTCCTTACGCCGGGCACCAAGGGTACCGTTGGACCCCTGCTCACGGATGTCGATCGCACAGTCGGCCACGTCCTCACCAATGCCCAGAGCACACTTGATCATACCCTCGACAATACCAAGACTACCGTCAGCCATGCGCTCACTGGAGTGAAGAAGACGCTGGCGCCGGGCGGGCGACTTTTAGGCATCTTGTAATTGTCTCGCCTACCGCTAATGAGACCCAAGATGTGCGTCAATACTCTACCACATCAATAACGTTAGACGGGATCACTGACAAGCACTTGTCTAGAAATCGCTGGAGATAGAGATGTAAACGCGGAGGGCTCGGCGTGCACTCCTTTGTATGATCGAAGTTAACATGCGTCGTACTGTAGCCATAGTCAATCATTGTCAAGTCACTCTTTATTTCGTCGCCGAATTGTAATCTCTCCTTAAACTCAGAATTCTCTGGTTGAGTAATGAAGGGATGTGATATGCTCGGGAACTACTTTGAGCCACGGGACTAATTTCGAATACAAGCGTGGTACGGTGAGATAAAGCGTGGCCATCAATGAAGGAGAATTAAGAGGCGGAAGAACAAGGACGAAAGACGATATGAGTACTTGGTAGCGTAGATAGAAATACACAGCAAGAGGTCAAACGAAGAGAGCAGAAAGACGACAATGCTAAGTACGAACGCCGCTCCAGAGCGACGCATGGGTGTCGAGATGTCTATGCGGCTGTAAGGGCGAGAAGACTTCGTAAGAGCTCTCTTGCAGGACCCAGAGCGGCGGCGGGAACGAGGCCATCCAAGGATGCTACAGCAACCTCGACACTAGTAACGCCTCCCGTAACTATGGAGAAAACAGCCAGTAAGATGTCATCCACACTCCCCAATAGCTCGGTGGGAAGGGTGACGAGGAGAGTGTTGAGGAGCTGGACGACTTGACCGATGAGGGAGGAGGGGAGCGTTACGAGGAATGTGGATACGAGGGTGGTGGTGATAGGTGTGAGGATCGTATCCAGGCCGGGGATAGGTATTGGGAGGGCACCCAGTACGTTCGTCAGGCCGCCGAGGGCGCCTGTGAGGCTGTTGGCGATGCCTCCCACTCCACCGACGACTGATCCCGTTGTACTTCCAACCAAGCCAGTGACAGAGCCGACCACTAGATAGTAAACGGACATGAGCAACGCGGTATAATCCCGTCACATATGAACGCACCTTGGCCTAACTGCGGGTTCGGGTTCGGGACTGGAGCCGAAAACGTTGTGCTGATAAAAGCAAATCCGATGACGATATAGAGTGACGTGATGATGTTGAATTGCATTTTTTTCTTATGAAAAGAGGGTGGTGGACTTGGATTCCGATGTGGTTTGGTGCGAAATGTAGAGCACAGGTGTGATGACTGAGAACGCGAATCGAATGAAAACCCAAGGAGAGAGAGAAAGAAAGCGAATTAAGCTGGTGTTGTACTTCTGCTGTCCGCCAAACCAGCTGTTCTTATACGCCTGAGCGACATGGACGCCGACATATTGAATTGTCACTTCGATCGTTTTCGGAGGGTCTGGATGATCGGGGTCGATCATGATATCCTGACATACAGATGGACTGCAGTAGGACGTAGTCTCAAGCGGGGGACGTTTGACGGTTAACCATTGGCCACAGCATTCCATCCGTCAAGAAAACCGGTATAGGTGAACAAATAGTGACCTACGGAAGGAAGGAACTCTCAGTTCTGTCGTTATTGAGAATGGAGCAATCTTTCGCTGAAGCATGAGAACTAATGCCTTGAAATTGTGTGAGAGAGGTCGACAATCAGTGTATGGTGACGGGGGCAAGTCGGAGGTGGTTGCTTCGGACCCGGTGCCACGTGCGCTCGGGATAATATTCGGTGGCTATGAAATTCGGACTGCTTCAATGTTTCTCTAGTCTTAAACTCTTGGTGATCTCGGTTCAATAAACGTCAAACGTCTGTTCCGCTCATCGCATCCGTTTATGTTTGATCGAAACGGTCACCATTCAACGTCCAGGCTTTACATTAAACACGAAGAGCGAGATGGACTGACGAAGGAAGCTTGACGGCCACAGCGGGTATCATTATAATGTTCCGACACTTGTTGCACCATTTGTATGGGAACACTCGCCTTACAGAGTTCCAATCTGTTCGACTTTGCGAGCGATGTCACCGCATTGGAATAAACGAGCCTGATCATCGATCATGTCGGAGTATTGTTCTTGAAGTTGAAGGAGTGATTTTGACAGGCAAGATTATGATCGACTTCGCCATCGGTAGCATTCTCCCGTTTACGGTCCATAATGTGGCCCCGTAGTTCTTGGCTCAAGCTGAGTCGTTTAGCACAACAAATCTAGGGGGAACAAAATGACAACGAGTATTCTTCCTGAGCCTCGAAGCTGAAGGAGGGGCATTCGATATTAGTTGTTTGATCTAAGTGTAAATGGTAATGCGAAATTGCTATCGCTTCGCTCGGCTCATGTCCAGCGGAATCAGGGAAACAAACAGCTTCATATTCTCATGGACACTAAGCGAAAGGCGTCATTCAAAACACGCTGAGCACCTCTGGGAAAGGGGATAGGTACTTCAACCAGAACCCAGTGTCCATCAGATAGATCCACCAAAGAGCCCTAGAACCGGAGTCAACACAAAACTCCCGAAGAAGCGATAGCCCTTACAATATTTCGACGTATACTTGACAGTAATAAGGGGCGAACCGGGAGTACACTGAGGGAATCGGTAGTTAGCAGAAGCCTTGCGAAACGGTGAGCTCGACCTGAACGTACCGAAGCGGGGGGTTGTCCTCCTCGAGTATCCACCCTGAAGACCTCGTCCGCTAGGCTCCCTTGCACTCTGGTCAACTGGAGCCAGTCAATGTCTTGAGGACCTGTAGGAGCGGGGAGACCACCAGCACGTGCACCAACGACGAATGCGTTGCGATTTCCGCTGGTAGCTCCTCGCGATGTGAAGTCCCACTTGGGGCTCAGACCGCTGCCGGTGATGGGGTTGGTAATGAAGTAATGCTCTCCGACATTTGTGAGCGTTCGATCTAAACCGAAGAGTGTGACGACGGAGGAAGCGGGCACGTTATTGGGGAGTTGACTCCAAATGGTGAAGAATCTGTCCTGGATAGTGTCGAACGAGCTTGTCCCGAACAGACATGAGATGTCGAATAGTTCGGCGACCGCTCCTACGCTCCTAGAAGCGATGGAAAATAATGAGCAAAGTCGAATATGGAATCCTGGTACATGAAAGCATACGTGAATGTTCCAGCGTCCGTACAGGTGTAATTTTGAACACCTAACGCGACGGTGATAAAAGCCGGAGGAAACGAGGGGTTGGTGAGGGCAGTTTGGTTCCTTGGGAGGGTCAATTTAGCGTTGGAAATATTGCAAGAGCGTTCTGTGTTGCCGGGGGCAGCAAACACATTGGAGGTAGCAAAGAGGAGTGAAATAAGAGAGAAGACAACCATTGTGAAGTATAGAACGCTATTCACGATGGAAGGGGAGAGTCAATCAACCAGCCTTTATACGTTTTCCTCGCCGACGGAACGAAAACCACGGGTCCGGTAGGGGTAGATAGATAGGTGCGTCGTGAAGCTTCGATAGATGTGAAGAAGCCTTTGGTGGTAACCCGAGAGCCCACGTCGTGGAGAATTCGCGAGGCGTGGAGTTGTACATGTCAGACAATACCACCACTGAGGGGACAACGCCTCAAAGCCCATCAATCTGAGGTCAGGGAAGCCCCTGCTCCGAGGGGGAGGTAGACGGCAGTCTGCCGCAATCTGAAGTAATACATTACTGCCTCGTACTAACAGGCTGGAAGGGTGAAGCTACCAGGCGGGACCTAACACCTTCGCAGTTAGAGCGGGCCTTCGAACGTACAGCGTCTAATGTATCGCGCCCTTGCAGGAGAAATCAATCGGTGCGCGATCTTGTAAACGACGGCTTGCTCACCGGAAGTTCCATCAGGCGCTCGGCCGGCTGACTGGTAGCGGTAAAAAAGGCAATAGGGAGCGGGAACAACAGGGCCGAAACAAGAATATTTGGATCATGGATGGTCGAGGGTTGGTTCAGGTCACACGAGATGTGAGCCAACGTGCCACGAAAGCTGTTGTCCGTGAGATGGGCGCTGACTGAGATTGGTAAGGACGCTTCAGCCAAGCCAGAATACCTCATGGCGTGCATACCATGGTAGAGCACTCTTCAGGTACCGGAGGACGACATGGTGGGAGTAAGTGTCGCTTTCGCCTTGAAAGGTTTCAATGCACGGAATTTCCGAAGAATGGGTCAGGACATGCCAAGACTCGGCCAGCAAGGTGTGTCGGAAATTTCGAACATACGCGTGAATAAAGATGCGAGGGAACTCGCCAGCATCATTCCGTGGCTCGCTTCCAAAACGGTGCCAAGCCTTAGGACGGTTCCGCAGGCTACATGGATGATGGAAGCGTCGGACGTATCGTGGGCGTGCGAAAAGTCCGGACGAGGTTCCGTGATTTATGGCAAATGTCTCATGGAATGTGTGGAATGTGAGGTCAGGTAATCCTGTGTCTTTGGCGATGGTTTTATTCGTCAGCTTCTAGGAAAAGGCGATATCTTCGTATCCCCAACACTTTAGACGATGACTTCGCTTGAAATTGACTCCCACTCACCGGCAGGTATTAAGATATACAGTGCATTCCCTGGCCCACATCCGTTCCAAACTTATTTTGCGTTATTGAATGCTTGCAATGCTACGAATTCTCCTTGAAGCAAAAGTAAGGGCTGTCAATTTGCCGCTCTGAGAACAATCAATGGAGTTGCTCACAGTGCAGACACTTTCGACGACCACAGGGTGGCTACCAGCGAGCGTAGGCGTGGGGTTGCACGTACTGTGCCATCCAGTACCGTATTAGGCAAAGCAATGCCGCCGCGTACGTCTTGTCAGCCCGACAAGATATATGTTTCGCGGAACCTGCAGCAATGTGGATAGCAACTCTGGCCTTGAGCGTGGATCATTGTCATCGCTCAAACAGGGTTCCTGTACTTGAAACCGAGGTTTGTGTGTGGTGACGTTAGTGTTGGAACGTCACCGTTTTGAGGTCTATCCCTCATGAACATGACTAGAGCTGAAAGCGAGCGCGAGATGGAAATAGTAGATCCCACGCCACAATTGAAGTCAACATGCGGACCGCACCAATTTTACTTCCTGGAACATTGAACTATGCATGTTCGTCGTGATCTAAGGTCAAGGGGCCTTCTGAGACCGAAAAGGGGAAAGGATTAATCAATCACGTAGTAGAGAGAGCAAGGATGTGGGAGGGTGTCGGACACCTCAACTTTTTTCAAAGCACTTCTCTTTGGGCTGCAAAAGTGATACATCGAACGGGAGTCGAACCCGTGCCGCTTGCTAAGAGTTGCTCCTCTTGGAAGGCAAGCATGATACCGTTTCACCATCGATGTTGTCGTCCAGTTTGACCATTGCATCCCAATGTATTTCTCAGAATGCCAGGCGGTTTTCGGACTGGGTATTTCAAGTGTCGACACCAAGATTATTGTAATAGAATGATGAAGCCCCTGCCAAGTTGAAATAGCGGCGGGCTACCAAAGGGAGGAGCGATGGGGAGGCATATTCTCCGAAATACGGAGGGAACGAATGGAGCACTAAATGAAATACTATTGAACCTCTGCTGCTCAGCCGCATGATGGAAGAGGACGCTTCGATGTGGACGAACGCGGAAATTGATTGCGCCGTGAAGATTTGAATCTCCGGGGATATCATACTCCTTTGCCGCGGGCCAGGTCAGTTGTCAGTTCTCCACTAGTTGTACGAGAATTTCATTTCAGCATCATATTTCCTACAAGTACATCGGGCACAATCTTCAGGGTACTATGCCATACAGAAGAAGAACAATAAAAAACGAAGACGAAACTGAAGAAGGATCTAGTCACATCGTCCACTTTGCTTACGCAGGTGGGCTAGGGTGTTCATTAGCATCAATGCACTCATAGAGACATAGGTTGACACTTACACACGAGGAACAGAAGTGACTGGGCCTAAAGAAGAATCAAAGGGTAAGAGGTTTTCTGGTGTCTACATCGCCTGCTTACTCACCAGGGTCAGCACCGAGAGCAGGGAAGGCGCCAGTGGCACACTGGAGAGGAAACAATTCAGCGACGTTGCGAGATCTCTGATACAGTGCGCGACGTACGGCTTGTTCAACGTCGGTCTTGCTCTTCCCGGCGGGGAGATGGGGTTTGGTTACAAGGGCAGCGGGGACGGGGATGACATCGGAGCAATCGATCATGGCGTCCTGGTTTTGTCCAAGCATCGACATCTTGAACAGCGTGTCGGAGAAGCGGTCTTGAATCTTCTGTTGATCGTCTAATTATCGTTGATAGTGAGCTTAGGAGGAGAAATGGAAGCGATAGAACATGATACTTACTAGTCATGGACTGCCATTCGCAGGATGTCCTATCGTCTGATACATTTGGATGTTTCAATGGGGAAATATTATTATGAATGAATAGTTTCAAGTACCTCGAGCGAACTGTCAAATCGGTACGCATGTCATGTTAGAGATCGCTTCTCAGTGCAAGAGGGCAATGTAAAGACTAACCAAGTGATCTGACTGGAGTCTCATTTCACCCTTGAGTGGGGATTGTACTTCGCCGTGATTCCCACCAGTGCTATCAACAAGTAAGCAATATGTACGTGGATTGGGCATTAGGAGAATTGATTACCCTGGGAAGGAAATTCCGCGGAGTTGCGTCTCGATGAAGATTTGTGAATCGAAAAGGTTTGGCGTTGAGTCGAACGGCGTTCTGAGTGCGTGTGAGCCACAAGAGAATAATAAGCTAGTATGCACAATTTACCCAGGAATCTTTACAAAAAGTGAAGTCAGCTTCGAACATCGTTAATTTTTGGGGTAATGCTTACAGTTTCGTCAACATGATCAGCTGCAGCGACAGAGTGCCTGTACGCTATGTCAGCCATAGTTTCGGGATCGAATGGTGTCTAGCGTACGCGGAAAGGAGCCAGACAACCTCGACAGAGACGAATCCAGCGTCATCCATTCGGGCCAGGATATCTGTGATGGTATCTATTCAAAGTCGTTAGCAGTCTGCGGCAAAGTCACGAAAACAGCGGCTTACCGAATGGTTCCGGAACTAATCCAATGGGTGATGCGGCCTTGGCTGGAGGGCGACCTAAGAAGAACGGGATTCGCGGAGCACCAGGACAGTTGGTAACGGCGAGGGTGCCGGCGAAGTGAACCCTGCGGAAAGTAGTGAGTGTCGATCCTCAGTCTCAAATATGCCAGTGAATAGCGTACAAATCGCCTGCGGAGATGTTGTGCCTTGCAAGGAACGGTTTCTCAGCTTCGACGATCTCATCGATACCAAGGTTGGCAGGGAAGTTAACCTCAGTATCAGAGAATGTGATGACAGAGCCGTCGGCACCTCCCATAACGCTGTCCTCGACAAATCAATAACAGGCACGCAATACAAAATGGGCGAAGACCTACCCCCTAGAAGGAGAGAATCCAATGGCGTCGTGGAACGTCAGGCGAAGGGCTTCATGCGCCTGGCATAGATAGCAATAAGTAAGGGGTCGTAGTAAATTGAGTGAGCGTACATCTTCGCCGCATGCGCCGTCGTCGAACAAGTTCTTCTGTAGGTCTTCCATGAGCGGGAAGAGGACACAACAGGCCGCGTTGGCGGTAACTTGTCCGCCAGCACAAGTTGCGCGTTTCTGAGGCAAAGACACAGCTGAAGCACGTCGTGTTAGCCTAATCAGTAGAAAGGGCCGCGGTGGCTCACCTTGAGCGACTTGGACAGTCGCAGCGAAGGCAAGGACGAGCGCAGAAAGCGAAGCGAAAGTCATTGCGATATAGGGATGCGACTGCAGTAAGACTTGAGGTCTTGGAAGATAGAGGCAACGACCCCCCCCCTTTTATACCTAGCGAAGAGTCAAATAAAACATATTCCTTGGTGTTATGGCTTTGGTTATTCAGCACCGTACTGCCAGGTGATTGGCTTTCGCATAATTTGTCGAGGGTGAGAACGGGTGTGTGTACGACCAGAGCGTCGGGTGCACGAACGGCGTCCGCGGGTGTTGGTTATACGAAGTGCACGCCAGTCTTGTCCAAGGCGGCGGAAATGCATGATGGTGGGGATATTTTAAGTACAACCGCCTCCGGGTCCGAGAGAGTGGGGTTCTGTTTACATCGAGGTATATGAGATAGCTCAAGAGATAAGAAAAGAGTCAATACTTGTCGAGTGTGAAAGTTGTATTTTCCGCCTGAACAACAGGGATCCCGCATTGAAGGGATAAACGATGCCATTCTACGGAGGTGTAATGCCGAAGCAAATTTCATTGTCCATTGTTCCGTTTTGGAGTTTGATAGACTCGGTGGGACTCCCGACTGCTCTGTGGTTGGACGTGAGTCGAATGTCTCATCATCAATTGGCAGAAGTCCCATCGATGTTAATTTGCGCCAAGGCTTCGGTATGAGCAATGTGACTGGTCGAGCAGCTATTTTCGGAGAGAAGGAGGGCACGAGGCTGATCAGGGTATACAGTAAACAAGCTCGGGAGTCACGACCAGGTGATGGTCATCGTGAGATATTTAACGTCAAAGAGGCTTCGATGTTGATGTATCGAGAGGAGGAGGGGCACCTGCTGGTTTCATTGAATACAGCGGCGTATTGAATTATCCAACCCAGAACCAATCATCATCAGTGTGTTTCTCATGCTCGGGGCGGTCACTCACCGGCTATGAGATCGTTGCACACAAGGTCGATGTACCCAACCTAAGTCGTTGACGAAATCGTAAGGAGCATCGAAAGGGTGAAATTACTCGCAAGAATAGAATAAGCTGAGGGAATTCAAGCGACGGCATTGCATAGGCATTTGCGGTATGCGGTAAGACTTATGCAGATGACCAAGGTCCATCCATAAGAGCGGAACGCTCTGATATTACTTCGTGGTCCCGGGTCGGATAACTATGATCTGTCAATGCGAGGGAACTGAGCTAACCAAGTTCGTATAGCTTACTCTCAAAGCAATGTAGAGGGGACGCTTGCTTTTCGCGAAATGGTATGACGACGTAGCAGCGCAGCTACGAGGGGCTGAGTGCTAAGTATTCGTTGAGAAGGCCAGGTCGAATGGCTGCAAGCAAGAGAACCAATCACGAGCGCCTAACAGAGTGGCGCGCCTTGACTAAAGAGGATGCCGAAACGGAACGCCTCAAGAGCCTTTGTTTCGGGTAGAAACGCGCAGAAAGTCAGAATGAAGTCGGCCTAATGGTTCTTGTGTCACTCAAGGCTCCGACATCTCACGCGGGTATTGTGAGGGTACCACGGAACCATACATCTTGCGCCGCTTTCCAGAAAATTCGAACTGGCAGCCTTGCCATAGGTCAGACGACACTCCTTTACAAGAAAATACTGCACAATCAGCGATGAGAACGATCTAAGAACGTGGGTTGCCTACCGGGACGACAACGTACCGATCATGGCTGTTACGACAGGTTGTCGAGGAGTTTGGAGCTTGGCCATGCCGAGGCAGAGTTTGCAGTCCCTTTAAACGAGATAGAAAATCATTGATGGGCATTGATCGGGTACGCCGTAACGCGACGACGTCAGCGGAGGTGGAGAATGAACGACTTCATCCCACTGTGTCATGAAACCGGAAATTCAATATACTCACATGAAACATTCGGATCTTCCTTCGAGCGGAGCGAAAGCTCTTACCGACATCCTTCTTGTTTCGCCTCAGTGTTTTGCTCTTAGTGTTTGGCGCCGATGAAGAAGCCAAGCGTAGACAGACGCTCTGTTCAGTTGAGCACCCTACTTCCACTTACACTCGCAGGCTAGATGCTACTTGATCGTTGCGAGTCGCCTTGAATTTCCACGACCAGCATCGACCACCAATTTTCTAGATGACTGGGTGCACCAGCGCAGGCAAGAGAACACTGCACACGCTCCTATCATCTATCCCATTACGTGAGTATCAGCATCTAGGGTAGCGTACATACGTGCAAATCCACCGCTGCTGGTCTCAAAAGTGGCACCGACGACTAATAGTGTTTCCGCGGCATCGAAGACTGTGTCTCAGATGCGCAAATTCGCTGCGTGGATGGTCTCGTAGATAATCACATCCTCGCCGTCGAGGGTATATCGTAGTCGATCTGAGTAGCAGGACAAGATGTCAGCTAGACAATGATACGCAATGGAGAGTGACATACGAAAGGCTCTTACCTTCAGAGATATTCGAGGTTGGGGAAGTGAGATACCAGCAAGGTGCGATCTGGAAAGTATCGCATAAGGAGAGGGTACTGATGGAGACGAATGGCGACGAGCTGACGAATTGTCACTAGGCCATCGGCTGCGAGACGACATCTGTCTTGAGTAAGATCGGGATTGATGGGGGAGGGGAGGGGATTCTCGAAGTGCCAAGGCGCGGGCAAGCTGGCGGCTATTGTACTCCCTTTGCGCCATCACCTTCCTCTACTACTCAGAGAGTTCGAGAGGCTGCTGTGAGCCGCAGCGAAAGGATGATATCTAGAGAAACTGTAAAATTGAGCGGGGGCGAATGAAGGGGTTGAAATGTCCGAACTCCAGCGTCAACTCAAAAAGCTTGAGATGCGTGGCTGCCGCGCCCGCGGGAATCGAGCGAAAAATTCTGGGATCGATGTTGGCCAGGGATCGATAAGTATCTCGATACGGCGTATGTTGACCAGAAATGAGACCATGCGGTTCATGGATTCGTTTATGATTCAGAGGGGAACTGGTAGGTTTATCACAATATCGGGCGGATATGTCGTGGTAAAACAGACATCTGGGGTATTCTCGACGCCGTGAGCCAAAGAACTCAAGTTGTGGACAAGGACGTCGTTAACGTGTTAACGAGTGGAAATTGGCATTCGCACCTCATCCCAAGAGATAATTAGTAGTTTCTTGGCAGTACCACAGAATATTGCTCGCCCGGACAGTATCCCACCCAATCACAGGGACTTCTTCCCTTCGAGGTTTGTACATCGTCGTAGTGGGAAAAACGGGTGACACAGAGGGACACGTGGCTGTTCATGACCGTTTGAGTTGGCGCTTAAGACGCACACAGGAGACGATATTCGATTTATCATCGGCGTATGATCTGCTCTTCATCGACATCTTCGATCAGCACTCCGCCACCAATGCTCCCGCCAGAAATCCTCCTTGCTATCGTCAACGAGCTGGTGAGCGACCGCCGAACACTCCTCGATCTCCTTTTCGTATCGCGCCAGTTCCACTCGCTCGCTCTACAACCTCTCTATCACGAAATCGCATTCCGTATGGACCGGCCGGACGAGAGTCTGATAAAAAAACTGTGCTCCTTGGCTCGCAACGCCGAGCGCAATCCCGGAATGCGGTTCACGACATCGTTCTCGTTCGTATTGAAAGGGCATCGCGCCGCCCCGCCGAACCTCTTCTATGAGATGGAAGAGGCCATCAAGCGCATCGTACCCGCCCTATCCGCGGTACGCCGCATATGCCTATCGATGCACGCCTCCGTAAATGCGCAGATCCTGTGGCCGCTGCCCGTCGGTGCCCCACTCACGCATCTCCGGGTCCACGAGTGCAGCTTGAAGTCCGAGTATCTCCGCCGATTCCTTAGTTCGCGGCCGGCGCTGCAGTCGCTCGAGATAGACTGCTTTCCCTATGGTACATGGCGAATGAACATCGTCCCGTACAAGCTGCCACCCGGCTCATTCCCCCCGCTGCGTTCGCTCTCCGTACCACTGCGAGAACTGGCGTACTTTGAGACGCCGCCCCCTTCGCTCATAAATCTTGATCTTTCTGAACCCACTTACGCGCTTGAGAGGAACCCCGAAACACTGCGCCAACTGATCATGCCCTTCACCTCGATTCGTGCACTCTCTTTTTCCAACGTCCTTCTGTTCAGCGTCTCATTATTGCCCCAGCTGCCCAACCTAGAATACCTTCGGTTGGATGAAACTTTCGTACGTTGTTGTCCACCCTGCCATATATCTTACGCATTTGGTATCACTCAGGCGAAGCCCATGATTCATGGCCTCCTTACGACCACCAGATTGAAATATATACGGTGCTTGGAATCTGAGGACCTAGGACACGATGTATTCGGAGCTTCAGGAACACTAGTGGTCGCCGACATCGCCTCCCGGCGGGATCACACTTACCGCATGTGCAGAGGGGTTGATGATTCGGTTCCCTTAAATGATCACTGGGACGAATGGGAGGGATGGTGGGAGCGCGCGCAGCGGGCGGTCACCAACGCCGAACGTTCGTCTCTTAGCATGTCAAGGGTTTAGAAGGCGTGAGTCAAGAGAGGGTGTGCAGAGATAGCCTCCGTGTGTAACAAAACCGGGAGCGGTGCTTTGCGAGGTCTATCATACCAAGCAGGATCTAATGTTCGAACTCAAGCCGACGTGGCGGCTGCGATGGCGATGATGGGCGAGATCGTTGAATAAAGACGGCGTCGGGTGCCCAAACGGAATGGGCTACTTGGAGGTGCAAGATGACCAACGTCGAAGAGACGTCTTCAGTAACGAAACACAGCCACGGGGAGGGGGTTAGTGGATGTAGTGTATGTAAGACGCTGAAGAGATCCGAGGAGGTGGTGCTATTGACCGCCCGGCGGAGAAGTCGCGTGGAACTGTGGTAGCAGGAGCCAGCCAGTGTCGCCGCGGATGTTGTAAAGAACTTTCATCATCGATTGGAAGGCGCAAGCGAGTGGCAAAGTCGATCTGCGAAGGATAACCTGGCTTCCCATCACCCGCTTATATACTACACTAAGGTCGAGGTAGGGGGGAATAAGGGGGGATCTCACATGCTGACGGTGTATATGGCGCGATAAAGGCGGAAATGAGGCGAATCACCGTGTATATGCGCACCATGAGTGAGCGAGACTTGTCGAAAAGGCTTGTGGGGGGATGAGGAGTGTTCTGCGCTTCGTGGAGGCGGGGAGGGTCTCGGCGAGCAGAGTGAAAGGAATTGACCCCCAAAAGGCCCAAATACCTTTATATATGCGTGGGATACTCACCATGTGGAGGCCGTATGAGGTGATCAAAGAGTCAGGCTAGAGACCGCAACGAAGACTGGGCAAAGTCCCCTCTAAAGGCACCAAAAGAAGAAGAGAGACCACACCGTGCACAAAATCAAGCTCAGTGTAAAAGTGTAAAAGAGGTGACTCGCAACCTGAAGTTGCGATTTCGCGGGTGCTTAGTGAGTGGTGGAGTGGTGGCATATTCAAAGAGGGGGGTATGCGACAGAGCCACGGAGGGCGCGGGGCCGGAGTGAAGCCGGGCGGGAGGTTTCGGAGAACCAGGTATAAAGAGCGCGTAGAGCCGTGGATACGAGGGGAATGTCAACGCGGGGGAGAATACGAGAGTGGCGAGGACGTCGACAAGGCTTGGAACGGAGGGGGAAGGAAACAGCGGAGAGAATAGCGCGTACCAGATACGGAGACTGCTGTGTACTTCTGGCCAAGGCGCGACGATGGAAACAACGACGAGGTCTAGTGGAAGAAGGAAGAAAGAAGGGGGAACGACCTGCGTGTGCCGCAGAGTTCTTATAGGGACGGCCCGTGCGCAAGCTACCTTGCTCTCAACACTGCGCACAGACCCCGCTGCAATCCAGGGTGTACGATACCTTTCCATCGATTTCCATTAAATAATATGAATGTTGAAAAAATATTATCTTTGGCAGTGACACAATGGACAAGCGTATATCACGCAACACAACAGGCTTGGGGATCAGATCGATCAGAAGCGGTTGCGGCGAAGAAGTTATACCATTATCTACGTGAACGAGACGACAATTAGGACGAACGTGGCGAAGGGGGAAGACAGCAGAGAGACGTAGGCGTCCTGAGTCATCATCGTAGGACGACTCTGATCCAATACATCGTCAAATCCTTTCGCTGCCTTCAGAAATGGGGACGCAGTTCGAAGACCTTGCAGGAGGTCGTCGCTTTCTCTGGGCAAAGGACTGCTACCTGCAGAGTAAGCAGAGTGTTGCGTAGAGGGAAGGAAGTCCGACCAACTCACCTCATCCCGCGTGGAAAGCGCCAGGTTCCCTGCCATCCTCTCTATGGTCTTTTCCTCAGCCCCGGACGACTAGCGTTCACCTGGACGAGATATGCACGATGAAGTCCGTTGGTATGGAAGAGATTGTGGCCGTAAAGGTCCATGAGTTCGTGAATCGTGCGACGATTGTTGGATCGTTTATTTCGTGGATAGCAAGCTACGACCAGTCGACTATTAGTATTCGTGTGTACCATGTCCAATGTCAGTCCATGGATGTGGAAACGTTCTCGGACGAGGTGAGCATTGTTAGAAATTGCCGATGTGCGGTTTTACCTTGGTCAATCAGCTTGGTTTAAGCGGGCCGGTGGCCCCGTCGTGATACTGTGACCCAAAATCGAACGAGACCCTCGACCGAGAAAGTTAAGAGGATTCAAGATCTCTGCGAACGTTCTCTCAAAGCTCCCGGTCGCCCCGCTTTTTGCCCGTGTTCCCACAGAACATCCAAAAGTTCTCAGAGCTACGTCGACACAGTTCCCCAGCCCTTCTCGGTATACGCTCTGATCCATCCAGGATACATATTACATACTTCGTAGCTTGTCTGCCTCCTACGCTTGTCGTTTCGTTCGGGCTCCCAGGGATGACCAATGCTTCTATGGGCGATTGGCAAATCCTTTTGACTCGCATATGTGTGCAGCATCCATGACGCAGGATCTGGACGGTTTGCGATGTACTCCTCGGTGCCAAATTTGGGTGTCTGTACGCCCGCTTTTCGGAAGCGTCATTTCCTCGGAATAGGCATCGTTTTCTCCTTGTCTCGGTGTCTTGCAGTTCTCCGGAGTGCAGTCGTACATCGAGCCTAGTAGTAACTGCTTTTCTAGCACTGAGACAAATCTCTCACTAGTCACTAGTCACTGTGGAACGCGCGGTAACACCCACTCATCTTGTCTTTCATGTTCTCTTCACTTATTTCAGCTTTATTCCATATCAGCAGTACGCTCAGCAGCGGTGCTTCAGCGGCACCGCAATAACAGACCCCTGCGCGGTTGATATGTATGATGAACGAACTCTCATGCACTGCGGCCCGTAGCTCAAAAACGAGCAAGGCGACTCGGGTCCCGAAATCCCTTTCAAATTGTTTTCCATTCGTTCTCGCCGATGACATCAGCCGCGCAGGCCTTCACATCACAAGTTCTTATCATACGGTACTATCAAACAGTCTACTAGCGTTGATAGCTAAGCCTATAGACCTGCGACGGCTGCGCTGCCATCCAATAGTCACCTCTAGGTCCTTCGACTCATCCTCGCCTGTAGGCTAATCGAATCCGCCTCTGATTTGTACAAGCACTCGAAGTTTTGCTTTTCCTCGAGGAAAGTGAGTTACTTCTTGTCTACTCCCGCGCTCATGCGCAACGACATTGATGTGTCTCCTAAGTAGTTGGAATGTCAGAACCTATAGCACATTGTTGTGTTCCGGCACCCAAAGGCCTGCGTTTTCGCGCACCATATGCCCGTTAATTGTAGAGTGATCGTAGTGAGGCGACAACATTCGCGTTCTTTGGCTATTCCTTTGTCCTCGTCCCTCCACATACATATGCGATCTATATCAGGGCAGTTGAATATGTGCTCTTGGTCTGAATCAAGGCACATGATTTATGGGTGCAGGACGATAAGAAAGCTAAATGAATCTACCTGCACTGCAAGGATGAAAGGTAATTGAGCGTACCAGGACCCCGCGGGTGGATGGAGTGACTGGATAATCCTCGAGGACCATGGCAACGAGTCTGAAGTATGGGAAGCACAAGTCTACAATGCACTCTCCAAATCATGCAACCCGTCATCCCTTGTGTTCTGGCTCCGCACCTATAATTTCTATTGACACAATATATTCCATTTTCTGAACGTTGAGGAAATTGCCTAATTTAGTATGTTCGGTGGCTAATATCGACAACCCTGAACTTGGAAGCAACTCCTGTTTCTGCTATTCCTGCCACCTCCCTCCACTTCTTTCTCCCTCTCTCACCACACCACCGCCTCTTATCCGCACTTCTTTCTGTAAAACCTAGCCACAACCATACAAGACTGTACAAGCCATGGCCACGCTCCACGAACGCAGGCATTTCTGGCTATCCAAAAATGTCCTGCGGCTCCTCACAGCACGCGACGCCTGGGACGCTTGGAGCCAGTACTGCTGCAGCAGGATTAGCCCGGAGGACTCCATGGAGCGATGCTTCTTCCAGGCATACAACGTCCGGACGTGCCCCCCGGCCGCTGAACGAGACCGCGCGGGGTGGCAGCCCCTGCTACAGCGCTCCCTTCGACGCGTTATCTTCGGTGAAGAGAACGACGTATACACCGCAAGGCTCGGAAATTCGAAGCATAACGACAATAAAGTGCACTGCTTCGTTGTGAGGCATCATGGGGTGACGGGGTTCGTCATATACACGTTCAATGAGCCTGGAAGGTCGCGTCGCGCGCTTGAAGCCCTCTACGGCGGTCAACCCAGTGGAATGCGCATTCCCATCGGAGACCTCTTCAAGCACATTGAAGTGTCCTATGTCGATGCGACTGCTATGCTGTGTACCTCGTTCGTCGTAAGTAGATACAACAGTCGTTTGCGAACTGGGCGACTCACCGTATCCATTGTGACAGACGGCCTTGGTGTCCCGCACGAATAGGGAGGTCGCCGAGCTACAGGCGATCGACGGCAATGATCTGCACTCAGCTCAGGACGTCCACAATTTCAAGGGGAGGCGTGTGCCGGCCATCGACGACCTCGACGCCCAAGATGACGCCCCAGGAGTGGCCCCTATCCAACGACGGACACTGGACCGTTCTGGCAACAAGGGAAAGCACGTTCAATGTCAAAAATCTGACGACGAAACTCCAGCCTCGGAAGGCGAAGAGTCCACCAGCTCCGGAGATGATACACCTGCTGCCGGCAGCGGGATGGGTAGCTCCACTCACAGCTTCTTCAGCGGGGAAACTACTGGCGCTGTCGGCGCAAGCGAGGATGCCGACTCGGATAACGATGAAGATGACGACTATAACGTATCCTACTTCCGGGCACGCCAGGAAGTCTCCCGGATCAATGAATTTGGGGTGATACGGAGCAAGGGGGTGCACGGTGGCTATGAAGACCACACCACTATCCGTGCGCGCCTCGTCCCATCGGAGGCCCCTCGCGTCCCCAGGCGTCCACCCCCGAAGAAGGCTCTCCGCGTCTTGCGAAACGTCTTGGGTATCAAGCAGTAGCTGGAACGCCGCAATGTGTCCACCTGGATGTCGAAGCGCCTGGAAGCCGAGTTGAGGACTGAGTTGGAATGTTGAAATTAATTGCCTTGTTTTCGGATGTAGGGAAGCTTGGATTGTGAAAGCATAGTGTTTACCTATCAGTGAAGGATGTACTTGTTATTTATTAGTAATTAATGTGCTTGCAGGTTTCAACCACATAAAGGAGACGTATTTCACTTTCTGCATCTCAAGGAAGGATACAAGAAGTAGCCAGCCCACCCAGGTTAGCCGAACATCTTTGACAACGCTCTCAGCTGTTCTAGCTGACGGGACACGGTCTGGGACTATAGAGAGGATCGCCATACGTGTACTAGTAGACTCAGGCAGGGAGGAAAGTTGGTACATCGCTGAGATGCTAGCAGGGAAGCGAGCTCACCTAATGCTGCTCCAAAGCACAGCTCGTGCCTCCTTCACTTCCACACACTCGGCACTACACCAATTGGATGTCAGGAACGTAGTACGCATTTCTACAGATAAGCAGATGATCATCACATCCGCATGTGGAGATCTTCGCTCTTTCGCTCTTTCTAAACCATGTTTTTCCGCGGATCAAGATACGTGACTTACGGCCTCCCCGCCTTCTTAATACAGGCCAAAGAACGACCGGCGTAGCTCATGAAATAAATCATCTGTCCCCAAAGCTGGTATTGGACGCCTGGTGGACGGTGTGTCCACATCTTACTTTACCGCGCTTTTGCGATGTTACGCCATCATCAGCGCATGTTCCTGAGGATCGAACATTCTGACTCACCTCCCACGTCGCATGCCGCGCTCGCTGGCCATATCACCTACACTGCTGCTGTTGCTCAGGATTCTGGCCACGCGGGTATGCCTCTGCTGCATCATAATGCCAGCCTTCTCTCACAAACTCTGTACCTCTCATGCTTGGTTGTGGCAGTCTCAACATGTTCCCCGATCAACCAAGGCTAGCAATTTTCGTGGTTGAGGGCAAAGATCATCGGGTCGTCTTGGATGATCACATACCCCGAGCAATCGGAACTCTCTGCTGCGAGGACTTTAAAGTATGAGTAGTCCTTCGCCGCTCCCTCAGGAAACCGCTCCTTTGCGGAGCTCTCACGAACGGCTTCATCTGGACTTTCATGAACGTCTATCTAGGCGACGCACCATCTTCTGGGGGCACCCATTGTGTCTCGGTGCCGGTATCGTTCAATACTATCCGTGCAGCTGAATTGTAATTGTATCACGCCCCCGAAACCCACCCAGCGCCCAACCTCATTTCGGGGCACTGGCGAGGACGATTGGTTCCGCGCGAGAACGGAAGACGAGCTGAACCCTGCATCCATCCACGTGTCGTCTGCGTGTGCGGTGAGCCGGTTTGTTCGGGGGAGACTAAGGGGCTATGCTCTGCGTTCAACCATGACAGCCCAACCCGCCCTTCCCTTCGAAATCGTCGCCGAAATCATCACCAACGTCGACGACACATCCACCCTCCTCAGCTGCCTCCTCATATCCCGCAATCTCACCTGTTATGGCGAGCCCAAACTATACAAGAATGTCTCCCTTAGCGGCAAGCAACTCAAATCCTTCCTCTACGCCATCGAGAGAAATCCCCAACGCGCAGAGCACACCGTCCACCTCGTCACCCACTCACTGCACGTCCCCTCTTCCGAACGCGATCCCGATCACACCATCACCAACATCGCCCACTACGTTGCGCTCGACAGACTCCTCTCCATCCTCCCCAACCTCACCTCTTTCGAGAAACACGCCCGCAATGAAGCCGCTTCCCCGTATTTCCGGTATCATCTGTTCCTGCGCTCGCCCACTGCGCGGGCGCTGAAAAGACTGGTCTGGCTCAACACGGGGCGGTGCCTGCCGTTCCTCCTGGCAGCGCGGGAATCGTTGGAGTTCTTGCAGCTGGACGGAGGCGCAGGTGGTCTGCTTAGTACTTGGCAGGCGGCGGCGCTCCCTGTGCTACCACGTCTGCGGGCACTGCGACTGCCATATCCTTCCCAGCCTTCCCTGAGTCCGGCTGCCCTTGGTTTGAATCCTGAGGAGTGGAAACGAGAATCAGATGCCCCAAATACGCTTCCGTATGAACACTACAGTTTTGTAACGTGGATTCGGGAGAGGTACGCCGCTACAGTCTATCCTCTTTGGCCGGCCACTGACAGGTGACGCTCCGTGTTGTCATTCAGCGATCGCGCTTCGTGAAGCCTCACCCAGGCCCTTACCTGGGGAACCTTGCTCACTTTGAGGCCGAAGTAACGCAGTGGGTTCTCAACCCGGTCGATATGGTGTCTCCGGCGCACCGTTGAGGGTATCTTTTGTATTTACGGGAGCGACATAGCGCGCAACCCAGATGAACACGTCCTGCGACTCCGATGGGGCTGAAATTGTTTGGAAGCCGTTCGACTGCAACACCGCCTACGCCATAGGCCTTGCTTTAGCGACGCTGAACTACCGAACGACGAGGTCGTGTCGACATTGACTTGGAAGTGCCCGCGGCTGTGGCGCATGCATCATTGAGGGATTGGTAGGGGAGGGGGAGTGAGAAGGCTATTATGCTGCTGAAAGATGGGGATAGGCTCCGGTGGGAGGTTAGGAGAGTGAAGCAGTGATTCAGATGTGTTGACTAGGTGGTGATCAGCGCGTAGGGACCAGGAACAGAAGAAATCAATCCCACTGTACAGTTGTCGAAATATGTATTTGCTTATTTGGATAGAAGCTACATTTTGCTGTCGTTCATCTTTTTTCCGTTCACTTCTCTCACATGACTTGCATCAACCCCGAGCCATAGCTTCACAGTCCGGTGAAGGATTAAAGTTCTTCCAAATTGTACATAGGTAAATAGCAGAATCTGTCCTCCATAAATCGTAATCATAATCATACACTCGTTGCACTTGCCTTGAATCACAACTTCCCGAGGCAACTATTCATAGCGCGAAGATGAAGTCCTCATTTTGCGTATCCGTCAGATCATCGAATGCCTGCTCGTTCGTCGCAACTTTCTCCGAGCCCTGGAGCTTGTGGGGTTGCTCTTCCAGCGATTGATCGATGACGACGGCAGCTTTTCCGAGCCGGACACGGCGGGCTGCGTGCTGTTTGTTGCGGAATGCAAGGAACGCCGCTGTCACTCTGTAAACGCATACTTACATTTAGTGCTGCAGGTGAAAGTTGGATGGACACTTGCAAGGTGAGTATGGCGAGGGCGATCCAGCAAATCAAGCTAACGAGGGCGATAAGTCAGCATTCGAGGGTTCATAGTAGGCTAGTCGATGGAAACGTACTTCGCAATCAGGCCACGGTGGTAAAATGGCTTTTCATCGGTGGTGTATAGCAGTGGCCCGACAATCTACGAAAGAGAGATCAGTACCCACGACCATCAACAGGAGAGAACCGCATACATTGCCGGCACATTGGGCAACGAAGACGACGCCGGTGGTGCACAGCTTCTTTGTATGGCCTGCTGTGTTTTGCGAGCTCCAGGTGTATAGCATGGGCTCTGAGGAATGCAGGGTAAATTCAGCATGTTGGGGAAGGATGGTGGCGAGGATGTGTATCTTACGAAGCGCGGTGAAGAAGGAAAGCTAAAAAGAATTGAGCAACAAGAAGTTTGGGCAAATAGAAGAAACAGACCACGTAATAACAGCCTAGCAGTGTACCCTTCAACTCAGGACCACGCCCAAGAGTGTACAACGCAGAAGCTCCTGATAGCAACCAAGAGAATTCATAATCCAATCCCCGATGAACAGACACGAGCTCACCAGCAATAGGAGGAAGCGTCAGGAAGAAGACGACAGGCCACTTCAACTTAATCTTCGTGGAAATGTAGGCGGAGAGCAGCGTGAGCACGACTTGCAGGAACGCGAATGGGATGTTGAACAGAATCGTTTGAAACTGATTGAAGCCGAAGCCCTCTGCATGCCAAGGTTAGAACGAGAAATAGAATCAGAGTTGTAAGGTGATACTTACGGATAATGAGGGGGCCAAAGGCGCCAATTCCGCCGCTAGGGAGACTGCGACGATGGGTCAGACTCAGTGAAATCAAGGGATTGTAGACGACGACGGCTTACGCGCAGAGGAAAAGGAGTGCAAACCACAAGTACGTCTTCGGGTCCAAAGCAAGGTCCAATACTTGATCCCACTTCCATTCCTTCGATTCCGTTCCCTAAGAAGATATTGATCAACATCAGTTTTGCCTGAGACAAGCGAGAACCAACCTGGTTATTAGCACGGAGGCGTTCCAGAGCAACAATTTTTTCATCGTGTGTTAGAAACCGTGCCGTAGTCGGCGAGTCGGGCAACACGAAGCTTCGCGGCGAAGTCAGAGATGTTATGAGTAGAACTTCGAATGAAAGCGAGACGACTTACAAGACGATGGGAGCGCAGACAGCCGTTAGCAAACCGATGAAAAGGAATATGGTCTAGCGAACATATGAACACGGTATCAGTCCAGTACTTTATGCAATGGAACTTTTACTCACCTGGTACGGATGCAGTCTACCGTTGATATGACCGAGGCCGTATGACAGGAGCGAACCAATCTACAGGTAAGTCGCCGCGATAAATAATGTGGCCAGCCAAACATGGCTGCGAGACAAACCATGCCAGTTCCACCATTCATAGCCATCCACATAGAGAGCCGCATAGTCTGTTCACGCCGGCGCCACCACTATATTCGGGGATAGTCAGTCCCATAGTTCAGGGCGACAGTACAAAATTGCGCGCCATCTGGGTCACGGTGATGAAGCAAGGAGCTGAAGAAGGGATGCCGTCAGGCTTGAGTGCTCTTATAGACACGTTGAGGGGGATACGTACCGACGGTGGCTTCGAATATACCAAGGAAGAACCGGGCGGTGATCAATCCAGCGAAGTTATGAGCCCCGGCTGTGGAAGCGACAATAACACCCCACATGAAGACATGAATAGAAACTAGAATTTCAAGCAAAATATGTGAGCAGAACCGCGACAGAGTGGCTAGGAGTACTCACGATATTTGGCAATAGGGAATTTGACCAGGAAGAACGAAGACATGGGCTGCCATATGAGCTGGGCGACGTAGACGATGCTACTGAGCCAGCTGTACTGCGAGCCAACCAGCTCTGTTGAGCAGTGTTAGCGGAGGATGGCGCATCGCGGGGGTTAAACGCGGAACGTACTTGTTTGCTCCACAATCCCGAAGACGGACGTATACGACAACGAAGACCTCCAGGTCACGTAAGCATACGAATAATAATATAGGATTGAAACAGAAACGTACTTGTCCAGCTGCTGCAAGAAGTACACCAGCAGAACTACGGGCATGATCCATAGATCAATCTTGCGAAGGACGCGTCGATCTTCTTCGGGGGAGATATCACGAATAATGTTCTCGCCCAGAACCTCCAGCGCAGCGTCGCCGTGCTTCCTCGGGCCCCCAATCGACGACACGGCGTCCTCCAAATGCGTGTCATCCACCTTCAGAGAGCTAGACTCCGGGTATGCAACAGCTTGCGGGGAAGATTGCGATTGCGGGGCAGATTGCGGGGAAGCCATATTGCGGGGAAGACCACACGCACCGATTCCCATGTGCCACCCGGCCTTTATACAAATCCAAACTTAGGCAGCCGTTCTAACCACCATCGCACCAAAATGGTGGCACGGTCCGCCGGGACCGCGACATCAGCAAGTGCGCAGCGGGTAATTGGATACTGCGACCCGCTCAAGCACTCAAGAAAAGTGGTAGAACGTAACCGATGAACGGAAAGACAGCAGGTGAAAATGCACCCCGACATCGGACCCTGTGAAGCCCATGTTCCGACGACTCGTGAGCCAGGGTTCCAGGTACATCTTGGGGCGCGGATGAGCTTTTGCACGCCTGCATAGTCTATTTTATTGTGGGGTAACGGGCCGTCCACGGGCCGCGCGAATCGTCCAGGGCAAAGCATGATTCGCCTTTAAGGATACGCTACCATGTTGTACGCCATCTTCCCATTCCACTCGCCCAGCCTCTTCTAATTACCGGAGCCCATACGTCAACCAAGCGAGGCTCCGAAACGCCATGTCTAAACCCTTCGGAGGAAGAATTGCTATAGTAGGCACTGGGAGCCGTGCTGCGATGTTCGTCCGTGGGATCGTGGAGCGGCCTGAAACTAGTCGTGTTGTGGCGCTCTGCGAGCCCAACACTGTTCGCGCCGCGTATTACAACGACCTCCTCAAGTCTCTGCGCGCGCCGGAAGTCCCTGTGTACCCGCCCGATGCATTCAAGGAGATGCTGCAGAAGGAGAAGGTTGAGGCGGTTGTTATCACGTGTATCGACGCGCTTCACGATCTGTATATTGTCCCAGCATTGGAGGCAGGAGGTATGTGCATTGTCCGGTCATCGTTTTGTGTTTCCTGATGTATCCTTCCCCTGTAGTTCGCGTCCTGACGGAGAAGCCGATGACTACCGACGTCGAGAAGTGCCGTCGCATTCTCGAAACTGTGAATCGTACCAACAGCCCCATCATTGTGACCTTCAACTATCGGTAAGCTGGCTCCCTGGCTTTTGCGCTTGCGTGCTCTCTCTAACAGAGGCTTGGAGTTACAACCCCGTCCACGAACTCATCAAACGCACGATTGCCGAAGGGAAAATCGGCAAAGGTACGCTATTCGTTCCTATCCTCGACCGTGGACGTGGAAGCTGACCGCCCCGTTATCCCAGTGCTATCTGTCCACTTCGAATGGCTGCTCGACACCGTCCATGGAGCCGACTACTTCCGGCGCTGGCACCGTCAGAAGGAGAACTCCGGCGGCCTTATGGTCCATAAATCGGGCCACCACTTCGACTTGGTAAACTGGTGGATCGACGCCGAACCTGTGACGGTTGCAGCCATGGGCGGGTTGACGTTTTACGGAGATAAAGCTGGGAAGGCAAGTGGGTGGGCCAGAGATTATGAGCGCGCCAGAGGTAGCGAGGCCGCGAAAAGCGATCCGTTCGCTATCAATTTAGAAGCCGACCCTACGCTCAAGAAGATATACGCCGATGCCGAAAGCGTGGATGGGTATTACAGAGACCAGAACGTATGTCCACGTTCAATGTCGGCGAGAACGCGATTAACGCGACTGTAGGTTTTCGCGCCTGGAATCGGGATCGAGGACGACATGAGTTTACTCGTCAAGTACAACAACGGCGCTACGATGACATACCATCTAGTTCGTCCACTTCCTTTGTCTCCCTTCCCATGACTAATCCCCCAGTCACTTAGACGGCCTATTCACCTTGGGAAGGGTACCGTGTAAACTTCAATGGTTCGCAAGGTCGCCTTGAGCTGGAGGTGGTCGAGTCGGAGTACCGTCTCCCTGTCGACGTCTCCCAGATGGACGGGCTAATTCATGGGACCGAATCCCTTCCTCACGCCGGCGGCGTACGCGTCACGCTACAGAACCTCTGGCAAAAACCTGTCCAGCTCCCAGTAAAGGTCGATCACGGCTCGCATGGAGGGGGGGACACACGCATGTTGAGCGTCCTTTTTGGACCGTTGCCTGGACAGGCTGTCGACCAAGGCGACGCGGCGAAGCAGGGGGCCACGGAGAGAGACGGCGCGCTGGCGTTGGCGGTTGGGTTGTTGGCGAACAAGAGCTTTAAAAGCGGCAAGTTCGAGCATGTGAAGGATCTGGAGCTCCCGTTGTAACCGTAGGCCACGAGAGGAAGAATAATCTGATGTATCTGTATCTGTATCTGTATCCGTCCTAAACTTGATCGATGCTGCGAGGAAAGCATGACGGTTCGAGTCCAGAACCGTAAGATGCCTCAGTCAAGACTGCAAATTCAAAGCTTCGAGTTTACGTTCAGAAAGCTTTTGTTTGGTCTGAACAAGCGCCCTCCGAGCGCTAACTTTGTCACTCCTAATTTTATGTCAGACATGGTACCGAATGAACGCAAACGCTGCTTGGCCATACAATGGACTCGATACTCGGAAACGATCAAGCAAGTGCTCAACGGCATCGAAAAAGGGGAATCTGGCGATGGACAGGGCATTCCGGGCGTACTGGCACAAGTGGTGGACAAGATAGAAGCGCAGCAGACCAAGTGGCAAGCTGAACCTGACGAATAACCTAAGTAAATCCTCAATGTGTTTCATGTTGCATCTCCGAGCTTCACCGACAAGATCCCCGCCACCTCGAAGATCACGGAGGGCTCCGGCTGGGGGGCATCCGACGTACTTGTTGGTTGCCAATTTCTAAAGCTCTTGCGTACCTCTTCTTAAGGGCTTCCTGGACCTCCTGTGCGTTTGCTTGCATCGCGCGGCGTGAGTTCTGATGGGCCTTGAGGCAGAGGAATCTGCAGTGTTGAAGCTGCGGCGCTGGCTCTGCATTCCGGCACCCTTCGAAATCGTTGCTCCAGGCTGTTCCGCTCAACAGGGGGACATCTGCACATGTGTTCTTCGCGCCCACTGCACTGTTGTCTGTGACATTCGTGACATGGCTAGAAATGACTGGTCGTCCCGAAATTCAAATCCTGAATTCGAAGGCCTCAGACCCACTGCTCGGTTGCTAGCTCATTTATTACTCCTAACACGAACACCTCGCTCTCTCGTGACGACGAATCATCATGTATCATGCATCAGTACGCTCCGATCTCCTCCCCGCGGCCTCGTGTCGCTCATTCTCAGCAAGCGAAGCTTACCAGGCGCGCTTGTCGCATTGCGTAAGCACACAACTGTCCCCAGCCTGATACACCACCCAAGTCGCTCAGTCGCACGAAGCCATGAGCTGAAAACGTGCAACACACCCCGTACGCCCACAAACGAACTCTCGTGCTTGATAAAACTAATACCCGTAACATGCCCCAGGAATCAATGCTCTGCGAGGACACACGGTATAGATATATACGGATCGCCTCTCCCGGAGAGCGCCTCCATTCATCTGCATCAACTCCAAGGCTCACGTCGCGATTGAGTGCTGGTGTGATCGGAGTTGAGAGGCAGCGTGCGTTCATTTACAACACCTTTGGGGGTTATCTTGCTGGACACCACGTCGGCAGGATGGTTCATCTCAGGACCGTCTACCGAGGGCGCAACCACGCGCCGCCGTACCAGAGTCACTGCCTGTCAACCTCGCGACTCCCTACCCACAGGACCGACATACGCCCACGCCCGTGCCCGCCGCCTGCGGTCCTTCTCCCGCACGCGCCCAAACGCCGCACGGATGTCGCACACCAAGCCCCGCGTCTCGGGGCCCTCGCCCGCCACCCCCCACGTCCCGGGGACGCTGCACCCCGGGGGCAGCACGTCCTCCAAGAACTCCGCGACCGCGATCGCGGGCAGGCCGCAGCGGAGAGCGCCGTCGATCCGTGTCAGGTGCGCGAAGGGGCGGTGCGCGCGCGGGAGCGCGGCGGGGCTGGCTGGGGTGCGCCAGCTGAGCGTGAGGGTGTGCAGCTGCTGGGCGACGGGCGCGATGTCGGCGAGGCAGGCGATGTCTACGGGCGCCGTGTGGGGGATGTAGAGGTGTTTGAGGCGCGGGAGGGCGTTGAAGAGTGCGACGAGCTCGTTCGGGGCGATGGTCATGTCGTGTCCTGTTTCGAGGGACACATCCCGCAGGTCGGAGAGCGAGAGGAGGGGCCGCAGGGTGTCGAAGGAGTGGGGGGCGCCGGGAAGGCGAAAGACGTGGTATTGGTGTTCGTGACGCAATGTGCGTAGATGGCGCAGCTGCGAGCCGATGACCGTGAGTAGATGCGTCCACGCATCTGTCGTCGCACTCCCCTCGAGCTCGGGTAGATAAAAAAACAGGGCGGTCAGAGTCTTCGGGAAACGGGGGTGGGCGAACCATTTGACAGCTTGAGTGCAGTCGATGTCAATGGAAAGTGCCTCGAGGGACGGGAAATAATCCTCGCCGATGGCCGGTATCGTAGTGAATTGCGCAGGGGACGGGGTGTCGGCCGTATGTATTTCGAGGGATCGGAGGACTGGCAGAGCGGCGAGGGCGTCCACAACAGGGTCCGTCAGCCAAAATGCGGGTATCTGCACTTCTTCGAGCTTGTCGATTCCGCCAACGATCGATGCGAATGCTTGCACCACAGTGGAACTCTCTTCGCTTTCGTCATAGCCCGAGACTCTGAATGTCCGTATGGAGGGCATATTGATAAGCGCGGATTTGAAGATTTTCAATGCCGTTTCAAGCGGTTCCGAGCACCCCCAAAAGTCGTCGAATATATACGGCCCCAGCGTCAATTTCCGGACTGATGTATGGCCGAATAGGTTTATGATACGGTGTACGAGGTCTGGCTCAATGTCAATCGAGACTGCTGTCAAGTTATGAACGAGAGGCCGATTCCGTTCGAATTTGATGTTGAGAACTTGGTCGAATATGGTGTAAGGATAGTCGACATCTGGTGGAAAAGACAGAACACGGACCCGCCATGCGTACTCGTCAAAGCGTGCCCACGCTTCGGTGCTAGAGATTCCAAATGGCCACTACAAACGATGAGATAGATAAGCAGTGCCCGTTGTGGGTATGCCACTCACAAGACTTGATGTCTCCTCCAAAGGTTCGAGCAGATTCAGCAAGACATCCGCCTCGATGCTGTACCAGTTGATGCTGAGCGCCTCGTTTGACCAGAGCTTGCAGACGCGAGCATTCACTGCATTGCTTTGATTCGTCGAGTATAGGAATATGCGGAAGAGCAGCTCTCTGATTGACAATGCATGCTGAACGGGGGATGTGGTCGACATCAAGAGTGCGGGCGCTTCGGGCTGGCCTGTAAGTTGCGTGGTTTCAACTGTAATTTGCTTCTGTCGCACGGTCACTCGACGGTGCCAGCACTGGCCATTGCCTAGCGATAAATCGATGATGCATGATGCATTGATGACCTTGGGCCGTACGGGTATTTCTGCACCCCTATCCCCTGAATAATCCCTGAATAAATGCGTGTCTTCAGCGTTGCTTCCCTCGCTGCCCGTTCCCGATGCTTCTCGCCGCTTGGAGGGATATTTCACACTTCACGGGATTGTTACATATATAAGCTCATCCCCGCCTGGCTTCCTCTTGTGCTCTTCGCTCTTCCCATCAACCATGTTTGCCTCCGTCTAGTGAGTATTTCGTCGTCACAGATGGAGCGAGCAGCGAGGGCATCAGGAAGCTACTCCCCTCTAGTAGCATAGAGTCGCCTTTGCCACCTCCGCTTCTCCCTCATCCTTTCGTCTCAACATAATTATTGACCAACGTCCTCCTCGTAGCACGCTCGCATTCTTCGCCGCCCTAGCTGCCGCCCTCCAGATAGAACCCCTCCAAAATGCCAATTCTCAGGGCGACACAAGAATTACGTGGATAAACGACGCCGCCGATACGTGAGTCCCTCCTCTCCCCATCCTGTCCCCCTCCCACGTCCCCACGTCCACCCATCACTCCCATCCTTTAATCGTTTCGCTGGGTATTCGTCAATCTTCGCTATCCCTGACTAATTCCCTCCTGCTCTCAGATCCCGCTTCTCGACTTTCTCAGTCTTCCTCCACCACCCCACCTTCAACTCCGACTTCGCCCTCCTCAACAACCAGCGCCCAACAGACGGCGGCGCGAACGTCACCCTCCCTGCAGTTCCCGCACAGTACGTGATGTCTCTTTGGCCGCAATCATTCCGCTTCGCCTTCATTCGCATGCACATCTTCGCCTTTGTTCCCTTCTATTTCCTTTGGGCGATTTAACTATACGCTCTGTTCGCCTGCCCATCCGCCGATGGTGTTCTCATTTTCCCGCTCTTCTGGCGGTGTCTTCGTCGCTGCTGCATCCGCCCTTCTTGGCGTCCATGCGGCGCCGCTTACACACTTGCCGCTCCTCGGATCCATCAGCATTCCATTCTCCCTGCCATTCCCTTACCTATTCACACACGCACGCGTGAAGCGCATTTCGTCATACATGCCGGCAGAATCCAGATCATCTCGGCCATGTTATGCTCGCTTCACCCGTTGTTCATTCACATCTTACTTTCTGTCATGCATGGGCACTGGTCCTCAGCCGACCTTGCATCACGTCTCCGCACGTTTCCACCTTTCACAACGCCGTAGGCCGTGGGCTGTGATGATCAACTGCCATATGCTTACTCACACCCGCGGAGGTGTGTTCTTTTCTCGGGTGCAGTCCAGTCCCTTGCGTCGGCAATGTACTTCACATTCACATATCCTCTCATCGCCGAACCTGCTGGCCGTGCGTTGTCCGCCTATTGACGTATATGCCCCGTACACGTTGCTAGAGCCTATTATCGTCTGCGCTGTTCCAGCGCACTGCCTCTCGCATATTCGATGAGGTTATTTTTACTCCCTTTACGTTCCCATCCTTGTTTCTATTTTCTATTTTCTGCTTCGTCGTTCACATGCCTTCGCTTACCCGCCGTTATATTTATCTTCCCCCTGTCCTATTCTTCACTAACTCTCCAACAACAGAGACGGCTACACCCTCCGCGCGACGGACATCGCCAACATCACCGACGAATTCGCAGTCTCGTCGCCCTTCGCGATCGGGCCTGAAGTCTCCTCCACCTCCTCCATCGCGCCCTCCACCTCCGTCCCCGTCTCGGGATCCGTGACAGCCTCCGGTTCTGGTGCTGTGACGGACACTCCGGTGGTTACGCGCGGCTCGGGAAGTGGGACTGTCCTGTGAGTGATATATATATATTCCACCTCGCCCCCCTTCCCATTTCCTCCTTCCTCCTTTCCTCTCTCGGTCTTGCCGTCTGCTAAGTTCTAACATCGTGTTGATGCTTCGTGTCTATGTAGCTCCGTCCCCACAGTCTCTCCGACAGCTTCCGCCCCTGCCTCGGGCGCGTCGGGCGGAACTGGGACCAACACCGCCGTGCAGGGAGGTGCTACGAACTTCAACGGCGCGCCGTCCGCGTCCGTCGAGACGAAGGCGTGGGCACTCGGCGCTGTCGTGCTGGGCCTGGGATGGGTCGCCGGTGGGTACTAACTTCTAAGTTGGTTGTGTGCCCGGACTCGAACTCGCATTCGGACGTTGTGAGCTGGTGCTTTGTCTGTCGTTTGTCGTTTGTGCATATGTGCATGTGTGATCGGTGCATTCTTGTGTTACCGGTACTGGCGAGACGCTGTGTTGTTACTTGTATCTGCTTGCTTTCGCTTTCGCTTTTGCTTTTGTCGACTTTTCCTTTCCGTCGACGGACTGCTGTGGTTGTAGTAATTACTCTGTTGTCTTACTACCGGACAATGTTGTTACGTGTTGCGTGTTGCATACCTGCGTTGTTGCGTTGTAGAGTTGTAGAGTATGGGGCGCGCATCTTCGAGGCTTTCGAGCGCCTGGAGGATTCAGGATTTGTGCGAGTGCGAGACGGGTACGTACTCCTTCCTATCTCTGCACCACCCGAAGCGCACAAGCGAACACATACCCATCCAACTCACGGGTATGTAGTATCGAGCAGGAAAGGTCAAGCCAAAATGTGGCCAACATCCAAAGCCTCACTTGGGGTCTCCTGGACTTCCAAACGATGACCGTTAAATTAACGTTCGTCTTTATCGACACCACCGTCGGCCTGTCCCAACCTCAGCTTGTTCGGACAGTGACCAGTCCAAGAGGCATCGTTGATGCATTGGCGTCGTAGGAAGGCTGATTAAAACGTCCCCGTCCCCGCCTAATAGTTGCGACATTGTCCCGAGTGTCCATACTGAACTTGAGGGTGGGGTGAAGAATTCGAACGAAGATGGCAACGCGCTGGAGGTCTGGGGAAGCAGGTTGCGGAAATCGAAGTACTAGTGGCGGAATTGTCGTGAATGCGGGAACAAGAACGGCGGGAGCAAATATCAACAGCAACAACGGCGCGTCCTAAGGTAATTCCAATACCAAGAAATCCATAAGCCCAAGTATCACTGTTATATATCGATATTTACATGAATATGGTCGTTGAATGAGTGGTATCATATTAGTCGCTGGATGTACACAGAATAGTGGGGGGTAGGGTAGCAAAGAAGTGGGGTGGGCAGGAGTCCAGTCGTTGCTCGTGCATTGAAGCATGGGCGAGCCCGGGAGATCAACGCGGGGCGCGAAGCGTCAAATGAAGAGCCATATAATCAGTACAAGTCGTCGTAATCTTGATACCCGTAGTATCGCTGTCCGCGGCGTGGACCGTTATAATCTACAGCCAAAGTACAGTTATAGTTAGCATCATCCGACTGCAGCTTCAAGCAAGAGGGGAGAGAACGACGACGCCGAATGCGGTTGCAGATGAGGAAGCCGCGTCGAATTCCAGCCGTAGCTTGGATGGATATTTAACGCAGACGGCGATGACTCACATGAGCTAGTATCCCTCACAGGGCTCAACCCCGCGACACCGGAGAGATTCAGATACCCCTCCGACACCCTCGCGCGAGCATTTCCAGCGGCACGACCAGGGGCAGCACTCGTCGAAGCGGCAGCAGCAGGGAAAGCCCACTTCGTACGGCAGTAGACGCAGGTAATATCGTGGCCCTTCGACCGCGCTGTGGTCTTCCCTACACCCAATGAAAATTGATATCAGATCCCCGGCGAAATCGAAACAGAGGGCACGAGAGACGCACATTGCCCGAAACACTCGTTATGCACGGCTTTACCGCATTCTGCGCAGAATTCGAGCGTTTTGAGGTCGACTTCGTGCATGCCTTCGTAGCAGATGGGGCAGTCATCGTCCGGGCCCGGGATCTTCCTCTTATCTTTCTCCTTCTCCTTCCCCTTCTCCTTCTCCTTTCCTTTTTGTTTCTTGCGCGGAGGCGTCACGGTGAGGTCGATGAAATCGAGATTGCGGTAGTCTGGTGAAGCTGGGGGAGACGGAGACGGTGAGGGGGATGGGGAGACGCGGATTGGGCGACCCGTTACGCGGGCGAACTCTTCGCGGACGCCTGTTGGAGCTACGGGGATGGCGTTGGGTGCGACGGGCGCTTGGGAGAAGATGTCTTGAAGTTCCGATGTCAGGAGGGCTCTATGACGTATAGGTCAGACAAAGTGGTGAGACGAACAGGTTTATAGAGTACGCACTTTTGGTACCAATGTCCCGATGCTTGAGTTACTTGAAGAACTGCGACGCGATTGTGTGAATCAGTAGCGCGTGCTGCGCATGATAGATCGTACCTTTCAAAAAAATGAACAACTAGAACGTGAGATCGTTAGTGAGTTGCGCTCAATAAATAGAGGATTAGCTACGTGCGATATGTTTGCAATGGTTTCCCTTCAAGAAATCCGGACCTTGGAAGAAGAGGGTAAGGTGCTGCGGCGACGCGCATTGCGCGAAACACCAGCATAACACTCACAAGTGCACGACGGGACTTTATCAATCGTGACTGTATACACCTAGTTCACACTCACCGTCAGCACGCTCATACAGGTACCGCACTCCGCTTCCAAACCCAGACGAAGCTCGAAAAAGCCACTCACATTCCCAGTCGACCCCAGCACACTGAACTCCTCCCTTAACTCGTTCCCATTCCGCCGGCGGTCCACCATAAAGAAGCGCTGCTCCATCACGCGATGCACGCGCTCGAGGATGTTCTGCGGGCATTTCTTCTTGAAGATGGCGAGCCGCTTTTCGAGGGGCCGCGCGTCGGGATCTTGGGTTTTCGGCGCGGCTTTTCGAGCACGTTTGGCTGGCGGCGGGGTGGGGTACAGCGAGGTTGAAGATGAGGGAAATGGAGAGGCGCTGGGATAGGTTGGAGAGGGCAAGTCATAGTCGCGCACCCAGACACCTTTGCGCTTCACCATCGTGTACTACGGAGTGCAGTAGAGTAGGCTCGAAAACCAGCCTATATACGAGATGATGATAAGTCGATCCTCTTAGTATAGAACAGTAGAGCAGACATCGACTTTTCCTTAGCTTTGCACACGAGCACGTGGAGCCCCTAACGGCCTAATAGGGCAGTTGAGTACGAAGGGAACCAAGAAATGATCCAGGACGAAGCTACGTGGAGAGAAAGGAGCGATTCTATTCAGCATGGCGAAGATGATCAAACCCGACGGCAATGTCAGGCTTCACCCAGTACAATCGAGCCCGCCTGGAATCACCACCACTCAGCTTACCGAGGTGATTAAGCCAAGGACCACTGTACAGAAGGCTGGCCGTTATTTCAACATAACAACAATGTGTATACAGAGAAAAGACCGTCTTTAGGCTACAACTCCCAGCTTTGACGCGCAGCCATGTGCGCGAGGCGTTTGCTCGGGGCTGGAGATGTAGTCGCGGGTACCACTCGCGAACGCCTCCATCCCCTGCCATTCATCCAGCTCAAGCACCTTCTTCCAGTCCCCTCCGTTCTGAATCCCGTAGTTGAAGCGCCAATAAGTGTCGTCCTCCGGGAACACCTTCCGTGCCTTCTGATGCGTATGCTCACAGTCTGTGGCAATACTGGCCAGCGTCTCGGCGAGATCCCGATGATACTGCAGGCTAGGGAGCACGCCAAGTTCTGGGCGGGGTGGAGCATGTAGATTGGGGCCGTGGCCAGTGCCAAGGGTGAGAAGGCAGCGTGTACTCATGAGGCGCTCCACGCCGAACTCGTGGTAGGCCTCTCCCAACAGCCTAAATTGTGTTCAGGTTCACATCATACGCAACGACGGCAGCGAGAACACTCACAGAGCAATCGGGTTGTTATATAAAAGGCCTCCGTCAATGAGCTCTGTGCCGTTGATGGTGATACTGGGCAAAAACGTCGGTGCCGCCGATGTCGCGCGGGCAGCTTGCCAGATCGGTATGTCCACGAACTTGTCGACATTCGCAAACTTCGCCGACTTGTAGGTTCGAAGATGCTCTGGCGTCTTGCTCAGATTACTGGCCTCTCCCGCAACGACGAATCTGGGATCATGCTGGATCAGAAACGTTGCACGATAACGCGGTACAGCGCGTACACTTTGCAATGCTGGTCCGGTGATTGGGGGATCATAGTCTCTTTGCCGTCACCGTACTGCTTGACAATGGCCTTGACCGCTGATTCGAAAGTGTCGGCACCATACGCATACCCTGTGCTGCCTTCTGCGATACCCTTGGCAAACTTTCCATTCATTCGAAAGATGTCGGAGGCGAAGCGCTTGTAAGCTTCAATGCACTGGGGAACAGACATGCGAAGACGTCCAAGCATCAATGCGATCAATCTGACGGAGAGATGTCAATGCAACGAGGCTTGGTATATAAAGGTTTATCCCCACCCGCCCGTGCTTGTACCGCAAATCATATCAAAGTAGTCGCATGGCTTGGTCTCTGGGTCGTTTGTGAGCTTGAGCATGATATTCTCGAGGATGACCAGCGATGATATCCCTCGGACACCCCCACCATCTATACCAAGACATCAGTACCTGTTGGCGCAGTAAAAAAAACACTCACCGAAGGATAGCAGTCGGAGAGGAGCGCCATTTCTTTGGCGGGCGAGATCTCCACGAATCGCCTCTCCAGGAAGCATCATCTCCCGAACGAGCGAGTACGCAGGCTTCTCCCCCTTGTCCGTCCTATCATCCAGATAGCCGGTAAGCAGCAGCTCAATATTCTTCTTGAGCTCGTTCATTCGCCTCTTCTCCTCGAATTGCGCCGCATCGAAGACGGGAAGCTCGTGGCCTCAGCAGACACAGTCAGCCGCGCGAGAAAAGTGCAAGGTGGCAGCGAACACACCTTGCTTTTCCAGGCGGAACTCGAGAGAGGCACTGGTCGCATTGTTTTCCCACCCCGGAAAGCGGGCGCAGACCATCACGGCCAGAACGTCCCCAGGCTGCGACCGATGAGCCACGATCCTCGCTTTTCAGCATTACGCTCCTACCTGGAGGACTTTGAACAAGTCGTCTTCCTTGTCGAATACTTCCCCGACGGTCGTCGTGTCCTTCCCGTATCCGATGACGTTGCAGTGGCTTCGCCACAAGCACGTCAGCCCACCCCGGACGAGGGGAGTTGTAGACTCAGGGGACGCGAGAATGGCGATGTCGAACCAGCTCCAGCTGCCCTCATCCGGGAAGGAGACGTATCCTTGATCACGAGCAGTGGTTTGCAGCCGGATGCAAGAGACCCGTTCGAGGAACGAGTTCTCGAGGGGCTGGCTTAGGCAGTAAGCATAGAACGTCGGGCAGTCAAAAGCAAGCGCACAGGCGTCTTGAACCAGAGTTTAGACTCGAGTTCGTTTGAGGTCGCTTCGGCCCGTGTGGGGCTGCTGGAAGATATGGCGTAACAGTCGGAGTGCGTAAAGGACATTGCGATTGCCAGAGAATCGACCTACGAAGTGGTCTATTTATATTCGAGAGTGCGCAGAGCACTCTTTTCGACGAACCAGAAGGCAAGGCACCGCAGGGGACCCGAAGCGCGGGCGGTCATTTGCGCACAACTTCACCGCAACACATTGACCGGCGTTGATGAACATGCGAGATGCACATACCGTTCTCGTGTGTTCCTGGCATTCAACATAGGAACAAAGGCGAAAGTCACAGATAGCAGAACTTACAATGATAGGTAGTCAGGCCCCAGGAACGATACACATTTGTAACTAATGACATGGGGAGTGTTCTGAGCAATTGGCCGGTCGATATGTTGTCTTGAACTTAGGGGTTTGTTGCTTTGAGTTCCTATGCGCACGGGATACTGGGCAAGATGCGGGCGTCAAGAGCACCTAGATGGACTACTTTGATATAAAATACAAAGGCGGTACCTCGATCATAGGCAGCCGAATAAATCTAGACGGCATGGACGCCGTGAAGGAAGAGCCAAAACGCGACACCAGCGCCCAGCGACTCCGAAGTCTGAGGAGGAGGATGCAGCGATGCAGCGAGAACCGGAGGCCATACGCGATACGGAACCATAATGATGGCTTCGATGAGGTGGGTGAGACCCAGTAGACGACGAGGGGTGGCTTGTTGGGTTGACGCCGGCGAACGATGCAGAGAAGAGGCCTCGACATCGGCAGCATTATCCCTAGGGAGACGAGGCTGTACAGCACTGATTGAAAAGAAGATTGCGGGCTCACACGAAGCCGCGAGTACGCCCGCTGCCTGCCTCTTCCACAACATGTATGAGGCATAAATCCATAAATGACCAGGCCGTCAGTTCTGTAGAGCACACATCCGCACCTGCACCCACTAAAGGACGACGGACCCGCCTTCGCCAACCTTCTCTTTAGACGCTTAGATGAACGTGCTTACTCGCGTGTATCCAGCTGTATTACGATCAGTAGATGTCAGCGCGAACACATCGGTCTCTTGGGTCGACTTTGAGGTGTTGAACGTGGCATTTCGACTTTCTGGACCAAGTTCGTACGTTCAGTTTCTCGTACGTTTCGTATGTGTTTAATACTGGAGTCTAGTCGTTGAGTGTCGTTACGACATGGAGAAACTTTGAAGTTGGGTACAAGAAGCCGGACGAATCGGGCCGTGTGTGACCGAACTGAGTCGCCGCTGAGGCGCCCAACTGCATGCCTCGCTCGACCTTGCTACGTTGTTCAGCCATCTTGACTCGAGACAGATAACACAGGGTGCAGGATCAAATAATACTGGGCCTTGTATGAGATTATTATGTGGGAATTATCGTCGGTAAAGATCCCATATCAGGCCCCGTAATATGCAATCAATATATTAGCTAACTCACAGATATTATATTCAAATGTATTAGATTATTTTGAAAACATTATGCAGATTGTATGTCGGTATTAATCGTTATCGAAGCCTGGGAAGAATAAACTATTAGCTAGATATAGATAAGGAATAAACCCACTGGATATATGTAGTTTACAGATTTTTGTTTGTTCGATACCGATCCGATATTAGCGGGATTGTTATAAGGACATCATTTATTATAGCCGTAGGAAAACATTTAAAATATACATTACATACATTCTCACGATTTACCATAAAATAGTCACTGAGATATCCGATGGTTATCCATTGAATTGATTGACTATTTTCCCCTCAATCAACGGGATATCATAGGTATTAATATTCGATCATTATGTGTCATTTTATTTGAAGAATTCAGAGGAAAATACAGGAGGGATATTTGATCCATATTTGGAATAGTATATGGCAAATTAAATATGTATTAACCATTTTGTTATGTGGGGAATATGAAACCGTGGTAGACGATCAATATTAGGAATAGATATTCAAGAGATATCTTATCGGTATGTTACATCCATATCGGGTTCAAACGCACATCACGTGACCTCGCCGACACGTCCAAAAAAAAACAGAGGCCAGAAAGCACATACACGTCTCTTCCAATTTAGATTTCGAGTATTCCATCACGGCGCGTAGCGACATTACTTATCTCACTCCTCATGAATACTAATAGCAGACGACGCCACAGTCAACTCTGGCTACTTCTTTTCAATGGAACCCTCCAACTTCTGGGCGCTTCTGTAGTATATTTACGTCCCGGAAGCACCAACGTACCTTGAACATACCTTACACAGCCAGATGCTTGATCACGCCAAGATAAAAACGTGCTTGCTCGCCCATCGTGCGGATCGTCACTCAGAACAACGGGACAGTAACTGAAGTTTCGGACGTAGAATATCGACGTGCGGTGATATGTCTGTCAGAAGACCCGGCGAGAATTTTGCCAAAGATAGTTGTACTTCCGTAGATCCTATCATACAGCGAGCGTTCGTCCCATGGTAATATCATCACCCGACATCCAACGCATGCGGAACGGAAGAACGAGGGTCTCGCCGTGAGCCGCTGGCACACGCCTGAACAGCAAGGACACCCACTGTTTCCGGGCGCAGAATTCGGATAAGGGCAATGGGCTTGGCCTCCAGACATATACACAAACAAGCTCTTCGTCCACCGCCGATGGCGCTCAACATCGAATCGACTGCGATGCAGGGCGACTCCACTGAGGTACAATACGGCCCAGACGAAGCATACGCTACCTTTGCTTTGTGAATGGATAATGTAAGGTATATGTAAGGGGACACTCCTATTTTCTCCTTTTCCCCCTGTCCCGTCCCCTTCCTCCTTGTTCCTTTCCCTTTTCTTTCATTCCCTTTCCTTTCCCTTCGCCCCCTTACCTTCCCGCTTCCCTTCCGTTCACTCCCTTCGCATCCGAGCCCCGTCCGGTGACTCCGAAGTCTTCCCGCGCTTCGGACTCGCCTCGGACTCGCTCGGACGCTTCGGATACGCTCGGACTCGTCTATACACTTCGGGGCTCGTCCGGGCTACCTCCATCTTCCTTTCCCACTTCGTTATTCCTTGTCTCCACTCCCCCAGGTCGCTGGCACGGCTCCTGTACATTCCCCTTCCACTTCATTATCACATGCCCCCTCGTACCTTGTGATATTCGTTCGTACCTGTGGCTGGTGTACTGTACAGTTACCCTTCATTCCTCCCACGCTACTACAGTATATACTTCGCTTCCTAGCATGGAGAATCCCCATCCTGTTCTCTTTGGATTCTCCCTCTGCTAGGTGAGCAGCTCTCCCATGTATTGTAGTTAGTCATATTCATTTCTTTGGATTCTCCCTCTGCTAGGCTTGCGCTGTGCGGCCATCTTGAGGTTGCCCTTACAGCAGAACAGGATCTCCCATCCTGGCACCAGAGCCCTACGGAAAACGTCCTGCGCCACTCCGGACTCGTTCCCGACGTCTCTCCGGTTTTGCGGACATTCCGGACGCTCTCCTGCTACTCCCACCCACCTCTGAGGACCCAAGGAACTCCATCCCTCGCTCCCCTGACGACTCCGAAATGCCGGGCGCTTCCAGCCAGATCCCGCCATCCGAGCCAGTCGCTTCAGGATCGGACTCCGAGACTTTGCAGACCTTGTGGGCTCAGACGTACGAACACCAAACCCAAATCAGCTCCATCCACGATACACTCGCCCGGATCGAAGGGCTCCTCTTAACACCCCGTCCGACTAATCCGAAAACGACTCCGGACTCCGAGCCGAGGGGCACCGAAGCCTCCCAGCACGCCCCGAGTCGATCCGAAATCACCCCGCGTTCCCGTTTGAAGCCCGCCTCTCCCCCGATCTTCGACGGAAACCGCAAGGATGGTCGCGCATTCTACAACGCGTGCTCCATCTACTTCCAGCTCTGTCCGGACCACTTTCCGACCGAGCAGGCCAAAATCCTCTGGTGTCTCTCCTTCTTCCAGAAGGATCGCGCCAAGGAGTACGCGGACATGGTGCTCCGGAGTCCGAAGGATCCGTACTTCGAATCCTGGGCCGCCTTCGCGACCGAATTCCGGACTCGCTTCCTTCCGGATCGGGAACGCGAAGCCGCCATGCTCAAACTGGAGTCCACCCGGTACCACCAAGGGCGTCGGACTTTCCAGGAGTACCTCGACGAGTTCCGGGACCTTGTAGACCAGTCCGGATACTCCGAGGGCTCCAACATCACGATGAAGTTCCGCCGCGGATTGGACTCCATCATCCAGAGCCGCGTTGCCGAGTCCGCAGACTGTCCGGACGAGGATGACTTCGAAGGATGGTACAAGGCAGCGCAGCGGGTTGCTGACAACCGCGCCGCCAACCAGTCTTTCCACTTCGGCGTGCACTCCGGAAACTCCGGACACTCCGGATCTCTCGTCCGACCAACAGCCAACTCCGGAGTCGCTCGCACTCCTGCGGGTGTACTTCCCACGCCTCGGACTCAGCTCCCGCCTCTGCAACCCCGTTTCCAACCTCTGCCTCCTCCGAAGGCTCTCTCACCCGGCGTCCCCATGGACGTCGACCACACCCGCTCCCGACCCGCCGCTTCGCAGCTCTGCTACCGATGCGGCAAACCCGGTCACATGTCCCGGGAGTGCCCACTCCGGTACGACGTCCGGTTCATGACCACCGAGGAGCGGATGTCCGCCATCGAAGATCTCCTGACCGCGGCCGATGTTGTAGAAAGTGCGGGGACCTCGGAAGGAATAGACGATGAGGGAACGGCCCCGGTTGGGGAATCGGACACGGCGGATTTTGTCCGGACCAACGAGTGATCAGTGCGACCTCGTTGGTGAATAACCGATTTGCTTGTCTTAGCGTAGACGAAATAGACGATTCCAATCACTCCGATGATTCGTCCGACGCTAAGCAAACGACTCCGGTTACAATCCGCACAATCCGAAGGTTTCGCCCGCAGTGGGAACGGCGGCTACCCAGTAGCTATAAGATCTCCGCGCTGCCCGGCAAGCTTTCGCTAGATATACCCGTTGAAGTGCAGAGCACGGATACACAACACCGATGCGCCCTGCAGGCCCTGGTAGACTGCGGAGCCACCGGAGTCTTCATGCATCCGCGCTTTGCGGATGCTCATGGTTTCACCCGACGCAGGCTGTCCGCTCCGATTCCGGTCTTCAACGTCGACGGATCACCAAACGAGAACGGATCCATCTCCGAAGTCGTGGACCTTGTACTCCGGTTCAAGGATCACACGGAACGGATGCTTTTCGCGGTCACTAACATCGGACGCCAGGACATCATCCTCGGATACACCTGGCTTCGGAAGCACAACCCCGAGATCGACTGGCAGACGAAGGAGGTGACCATGAGCCGCTGTCCGTCCGGATGCGACACCTGTCGGAAGGAGTTCCGCCATGACAAGCTGACCCGACGCAAGGAGTCCGTGCGGCTCCGGGAGTGTCGTACGGGTCCGATGCCAATGGTCGAGGAACTACACTCGGACGATCTTCCGCAGCTTCAGGACTGCGAGGACGACGATGAGGACGATGAGGCCACAACTCCGGACGACTCCGGGCTGGAGAAGGGCGACCGTATCTTCGCAGCCATTCCTCCTCCGACTCCGGAGTACCTTCGGAGTCTTCGGGAAGAGCACGTCCGAGCTTCGGAAACGGTCTCGCAACGCCTCGCATTGGCTTTCCAGCGCAACAAGCCCCACGATCCTCGGAACAGCGCAGTCCCGGACTTCCTCCGAGAATTCGAGGACGTCTTCGCCAAGGAGTCCTTTGATGAACTGCCCATGCCGCGTCCGTGGGATCACGCCATTGAGCTAGTAGACGGAGCGGAACCGACCTCTACCAAGTGCTACCCGCTGTCCCCCGCGGAGCAGAAACAGCTGGACGAATTCCTGGAAGAAAACCTCCGGACTGGTCGGATCCGCCCCAGCAAGTCGCCCATGGCCGCCCCGGTGTTCTTTGTTAAGAAGAAGGACGGATCGCTCCGCTTGGTCCAGGACTACCGGAAGCTCAACAGCATGACGGTCAAGAATCGGTACCCGCTCCCGCTCATCTCGGACTTGGTGGATAAACTCCGGAACGCTCGCTACTTCTCCAAGCTCGACGTCCGGTGGGGTTTCAACAACGTCCGGATCAAGGAGGGCGACGAGTGGAAGGCCGCGTTCCGGACTACGCGCGGACTCTTCGAGCCGTTGGTAATGTTCTTCGGACTGACGAATAGCCCGTCTACCTTCCAGACCATGATGAACGACCTCTTCCGGGAGCTCATTACGGAAGGTGTGGTCATTATCTATCTGGACGACATCCTGATCTACACCAAAACGCGCGAAGAGCATCGTCGGGTTCTCAAGCGGGTCCTGGAGATCCTCCAGCGGAACAAGCTCTTCCTCCGAGCAGACAAGTGCGAATTCGAGCAGACCAAGGTGGAGTATCTCGGAGTCGTCATCTCCGAGGGTAAGATCGAGATGGATCCGGTGAAGGTTTCCGGAGTCGCGGACTGGCCGACCCCTCGGACTCGGACTGAACTCCAATCCTTCCTCGGGTTCGTCAATTTCTACCGCCGCTTCATCAAGGACTACTCGCATATCGCTCGGCCTCTCTTCGACCTCACTTGCGCGAAGGAATGGCAGTGGAACGACTCCGCTCAATCCGCGTTTCTTCGGATCAAGGAGCTGATCACTTCGGAGCCCGTTCTGGTCTTTCCGAAGGAGGATCGGCCGTACCGGGTTGAAGCGGACTCGTCGGATTACGCTACGGGTGCGGTCTTGTCGCAGCTGGATCCGGATGATGGTAAATGGCATCCTGTCGCATTCTACTCTAAAAGTCTACAGGCTGCGGAGCGGAACTATGAAATACACGACAAGGAGATGCTTTCAATCATCCGGGCACTCGAAGAATGGCGGCACTACCTGGAAGGCGCAGAGACTCCGTTTGAGATCTGGACGGACCACAAGAACCTGGAGTACTTCATCAAGGCCCAGAAACTCAATCGTCGTCAGGCCCGCTGGTCGCTATACCTCTCCCGCTTCGACTTCACTCTCCAGCATCGTCCGGGTCGGACAATGGGTAAGCCGGATGCTCTCTCGCGCCGCTCGGATCACTCGGATGGTAAGGATGACAACAAGGATGTGGTTTTACTTAAGCCGTCTTACTTTGCCGTCCGTGCCACGGGTGTCACTCTTGAAGGGGAGGAGAAGGATATCCTCACGGCTATCCGGACTGGAGTGCGGAATGCGAAGTTTGAAGACGCAGTGGCAAAGGCGGCAGAGGAGTTGAAGAAGGCCCAGGGCAGTCGCAAGACAGTCCGGAGCGCGGAATGGTCTCAATCGGACGGACTGCTGATGTTCCGGGGTAAGATCTACGTTCCGGACTCACCGGACTTGCGTCGGACTATTGTAGCCCAGCACCATGACACTAAGGTCGCAGGACACGCCGGCAGATGGAAGACCCTCGAGCTCGTTTCGCGCAGCTACTGGTGGCCCAACATGTCCCGGTACGTCGGATCCTACACCCGCCATTGCGACCTTTGTCTCCGGACGAAGGCCCAAAGGCATCCGCCCATGGGTGAACTCCATCCGCTTCCCATTCCGGATGAACGCTGGGATCGTCTGAGTGTTGACTTCATCGTCGAGCTTCCGGAGTCCGATGGATTTGATGCTGTCATGAACGTGGTCGACTCCGTAAGCAAACGCGCCCACTTCATTCCGACTCACACCACAGTGTCCGCCCTCGGATCCGCGAACCTGTACCTGCAGAACGTCTGGAAGCTGCACGGACTCCCTCGGTCTGTTGTGTCCGACCGGGGTCCGCAATTCGTCGCAGAGTTCACCCGAGAAGTCTACCGGATGCTCGGAATCAAGCTGGCTGCCTCCACTGCGTACCACCCTCAGTCCGACGGACAGACGGAACGGACCAACCAGGAACTCGAGTCCTATCTCCGGATCTTCGTCGGAGAGCGTCAGGATGACTGGGCTCGCCTCCTACCCATGGCGGAGTTTGCGTACAACAACCGGGTCCACGCGTCCACTCAGCAGTCGCCCTTCCTCCTGGATACTGGCCGTCATCCTCGCCTCGGGTTCGAACCTCACCAACCACCGTCTCGGATAGAGTCCGCAAACGAGTTCGTAGACCGGATGAAGTCCGCAGTTGATGAAGCTCAGTCTGCATTGGTCAAGGCTCAGGACGACATGAAGCGCTACTACGATCAGCGTCGGACTCCTGCTCCGGAGTACCATCCGGGTGACAAGGTCTGGCTGGACTCGTCGGACATCAACCTTGCCCGACCCTCTCGGAAACTCGGACATGCACGACTCGGTCCTTACAAGGTCGTCCGGAAGGTTGGCAAGGCAGCGTACCGACTCCAGCTCCCTCCGGGCTTATCCCGTCTCCATCCCGTCTTCCCCGTGGTCAAACTCTCTCCCTTCGTTCCGGACCCCATCCCGGGTAGACGCCCTGTCGCTCCGCCACCTCCGCAGCTCGTTGACGGAGAAGAGGAGCATGAGGTAGAAGAGGTCCGGAATAGCAGACGGTTCGGTCGGGTCCTGAAGTATCTGGTGCGCTGGCGAGGCTATGGTATCGAGCACGACTCCTGGGAGCCCGCGAGCAACCTCCAGCATGCTGCCCGGAAGGTCAAGGACTTCCATGATCGTCATCCGGATGCAGTACGCGTACTCCGGACGAGTCCGGTGAGTCCGACGACTGCTCTACCTCTCCGGATGACTCCTGCAGCACTGGACCAGTCCTGGGAGCGTTGGCGTAGTCGGAAGGCTCCGGGCTCCGCGCAGTCATATTTCGACATCTTCTCGCAGCAGTCCGGGGTCTCCGGGTTGGTGAATTCATGGCGCGGCAGGCAGGAATCTTCGCGTCGGGTCGCCGCAACCTTGAAGGGGGGGTGATGTAAGGGGACACTCCTATTTTCTCCTTTTCCCCCTGTCCCGTCCCCTTCCTCCTTGTTCCTTTCCCTTTTCTTTCATTCCCTTTCCTTTCCCTTCGCCCCCTTACCTTCCCGCTTCCCTTCCGTTCACTCCCTTCGCATCCGAGCCCCGTCCGGTGACTCCGAAGTCTTCCCGCGCTTCGGACTCGCCTCGGACTCGCTCGGACGCTTCGGATACGCTCGGACTCGTCTATACACTTCGGGGCTCGTCCGGGCTACCTCCATCTTCCTTTCCCACTTCGTTATTCCTTGTCTCCACTCCCCCAGGTCGCTGGCACGGCTCCTGTACATTCCCCTTCCACTTCATTATCACATGCCCCCTCGTACCTTGTGATATTCGTTCGTACCTGTGGCTGGTGTACTGTACAGTTACCCTTCATTCCTCCCACGCTACTACAGTATATACTTCGCTTCCTAGCATGGAGAATCCCCATCCTGTTCTCTTTGGATTCTCCCTCTGCTAGGTGAGCAGCTCTCCCATGTATTGTAGTTAGTCATATTCATTTCTTTGGATTCTCCCTCTGCTAGGCTTGCGCTGTGCGGCCATCTTGAGGTTGCCCTTACAGTATATAAGATAGCGGCGAAGTACCCTCGCACCATACTATTTGATCGTTCCTTTTTTAGACCTCCTTCTGTGATCGTTCTGAACCCAAGATGCCCCATAAGTCAGAACGTTCTTTATAGGCCAATGTGACATGGAGCTACACGCCTACCATGGAATGAAATGCCTCAATCAGGCAAGAGTGGGCATGAAACAAGATCTATAGGTCGCGAAGATACCTCGTACCTCTATATAAGCAAGACAGACCGATGTAACTGGATCAGTTGGGCAGAAATAGTCCATCCCACGTACGTCCCTTGGGCTTCGCAACCTCCCGTCCCCGCTATCACTGGTTAACCGCGATATCTGTGCCAGCAAATATGACAAGCCCCCAGACGATGAATATTGTATACAGTGGAGATGTTCTGCCACGGAGAGGTTTCTTCAAGTCCTGGGAACGAACGAGACATTCCAGAGAAGTTCATTGGTTCGTCGAATGCTTCGCAGAGGCTGTAAGTCACATCTATTTGTCGAGAGGTCCAGTATGTCTAACAAGCAGATAGTTGGGGGTGTTTCTCTATACCTGGGCTGGTACGAGTAGAAATAGACGGTGACATGATCGAACGCTGACCATGTGGACACTGAATAGGCGTTGGCGCAACGGCAGCATTTGTTGTGGGGAATATCCTGGGGCTTGAGAATGTCGGCTGTGGGTTTCAGCTCATGTGGGGTAATCCCCGTCGGCTAACCAAGATTTGATCTCAGCGGTGTTGGGTATCGGCTTTGCGTATGCATTTGGCATCCTCCTGGCGCTCGGAATATGCAGTGCAACATCGGGGGGGCACTTCAACCCATGTGTCTCAATAACGCAGGTGGTCTTCAGGGGATTCCCCCCACTCAAGGCCGCGAGATACATCGTGTTCCAGATCTTCGGGGGTTACATCGCATGTCTGCTAGTATACGCGCAATGGAGAGATATGATCCTGGCAGCGGAGGCAGCGCTCACTGCGGCAGGTAGGTTGGAGGAGGTGCAATTTACCGCCATGGGTACCGGAGGGATCTTGGCCCTGTACGCACCTCCTGGGGCACATTTGGGGTTGACTTTCGTTAATGAGTTCGTAACGGTGAGCTATCCCCATAATACGGTACGCCGTTGCCACATTGATCTTGACATCCGTGTGGAATGTAGGATTTCGTCCTTGCTTTGGCGATATGGGCGTGCCTTGACCCGACGAATGCCCTGGTACCTCCACAAGCAGCTCCATGGGTCATTAGCTTTGCATAGTGAGTTTATCGAAACACCTAGAAACTTTGGATCCAGGTTAATTTGTCCCGAACCACAGCGCGATGGCTATTTGGGGATTCGCCACACCAGGACGTGCGTAATTGACCAGCGTTTCAGTCACTTTTTTGGTGTTTCTAGCTGTCTGACATGACACCTCCGCAGTCGCCGCAAATGCTGCCAGGGATCTGGGTGGGAGATTCGCTGCAATGTCGCTTTACGGCACAAAAGGTGAGGGGTGATTCAGTGATTGTCGTCGGCCACGGGCACAAAATTGACCGTGTTCTTCCATGCAATTCAGCGAGCGGTGGAGCGTACGCAGCTATTGCTGCCCTGACGAGCATACCAGCAACTTTGCTCGCGGCGTTCACCTACGAGACAGCGAACGGGGATAAGGAGAAGAACGACAAATCACCGAAGAAGTTGGGCGTTTCTGGTTGGGTAGGATGGGGCAAGAAGACCAAGGACTTCTCGACTCTGGACGGCGATGAGATGACCGAACGGGAGGCCGGCGACAACGATAAGCAGGTTCACCACAAGGCCAGCAGTTCGTCGTTTTCCAGACGTTTCAAGGACAGCCTTTCCACTACGTCGCCCAAAGTCCCTCCGCGCGTCCTGAAGACCCCATCTCAACATGATCTGAAGACGGTCAGGGCCTTGTACGACTTCAATGGGTCCTCTGATGAACTATCCTTCAAAGTCGGTGACGAGATTGTGGTCGTTAACGAAGTCCTAGAAGAATGGTGGATGGGAGAACTCGGCGGCAGAAAGGGTCTATTTCCGACATCCTACACTACAGTCGTGCCTGCGACGCAATCACGGAAACCATCACCTCCACTGCGCAATCCTTTGCAAAAGAGTCCCAAGACGAAGCGACTCTCGATTTCCTCTGAGGAAGGGGCAGTCCAAAGGCCCTTGATTCATGATGCTTCCGAAGCGAGTGAATTAGAAGACGAAGAGCACATACTCAGTGGACGTCTCGTATCTAGCGCTAGCCCCTTCTATCTTCCTGGTGCAAACAATGATAGCAGTGGCACGGAGGACGATGACCTGAATGATCGTGTGGCCAAGTGGAAGCACGACGTTAACGGAGGCTCTAATGACTCTCTATCTCATGCGAAGGCAACGGTTGAGACGACATCTTCTCCTTTCCATCCCCAGCCACCCCTGCTTCGACGAGCTGATACCTCTTCTGGCATAAAGAAGACCCCGCCACCACCTCCGCCACCGCGCAGGCACTCCACGAACTTACTCACCAGTCCGCCGTTGCCTCCGCGTAAGCCTGCTAGCACGTCCAGTTCGTCTATGTTAGACGTCACTCCAAACGCGTCAAATAACAATGTCGGCTATGATGTCTCGCCATTCGAGAGCACAAGCGAACTCGCTGGATGTAGCCAGTTCCGTCAGAACCCTTTCAAACCCAAGGGTACATGTAGTAACTGTTTCCAGTTTCATCACGATTTCTAGGTAGTTTACATATTATCTGATTGCTGCTCTCTATATAGTATACATCATTGTCGCGTTGATCGTAGGCTCTAATGCTCCCATATTACTTGTACACATTAGACTATCTCACATAGGATCATTTGGTTTATGACATCCCACCAAGTTGACATACTTTCGGGTGTAAAATAGTGGTAATCAAACGCTTCAAGTGTCACATCAACGTATCATGTACTAGGTGCTTCGTATGGCAGATTGGCGGTGGGGAATCTTGCCCGCCGAAGCCCAGGGCGCGATTCTCAAACATAATCATACCTGCGGTGAGACGCACGAGTTGCTGTGCACGTTGGTAACGCACTGTTAGATGTTGTACCGACGGCAACTACCGAGTATATATATTGCAGGCCCTTGCATTGTGATCATCATACCCCACTAGAGTCTCCCTCCAACCCATGGCCCCAATCGATAAACTCCAAGCGCGGTACGAAGCCGCTGGGCAAGGCCACCTCCTCAAATTCTGGCCTGAGCTCAACGAGACCGAGCGCGATGCCTTGAGAAAGCAGCTGGAGGCCCTCGACATCGAACGCGTCAATCGCATCTTCAAGAAGTCGATTGAAGCCGAATCGAGGGCGTCTGACCCGAGCGTACCCAGCGATCCTATAGAGCCCCTTCCACAAGAGCTGTCCGACTCCGTCGTCGGCGCTCCGGAGAAAGAAGCGGAATGGAGGCAGGTTGGCTTGGACGCCATCGCGCGAGGCGAGGTCGGGGTCTTGCTGATGGCGGGCGGTCAAGGGACGCGATTAGGCAGCAGCGCGCCCAAGGGGTGCTACGACATTGGACTCCCATCCCACAAATCGCTGTTCCAGTACCAGGCAGAGCGCATCGCGCGCTTGCAAACGATGGCCGAGAAGGAGCGCGAAAAGCCAGCGGGGTCGGTCATCATCCCCTGGTATGTCATGACCAGCGGCCCAACACGAAAGGACACGGAAGATTACTTCAAGGAGCATCGCTTCTTTGGCTTGAGCCCGAAGAACGTGATCTTCTTTGAACAAGGTAATCGCGTTATCAACCCATTGGGAAATCTGTGACTTATGCTTTGGCTAGGAACGTTCCCATGTCTCACGATGGACGGCAAGGTGTTCCTTGACACCAAGTCGCATGTAGCCGAAGCCCCAGATGGCAATGGTGGTCTTTACGCTGCCACCCGCTCACCGCTCTCCCCATCGGACCCATCACGAACTGTGCTTTCCGACCTGGCCGCCCGAAAGATCCAGTACGTACATGCATACTGCGTGGACAATTGCCTGGTCCGCGTCGCCGGCCCCGTCTTCATCGGGTACTGCATCTCAAAGCAAGTAGAGTGTGGCGCAAAGGTCGTCCCAAAAGCCTCGCCAACCGAATCAGTCGGTGTGGTCGCCTACCGTGGAGGGAAGCCCAGCGTAGTTGAGTACAGCGAGATATCCAAGGAGCAGGCTGAGAGGAGAGATCCATCGGGAGAACTTACCTTCCGCGCAGGCAACATCGCCAATCATTTCTACACCATGCAGTTCCTAAACTCAGTAGAGGCCTTCGAGGAGGAGCTCGCGTTCCACATCGCCCGCAAGAAGATTCCTCACGTTGACTTCGAGTCCGGAGAGTCCCTCAAACCGTCCAAGCCCAACGGCATGAAGCTCGAGATGTTCGTATTTGACGTGTTCCCATACACAAAGAACTTCGCCGTGCTAGAGATCGCGAGGAACGATGACTTCAGTCCTCTCAAGAATGCCCCCGGTACTGGCAGTGACGATCCTGAAACCAGCCGTAGAGACTTGCTTCAACAGCACAAACGATTCCTCGAGAAGGCCGGCGCGACCGTCAAAGAGGGCGTAATGATCGAGGTGTCGCCGTTGGTGAGTTACGCTGGAGAAGGGTTGGAGGACATCAAAGGCAAAGTATTCAGTAAATCTGGAATGGTAGAAGGCGTGGAAGAGCTAGATGCGTTAGTATGAAGAACAGAGCTGGAAACCAGCTTGGATTTTGGACTTGGTTACAGGACTTTTCCTTTCGTATAGCATTTTCGTACTTTCAGATTATAGTTCTCAACGTCGTGTCGCCTAGCAAGAGAGAATCAAAGGTCCAATTGCAATTGTCAACTACCAACGGTGCCATTGGGTAACTTCGTCCCTCCTTTTTTCTCTAGCTCTTCTCTCAGAGACGCAAACAGCCGCTGCGATCGCTCTGATGAAGGCTGGTTGGATAGTCACAGGTTAGTCAATATCGCATTACAGGTTGAGGTGAGGTGAGTGTATGCGCATATTATTAGCTTGTCAATGAGTTTCGTTTGCTCATTCTGTACGGTTTGCAGCTCCTTCTTTAACCGCTGTATCTAACGGAAGTTGAGCCAAAAGAATACGCTAAATAGGAGTGCATGCGAACCTCTTCTTCATGTTTGTCAGCTCGAGCTTTCTCCCCTTCTGCTAACGCTCGTTGCTCTGTGGCTCTTGCGCGGGACAGGAGGACTTCTAGCTCTTTCGAACGGATGACGCATTCGAAATGTCGTTCTCGAAGTTCGTACTGCCGGAGTACTTCTTTGATGCGGTCTCGAGTGCTATATTGCGAAGGAAGTCAGAGGGACTTGGTTTTCAGCGCAATAAAAGAGTACTAGATACATACACCCCGTCAAAGATCTCTTCTAGTGTGCGTCGAGCCCTATATAAGATGTCAGGATCTACGGGGATGGTAACGCAAAGAAAGCGTACTCCTGGGGATTCTCAGTCCAATTCTTCTTCAGAGTCTGTCGCGCCGGCTCGCTGAATCCGTCCTACTCCAGTCAGCCCACCGCACTTATCCACCAGGTATATGCATATCCAGTAGCTCACCCATTCATCGAGTCCCGGGCCCACGGTGAGGTCCATGAGCTCAACGGCTAAGATCTCATCCCCATCCTCCATCGCGATATCTTCAGGCGTCTGGTCCGCCTCCACCGACCGCCCATTATGGCTGAAGATGAACTGCATACCCGGCTCGCCCTTCGCGCTCCCGTTCCCATTTACGTTCCCGTTCCCATTCGCCTGTCCCGAGGATACATGCGCTCCCCCGTCCGCACCGCCGTTCTCACTCCCGCTCCCGCTTCCATTCGTCAAAGGCCCCATCTTCCCGCCCGTTTTCTCCATCCGCTCCGTCCACGCCCCGAACAGCCTCGACAGCCTCGCCTTGCGCCCGATCTTGAAGAAGAGCTCCGCGCGGTACCGGCACACGACTTTGACGACGATGTCGGGGCTCTCGCGGAATTTGTCATCCTGCTGCTTCGCTTTGTCCGCGCGTCTGCTCAGGTCGTTCTTCATCTGCATGAGCTGGCGAGGACGTATGGATATGTGAGAATGGAGGGTAGATGAGTGGATGGGGGAGGACGGTACCTCTTCCTGTGCATCCTCGACACATTGGGACATTCGCTTTGTATCTTCCTGTATATTCTGATGAGTTGGAGTAGGGTTGAGGGATGAGTAATACGGACCCACAGACGCTTGTTGTCCTGCAGCAGGCTGTCAGCAAGCACATAAGAAAGTCAATGGTATGGAATGACCTTCTGGAGCTCCCGGGCCAAGTTCTCGATCTTGGCCTTTGTCTGGTTGGCCTTGGTCAACTGCCCTTTGGCTGCAATCCCAGTAATTAAGATCTTGCTTTACACGAACATCCTGTATGGCAATGGCGCACCTGTGTCCTTGTCTTTAACTAGCTTCTGCTTCTCCTTAGCGTGATCCCGTTCAACCCGCTTCAGTTCTGCAAACTATGCGCGTTAGACTTGGGTCAGCACAGAGGATCACTAGTACAGACGGCGGGCCATTCACCAGCTCTATGTATTTGGCGTGGATGGCATTTTCTCCCATCCCTTTCACCGACTTCTGGGCTTCTTCCGCTGTGAGGCCGAGAGAGGGAGATGAATACCGGAACAGTCGATGCTACGGGCTACGCACCGAAACGACGTTCCTCCTCCTCTTCCAGGACTTCCTCCTCTTCAAGCGCGGCAATCCTATTCTTCAAAGTTTCATACATTGTAGCAGGATCGACGGGTGCGTCATTGGCTTTCTTCTTGCCCTTCTGTGTCTGCGGGTGGGCCCCGTTGACGGTCGTGTGTGTATGATTGTGATTGTGGGTGTGGGAATGGGTATGCGCGTTTGTGCCGTTTGCGAGATTCGGGGGCGGGGCATGGGAGGTGTGGGTGTGGTTTGGTGGCCCAGGTGGCGCGGCTGCTGGAGCGGGGGGTGCTGGGCCGGGTGGTGGTCGCGCTGACCTGACAGGCGCGCTCGATGTGGGGTTCGGTGCACTCACGGCCGCCGCCATTCAAACACACAGACGCCCCACGGTGTTGGCGCGATCCCATGCCAACTCTCCTCCCAACACCGCCGAACCCGCCTCTCTTCCTTCACCGTCTCTATTCACCCCGCCTCTCTTCCTCCACCGCTATCCATTGACTCCGACTCTCCTTCCTCCATTACTATCGCGTCTCGTTCATACCTATCATCAAAGGTCAGGCCTGCGCTGTACAATGGACGACGTGACTAAGGGCTTCCTTAGTCTGTATCAATGACCCAACTTCGAATTATACGCACCCTGTTCTCGAGGGGGTCCACGACACGGGAGCACGTCATTCGGGTCGCGATGGAGTGGTTGCGCTCAGCAGCAATCATGCAGGCAATCTCGAACCGACTCGGGTATCCGGTTCGACGCCTGCAATGTTGGATCATCGTGTAAGTTCTTGTCACGCTTCCTCAGTCCTTGCCTAACTTTGCACAGTAAAGAGCGCCATCGAAGCGAAGATCGCGAACCCCACATTACCATTCGAGGATACCGACACGGTAGGGGCGTTGTAACCGCCCACATTTACGTGAACGACCGATACGTTCGACAAGGCTCCGCGATCTTCGCTTCGGGAGCGCGTGTTCGTGCCAAAACATCTTGTGTCCACTTGTAAGTCGTCCTCCGTAGATTCAGGCGTCGTTACTAATTGGACTTAAGTGATATAAACAGTTAGCTATTTGTTGAATGTTCTCTTTCTTGTTTGTAAATCAACGCGTAACGAATAGATGTAGCTACTATAGGCCTGATGACCTTGTTGGATGAGCATTCGAAACTGTCCACCTATGTGACGTTTCCCTTACTTGCATGAATTGGCCTTGGGATGCTATTCCACGCTCCATATCAAGTGTTTATGAGAGCTCTCAAACCTTCTAAGCTGGCTTCTGCTACACAAGTGCTTTCTTCTTCGTTCAGTTCACAGGAGCTACCGTTGGTTTGGTAGGCATCATATATTCGGTTATTCGACCGCTTTTCTCACCATGTGGCTGAACAGTCGATGGAATTAGACAGACTTCCACGGAGGACAATACGGCTGCACCTATCGAAATCTACGTCTTGTGGACAGACTCGAGGCAATGGCAAGTGATTGCGGCATGTCGAGCGGCCAGGATCAGGAACAAAGCGGACAGTCGATTTACGTACGCGTTAACGATCAAAGCTGGGAGATGAGGCGCATTGAAGATATTGGCCTGCGAGACTTTGATCACGACGATGCAGAATGAGGTTAGCCTGGATTTTTCCTGATGTCTGACTTCTATGATCAGCCAGGTGTGATTAGTTTTGCAACAGCTGATTAGACGCTATTCCGGCCGGGTGCGTCACCTGTAAATACGCACCCACTTGAGAGCACAGTAGGGTCCACTACGTCGAAGAAGCGCTATCGCATCTGATCTCTCGTCCCAACGTCCTCGTATTTTGTACCAGCATGCATACCCAGCAGAACGTCGCAACTTATTGCATGTGGACTGAGCATCAGTAAAGCCTCGTAAATACGGCTGCAGGGCCAAAGCCGTACCAGCTAGGGGACGGCTGCGAGCAGCCTGAGATGGCATCCGGGGTGATTGCAGCTCCTTGGATTTGCACCGTAAGTCCGTTCGTCAATGGGGCAGGTTCGTGATCTATCATCTGAGAGCCAGTATTCGAACAAAAACCGTGCCTTCTAGCGGTCTAGAAGCAGCGACGGCAGAAGGAAGCGTAGGCAGCGTAGGCAGCGTAGGCAGCGTAGGCAGCGTAGGCAGCGTAGGCATCGTAGGCAGCGTAGGCAGCGTAGGCAGCGTAGGCAGCGTAGGCAGCGTAGGCATCGTAGGCAGCGTAGGCAGCGTAGGCAGCGTAGGCAGCATAGTTACTCTAAGCACCGTAGATGGCCCACGCAGTCAGGTGGTCTACGCATTCTGAGCACCAGCCCACACATCCAGGTGTTCTACGCACTTTAAGCATTGTAGGTAGTCTAAGTATTCTGAGAATCGTACGTAGGAGTGATCTAGAGTTCTTGTGATATTCCTAAGATACTGTATGTTGCGGACATCAAACAAGTTTGGCTACGTTGAGAGGTATATGTTATGTGAAAAGTAACTATCATAACCAACTGCTGAAGGCGGGATACCACATATGACGGCGAAAGTCGAAAGAATGCAGGTGGGAGAGAAAGGAAAAAGTAAATGAAGCGCAGTGTGTACCTTTATGCCAAATTTTCGCAAGTTGCCGATCCATCCGTAGCGCTGGCCAACACGTTACAACCGCTTTTGGTTGCACATCATGCTGGCCAATCACCCGCGCCGACCATTACAACCGTTTTTGGTTGCAACTTTCGTGGCACAGGCACATTCCGTATATCAGTGTTCGTTCGTTAGCGAGTTCAACGTTCGCGAGCCTTTCTCCTCCTCCCATGTCCGACCGTCGTTAACGTGTCTACCCACGTACGGCTCGGAGAGTCGGTATCATAGGCAATATAAGCGGGTTAGGCATCATAGGCGGCATAGGCATCGTAGCCGGCAGGGGCATTTGAAGCACGACTCAGAGCGTGTTTCATACAAGTGGACAGCAACGAACACAATGATCATGATATCTATGATAATTGCGAGCTATGCTACCAGATCAGTGTAAAACAGGCACACGAACCAATCGCACCCATGGGGCGGGAACACAAGTACTCCAGCTTGCACACTCACTCGTCGTCGTCGTCGTCGTCGCTCAGATTATTCCACTCTTCATCGTCGTCAACGACCGTCCATACCTCAAAGCCCGACAAATCCGAGACGTCCCCATCCGTTCCATTTTCCTAGGCATCGTAGGGAGCGTAGGCATTCTAACCTCCATAAGTGGTCTAAGCATTCTAGGTGTGGTCCACGCAATTAGGCGGTCTTAAGCGTCGTAAGTGGCCTACGCATTTCTGAGCACCGTAGATGGACCACTGGCAGGCAGTCTGGCGGTCTAGGCATTCTAGGCATCGTGCGCAGCGTAGGCATCAGTATTCCACTCTTCATTGTCGTCAACGACCGTCTAATTCAAACTCAATCAGTAGCTGGTTCCATCAAATTTACGCCTTGAGACTCACTCACAGTCCCCTGTTGTCGATGGCGAACTGCGCGTCTACATATATATGGACTGCTACGGGCGAAGGAGTACACGATGAGCTGCCGCAGGTCACATACGTACCGGAGCACAGTGGCTTGGGGATGGGCCTATTATACATCCTGGTTCATCGCCCACTCGTAATGGACCACCTAATTTGCAGGTCAATGCGCACTCCAGTTCAGTACACGCCGTCTGTCCTGTTCTTTGCTACTACCATGTACTACAATCCCACGACTGATCCAACAGATGCAAGTCAGGGCTACGTAAATTATAGATGCGGCGAAAAAGTCCTGCTCGAGTGACATTACTTGGGAGATTGACAGTAAATATAAGTCCAAGCTCGCACAATATCGTCGGGACTATGACATAGACAAGGATGCAGTTTGGAAAGCGGGAGGATGCTTGAAAGCAGCCTCTGGCACGTGGAGGACACGCTCGAAAATCGATATCAATGCGCAAGTGCGACTGTGCTGTAAATCCCGCCCAATCAGCCATCAGATCCTTGTGGTTGAATTGGATGTAGAATGAGGAGAACAACTTGATATGTTCGCGATCATCCTCTGGTAAAACGTGGAGGGAGAGGTCGGAAGACTGCATGTATACATCCTGAGTAACTGTGCAATGATGACGGTGCTGTTTCCAGTCGCGACCCTGGCACTTGGCGGAGCAGTAATACACTGACGAGCATGCACCGCAAATCTGTAACGATTTTTTGCTGTGACTCGTCATCGCCGATTTTTTGCTGCGGCGCGTCGTTGCCTTGCACTTCCATGAGTTAGCGAAATAATGTAATGTGTCCAGCGATAGATTTTACTCACAGTATTGCATCTAGGCTGGGTAAGGTCCTTTGCGACGAGCCTGTGTAGCAAACGCTGCTCTGCAATGTACTGGATATTGACGTTGGTTGATTTGCAGTAGTCTGGTGAGGAAAGTACCTCCAAGACAACACGAAGAAATGGCAGACGCATGCATTGCGTTACCACATGAATGACAACGAAGTCCAGCGGGGTAAGCTTAGTCCCCTCGCCCCCCCCTCCAGAGTCTCCAAAGCCTTCTTCAATGAGTGCAAAAAGAGAATGCACTCCTTCCCTTCGACCACGCGTGCCCAGCATGAGAATGTCAAGGCAACTTTCGAACCCAGATTCGGTGTAAACATCCTCAGACGGTGCGGAGTCAAAGAACACCATTGCGTGCATTATAAGCCGCATGCATTCATAGCGAGAGATGCGGTACGACTCCGAGAGGGGGGTTGAAACGACGGCACGCCGGATCAGCTCCACCAACTTGAAAACAAAACTCCTTCTAGGTTGATCCACTCTTGCGGACGACGGAAGAACTTGCTTCAGTGTAGCCAATGCACAGCTTGATAGGAGACGTGGGTCCGGCTTTGGATCGAGGGAAGTGCAGGCAAGGTTTGCAATTGCCTCGATCAGATTGATGATTGGAACTCCACGTAGATGGTCATTAGAAGAATGGCATTGCCAAGCATCGACTGCCAGGGGCAGAAACATGCGCACGATATCAGATGGATGACGAGTGGCCGCATTAAGGGTGATGGCTGTCTTTGAACAGGAGGGAGGAGATAGAAACGTGCAGATAAAGTTCGTCGTAACCTCGAAGCGATGTTGCATGGACGGAATGAAACGATCTTTCTGCAGACCGGGGCAGGGGGAAGGAGCGGCATAGCATGATTCAATGAGCTGCTTGGTCGAGGCGATAATGGAGGGTAGATTCATAGTCAACCGCGACATGAACAGCCTATAATGGATCCCACTAGACGGAGGGAGAGAAAGGCGTCGGTGAAGGATCGTCGTAACACGTCCGAGTATCCTCGCTGCTGGTATAATGTTGTCTTTGTTTTGAAGGGTATTATTTGACGGCAAATGCAGACCGAAAACTCGGTTTGTTGCATTGGCGATTGCAGTGACGAAACGACGCTCTCGAAAGCGAACTGGGCGACGTTGATGCGTTGGACTAGGGTTGAGCCGTGCCATGTCCTTCAGAAAGGGAAGGAATCAGAAGGAATGAGACGTAGAATATATGCAAACAGTAAAAAGAGGATGGTAGACAAAGGCCTTAGTTCTGTTTCCCCCCCCCCTCAATCGATGCATCACAATGGACCCAAATCCAGCAGTTGTTCGTCACGAAGATGACAAATGAAACCAGATACAAGAAAACCCATGGCAAGATGCACAAACAGTTTCGCTGAAAAGGAAATTCGTGTGTGTGGGGGGAGGGACCTTGCTAAAGCCTTTAGCAAGGTAATATCACGATTCTCTACGTGCACAAGGCAGAGCCACTGAGATTTGACTGAGCCAACGCCGAAAGCGAAGGTTGAAAGGATTACTATTGGCGATATGGCATCGTATATCAGAAGTAAAAGTAGAGCCACCGACAGCGAGTGAGCGAAGGGTAGTTCAAAGGACTATTAGAGGACATTGTATATCACATCGGTGTGTAAAGGTGAAAATGAGTAGACTAGTATGAAAAGGACGCAATTGAGGAGGTAGACGAGTAGCTACGAGTAGTGACTACGGCTAGATGTACATTCCGACAGTAGTGTTTACTTGACGGATGGCGCGCATCGCAAATTCGGGCAACAATTCTGCGTCTGGTCCCATGATCGATCTGGCAATGATGATGGCGACCCAAGTCACGACGAACAACACACAAGCGACGAAGAACAACACGGAAGTCACAAAGAATAACATGCAAGACTGGAAGTTGTTATCCTTGTTGTTGTTGTCGTTGGAGTCGTCACTTTCCGTACCTGTCGCGGTATCAGGAACGCTTTCATCGTAAAAGCTGAATAATCGGGAGAGGGCTACGTGGAGGGTTTAGAAGGTGAATACAAACTCGGGGAAGGAACTTCCATACCGTAAGCCCTCTGCATCTTTTTGTCTTTATCTTTGTGGGCGCCGTCGCTCCCTTGATGTTGGATCTTGACTGCCGCCGCAGGGGCTGCTACAGGAGTGGCGAGGCGATGACTAGACATGCCTGTGATTAGAGGGTGGGTAAATGATAGAGAGTCGATGAGATGATGGCGGTATGAGAGTGATATGTATGTGCGACTACGAGAGTATTGGCGGTCAATGGTAGGAATGGCGATGGAGCAAGTCCCTTTTATAGCCTGGCTCTCCCCAGAAAAATGACAACAAAGGATCATCTTCGACAAAGGAGGCCCAACTTCGGTGAGTACTTACCACAACAGAGCAACGGAGCGCGCAATTAAGTTTCAGGTTAACCGGAATCTTCCATCTCGCATCAGGGTAGGCATCTCTACGCAGGGTTCGGACCGTACTGATCAAAATTTGCACGCCGTTGATATCTCGAGTTCGCCCAACTTTACTAGTAATGTTCAGTATTACTATTGAAACTATTCGATTGCGGTACGTAGCATTACAATAAACCAGCAGAAGGGCGATACGAGCCACGAACTCGCCCGTCCTGCATTGATTTACGCACAGCAGGATTCCCGCACTCGATAGAGCCCATGAACTGTGTAACATGATACTTCCAGATGTAAAGGGCATAGAACATCCCCATGACGGCAGCGATGAGAAACAATTCGACGAGTGGAACGCGATGAGAGTTTGTCATGCACGCCATGGCCAGGGGCTCATGATCAGGGGCTGTGGAGGTCGCTCCAAGCGGGGAAGGAGTCGAAGGAGGCTTAGTGCTTTCGTTAACATCACCCAAGCGTGACTGCAGCTCGGCAATAGAACCAGCGAGGGCTTTGATTTTGGCATCTCTTCGAGACATGGCCTTTTTTATCGTCTCTCTATACCGGAGATGTTCGATTCTAGGCCTGGCCGTTAAGAGCTTCGTCGCGGTGGTGCGAAAGTCGATCTATAGACCTCTGAATCGACGAACTTATCAAACGAAATAAACAACCTACTAAACACTGGTTAGTGGCGGCCTGTGAGTCTTGGAGAGCCTTGATTTGCTCTAAGCACCCGACATCATGCCATGAATCCTTTGGATCTTGATGTTTGAGTACCTCAACATCGTTTCGAATGTCAGCAAGGGCGGTTTGCATCTCAAGCTTTTATAAATCAGCCCGCAGAGAAGTGCCAATCGCGTTCTAAGACACACCAGACGACTATTCAGCTCTCCTTGAATGTCCTCCCGGTGGGATTGAACGAGAGTCACATCGTATTCAAAAGCACCAGGGGCTTGTAGCGGCAATTCTTCCGAATGTTTATGTTGCAGCTTCTCAACATCGCGACAAAGATTAGCCATAGTATCTTCCATTTCTACCTACTTTGAATCAGCCCTAGCACGTAGTCATCGATGACATTCTAGGACATACCATGAATTGGTTCATCTCTTCTTGGCTGTCGTCTAGACGAGACTCAATTGATCCTACTTTGTCGTCGACTAACCCTACCCTGTCGTCAACTAGCCCGGCACCGAGTTGATGTCGGAGATCTGCAATGACCTGGGTGGTATGGTCCATATCGACGCAAACACGGTCCTGCTATAGGTGAAGCGATGATACCTAGAATGTGCTCAACGAGGACTTACTACATCACGATTTAGGCGCGCTACTTCTTCAAATGTCAAACCCTCTTCTCGGACATCCGGAGGGGGGATCGGAGATAGGGCTTGTGACCTTTCCTACGGGAGCCGGGGTCACTCATTAACAGAGAATAATCAATGAGAAAACCAGCTCACGAATTTCTTCGATAAGGCCGTGTGATCTTGGCGCAACGAATCGATTTTGGACTCAATCTGGGCAGAGCGCTGTTCGATTTGGGAAATTTTGTCGTACCAGCGTTCATCCTGTCCTTGAAGTATTCCGCTGTTGAAAATGCGACTCAGTCGTGGGCCACTGAGGAAGTGGAAGTGGTTCATTACTTGACGATCTGGATCACTCTTTGTGAGAATGTTTGCTCGTCTGGGGTGTCTGTAGATGATGCAGGCTTTCGCAGGCGGAAGGGTTAGGAGCATACCTTGATGCATGCCTCTGAAGAGATCGCAATACAGTGAGGTTGTAGTAGGAGACAAACGAATAGCGACTTGAAAGCAATAGCACGCTTCGAGCGCTGTCCCACGTGATCGCGACACGATACGAGCGAAATATGGTAACTAATATCATTGTCGATCTACTCGGAACCATCGTCACACGCAGATGCCCTGAGAACCAGTTGCTCAACACTGAGAGAGAGAGAGAACTTCATATTCAATTAGAGGTAGTTACATTAAAGGATACACATAGTTTGATCAAGCTTCGCTTGACTTGTCACATCCAGAAGACGATCTACCAGAGCCAGCGGAAGACAAGCTATTTTCGTTGACAGGGACGTCTTGATGTACCAGACCACCGACCTTAAGAACCCAGTCCGGACAACCCTTCTGGTTCACCACTAGTTTCCTCCGTTCGTCCCCTATTTTTCGAATGTCTCCGACATTGATGCTCTCCCATTTGCGTTCTTCATTAAAGATCCAAAACTGCCTTTGCTTGTGATCTTCGATGGTGTTGATGCAGAGATCATTTACCTCCGGGTTGTTGATTTCGGCGGGAGGAGCTAACAAACGCTTCTTGGAAGAGATAGGCCACCATAGGGTGTATTGCTCAACATTTTTAAACTTGCGAGAAAGACGTGCGTAACTCTTGTATGGCTGTAGTTGAACCAACGTAAGTTTAGTCCCGTGTGGTGATGGTAGTATACTCACGGCAAAACGTCCCCTCGCTTCCTTTTCGGTGCGTTGAGGACCAACACCGAGAGACGAAGGCGGCTTAGACCGAGACGTGGAGGGGTGCAAACCGCCTGCAGGCTTTTTACTAGAGGATGTACCCCTCGAAGAAGGGCCCTTCCTGATAGGCGGAGATGGGGGAAACAGGGCTTCAGCGGGCTGCACGCTTCGCGCGATGAGCCTTTCAAAGTGGCGGATACTGTGAGGAGACGATCGGTTTGATGTAGGCAACAACATACCTTGAACTCCTCCGCGCTGTAGATATGGTACTCGAACTACCGGAGGAAGTAGGCGTATTGGGAGTATCTTTTGCCATTTTTTCGGCGCGCCCGTCAGACCTAGGATAGAGTGAGCTCAGTGCAGACTGACACATCTGAAACCCACTTTTCAGCATCGACAATTGTAGGGTCTCGCCCAATCGAGGACCAAGGCGGGACCAACATTATTGGTTGATCGCCCCCGTAGGGTACTGTGAACGCGAAGCGGGTTGGGAGAGCGAACGTGTTCAACGTGTGGAGCATGCTTCAGGCGGGGAGTGCTGCCGTTTCGAAGCTGTAGCTTATAGGCCGTCTCCACCAAGACATAGAAGCCTTTTTTACTGCCTCGAGGCTATCAGGGCCTATCCGCTTTATGTTAGCGCCCTGGACTATCAAACAAAGCAACACCAGGCTTGCTTTCTTCTGGAACTAGCATTCGGATCTAGCGGTTCGCCGCACCACCACGCCGGCTATGCAGAATGATTAGCACTATGCTGCTGAACCTTTACTAAAAGGCGTGGTCCTGTGGTCATACCTTTTGCACAGGCTGTCTTGCATCGTGGTTTCGAACGCAGATCTGGCACAAATTGCAGGACTACCGATACGACCATGTCTTTGTCGCGAAGGTTCCCAAAGAACGCTAAGGAGAGGAGACGGCTTCGAAGAGCACTTCGAGCCAACTTGTCGTTTGAGGAGGCGGATGAATGGTTGACTTATGAATATATGAATGCGCATGCCCAACATGCAAAAGGGGCGTAACGAAGACTACCTGCGAGGTACACACGACGAAGGACGTCATGGAATCCTTCGCGGCCAACATGCATCCACATCTGGAGGATTCTGTGCTAGATAGGGCTGGGAATGCGTATGAGTTTGCGGGCCTCTTCATAAATGGAGATTCAAGCTAGACATGAATGAATGTGGCCGGGGTTTTGTGGTATACTGTATTATTCTCCATGAATGGATTAATACCAGCTGGCGCCTTTCGCTAAAATACAACTTAACGAACGGCGCGGCGCGGGATCGCGTCTCCTCGGATGTCTTGGCGGTTCCGGCCCGACGATGACTGGCTTACACGTGCACTCCGAGAACGCCGACGACAACGAGGAGATGATGGGGCGAGTGTATTTGTATGAGTCATGACCATTACGCAAGGAATCGAGGTTCGGTTTTATCCCCTGCGCAGAACGATTGTTTCTAGAGCTTCCGCAGCAGAAACGTACGTTCTGCACAGCTGTAACTTGCGTAGAATAGAAAAAGACTGCTAAGTGTCATACTTCCATTTCACGAACTGGGGTCCTAATGAAAATGTACATGAGGCCTTGAGGATGTGAACGTTCAAATCGCGTTCCGCGCTCCACCTTCCAAAATTTGACGAATCGAAAGAAACATGAGCTCAGAAGCGGGATTTCAATCATCAGATCTGATAAGGCAAGACCGTAGGTGGCCTACGCATTCAGGTGGTCTACGCATTCCATTTGGACGCACGCAAGTATGAGGGTCCGATTATATTGCTTCGCTTTGGGGTCATACTTTCTCTATTAACCCCCACACAAGCATACGCAGCGTACGTACCCTGAGCCTTGTAAGGGGCCTACGCATCACAAGTGGCCTACGCATCGTAGGCATCGTATCTGTCTTGGGCATCACCAACCGCGTGCTTTAGCATTCTGACCTCCGTACGTGTGAGCTTCAGAAGTGCAAACTGACATTGTGAACATCAAAACAAGCGTGTCTACGTTGAAAAATATATTACGTGGCTATCGTATAGGTGTACAAGGTGGGAAACCACATTTGAAGTGAGGATGCAAGTGGGAGGGAAAGAAGCCAACAGACCACGCAGGCTATACGTTTATGGCAAATTTTCGCAAGTTGCCGATCGATCCGTAGCGCCCAGGAGCAACTACAGCCGCTTTTGGTTGCGCCAATTGCTACAGCCGCTTTTGGTCGCAACAATCGCTACAACCGCTTTTGGTTGCGCCAATTGCTACAACCGCTTTTGGTTGCGCCAATTGCTACAGCCGCTTTTGGTCGCAACAATCGCTACAACCGCTTTTGGTCGCACCAATCGTTATATGGCGTTCGGATTGCGTTCCCTCTTTCCTTCTTACTTTATACTATAGGTAGATGTAACTTGGCATGCAGAATGTGCATGTGTAAGTAAGTAAGATAATACCTAAGAATGAATGCGGCCGCAGCTCATAACGGACCAAATCAAGAAGTAAACGAAATGATAGAATATGTACGACAAACCATGTATCGGAAGTTATGTACGGTCCGATCCCTACAGCGCTCCATGGGTGCTTACGCATTCCTACACACCAATGTTGGTTGCAACTTACCTCAGCACAATCCGAATATTGAATATGAATTCAAATCAGCGAGTTCAACAATTTGTAGGCCTTTCTCTTCCTCCCACGTCCGATCATCATTAGCGTAGATTCGACCACGTACAGCACAGCTTCCATATTGAAAACAACACATAGTGGATGACAGCACTAAACTACATGATTCTGATTAGTCAAGTTGGAGTACTCATCTACTCATCTCCGCGTGCTGATATTATTTCTACCAGCTCAAATGCTATCAAGTCTGTGAGTCGAATACGTTTAAAGGAACAAGGTCACTAACTCATATTAATATCCTTCCCCTTGTGCGGATTGAGATTGTAAGCAAGATGTGCCGGTACAAATACATCACGAATGCCTCCCGGTTTCATGCCTATCAACCCAGTGTGCGCTCCTATTTACAAACGAACGAGTTAAGATATTTGACATTCAATTGATGTCGACGGACCTGGCACCATTGACTCTGACCCTACCACAACTGTATGCTGCACATCTCATCTCAGAATAGCCGTAATGTCCAACACAATACGCGACGCACCGGCAGTGAGCTCTGATTCTCACGTTCCACCATAGCTATTCGTTCCTTGGTCGCGGCAGCAGTGATCAAGAAGAATATGGCCACCTTGTCGCCCTTCTTCACTTCCTGACCTTTCCCAACAACGGACTCAGTGATCTCTACAGCTCTCTGTTTGCGAGCCTTGGCGGATTTACTGCTTTTCTTAGACGCGGAAGAGGTGGTGGTTGAAGACGTATGCGTAGGTGTAGACAAGGATGATATATTGCTAACCGAGAGATCAGCATGGTTCTGGCCATTTTGGGGTCTATGGGCCGGTCGAGGGAGGGGAGTATTCCCTGTAGGTGTAGTAGCCAATGGATCTGCAAATGTCGCATGAGTACACATGGGGAGCTTCGGCACTATCAAATGTCACCGTCCGAGCCGATATCCTCTAACTCTTCGATCACTGCATTGTGCACGACATGAGAAATTAGGTATGTGAACTCAATGATGGCACACAGACCAACGAGATTGCCAGAGAGACACACGTCGCTGAAAAAGATCACATCCGCAGTCCAGCACATTGCAAAGTTTGAGATCACACACACTGACTTTTCGCCGTCAACCTCGAAGGTCACCCGCTGGTCCCTCTCGAGGATGAGATCAAGTAAGCATTGCTCCTTCTACGGAGTGAACATATCAAGAAGCGACCGTGTGCAATACAGTTGACGACTCACACTCCCGCCTTTCAATGACACCAATGAAAATCGCCCTGGAAGCGGCGCAATCAATGGGGGCGACCCAGAAGGGCTTTGCCACGCGGTCTCATTGTATGTGATGAAGACCGTTGAGCGCCCCGTCTCCGCTGCGAGATCAAGGGAGAGGGCAGCGTTCGTGAGGTGGATGTATTGGCTGGGCATGATGTGTTGCCTTGTACCACCCCCAAGGTGAAGAGTCCTAGAATCCTACTGCTTAACTGTTGTATTTGAGACTCTGCGCAATCAGCTTACCACAGACCATAGGGATCGACGCTCATTGCCCTTCGTATTCGATGTGAATGTCCAGTTAACGTTGAACAGAGAAAAATCGTTGATACTGATCAGGTGGCGTCGATAAGACCCTGACTCCTCAGTTGAGATTGCGGGCAGCTCCGAACTGTCCCAAGCTATCTTGATCATATGCGACCTCGACAGAAAGGCGGTCGCGTAGTTGCACACAACAAACGCAGGAAACCCGTTGGTCGTTACCTCTGCCAATGTTGGCAGTGTATAGATGTCACCAGCACGGACCCGGTCACTGGGCTCCCCATACAAGGACAATATCTTCTCCAATCCCGATACCTCGTCCATAAAGCACAGGCGAAGGAGATCGGGGTTGCATCCCCTGAGCAATCCTTCGCTGCGTCACCCTTCCCCCCTCTCCCGCAGCCGGAAAACCCGTCCAACCCCAGAGATCAAGATTTTGACGATGCCGCTGGAGTACAGGAACAGGAGGATAGTCAAATGGTCTTAAGTCGTCTTGAAGGCTTCAAAACACGCTTGAATTGGGGTCTGGTTTCTGCTTTGGAAGAAAGTTTCAAACAATCCCCGCCACTTTTCATTCCAGTGAAGCACACCAGCGACGATGACGCTGGAATTTCAGCGACGTACCAACTTGAGGATTCTGGCGATTCCTCAGGCAAGACCGTCGCGCTGTATCAGCTCGACTATTCCGCATTGCAAAATTCCGATGTGCTTACTCTCCGCACTTGGCTGGATGATATACAGAACTACATCTCCGAAAATAACCTCTCAGGAACGAAGAACACTTCCGTCCGCCTCCGTGCCGAAGGGGTGAAGCGCCTCGTACGGAGTGAACTCGACAAATTCAATCAGTTGATGGAAAAGCAATGGGAAAAAGAAAAGGTATCTTTGAAGACGTGTCAGCCCGATGCTATCAATACCAGTGAGTCTTTCCATTCAGGCCAACCGATCCATTGTCTAACAGAAATTACATACGCAGATATCCATTTTTCTCGGCCTTACTTCTCATTAGAGCCGATGACCCTATTTGCTTCCTTCATGGTCTTAATCATGTACCTCTTATCCGGCATTTCGATGAAATTATCCAACTTCACATTGGCTTCACTCCGAGCCTTGTTGTCCATAAGCTCTCCCCCCAACGAAGAGGATGCATGTGGGTCCGATATTCCAGCCGACGTGCGGACGGTCATCAAGGATCTCAGCTTATACACACCTCCCACCACCAGTTACGTTACTTGTCCAAAATGCTACGCGATGTATGCACACAACAAGTCTAGCGAGGCGAACAAAGGCAGCTACAAAGGCGCCCTCCCCATGTTCCCTGAAAAATGCAACTACCGCCCCACTCCCGGCCATAAACCTTGCGGCGTCGCGTTAACTTCACGTCGTCGTAGAGGCACGGAAGTATGGCAGGTACCAAAGCGCGAGTTTCTCTACAGTGACATCAAGCATTGGATTGGTTGGATGTTATGCCGGCCCGACATCGCTCAATCGTTCAAGCGCACCCCAGCGTCAAAAAAATCAGACAGAATGAAAGATATATGGGACGGAAACATCTTGCGGACATTTGAGTACACGGACGGCCGACCATTTGTACGGGATGTAGAAGGCGAAATTCGCCTCGTCTTCAGCCTGAACATGGATTCGTTCAACCCGTACGGTAACCGTGCCGCTGGGAAAGTTGTTCAAGCTGGAAGGATATACATGGCGGTACTCAATCTCCCTCCTAAAATTCGTCATCGTGTAGAAAATATCTACCTCGCTGGAATCATCCCAGGTCCGGAGGCCCCAAAGTCCTATCAAATCAACCACGTACTTCGCCCGCTCATTAATGATTTACAGACCCTTTGGTCTCCTGGCGTCTTCTATACCCGCACATGTACTCATCCAACGGGTGTCCGAGTCCGGTGTGCTCTTGTTCCTGTTGTGTGCGACCTCCCGGCGGCCAGCGAAATTGCTGGGTTCGGAGATCATCGCTCCAAACATCTCTGTCATGATTGCCATCAAACTTCGGACACGATCGACGAGAGCTTGGACCCTGGCTTGTTCCAGCTAAGGGATCGCACGCAACACATGGAGGTCGCCAGTTCCTGGAGAGATGCTACAGATGGCTGTGTCCAAGAAACCATTTATAAGAAGACTCACATTCGTTGGTCCGAACTCTTGCGTCTCCCATACTGGGACCCTACAAAATTCTTGGCAATCGACTCCATGCACTGTTTCTACCTTGGTATATTACATCGACACTGTCAACTTATTTGGGGGATGGATGCGAGCATCGATGATGGTGACGGTCTTACTTTTGACCGGACCCGTAAGAACACGATTCCTCAGGCAGAAATGGAGTCGGCCTGGAACATCCTTCATAACGGCACTGAAGACCAGCTAGAGAATCTTCGTGTTCTAGCAATGAGCGAGCTCTGCAGAGAACTTGGTATACGGTACAGTCTGGAGCGTACAAAGCACCATCTACTGGCGGATTTGATCTGTTGGGTGCGTGTAGTTCTTGACTCTTTACAACATCCTCCTAATCATCATCTTAGAGGAAGACGAATCGTCTGCCCCTATTGGATAGTACAGCTGTCGATGAGAAGTCCTCAGCCCCAAGGCCGCCAGCTGAAGCGACCGACAAACTTGACGAGACTTACCGCACAGCTAACAAAACTAAGATCAATCGGACCAAGAAAGATAGCTTGATTGCTTTGCTTGGTCATAGATTTCACCCTTCGGAATCATTCGAAGCTGTCAGAAAAGCTTACAACGGCAAAACGGTACCCCAACTGCGACTGGAGCTACAAGCAATCGTTTGTTATTTCCGCCCGAATTTGGACTATGCAGCTGATCAGGACTCTAGCGCAAGGCAGACAAGATAATCGATGATTCAGAGAAGGTCATTAACCTAGTTCCTGCGCAAGGCGATGAGACGAAGACCGTCTCTGTACCACCACTTGCGGCTCGAGGCTTCCGAAAAACGCGGGTCCTTGGGGACCAGACTCTCGCGGAGGTTCGAACAGATATGTCGCGTACAGTACTTCCATCTTGGTTAACACCGGGCCCGAGGAATCCTGGTGAAACTAAGTGGGGCAAAATGAAGGCGGACGAGTGGAAGGTGTTCTGCACCATCCACCTTCCTATCACATTGACGAGACTTTGGGGCGGATCTCAAAAGAATGAGCGCCAACATAAAGTCCTGGCAAATTTTATGCACCTCGTTATCGCCGTCAATGTGGCATCCCGTAGAGAGGTGAAGGCGGGACACATCGACAGCTACGAGACCCACATAAAGAAGTACCTCACTTCTCTCCTCGAGCTTTATCCAGGGGCGAATCTCGTGGTGAATCAGCATCGCGCGCTGCATTTCGGAGAACATCTCAGACGATGGGGGCCATGCCACGCTTGGCGCTGTTTCGCCTTCGAGCGGTTCAACGGGATTTTACAGAACATCCCAACGAACTCTGTTGTTGGTGAGAATCTCGAAAGCTGTGAATCGACCGCGTACTTATCATGTTTCAGGACAACTTGAGAAGACAATGTTCAGCAAATTCCGCATGGCCCAGTCTCTCCGTGCCTTATTGATCAATGCCGCCAGTTACCTACCATCGGCGCTTGATGGCCTCGTACGCCAATATGAGAAGTTTTTCAACGTAGACATCAGGGGGACGTATTTGCAAGACAACACGGCCGATGATGACGAGGAGGAGGAGGACGAAGAGCCTCTAGTTGCTCACCCTTGGAAAGACGGCAAGCGTGTTTCTCCTTCAAAAGATTTATACAGACACCTCAAACTCGCCGGCCTCCGCATTCCCGCAGATCCATCGGCATGTATCATCGTGCAGAAGGAAATCCGTAAATCCGGCCAAGTTTTCCAAGCCTCCTCCTCATCGCAGGGAAATAGTCAGATTGTCTTCATTGATGATTCCAACTCGGTGAATGGTGTAGGAATGATCAGGGAGATATTCGCCCTTATCCCCGACCTGGAAGGGGAACCTGAACTCCTGCTTCTTGTCGACCAATTCCAGCCCCTCAGTACAGCCGACGAAGAGTTCGACTATGCGCGATCTTTCAGGGATTGGGGTGCTAGACTTTACTATCGGGAATCTCATACAGCATTGATTCCAGCCAGCAGAATTATCTGTCATTTCGCATCGTCAGTCCAAACCGTGCCTGGTATTCTCAAGGAGTCCGTTCTTGTACTCCCCCTCCGCCATGCGTAGATTTGATTATACTGAAGCTACTGTCTACGATGATATTTATCCCTGTTTTTTATATTGGTTGACCAATGTTATCATCGACATAATAATTTAACTTACGGGGATTCTCCTGATACAGAAGGGCGGCGGTGCGACGTAAAGCATGAACACATCGCGTTCGGCATCGGTTTGATTTCCGTCAGACAAGATGGCACTGCAAAGAAATGACCCACCTCGTGTGCTCATTTTTCGAATGGTATCGTATGGTATGCGTACGTGTGGGAATGTTTTGTCATCACCTCCTCCAGCATGATACAACGGCAGGCGGGCTCCAACTCAGTACTCATCAGTAAGATCACACTTCAGTGTGGGAACTGGACGTGATCTGGGACAACAGGGGTACTATGTAGACGGCTGGACCCATAACAAGCACTTCTCCATTAGGATGCAAGTGTGACTGCTGGTGAGCGTACTACTTCAAGTTCAACCAATCACTATCAACAAGTCGGCTTTTTTCACTATGTTAATCCATCCCACACTCCCTCACCGCATCTTTCGCCCCAAGAGCCCCGATTCTCGTCCACAAAATCGGCCACATCACGGGCTGCGAGTCCCCGACAGGCTCACACGAACGTTCTCAGCACTCTTCTCGAAGGCTGGGCCCCTCGCTGCCAGGAGTCCCAGCCCCGGGCCTTCTTCGACAGCGGCCCCAAGAACACCACCCAACTCTCCTGCCGGTAGCATCCATGAGTCTGGGAGTTGTGAAGGTGCGTAGTTGTGTCGTGTTCTAGTACATTTACCTGACCTTTTCACTCAAGGGTGCTCGTGCTGCCAGCGGCATCGATTTGAACATGAATGCGACGTAATGCACCTACAGGAGATGCACAACGCCCAGCTTGAAGCTGTCTCCCGCTTGCTCCGTGAAAGTCAGCAACAAGTGCAAATGCTATGTGACATATTGCGACCAAACGAGGAATGGGTTGGGATGGCAAGCATGGTGCAGACGATGCTCTTGAGTGTTGAGCAGGCACAGATGGATGAATGCGCGGAAGAGGCTGGTTTGGAGATCTGCGACATCAACAGCTGTTAGTGCAGCAAGTTGTCCTTGTACCGCCGTTGGCGAAAATCTGTAATCCCATCCTCACAATCATTATGACATATGGAATCCAAGTTTGATACCTAAGACAAAAGTTCATATGCATGATGATCTACATATTTGTTTAGGTAAAATGCCTCGAATGCATCAAGACTATGTATATGTTTGAAATTGGAGGGAAGGGCAGCAGTACCGTAAACAGGAATTAGAGGTGCGGGGCGTAGCATAACTACAGAACGAAGAGGCTGTAAATGCCGGCCCACAGCTTCTGGCCGTACAATCCATAGTCCAAGGTCCTTGTCAGGCCGCTGACCGTACTGTTTAAACCACTCGACGACGGCACATGGTACGGTGATCCCATCATGTTTGAATGAGAATCAAAGTCGTACGCGCACGACACTCATTCCCTCGAAGCCTACTGACTCCTGATTTTCAACGATGAGCAACATGGCTCAGAGTGAACTCCACCACCCTGCCAACAATGCATAGCAGAGGAATAAAGGGTGACGGATGTGGCTTGTGACGGATGTGGCTAGGACGCAAGCAAAATGGTTCATGGTCTAGTAGCGGACTCGATTTTCCATTGGTTCAACCCTAATCTGTATGTCACATTTTGTACAATTATATTATCAAAACTTGAAGAGGGTGTAAATGAGTACAACAATGACTGCAAGAGTGATGATGTGTGGAAGGGAGAGAATGCCCTTGATACTGTGAGGGTATTCAAAAGACTTTCTCTCACAGGTACTAAAGAAATCATAGAGGAGTTCTACTTCCTTTACAGAGCAGGCCTCATTGTGAGGCAACTGGCAGGCGAATACTAGGTAGCGGAATGCGAAGAATGCCGCAGATTCAGTGAAGGAGAGGCGGAACTTCATCACAGTTGACATCTGAATGGACCCAACGGACGCTTGAACCCTTGCTAAAGAGCAGCGCATGGTGACAGAACAACTCTCCTGTAGGATGCAACACTTGTCAAATTACGGACTGATAGTAGGGTCAATGACGATCACTGACGTTATCAAAAGCTAGATGATCCTTGGCTCTTTCCAGTTCGATAGCATACAAGGGACCTCCGTAGTCGTTGATTCCCAACATCAAGATATCTAATTTATGCTCAACGCTGAAACCAACAAGAAATCGACATCGCAAAAACATACATTGATTGGGGTACCTCTCCCCTATCATGACTTTAGCTTTGAAAAGATGTCCGGACAGGGTAATGTGATGTTCGAGCACGACATCGATCGCAACCTCCCCTGATGTGGTGACGAAGAGGACCGATTCAGGGATTTGAATATGGGAAAAAGAGAAAGGGCTGAAGAGCGACCTGGAAAACAAGTGGCACCAGCGTTATAGAGACTGCATTTGACGGCATATGAGCGTCCTCACCTGGCAGGAGTACTGAACTGAAGCATTTCCAGGAGCCAAATACACATCCATTTCTTGATCGCATGGATGAAAGCACTTATAAACGCTAAGGAACAAAGGAAATTCATTTCCTTGGCGTACATGTGACCTGAAGATTTGACTAGCCTTATTGCGTCTTGCTTTGTTGCAAGCCTCCCATACTTATAATTATCTGAGCCGCCAGAATGATTTTTTGTGCTCATCTTTCAACGTGTACTCTCAACTCTCATATCAATGGCGCTGGATCCCCGTATCATGGCTGTCTGGTGAGTAGAAAGCCTAAGAACCTAGGGAATAGACAAATCACGGCTCTCATATAGGGCTCTGAAGCTGGAAGGTAGCTCGCGAGTGAACGTAAATCCTCAACATGGCATACGTATCACCAACATCTCCTTGGATTTCTCGTCTGTTCCATTGTCTTCAGATAGGACGGTCGTCACATTGGAAACTGGGCAACTCCCTGAGTGGAATGACGCCAGCAAGGATTCCACAGCGGTCAAGACAAATGTGATTGTATTGGGCTCGCTCATGCCCGAAAGGGTACTTGCAGCCGTATTCATTTTTGTACTGAATTCATGGATTGATCCCAGGTCGAGCATTTGATCACGAATCTAACCCTCGAGTGTTGTAGGCCGTATGTCTTCACAGTGAATGGGGCGAATGGCGTGTGCCTTTCAGACAACCTTGTGGGTAAGCTCAGATACGTCGTATTCATGGCCTTCCTTGCTACTTGAAGCAATAGACACCATATACCGCAACCACATTCATGCCGGTGAAGTCCCCCGTCGCATCCATGAACAGCCGAAGTCTATGAACCCTGCAGCTAACAAAATAAATACACAAGACGCAGGCCAGATCTTCCAGTCCCCAAGCACCTCCACTCAAAGCTCCGCGACTCCTGTCCCCCTGCAAGTACCCCAAGGCGCTGTTGCCCCCGCAAACGGCGGTCCCTTATTTGGTGCTCAATCTCCGTCGAAATCGAATGGCAACCCCTACCAATACGTGGCCACCCGTCCTCCCCATGATCGTATTGGTGAGCTCTACCTCATTCTTGGTCGTCCTGGCTGAATTCGAGCGCTAGAGAGCGGTTACCGGGGTTTTCCCAAACCCTCTACAACCATGAAACCTATCGCCAACAACGGGGATCCAAAAGACACTGGCCTGATCCCCCAGCCTCCAAGCGCTTCCTCTCAACGCCCCGTGACCCCTCAAGTGCCCCAAGGTGCTTTCCCCCTCGCAAACGGTGGTTCCGTGCCGGGTGGTCCTCTCCCTCAATCTGTGCCGACTGTCAACCCCTACCATTATGCAGCCATCCATCCGCCTACAGGGGATCGCGGCATTGGTAGGCTTTGTGTCGATATATCCCCGCTCATCCTGGCTCATTCGAGTATCAGATAACACGCATGGCGACCAGTTCCAGCGCTACCTCGAACCTTTCCCTCAACGCACTATGGAACCATTCCCTCAACGCACTGTGGTTCCTGTTCCTCAGGCGTTGCAAGGGAGTATCCCCCCCATGGGCGGCAACCCCATGGCGGGCGCTCTCTCTAATGTGACCCCCCACATCGACAACAGCCATCATGGAAGCTTCCATCCGCCGAAGACTCTCAAGAGGAGAGCTGACCCCATCGAAAACGGCCGGAGATCTCACCGGGACAACACGTCTCTCGGCGATTCGCAACGGGAACCGTTGGCAACCAGTCGATTAATGGACTTTAGATCACCACAGCAGCATCTGATCCCATTCAACTTCAAGCCTATGGATAATGCCCATGGAGGCGCGCCTGCCTTCGGTGCCTTACACAATACTGCCCCAAGCATGCCTGAGGGCACCAGTATTTCAGCTACCACTTACAATAAGGGGATTGGTTCATCGACAGTAACTGTGGGATCGATTGTAGAAATAGTCTGGTACCTGGTACATGCAGGGGAAAGGTATGGAAAATGTCATGTAAGCGCTCTCCTTCTCCTGAATATGGATACTGATGAGGCGTATAAACAGGGAACTTACACTCTTGGCAAGAACCTTCCGAATGTCCCTGGACTAGCAGAAGGTATTATAGGAATGCGCTTGCACGAGGAACGTGAGATACGAGTGCCTAGTTGGATGTCGCAACACCCCTCAGGTGAAGATACATCGATTGGTATGTTGGCGATGCATTATGGTGTTTAGCGCCACTGATTATTGGGCTTACCATAGAGTGCCGTCTTTTTATGCTGGACAATTCGGGGATTGTTTCGATTCAAGGACAACGTGTTTAAGCAAGCAGCGGCAATGTCTCCGCAGCCGATGTATTGAATGATTTCACAAAGAAGAAGCACTGTCTGGCTTGGGGACGAGAGGTTTCGACAAGATAGACACACCGATCGTACAACCAGTACATATATTCTTTATCTACTTCATATCAGAGCTCTAATCGCATAACTCGGGAGCCCCGCAAAGCTTCTATCGTGTTATGAACTTCCTCTGCGCTTGAAATTGGTCCTTCCCCATCTTGAGCGTGGAGCCTTACATGTTCCACGGCCTGAAAAGTTTCGAAGTTGAAGCGGGTGACCGCCAATACATATGAGTGGGCTCGCTGTAAAATGTCCAGGTCTAGCGATATACTTGCTAATTGCGCCCTATTCCCTCCAAAAGTAGACCATATGGACGACAAGGTAACTTCGTATGTTTGGCGACGTGTGCCGGCTTCCTTGTTGACGAGGTTGCCCAAGTGGAGAAGACGGGAGTCGAAACGGCTGAGAATCGCCAAGGTAGCATCAGAATGAGAGGCTACGGTGCGGGAGAAGCGGTTGAATGCTGACACCACATCGCTAAGAACCACTGAGGCAGAAGGGTTCCTTGAACATGACGGGAGTGCGATGACGAGGCTGGCGATTTTGCAGAAAGCGGTGTCAGGGCCGAGCCACTTGACTACCATCGTTGAACTGCGGATGACGTAGCCTTCAAGATCCCTGATTCTACATTATCTCATTAGATCTAATGTCAATGTCTAAACGATCGTCCGAACTTACTGATTAGATCCACCTTCTACCAGGTGACGCAGTTGTAAGAGGGAACGAGACAGATCAAGTATATCCCTTTCGTTCTCCGTGAGGAAAGGACCAATAACATGTCTCGAAGAAATATTGCTTGAATGGACGAGGAATGCCACGTTTCGAGTTTCCACGTAGATATTCGATAAATTAGTGAGGAGCGGAGGCGCCAACGTGGAGTATGCCTGGAATTGAGCTGCACATTGCCCTAACTCCGACGAAAGGCCTGATAATTGTGCGATGAACTCCCTGGAGCTCAGCATGGCTTCACAGAAGGAGGTTGGTTTCAGGCCCGCATAAGAACACAGCGAGCGTGTGACACCAGACAGGAGAGCCAGGAAAGTGAAGCCGGTAGAAAGCAGAAAAACGCAATTGACGATGATACGGTGACCCATCACAAAAGAAGGGACGACGTAAAGGAAATATAGTAACGGGGCGATTCGATACCAGACGACGGTGGAGGGAGTAGTGAGGAAGGCGAGTTGCATGTCTTGTGGCTTCATTGTCTAGAATCCAATCCCTTTATATATGGGGTACTGTGGTCCGGGGCCCAAGCTGGCGGTCAAGGCTGAGGCCACCCACGAAGGACACTTTTTTGTTGTTGGGTGAGTCACTAAAGGTGGTGAGATGCTACACAGATAAAGCTTGCGAGGCGGTCAATCCTGAGCTAGTTATCATGGCACAAGTTAATGTTGCAACACGCGATCGATGGCACGGTACTTCATTCTCATTCGCTGACTTTCCCTGACCGCTGAGGCACATATTGGGACCAGATAATATAGGCGATAACGGGTACTAGTATTTACTACATGAAGATGTCAGGTTTGTGGTGTACGTGGATGAACATATAGTTGAACATGGGGGGAGGAGAAAAGCTTAGCAAATGCCGAACGCGCTTATCCATACTCTGATTCTCGGGATGTGCCGGTGTCGCGTGACACGGCGCAAGTTGCAGCCAAAAGCGGCTGTAACGGCGGCGTCGACGATACAACCAAAAGCAGTTATAACGCAAGTCACCCTGGGCGCTACGGATCGGCAACTTGCGAAAATGTGGCATAAAAGTCACCATGCTGCGTGGTTAACTTTTCTTCTTTCCCTCCCACCTTTCAACGTTCGCTGTCATTTGTGGTATTCCCCCTTCAGTAGTTGGTCACGATATGGCTACTTATATATATCTTCCGGCGCAGTCGTTTGTTTTGATGTTCGCAGGGTGTACGATGCTTGGAATGCGTGCGTAGACCACCCGAATGCGTGTGCCATCTGCGATTCTTAGAATGCTTACGATACGTAAGCTCTGTACGCTGCGTACGATGTTCAGAATGCGTAGACCCCCATGAATGCATAGACCACTTGAATGTGTGGGCCGTCTGCTTAGAATGCGTGGGCCATCTACGGTGCTCAGAATGCGTACACTGCTTGAAGACGGTCATTTTCTGTGAAGCGCCAGACTATAAGAGGGATGCTGATCATGCCATCATCTGTCAGTATTCCCGTAAACATCGCTCGCACATACGGATCACCCTCCAGTCACAGGCATGTCTAGTAACCGTCCCGCAGCCCCCACGGGCTTAGAGGACAAACATTTTGGATACACACACGAAGCTGAAGACAAAGACGCCAAAGACGTTGACGAAGAAGAATACGAGGCCCAAGTAGCATCTGGCAATGAGGTCCTGCTTGATCCTCGCTGAGACATAGATATCGCTGACGTGATTTACATAGCGCCGACTCATTTGTCCTCTCGAGACATGTCACGACTCGATCCCGTTCCCCCTACCAACGGGCATCAAGAACCTTCTGAGCCGGTATCACCTCAACGATGACTCGTCAGAGGACAGCCCCTCAGACGAGGTTACAACCTCTTACGAGCGATTGAACGCCCAGATCAGTCTTTGCAAGGCGATCAATCTCGTTCACACCGAAAAGGCCGCTTTGCGCTACTTTAATATGCATGGCTTGCCGACGAAAATCGACTTCGTTGCACTTCCTATACGCATTCTCGAATTTCAGGATGCAATCCAAGAGCGAGCAACGAATCGAGAGCGCCTTACGGACTGCTTCATATGGAAAAGTCTGCTCAATCATACCAGCAAGAAGGGGTTGACCCTCAGCGGGATCGCACGTTGTGGCATGGCCCAATTGCCGAGTTCCATCATTTCATTAGCTCGTCCTGGATAGTATGTCTCGCATTAACCTCTGGACCGATTCAACACTAACTGTATCCCTATAGCTACGGCAATAAAGGAGCTCACATAATTGAAGCTGTTGTCCTCAAGCTAGTTGATCCAATGTCTGATGCATTCGCGCCCCTTAGCCTACAGGCATTCCGAGCTCTCTATCTCATCCCCTATGTTGCTACCCGGCTAATTGCGCAAGACAAGCATTGCAGCATTACAGAAGCATGGGACTTAATGATTTCTAGTGCTGGCTTTGGTTCAATCCTGCAGCGAATAGAGGACGAAGACGAAGACGAACTCGACGACATCGTCCGCTCAGTGTACCTCAACCCCACTAGTTACATGCGCTACACTGGACCGCGGCCGAAGGTTCCTTCATATTCATTGTCTATGTATTGGCATACTGACTATTACCCCTCGTAGCCACGACCTTTAAGGAAAAAAGAGACCCCTGCGGCCGAACCTGGCGATCTCGATACTGGGCCTTGTCGAACCAGTGCACGCTGTCATCCACCCCTTCGCGAGCCACTGGAATTACCCCAAAAACGTTACCATCTTCGCAGTCATACAAAACAAGTGTTAACGACCGTCACTACTGACGACGCAAGCTCCTAGCTCTCATCCTTTCACAATCTGAGTAACACTCCCAAACCCGGCCCCTGTATCCCCCGCAAAACAACTCCTAATTTCGCCGCATGCGGTATAGCTTATACGTCTGAGTCTGCTGTTGCGTACCGACTTCTTGCTCTACGCCCATTATTCGGAAGCTTTATGTTACACAGTCTAAACATTCTATTGAATACGGGAATACGGGAATCCTGCTGCCCGTAAATCAATGTAAGATGAGCGACATCTTCGCGGCTCTTATCGGGCTTCTGCTATCCTCTTGTATGTAGCAGGAGGTGGGTCCTATGCTCAAAGGGGGGTCGACTTGGAGCCTCAACATTGACGATCAGTGTCTGCAAATCAGCTGCCCATGCTGGTCGCTTCGGTGCCCCCGGCGGGCGTCAGGAAGGGCCTGCTCAGAGAGTCTGTCGAAGGCCAGCGGCTTAGATCGTTAGCTGATCGAGGCCTAGCTGGGGTTGAGCTCATCGTGTTGAACTCTAGGGCTCGAGCGACTCCCTCTGCGAGTGGGGCGACGCGCCCCTGGCGCGTTGGCTCATTTCGCACCCAGCAGTTCACTTTTTTGCCGTCTATGGCTCTCTTACACCGCCTGCCAAGTCCAATCGTTACACGAGGCGATATACTTGAGCTCCCACAAGATGATCAAAAGCTCTTTGACTACTTCGATCAGAAGGACTCCCAGGCTAAGCTGAACAAGGACATGGTACTATCACGGAAGAAAACCCCCGTTCATACTTGTTCGCATATCGCGCTCCGTAGCTCTGATGGCTTCATATACGTTTCGGGCAATACTAAGATTATCTGGGGAGGCCTGAGGCAAATTTCGTACACTTTGGGGAGGCCCCCTCGGCAAATTGTACATATTACATATCAATGTTTACTTTCGCTATTGAGTTCAATTCATACATTTTGGGCCCAAACTCATGAGTACACTTTGGCCGACGTACTGATCATGCTGTATTACCTTGCTTTAGCAAGGTCCCCCCTCACAAATCTCCTTTTTGGGCCAAGCATCTGCAGTCATGTGATGGTCTGTAGAATTAGGGGCACCAGTTGGCACTCCCAGCACCGAATGAGCCTGACCTGCGGTCAGGCAAGTGGCAGCATCAATGTGATTTACGAAACTCGAGGTGAAGCATGTAAATTATCGGACAACCCAACAATAAAGCAAGGTCCTTGATTATCTGAACATTTACCCCTGTTGACTCTGGGAGTATGCACATGATACATAACACAGCCACGCACAACGCAAGCGACTTTCCCAAGACTTTCCGTACGAGAATGAGAACACCTCGAAGAAAGAAGAACAACTCAAACCAAAAATATGCTACCTGGACAACGAGATGAACACACCGAATACCATGAATATGTAGTCGGTGAGTTGGCTCATGTTATAGCAAGGCCTTAAATGTCACGCTCTCTCTCTACATCAGAGTTCTTAGGGCCTGGAGATCGAGCAATCAACTTCAACTATGACGACGACCCCCAAATACACGAGGACATGAGAGAGCAGGAGCCTGCGGAATGGCCGAATGACCTTTTTTCGCCATATGACGAAGCTACAACCTATCAACTACTTCAAGATTTGAAACAAGCAAAAGCTTTCGTCTGCCGCGTGTTGGTGAAGGTACAGTTCGTCCAAGATGTGTGGCCATGTACTTCATCTTGACATCGATGTATCTTCAGCCTTGGAAGGAGGTAGAAGTTATCCAAGAAGTTGTACTGAAGAACCCGGAGGCTCGGACAAGAATCTTCTCGCATCGGAAAGTCAAAGGGGTGGTCTACGTTCTACCACGTCCTGACATGGCGGAAATCGACAATTTCTTCAATGTCGTATCGGGCCCGGCTGTCCTCCGCACCGAATCCGGTGCTACAATCAAAGAGGCTCTTTCGCATACGGAGACGAAGGTTCTTCTTTTCAAACAGGAAAATCCAGCTGAGCCCAATGCGGGAGGACTCGTACGCATTCACGGCGACGATACGTACGAGAACCTGATGGCATTCGTGGTCGAAGTCGAACCATGTTCTCAAGTGGCTCATCTATTGGTACTTCGGGCTCCGTATAAATATGTCGGCAATGAACCCGAATATGATGGATTCCCGAGCGCAAGAATTCCCGAACTGGTCACAGAGAACGGCCAGCTTGCGCATGATGGCCGCATGTATGCATTTGGGCTCATAAGAGGAAAACTTCCCTTCGACTGTTTACAATGCGGAAACATTTGCCCTACATTTCAAGAAATCGAGGCGCTTGAGCGATGCCCATACGACCCGGTTCAACAGGAGGCTATTTTCCACAAGCGAAACCAAGTATCTAATGGCGACCTCGTCAGGATCATATCCGGAAGGTACCAAGGTCTTGTGGGTTGGGCTGACGATTTGCGAGCGGAAAGCTGTGGTGTGATGGCCAGGCCAACAACTTTGGCAGCAGATACCTTCGGAATCGAGATAGCAAAGGAAGATCTACTGCGTCCGACACTCAAGAAAGGAAAAGACGTGCTTGTTATCAGAGGTCCCTTCGCGGGAGTGAAGGTAAAGGTTGTCAAAGATCTGGACAGATTTCATGTTCACGCGAAGGTGGTCAAACCTTCCGAAACAATGGTTCGGGTCAAAAGCTGGGAGATTATCAAATACGCAGATGTCGGCGATTACGTTGAAGTGGAAAGTGGCCCATATAAAGGTTGTCAAGGCTATGTAGGAGCAGATCAGTGGCAAGCGGCGAGAGTGTTTGTCGACGATCTGGTCGAGAGACACTTAGGGGACATCACCCTCTTACATTCCTGGGTAAGGTTTGGAAATATCGCTATTACTCATCACTCACAGCTAAGATACAGGTCGTCGTTAACTACAACGACCTAAAAACAATCCAAACATGTCGCACGGTTGCGCCAACTGCGCCCATTGAAGAGGAAAGCAAGGGTGGTTCTTTGTTACAACGATCTTTGGCGGGGATGGAGGTGGCCATCGTCTACCACAAATTTTTGAAGGGTACCACAGGCCGAATCATTTCTTCGTCCATCATCGAGTCGAAGCGGGGGAAAAGACGGCTTGTATACAATGTGGGCAAGCTTCGCGACAATTCCTCCTACACCTATCAAGTCAAGGAACTGTCATCTTCGTGAATTATCGTACGTATGGTTAGATGTTGAGTGAATTCTCTAATCCGACATATGAACCCAGCACTGGTTTGCCTGATAGTGATCGCCGCACGATTGCACATGATCGATTCGAAGCCGACGGAGGCTCGGACTCCGACACCCCCGATCGTAGAGGATGAACAGCTTGCTTGTGACTTCGTCGAACACGCACTCCGCGAACGAGTTCCTTTTGCCGTTGACACCCTAGACTCGGACAATCACTATGACGAGACCATACAGAATAACCTTCCAGAACAATCCTTTCAACATGGTATTTACATTGTTTGTTTGGAGAAGTACATGCCTTCACTCATCTTTGTAGGTGCTTGGATCCTGCATGAAAGACTGAGGCACAAGAAGCTTGAAGTCCACATCAGTGGGACTCGCGACAAAATAGTGTTTAGGCAAGGAAAGCTCGAAGGCAAAGACGGGTACCTCGTCGTGACGAGTCGCATCTACAACGTCGAAGCTTCGGTACTCGTCAAGATTGATTCATCGGCCAGAGAGCCAACGACTAGAATCCCTGTGAAGTACCTTTCGCCGAAATATTCAGACTTTCCGATCGGAACGAGGGTTGTGATCATCGGCGGCGAGGTGCAAGATGAACATTCTCGCGATCACGAAACATGGATCGGGTCTTACGGGGTAGTCGCCCCATGCGCTTATGACCTGCATCCAGAGTGTAGGATGGTGTGTATAGCGCCATCTGGACTGTATGCATATTTTCCAGTGGACTCATTGTGTCCATCAGGTGGCAAAGCTGAATGGCAAGGTTATATATATTGATAGGTTATTGATAGGCAGTTATGCGAGTGGGTTTGGGCTTTCCCATCTATCTAGCATCAGTTGAATATATCTTGTTTCTTGTACCTTGGAAATGAGCATCATCACAACAATCAAGTTGATGATGCAGACGATGACGGCACGGACGAGGACAAGGACGGCAGGGACAAACTCCAATTTTGCCTGTTGTTCTTGGTAACTGTCACATGATGGGGCCAGACGCTGAATTGTTGCCAGAACTCGCGATGCGCGCCATCCATACTATTGGAATGTACATCTAGCCGTAGTCACTGCTCGTCTACTTTCCCCAAATGTTTTTTTCCATACATGTTTATTCCTTTTCTCCTGTACACGCCGAAGTGATCTCTGGTCGCCAATAATAGTCCCCTGAACGCGCGCCTTCGGCGCTGGCTCCCTCACTCTCAGCAGTCCAAGCTCTGCCTGGGATGATCAAACCAAGGTGTATAGCCTCGCGCATGAGTTCTGTCTTAATTCTGGACTCCCTGTCGACTGCCCCAAATTGCAACCAAAAGTGGATGCATATTGAGTACATCCATTTCTGGCGCAAACTCAATCACCGCTTGGCACGAGTCAGTTTCAACCAAAAGCGGATGCATTCTGGGTACATCCATTTCTGGCGCAAACAATACCGCCTTCAATGGATGGTTACCGGCGACACTCATATATAGTGACCATCAACAACATAGCATTGTCTCCCTGTCCGTACCCATTGTACATACGTTAAAGGCTAAATGACAAAGCGGAGTGGGACGGTAGCGACTCGGAAATGTAGCAAGATATATTGAATATCGGCTTCAAGGGAGCTGATGGCCTTCATGAGCGGTGAGGACAGTTGCCAGGTCGATACCTGATCCTTCCGGTGCAAGTAGCCGTATGCCCTGGAGAATCTCGACCATATCTCGCAGTGGTCGTACGGCCATCTTCTGCGGATCCTCGAACAACCAGTTGCGACACAACGGGCATGTCTCTGGAATCTTTTTCTCCTTCTGCCACTGTAGCCACTGCTTCAAGCAAGAATCGCAAAAGTAGTGCTGACACTCGCAAGTGCTATCAGATCGACAATTTAGTTTCCCTATAATTACAATAACAAGGGGATAACTCACCTGACGGGCCATTTGATTGTGGTCAGGCATATACTGCAGTCGAGTGCTTGGAATGCTTCTCTAACTTTGAGTTTGGCCTCAAAGAATGAATGGTCTCAGTTCATCTGAGAAAGTTCCAAGTCGACACACCTGCATCACTAAACCTTCAAGGGATCTGATTCGCTCCGCCATACGCGTGTTTTCCTGTCATCCATTAGCAAAGGAATCATGCTATAGGTCTACAGCGTACTTCAGTCAACTCGTATACTTGTTGTTCTAACTTGGTAGTGGTATCCGTAGACGCGACAAGGACGTACTCCTCTTCAACGTCACGAGCTTGGTCAATGCTGAGGCCTGGCTCACTGGCCTCCAGAGTGTCGAGGAGAGTGTCTGGGAGTGGCATCAGGCTCAGTGGTCTTCGGGTTGTGTTGAAACGCATGACAGAAATGGGTGATGCTGAAGAAGCAATGATTGGGGGTTCCATCGGGAGGTACAGAACTCCTCGCGGGGGCGTGAATGATAAAGCTTCAGTCTATTATTCGCTTGGGCCTTATTGACCTCCCGTACTGACCTTGTGTTTCAAGGCTACGTAAAAGCAAGGTGATTGCCCTTCGTACTAGCGCATCTTACTTTCTACTCGCAGTGATCCGGGAGGCACAATGCAGTAGGTCGACAATCGGACCTTTAAGAGTGCCACTGGAGATGATAAGCTATATAAGGAACATCGAAGTGGCGACTGGGTGCAATAATTAACCATGTCCAAGCGGGCGCGGTCTATCAGTCCGCCTAAAAGCCCTATGTCCAGTCTCAGCGCCTTGTCTTCCAAACGAACGAGGTACTCTACACCCGAACGCACACGATCTTACTCCCCCCCTGTCAACCCGCGTATAAACGTCGCTTCAATTCGAGGGGCCGTAACTCAACGTCGCCTGCGTCACCTGAATCGGGATGGTTCTATTGCGCGCCAACTTCCTCTGCATCAACCGCTGACTCGGGAGCGTTATATTGAGCAGGGACCTTCCATTCCTGTCTCTTATGGCTCGACATCTGGGCATCCAGGAGCCTTTCCCGTCGGGCCAGCCAGCACATACGGAGAACGTAACACCTACCGCTCAGGAGGAACCTTGCCTCTATCTGGACACCAAGGATCGGTTACGGATGGGCAAACGCAGGTTTCGCGACCGAATAGTTCACGCGGAGAACTTCAGATCCGCTTCGCAGCGGGAAACGTCGATGTAGAATATGAGGGGCCATCGGATGGGGAGTCGTTGGATGAGGCGTCATCGGATGGGCAGTCGTTGGATGAGGAGGAGTCGGATTGGGAGTCATCAGATGGGGAGTTCAGCGAAGAAAATGGAACGGATGGGGACGTCTCGGATTTGTCGGGCTCTGAGGTATGGACGGTCGTTGACGACGATGAAGAGTGGAATAATCTGAGCGACGACGACGACGACGACGAGTGAGTGTGCAAGCTGGAGTACTTGTGTTCCCGCCCCATGGGTGCGATTGGTTCGTGTGCCTGTTTTACACTGATCTGGTAGCATAGCTCGCAATTATCATAGATATCATGATCATTGTGTTCGTTGCTGTCCACTTGTATGAAACACGCTCTGAGTCGTGCTTCAAATGCCCCTGCCGGCTACGATGCCTATGCCGCCTATGATGCCTAACCCGCTTATATTGCCTATGATACCGACTCTCCGAGCCGTACGTGGGTAGACACGTTAACGACGGTCGGACATGGGAGGAGGAGAAAGGCTCGCGAACGTTGAACTCGCTAACGAACGAACACTGATATACGGAATGTGCCTGTGCCACGAAAGTTGCAACCAAAAACGGTTGTAATGGTCGGCGCGGGTGATTGGCCAGCATGATGTGCAACCAAAAGCGGTTGTAACGTGTTGGCCAGCGCTACGGATGGATCGGCAACTTGCGAAAATTTGGCATAAAGGTACACACTGCGCTTCATTTACTTTTTCCTTTCTCTCCCACCTGCATTCTTACGACTTTCGCCGTCATATGTGGTATCCCGCCTTCAGCAGTTGGTTATGATAGTTACTTTTCACATAACATATACTTTTCAACGTAGCCAAACTTGTTTGATGTCCGCAACATACAGTATCTTAGGAATATCACAAGAACTCTAGATCACTCCTACGTACGATTCTCAGAATACTTAGACTACCTACAATGCTTAAAGTGCGTAGAACACCTGGATGTGTGGGCTGGTGCTCAGAATGCGTAGACCACCTGACTGCGTGGGCCATCTACGGTGCTTAGAGTAACTATGCTGCCTACGCTGCCTACGCTGCCTACGCTGCCTACGATGCCTACGATGCCTATGCTGCCTACGATGCCTACGCTGCCTACGCTGCCTACGCTGCCTACGCTGCCTACGCTGCCTACGCTGCCTACGCTGCCTACGCTGCCTACGCTGCCTATGAGGACTCTGAGCGGCCCAGTTCCTCATTTTCGCATCAGGGCAGAATTCGAAGACGTCAAGGCTCTCGAAACTCGCAATTCGGACAAGGTAGCAAGCTTACTGGAGGAGCAGGCTAACACCTTATTCAGGCTCGAGGAGGCACGAGCGAGGGAGAGGACCTTGAAGCCTGGATCTGTGCTAGGTCGGAGAGCGATGAGGTGCAATACGGAAGCTGCACGCGAGAAGGACAGGAGCAACGTTTCCACGAATTGAAGGCCGTTCTGGAGGACACCGAACGCCAGCTCAAGGATGTGCATGCAAGCGTGGATGTGGGCAATACTGATGCCATTGGTTTACGGGAGGCAAGCACACCATGTTGAACGCCTCCTGCGTGAAGACCTCAGTGCTGGCAGGACCTCCCAAATTAGCTTCGAGCAACGATTGGAAAGTTCGGAACAACTCGTCGCACAGACAACAGTCCCGAGAGCTTGTCTCTGATTGGTTCTACGTTCGGTGCTTCTTGAGTGCTTCTTTGAAGAAGATCCGACAGGCGCTCACGCGAGGTGAATCGATGCACGCACAGCCAATAGGAGGGCCTCAAGCGGAGGTAAGATGGAGTTGCACTTATGCCAGTCAACGGTTCTGTGGGCCGGCCATTGGCTGTCTGGATGATGAATCAACCTTGACGTATACCGAAGCTTCGACGTCGCGAATACGACTCGTCACGACGAGGTACCCATCTTTGGCTTCGAGATCTATATGCCCTAAGAACTCTGACATGGAGGAACAAAGCCAAAGTGCATTCAGGAGACTAGATGGTATCATATTAATCGCATTATGATGCAAAGGAGAGATAAGGAGAGATAAGGAGAGTAAAATTGTGAGGAAAGGACACCGGTAGACAAGCAGTGACTACGGCTAGATGTACATTCCAACAGTAGTGTTTACCTGACGGCTGGTGCGGAGGGTGAGTTTTGGTAACAATTCGGCGTCTGGTGCCGTCATGAATCTGGCCAGGCGGATGAAGACCCAAGACACGACGAATAGTACACAAGCGAAGAAGATGACCCCATCCTCCTCCTCCTCGTCATCGTCGTCGTCGTCGTTATCACTTTCCGTACCCATCGCGGTATCAGAAGAGCCTTCGTCGTAAAATATAAACAACAGGAAAAGGGCTGCGTGCAAGGTTTAAAGATGAATGCAAACTCGGGGGAAAGAACTTCCATACCATTAGTGCCTGCCATATTTGTCTTTATCATCTTGGTCCTGGTCACTCCCTTGGCTTTGGTTCTCGGCTACAGCCGCGGGGGCTGCTTCAGGGGCGGCCAGACGGTTGCTAGACATGCCTGTGACTGGAGTGCTTGTGAGTGATAGATGAGATGTAAGTTATATCTAGTAAATCGTAAAATCAAAACCGAAGCCTTTATTATTGCCTTGAGGCTATTCAGGGCCTACTGGCTTCATGTTAGCACCCTAGACTATTGAACAAAGCAACATCGAGCTTGCTTTCTTCAGGACCAGCATCCGAATGTGCCACTCCGCGCCGGCTATACAGAATAACCAGCGATATGCGGCTGAACGTTCACTAAAAACCTGTGAAATTGATAGTGCATCGTACATACATATGCGACCTCCCCACCCTTACGCGCCTGCCTTGGATGCTCGCAAATCCTCACGACTTGCGAAAATATCGCCCTCTTCGTCACAAATCCCCCAGGAATCGACCACGGTATCGATAGACCTGCCTCCGCCGCACGAAGCCTCTTCAAGGGATGCGCTCAAAGGACCTTCTCTAGATGCCACTGCGTCACTCGCATCCAGTGTCAAAGGGGTCAAGAAAGCCAACAGAGCGAATCTACAACAGGTGAGATAGAGATGTTGATGCTTTCCTGCGAGCTGACCAGGCGTACGAAGACCCGGTGGGCTTTGAGTAAAGAGAAGCGACGATGTGCAGAACTTGATGCAGCGAATCAGGAGTTGTCTCAACGGATGACAGTGGTAAGTCGTCACGTCGCTTTCCTGGTGTGTGCCCTGATGTTCCTAGATTACTGCCACTCTTGCCCAAGCGCTCAGGTGTGGCATTTGTCATGATTACATGGTAGCGGCTTCCACGTTGGTGTTCTCATTTCAGCCAATGTACTTCATCTGACCGCTCGTAGCACGTCTTGTGGTCATACCTTTTGCACAGGCTGCCTTGCGTCATGGTTTCGATCACAGATCCGGTACAAACTGGATGACTACGGATATGGCCGTATATTTGAGGACAATGCCTTCCCAAGAAACGCCGAAGAGAGGAGACTGCTTCAAAGAACACTCCAGGAGGACATGTCATTTGCAGAGGCAAAGGAATGGTTTGCCTATAGATGCCCGACGTGCCAAGGGGACGTAACGAAGACTCCTTATGAGGTACACATGATGAAGGAGATCATGGAGTCCTTCGCGGTCAACATCTATCCTGATTTAGAGAATTCTGCGCTAGGTAGGGCCGCGAATGCGGTCGAGTTTGCGGGCCTCTTCGTAGATGGAGATTTGTGCTAGATAAATTGGATGTGACTTTGTGATACGTTCGTATGAGTCATGACCATGACATAAGGAACTGGGGTTGTTTTCGCTGCACGGAACGATTGTTTCTAGAACTTCCGAGATCAACAGAAATGTGTTTGTCTGCACAAAAACCTGTGTAGAATAGAAAAGACGGCGCTGCTTCCATTCCACGAACTGGGGTACTAATGAAACATGTACACGAGGCCTTGAGGGTTGAAACTTTGAAAGCAAGGCGCGTTCGGCGGTCTACCTTCCATAATTCTAATTCGACGAACCAAAAGAGACATGAACTCGGCAATGGACCAATGCAGGTTGTGGGGTGGATCTGAAGAATTCGTAGCCTTCTTCGACGACCTGCGGAACGAGGTGAATAGTACCTTACGGAGATATTGGCCGAACCTACCTAGCGTGCTCTACATATTAAGTCCATGTCTTGTTTTTGCAGGCTTCTCGACACGACATCGGGACCAAATGTAAACGAGATATATATGTTTATATTCCTCTTCCATTCATTCATTGGTGGTATATATGATATTTCCTGTCTCTTTCAAAATGTGTATTAATGCTTACCACTTGAGAACGCGGGTTTAGGTCAAGGTTGGCTGCAACAGAGAAGGGGGACCCTGCGGTTCGATGACCTCTTCGTGGTGAGCTGGTGCGTTCGGATATATCGCGGAGGGTGAGGTCTCAAACATATGTCGACAGGATATAGATTCTCGCAATCAAGAAACATGGATCGGGTCTTATGGGGTAGCCGCACTATGCACTTATGACCTGCACACGGAATGTAGGATGGTGTGTATAATGCCATCTGGACCGTGCGCATATCATCCAGTGGACTCATTGTGTCCATCGGGTAGTAAAGTTGAATGGCACGGTTATATATATTGATGCGCTGTTGTGCGTGAGATATAGTACGAGTAGATTTGGGTTTTCTACTTTTTTCTACAAGAAATTACTCCTCGTTATAATTAATTAGTTCTCTCAGCTAGTCAGTTTGTCTTTACATTGCTCTGCCAGTCTGTTTTCCACTCTTCTCCGGGACCACAAAGCCACCATACCCTGACAGCGGGGCCCCCATCTCGATAGAAACACCAGCAAGTGTCTGAGATTTCGTCCCTCGCATAAAGTTCGATGCACTGCAGCGTGGGCAGCACGTTAAATAATTGAGTCGGAAGGTCTACTGAGCATGCCCAGCTTTGGCGTATGAATCGAATACATCTAACCCGAGTAGACTGGACAGCGGCAAGAAGCGGTTGCCGCCCTATTTCATCAAGGGATCGCGAATCCCCACGTAGTTCCCAGCAGGTTATGTTGGACAGTATTGGTGCATATTTCGTTATGGCACATTCCGTGTAGGGCGACGAAAGCGTGCGAATAGTATTCACCAATGGCCTCAACCAGGCGAAATCTACAGGGGGGCAAATACTTGCCCATCCTACTCGCAGGGAGGTGAGCGCGCGTCCAGGAAGCCTTCCCGATTCACGATCAGTGTCGACAACGAAACTGAACACGTCCTTCTCGTCTTCCAAGCGGAACGATAAGAGGTTGGGGAGGACCCGAAGGACGATGGCGAGATGTCCATGATATCCCCAATGGTCGTCCGCGAAGATCGAGAGATGTTTGATATGTTTTCGCCGGTACAGACCACCCGTGACGAGGCTACCCAAAAATGAGGCGATGGGACACGGAAGGCGTTCGTTTGACGGTCGAAGTACGACATCTTCGTAAAGAATGGGCTCAGCGATTGTGTTGAACGTCGCAGACGAGAAGAGTAGCGCGTGCAGCGTCTTGGTGTCCACCTTTCTGAAAATCATCGTAAGTAGTTCAGGTGGGAGTAGGGACGCCATTTGAAGTTTTTCGAGTTAGAGCCCGGCCTGAGTATTATATACACGACGGAACAAAGCAATGGAAATCAGGACTAACTCAGTGAGTGCATCGCTATCGTGGCGGAGCAATCGATCAATTAAGTGGCCGGGATCACGCTCGACTATCAGTGATGGGACACACTGAGTTGTTGCCAGAACTCGCGATGCGTGCCATCAATTACTGTCAGGATGTACATCTAGTATTTTTCCTAAGTTCATCCTCATTTTCTCTTGTGCACACCGATGTAAAATCCGATGGCTTCTCTAAATGAACACGCCTTCAGAGTTCGCTCTCACCCACTCCAGACAGTCCGAGCTGTGCCTCAGGGAGAATCAAGCTAAGGACAACATGTGATGTGAAGTATCGCTACGCATGCAGACATTGGTTGCGTATAAACTCGTCGAACTCGCTTATTCATACTCTGATATTCGGAAAGTGCCGGCGCCGCGACAAGTTGCAACCAAAAGCGGTTGTAACGCGCGGAACGGAGGACGGAACCGCAACCAAGCAGCGCCGCGTGCGACTGCTTGGACCCGACTTCGCAACGCAAATGAGGGAGGAATGATTCTTGTTGTTGTTGATAGGTATGTCTATATATACCAGTAGTCTATGTAAATAAACACACTGGTTCTGCTAGTAACTAAAGTAATACCTACGAAACAATGTGCCGCAGCAGCTCGTGTTCGAGTGCTCGGACCGAACGAGGAAGTAAACGAAACGATGATATACGTACAAAATACCGTGTATCAATGATTGGACACGGTCCGATCCCTACACTGTTCGCCACATGTGTTCGGTTTCCGTCTTTCCTTCCTGCTTCGTCTTTTGGTGGGTACACCACACATTCCCAGTCCTTGCATTCACACGGTGAATGCGACTTTGCGCCTACAGCACTGACCTACATGATCGGACTCTAGTTATTGAACATTGGTATACTTATACTAATTTTACTCCCTCCAAATTCATGCTACGCCTATATCTTCTTAATCAAAGAGACTGTCCTGTTATTTATATCAACTGTAAATGCCTAGAAAGTATAAACATGTAGTAGGGGCACCAAAGTTCGAAAGAATTTCCAAGACAATTGTTTGTACAGAGACATTCAAGAAAGTAGTCTCGTATTGGCGGAAGTCCAAGGCACCCAGGTTGTATTTCATGGAAGAAATCTCCACAAATTTGTCCGTAGGGTTGAATGCCGTAGGTAGAAGACCCGTATTGCTGAAATAGAATGGCGACCTGAAGCCAGTGACATTATGAAGCGCTAATGTGTGAGCCTCGTCAAGAAGGCCCCAGAGGATGACGTCTCTTGGTGCTCGTTGTGCTGACATTTCGGAAATGATGTCTGGTGCCACATGGTCCAGACTAAACTGGGAAATCACAATTGGCTCTGGCAAATGTACGGCGAGATAGCCATGGGCACCAGTGAATTCCCAGCATTCACCAACACCGATATTGTCTTCCAAAGCCACGTACGGTAGGGCTATGTTCGGCTGCCAAAAGTCAAAGCCTGACAATGATGTAAACATTCGATGTATTGCATCATGCTTGATTAGGCCATGTGTCGTGGAAGTCAATGATGGGATTACTGACGCGCCGGCCGCATGGAGTGCAAAGTTACGGATGGGTGTAGGGGATGTTGGACCATGCAATGATACGTGGGGCGGGGGTACGAGGGGGTCCGTACTCGAGATGGAATGAACCGCGACGAGGTTTCCGATAATCGTAGGTGCGAGCAGATTGCAGGTATTTGGATTGCACGCCAACTTGAGAAGGCCGCGGGCATCATTATTTGCGCAGAAATTTCTAGCGTAATGGCAAATGATAACGGAACCAAAGGTCACACGGGTGGCGGATGGAAGGAGAGGTATCACTGCAACAAGGGCCAGCACGAACAAGAAATTTCGCCCCAAACGGTAGAAGGTTCTTCGGAAATACGGACGCTTTGTGAAACTTCTCAACACCGTGGCTTGTCCGTACAATAAATAAGGCTACATACATTTCGTTGGAGTCGAGGCAGCGGAATCATGGCATGTGCCTCGAGCCCGTGCTGGATTGGAGGGTTTCGAAGGAGGTATGTGGGGAACGGCATCAAAGATAATGAACATCGAGCGGCAACTCCGTCAACACTCTTATGATAAAGTATGTTTACTCGTGTTGTTATCTCAGGGAGGAAGTGGCCACTGAGTACCATGAGGTCGTAATGGTCTCGCCACAAAGGACCTGATTGATCATAGCATGAAGAGGTCAATGCATACGGCAATTATAAGGAGTCTTCCACCAGACTGCTGCAGTAATTCTTACTACTATCGTGATGGACACGATAAGTCCCGTCGATTTCAATATGCACCGAACTGAAGAAGATCTGGCCAACGGTCGTGCTCATGTACACAACAAGCGATAAGGCGACCATACCCCTCCGACGGGGGTTGATTACGTAGCAAGCAAGAGGCAGAGACGCGACCCGCCACTCCAAGTCCGACGCCGCCGACGCTCTAAATTGCCTCCTTACTGTAAGCTGTCCTCGCGAACAACGAAATCAGGGACTGACACTGTTGTACAAGATAAACTGTGTTTCAACGAAGATTTACTGGGCAGGGTCTCTGAGAGGAATTACCCGCCTGTGTTACCAGGCGACTTCGTCATTTGGAAACAACAAATAAACTCACACTCGAGATATTTCGACGATGATGATGTCCAAATGGAAGATATGGGTGATCCGCGATATGAACATAGCATCCCGCCTGGAGGGGGTGCACCAGCGAACAACCAAGGTACCGAAGATGCATCGGGTTGGGGCGGGATCAACAGGGGAAACCAAGGACAGCAAGGGAACAGTCTCGAGAATGCGTCAGCGTGGGATGGGATCAACGGGCAGCAATGTGCCGAGGATGCGTCAAAGTGGAGCGGAATCAACAGGCAGCAATGTGCCGAGGATGCGTCGAAGTGGGGCGGAATCAACAGAGCTACTCGATCTCAAGAGCAACAAAGTAGATCCGCGGCGCGCAATGGGGAAAGGTCTCATCAAGAAGATGAGTCTATGTTAGCAGACGACGAAGAGGAGTTTTGCGAAGGTAGTTGCATATGGGAGTACAAAGATTCAGCTCATCGTAGGAAAGTACGCGATCAGCGCAGCGATTTCGTAAGAGCCTCACCCAACCTTCCTTCCTCAGCCAAGGCTCATCCCCCTTTCATTTTCAAATTTCAGGAATTTGTCTGCAAGCGACTGAAGCAAACACCAGTGAGTGATCGAACGCTGCCTGTTACTTGCATCGCTCAATCAAATTGTAGAATACAGCAGCGACGTTTCAAGACTTGTTGGGAGTTATGCAGGTTACAAGGCCTCTTCGCAGCCCTGAACCCTCTTTGCCCACACCGGATGCAAGTCCTCGGCGACCCAAACCGACAAGGAGAACAAAGAGACCACAGGAAGCTAGTGACGATGAAGATCGTTGCTTTGATCCTGTCAAACGCGATTCGTTTCAAGTCCGGCTACATGTAAGCAGGTCGCTCTTCTTCCTCGAGAGTTTTCTGACTTCCTGGAAGGCCGAACTGAGAGATTATTGCGATATGACACTGCTGCAATTAACGAAAGTTGATCCAAGGCCCCTTACTACTCCGACAGCAGACGAGATCGAAAAGTTCCGTCGCGATCCTCGTCTCGCCCCCGGCCCAGATCTTGCGTCACTTCGACTCGACTTGAAATCCACAAACTGGGAGTCATCCGTCTGGAACCTTGCAGCTGCTGACATGATCGCGGATGAATTTGTCCAGGATGAGGAGTACCAATGCAAAAACAAAAGAATGGTCCGCGAAGCTTTCAGGAAGCATTTAAGACAACTAAGAGATCGCTATCGCAGACAAGAGTGGCAAAGGACCAATGATAAGGAGGCAGAGGTGAATGAAGCCCGGTCGTTACGCAATCTTCGCAGATCTAATCGACGACGGTCGGTGGGTTTTATTCTGCAATTGCATCGTTTATTTTTCCTAACTCATTAACAACAGCTACGAGAGCGCCGCATCAAAGGGATTAGGGCCTACCAACGTATCGCCGCGAAGACTGACCAATACGAGAAGCTAAGTCAGTTTGAGAAATTGTTAAGCGAAATGCCACTAGATGCTATGAGTGGGGATGAATCGGACCATGGGGTGTTTGTGAGGAAGAAATTACCTTGGCGTTCCCCCGATACCAAGGTCCTCGAGTGGTTTCGTGTCCTTGATGGGTTATACCTGTCCACTCGTTTCGCCGACAACGATAAACCAATCCCCGGGGCATTTCCAGCTCAACGACTCCTCCCGAACGGTATCCTTTACGATGCCAACCCCGTGCCGCGGCTCCCGATAAATTTATATGATCCTGCTTATCTAAACGGGCTTGACGAATACGGGATGGCTCGTCTTGCTCCTCAGAAGGCAATAGATCTCAGCTTTCCTCCCCAACTGCAACTGTAAGCGAACTACTTGATTGCGCCCGTACTCGTTACTAATGTTACTACTACAGCGTAGCCGCTAGGTTTAGCGGTGTTCATAGTGGAAACAGGAAGCCGTTGCCTCGTGATCATCCGTCGCTCCGAAACTACTGCTCAAGCTAGTGCTGGCATCTGGTATCCTTACCGCAATTTTATGTAGATATGCTTGGATAGCAATTGCAGTTCGGCGTGATGGACACAAGGGCTGATATATATACGCGATAGCTCAATAGTGATAAATTGCAGAGTACGATTATGTTGGTTCGCTTGGTTTGTGAACTGACCAGCCGCGAATCTAGCTGATAATAAAGACTGAGAGCATCTGGGCTATGATCATTGAACTGATCACAGCTCAACATGAGTTCATCTATGATTGCAATCTTTGATTCCTATCTACTTGGGACATGCTGAGCAGGTGAAGTATTCTACGAGTGGTTCATATGTGGACATTGTGACGACGGTTGTCCATCCATAGTACCCCTGATTCGTCAACCACTTATATGGCCTTTTTTATTTGTTATCCCTACCTGCTTTCGCACATCAATTCGCTTTGCTGTACCATTCGTTCATATACCATCGCATTGCTATCGATTTGCTTTCCTTTTGTTTTGTTCCACTCGAGTTTTCATGGTATTCACTTATACTTTCATTCCTTGGCACAATTGTTCGTAAAACATCTGATGTGCGACATCCCTTCTGCTTAGACCATTTCTTCTTTCATCGTCACTGAAGGCACAAGTTGCAGTCCAATGCTTTCAGTAATGCACGGACGTCTACTATGATTATCTCGAACCACCGCAATAATATGGTCTCCCCTGACCGCTAGGGCACACATTAGAACCAGATGATATAGGCAATGATGGGCACGGATGCTGACTTCGTGAATACGTCAAAGTTGTACTGTGCGTGGATAAATATACGGTACGGACATAGGAGGAGGAGAAGGGCCCCAAAATGCCGAACGCGCTTATTCATACTCTGATTTTCGGGATATGCCGGTGCCGCGAAACACGGCGCAAGTTGTAACCAAAGGCGGTTGTAACGAGGGGCGTGGGAAATGACTGACGATGTACAACCAAAAGCGGTTGTAACGAGTGAGCCAAGGGCGCTATGGATCGACCGGCAACTTGCGAAAATGTAGCACAAAAGTCACCACGCTGCGTGGTTCACCTTCTTTCCCCCAATCTGCATCCTTACAACTTTCGCTGTCGGTTTTCCGCCTTCAGTAGTTATTCACGATATAGCTACTTACTTACATAACATATATCTCTCTGCGTAGACTCGCTTGTTTTGATGTTCGCAAAGTGTACGATGCTCGCAGTGCGTATACTACCTACAATGCTTGGAATGCGTAGACCACCCGAATGCGTGCGCTATCCGCAATGTGTACGATATGTACGATGCCCAGCTGGGTACGTAGACTCCCTTATGATGTTTAGGATGCCTACAAATTCTACACTGTCTACGCTGCCTACTCCCCTTATGATGCCTAGAACGCGTAAGCTGCGTACAGTGCTTAGAATGCGTAGGCTTCGTACGGCGCACAAATCGCCTATTGGCTTTATGATACGTACACTCTCTGCGAGCCCTTTGTCACGCACAATGCTGAGCGGACGCGTGCACGAGGTATGCGGACAAAGCAAACCAGTGGCTCCGAAGGAAAAAGCGTAAAGGTATATAAGCAGTCCGATGCGTTGCCTCTTCATTCTTCCCTCCCTTTGATCCATTTACGATTGTAACTTTCGTCAAGGACTAATCTTGCTCTAATGTCCTTGACTTACGCCATCGAGCACAACATCAAGGTTGGCGCAGGGGACTACATTAAATGCTTGGCATTTTCGTCCAAGGATACTCATATTGCGGCTGGAATTGGGTCCTCAGTTTACATTTGGGAGTTGCCCAACGCAAAGTTGACTCTAAACAGTCCCATTGGCAGCCCTGTCACGGTTTTGAAGTGGTTCGGCAAGAATCTTTTACTTGCGGGATCTCTTGGCGGAGCTCTCGTCATGTACGAAATGGAAACCAGTAAAAAGGTATGCCACCTTTACTACGATTTTTCAATAGTAACTCATGTCCTCTCAGCTCGTAAACGTTTCCATCGTAGCTATACCCGGTAGCACAATAACACATCTTGCATTCTCGCCAAACATGCGTAAATTGGTGGTGGGCGGTGGCCACACGGTAACCGCTTGGGCTCGGCAACGCCCAACGAAGGACAACCTTTGCTTCCAGTGGAAATACCACACTGTACTGCCAGACCCAATTGCGGGTGGCAACCACCTCGAACTGAAGGCCGAGGTGTCTGGGCTCCACTTCCTGGATAACGAGCAAGTGGTCATCTGTTATCGCCAACAATATGGCATTCGGTACGTTCGTTGTTAGTGAAGTTCATTGGTGTTGACTTGGTCTCTCAGTTTATATAATTTCAAAACTGGAAAAGTCAGCCAGTGCGGAATACCCCACGATGCTCCCATGTACGTTAGAGCATTCCGTATCAAGCTGGCATACCTAACTACATGTCGCTCAGTGACGCCATTTTCATCACTCCAGATGGCTCGCGCGTTATGACTCCCAACCATCAATCAGGCTTCAATGTATACGACATGCAGAGCGGCGGGCATTATCATCACTTTGCTTTACACGCGCAGGAATCCCACTCTCCACTTCCTGGAACCTTCATCCATGCCGGGACTGTCCTTGTCGGAGGCTACAACAATGAAATTGCCATGTGGCACGTAGGCAGCAAGCATCGTCTGCCGTCCGTTGAGGTAAACGGTGCCGAGCTTATTGTTGTAAGTGGTGTGATTACACTCCCTACATAACGTGGCATTGAGTCCGTTCTTCTAGAGCAACCGTGCCGCTGAAATAGGGGACGACGGTGAGACACCCCTCAGGCTTGCAGTTGCTACTACGTCTTCCTTCACAATACTCCGTGCCGAGCAGATAGGTACGGACGCCTCCAGGAGAGTATCTACTTTATCTCTTTTGCTGGAGAACTACACGGACGAACTTGTTCTTGTCGTCATCGTCCTTGGCATTGTCGGCGTTTGTCACTGGCAGAGTGTACGATTGCCTGAACTCTGGTCCTTGAGCGTCTGAACATCTTTTGGGGGACGAGCTGCCGTGGAACAGTCATTTCGAAATTATGTTCTATTACTATTTTCAATAGTATAAGTCTTATACTGTCGTCTTGATATAAGACATGCTCTAGGTTCGGCTATGATCCTAGGATACTTAAATGCCTACGCTGCCTATGCTGCCTACGCCGCTGTAAATAGGGGCCCACACTGGGTTGATAGGCATGAAACCGGGAGGCATTCGTGATGTATTTGTACCGGCACATCTTGCTTACAATCTCAATCCGCACAAGGGGAAGGATATTAATATGAGTTAGTGACCTTGTTCCTTTAAACGTATTCGACTCACAGACTTGATAGCATTTGAGCTGGTAGAAATAATATCAGCACGCGGAGATGAGTAGATGAGTACTCCAACTTGACTAATCAGAATCATGTAGTTTAGTGCTGTCATCCACTATGTGTTGTTTTCAATATGGAAGCTGTGCTGTACGTGGTCGAATCTACGCTAATGGTGATCGGACGTGGGAGGAAGAGAAAGGCCTACAAACTGTTGAACTCGCTGATTTGAATTCATATTCAATATTCGGATTGTGCTGAGGTAAGTTGCAACCAAAATTGGTGTGTAGGAATGCGTAAGCACCCATGGAGCGCTGTAGGGATCGGACCGTACATAACTTCCGATACATGGTTTGTCGTACATATTCTATCATTTCGTTTACTTCTTGATTTGGTCCGTTATGAGCTGCGGCCGCATTCATTCTTAGGTATTATCTTACTTACTTACACATGCACATTCTGCATGCCTAGTTACATCTACCTATAGTATAAAGTAAGAAGGAAAGAGGGAACGCAATCCGAACGCCATATAACGATTGGTGCGACCAAAAGCGGTTGTAGCGATTGTTGCGACCAAAAGCGGCTGTAGCAATTGGCGCAACCAAAAGCGGCTGTAGCAATTGGCGCAACCAAAAGCGGCTGTAGCAATTGGCGCAACCAAAAGCGGCTGTAGCAATTGGCGCAACCAAAAGCGGTTGTAGCGATTGTTGCGACCAAAAGCGGCTGTAGCAATTGGCTCAACCAAAAGCGGTTGTAGCGATTGTTGCGACCAAAAGCGGCTGTAGCAATTGGCGCAACCAAAAGCGGCTGTAGTTGCTCCTGGGCGCTACGGATCGATCGGCAACTTGCGAAAATTTGCCATAAACGTATAGCCTGCGAGGTCTGTTGGCTTCTTTCCCTCCCACTTGCATCCTCACTTCAAATGTGGTTTCCCACCTTGTACATCTATACGATAGCCACGTAATATATTTTTCAACGTAGACACGCTTGTTTTGATGTCAGTTTGCACTTCTGAAGCTCACACGTACGGAGGTCAGAATGCTAAAGCACGCGGTTGGTGATGCCCAAGACAGATACAATGCCTACGATGCGTAGGCCACTGGTGATGCGTAGGCCCCTTACAAGGCTCAGGGTACGTACGCTGCGTATGCTTGTGTGGGGGTTAATAGAGAAAGTATGACCCCAAAGCGAAGCAATATAATCGGACCCTCATACTTGCGTGCGTCCAAATGGAATGCGTAGACCACCTGAATGCGTAGGCCACCTACGGTCTTGCCTTATCAGATCTGATGATTGAAATCCCGCTTCTGAGCTCATGTTTCTTTCGATTCGTCAAATCTTGGAAGGTGGAGCGCGGAACGCGCTTCGATTTGAACGTTCACATCCTCAAGGCCTCATGTACATTTTCATTAGGACCCCAGTTCGTGAAATGGAAGTATGACACTTAGCAGTCTTTTTCTATTCTACGCAAGTTACAGCTGTGCAGAACGTACGTTTCTGCTGCGGAAGCTCTAGAAACAATCGTTCTGCGCAGGGGATCAAACCGAACCTCGATTCCTTGCGTAATGGTCATGACTCATACAAATACACTCGCCCCATCATCTCCTCGTTGTCGTCGGCGTTCTCGGAGTGCACGTGTAAGCCAGTCATCGCCGGGCCGGAACCGCCAAGACATCCGAGGAGACGCGATCCCGCGCCGAGCCGTTCACCTATCGTCAAGTTTGAATGTTCCAATCTCGATGTTTGAACGTTTGAACCCCCAAGGCCTCATGCCCCCCGCGGGTCGTACGATAACTTCGTTCTCTCTCGTCCGCTCGCTGTTTCTGCTCACGAACAAACGTTCCAGAAGCACTCATTCTGCGCTGGGCGCTCCGGACTCGGCAAACTGCGAGTCTTACCCATTCGGAAGTAACGAACGCCTAGCCCTTGTTTGGTTGTAACTCCAGTCATGTCGCACGATGAGTATGCCATTCAACAGGAGCCTTGCAGACTGTTCAAGAAGTCGTTGCCCGCCAGGATCAAGAAAGCGATTTCGATTTGCTGCGATTGTGCTGTCAAGAAACCCGAACTGTGCCGGTTTGTTGGTGAGTTGCATTGCATCCATCGGATTGAATGAACTGCTACGAGTCGCAAACAGGCCTCCGCCGCGTCAACACCGCGAAGGAAACAGTTGACTTCTTCGGTGGAGGGTATACATACTACAATCGATTCCAGTATCATTCAGCTTTCCACACCCCACCCACACGTGAGGAACTCCTGAAAATTAAGGTATGATCAGGGTGTGGTCGGCATTTAGAAGTTCTGACAGGTAGGACCAGAGAGTGTTATCCGAATGTCTTGCGTCGAAATTGAAGCAAGAACTCGATCATATCGCGGGTCAAGATGTAGTTCTAGCACGGTGTAGAACTATGGACATCAAGTTAGAGTGCGGTATGTATACCATTAAGCCCTCTTTTTCACGAGCTCATTCATTCGCTTCAAGATAAATGTTGCTGGGCCTTCTGCATAATTGGCTACATCTGTACTGACTGTGGGAAGGAATTTTGTCCTCCATGTGTTGCAGATGGTCGCCCAATATGCTCTCACTCCAACTCTCTCCGTTTTTTTTCCATGATCGACCCCGAGGACTTACGGTCGTTGATACATGACATGGAAGAGGTAAACATGCAACCCCTTCCCTCCTGGACGCACGATTTCACCAAGGAAATCGACCCGCTGATGCGCACCATTCCAACACTGGCGCCGAATCCCACCATGGCCGATTTCGACGTAGCTTGGGCCCCGGGTGTCCCTCTGTTGATCGAAGCTACCCCGGAGCCTGGGACTTTGCACCGATGGACGAAAGAAAAACTCGTCTACTTGTTCGGCTCAAATCCTTGCCAGATCGAGGATTGCGAAACAGATGGTGAAGAAGACACCACTGTGGCCACATTTTTGGAGATGATTTTCGGTTCAAATGTCTGTACCCGACCTCTGAAGCTCAAAGTAAGTAAGATCCTTTCATAATCAAACTACCTCGATGACACGATTTCAAGGACTACCCACCCAATTCCACGTTTGCGGCAGAATTCCCTACTCTGTGCCGGAGTTTTCAATACAATCTCCCCTTCCCTGCCGTGACAACTTTCCATGGCGCCCTCAATATCACAAACTATTTCCCTCCTGCCTACAAGGTCGCACCTGACCTCGGCCCAAAGGCTTATATCGCCACCGCCAACGATTCCGATCCGAGAACTAACCAAGGCACAACTCGATTACACATGGACCTTTGCGATGCTGCCAACTCCATGCTGCCAGTTGACAAAGATTCAGCGGCCCTTTGGCACGTCTTTGCTCCTGAAGACGCATCCAAGCTTCAGGAGTTTCTTTGCTCAAAGCATCGCGACACATCAAAAAACCACATCCATGCGCAACTCACTTATCTAACGCCTGAAGACCTAGTCAAGCTAGAGAAAGACTTTGGTGTACGTCCTTACGCCTTCACCCAGAAGGCAGGCGAGACGGTGCTTATACCCACTGGTTGCGCACATCAGGTAAGAAAGATCGAATAAATGTGCGTATCATGGATCATACAACTCGATATGCAGGTTCGGAATCTCACAGCATGTGCAAAAATAGCTGTAGACTTCCTCTCCTCACACAGTGTTAAGCGGTGTACAGAGGTGTCCGAACAACTGCGGGAAGAAGGTGTTCATGGCAAGAAAGATACCCTTGAGTTCTGGAACCTCATGCTCCATGCCTGGTTTGCTGTTGACTTGGTGGACGTCGCCAATCCGGAGTCACAAGTCTATAATTCCGCTGGGCATCTTGGGGGTGTTGTTCATGATGATGATCCCTCTCTTCCTGCTGAACACCCATCTCCTCATCTTCAAGGACAACTCGCAATGGATCCCATGGTCCCGACCAGTGACCCAGTTCATCGTCCCGAACAACATCTCCACGAACCTGCATTGCACCCCCAGCCTAACACCCACGAAAATGGACATCCATCCAGCGACAACATACCTCCGCGAATTGAAGATCATCCCAGTGACTTTGCGATGCGTCTCATAGACGACTCTGGCACCAACGAACCGACGACTTCGGGTGATTCTTTCCAGTTTGTCATGCGGGCTCATTCAGGGGCTGTTGTTGAGCGCAAGGAGAAGAAATGTGCCAAGTGCCAAAGATCTTGGAGAGAGTGCAAAGGTGCCAACGACCGATCAAAGTGTCGTGAGCCATGCCCTCTCTGCAAAAAGGTTGAGTGTCTCGGCCCGGATTCATTGAAACCACAACAATGCGGGCAGCCAAGGAAGAGGAAACGAGGGTAGTGGTAAACTAGGAACGTAACAACATCTAACCACATCATCTTCTCTGCGAGTTTGATCTTTGATATTGTTTTGCATACATTGCGGAATATGATGACTCACATTTGCTGGCATTATTGCATTCAAGACCTCCACTGAATCCTCCGCCGCCATCGGCCCCGATGTTTCAGCGACACGGTCTATCAAGCATCAACAAGCACCACCCGTACCATGGCCAGTGACTACAATCTCGACAATGTTTTCTGTCCCCGGGTCTTTGCGCGCCGCCTGGATGGCAGATGCCTTAATGCCCTTGAAGAGCCCCCTAGATTCGCCCTGCAACCGCTTTTCTGCTTGTGAGTAAGAGTACGCAAATCGTCCGAAGCATGCATAGGGCCCAAGCAAGAACCAACTGTTTCGTTGATGGCCAATAAGCAACGTAGCCCAGACGCTTGGCCACCTTCCCCCTGAAAGCAGGGACCAGTTTGGAGTTTGCGACGGCACTGTAACACTCGAAGGCAAACAGGGGCTGTACCAATCAATAGCATAGAGAGTATGACTTCGAACTGTCACAAAACTATACAATTTCAGCGAACTGGACTAGTCATGGTTGAACCGTGAATGCCATTAATATGACGACTGTCGCTTTGGCACAAGTTGCAACCAAGAGGCGGATCATTTTTACATCCATTTTTGGCGCAAATTAGCACGGACCGCTCGGCGCGAGTGCGTTGCAACCAAAAGTGGATGCATTTGAGTATATCCGTTCTTGGTGCAAACAATCATCACGGTATCCATTGTATACATGTAGATGCCATAGCTATGCATACAATATATAGGATGCCCCACTGTACCTCATCTAGTCTCTACGGTTCATTCGCTGTTTACGACTTTACGACGCTGGGCTGCGTATTCTTATCTCACACTTCAATTGTGTTCCCCACCACCGACCTTTTCGCACCAAACGACATCCAACACTCCTCAACTGACCCTTCGAGTCCCCAATATCAATCACCACCTCAACTCGACCGCTGACTACCCCAGCGTTCATGTTATACGTGTCGTAGGCGTCGTACGCTGCGTATCTATCGTAGGTAGAGAGCAACTTACGGGTTGCTGTTCGTGGAGAGATCAATGCCGGTAATGACGCGATAACGGCACAGGTGATGGGGAGGAGGAGAAAGGCTCGCAAACGTTGAACTCGCTAACGAACGAACACTGATATACGGAATGTGCCCGTGCCACGAAAGTTGCAACCAAAAACGGTTGTAATGGTCGGCGCGGGTGATTGGCCAGCATGATGTGCAACCAAAAGCGGTTGTAACGTGTTGGCCAGCGCTACGGATGGATCGGCAACTTGCGAAAATTTGGCATAAAGGTACACACTGCGCTTCATTTACTTTTTCCTTTCTCTCCCACCTGCATTCTTACGACTTTCGCCGTCATATGTGGTATCCCGCCTTCAGCAGTTGGTTATGATAGTTACTTTTCACATAACATATACTTTTCAACGTAGCCAAACTTGTTTGATGTCCGCAACATACAGTATCTTAGGAATATCACAAGAACTCTAGATCACTCCTACGTACGATTCTCAGAATACTTAGACTACCTACAATGCTTAAAGTGCGTAGAACACCTGGATGTGTGGGCTGGTGCTCAGAATGCGTAGACCACCTGACTGCGTGGGCCATCTACGGTGCTTAGAGTAACTATGCTGCCTACGCTGCCTACGCTGCCTACGCTGCCTACGCTGCCTACGCTGCCTACGCTGCCTACGTCGCCTACGCTGCCTACGATGCCTACGCTGCCTACGCTGCCTACGCTGCCTACGTCGCCTACGCTGCCTACGCTGCCTATGAGGACTCTGAGCGGCCCAGTTCCTGATTTTCGCATCAGGGCAGAATTCGAAGACGTCAAGGCTCTCGAAACTCGCAATTCGGACAAGGTAGCAAGCCTACTGGAGGAGCAGGCTAACACCTTATCCAGCCTCGAGGAGGCACGAGCGAGGGAGAGGACCTTGAAGCCTGGATCTGTGCTAGGTCGGCGAGGGAGAGGACCTTGAAGCCTGGATCTGTGCTAGGTCGGAGAGCGATGAGGTGCAATACGGAAGCTGCACGTGAGAAGGACAGGAGCAACGTTTCCACGAATTGAAGGCCGTTCTGGAGGACACCGAACGCCAGCTCAAGGATGTGCAGGCAAGCGTGGATGTGGGCAATACTGATGCCATTGGTTTACGGGAGGGGAGGCAAGCACACCATGTTGAACGCCTCCTGCGTGAAGACCTCAGTGCTGGCAGGACCTCCCAAATTAGCTTCGAGCAACGATTGGAAAGTTCGGAACAACTCGTCGCACAGACAACAGTCCCGAGAGCTTGTCTCTGATTGGTTCTACGTTCGGTGCTTCTTGAGTGCTTCTTTGAAGAAGATCCGACAGGCGCTCACGCGAGGTGAATCGATGCACGCACAGCCAATAGGAGGGCCTCAAGCGGAGGTAAGATGGAGTTGCACTTATGCCAGTCAACGGTTCTGTGGGCCGTCGACATATGTTTGAGACCTCACCCTCCGCGATATATCCGAACGCACCAGCTCACCACGAAGAGGTCATCGAACCGCAGGGTCCCCCTTCTCTGTTGCAGCCAACCTTGACCTAAACCCGCGTTCTCAAGTGGTAAGCATTAATACACATTTTGAAAGAGACAGGAAATATCATATATACCACCAATGAATGAATGGAAGAGGAATATAAACATATATGTCTCGTTTACGTTTGGTCCCGATGTCGTGTCGAGATGCCTGCAAGAACAAGACATGGACTTAATATGTAGAGCACGCTAGGTAGGTTCGGCCAATATCTCCGTAAGGCACTATTCACCTCGTTCCGCAGGTCGTCGAAGACGGCTACGAATTCTTCGCGAAGCGCCATCTCGTCACTCTGTTCTCGGCCCCTAATTATTGCGGAGAGTTCGATAATGCAGGTGCTATGGTAAGCGTAGACGAGACTCTACTGTGCTCCTTCCAGGTATGTATCTCGACATTATATGTCTACGTTCTGAATTGACTTTTTGATATAGATATTGAAACCGGCCGGAAGAAAGCCAAATACGCCAAATACCCTTACGGCGGTATGAACATGGGACGACCGGTAACACCACCTCGTAAGCAGAAGAAGAAGGATGGTAAGATGGGTTGAAGTCGCTCAGGGAGTTAGACTCTGTGCTAGACTGGCCCTCTTGCCGGTACCTTCTCCGGATCTGCTATTATATTAGGACGACCCTCTATTTCCATGTTCTATCGCTCCCTCTATATATATATATATATATTTGCTCCCACTATAATAAGTCCATGTCATGTTTTTGCAGGAATCTCGACACTACATCGGGACTAAACGTAAACGAGACACCACGGTCATTTCTCATAACCTGGCGAATTTGCTCCATAGATTGCAAGTCCGGACTCAACCCTCCGTGCATCGTCAAAATTGTCTCATCGATGATTGCAGCGATAGGTGGACAATTGAAGCAATCCATGGACGTTTTCCATAGCTTGATATTATATCGACGTTTACCTGAGAGAAAGTAATAAAGGAGTTGGTCTTATGTGCATACAAAACCCACGTACATTCATCGTAGGACCCGTATATTCTGTTGATACTAGCACATTCGTGATTGCCGCGAAGAATGTAAAAATTTTGGGGAGATCTTCTTCGAGCTACTGGTACCCGCTGAGTTTACTATTTGGTCAGCCGTAGGTAATATATGCTTTACGCCTCGTATCACTGGATTGAATGGGAGTGAGACGGCCGGTGGGGTATCTGGATTGGGCCTGATAGTGGGTCTTGATTTCAAGATGTAGGATAGTTCTTGTTGCGAAACTCGAAGGTCGTCCAAGAATGCAGAAGGTAGGTTTTTCGGCTGATTTAACCCGTGATCCCAAAGATGAGGGTGCGAGAGTTTGATGTGAAGAAACATAGAATATTTCCAGAGGGATGTTGGGTGTTCAGAAGGGCAGACACGGCAACGCACGGGTACATTTGTAGATGGATGCCGTCCGGTTGTTTGAACAGCACGGCCAAGCACAAACGGTCCAGGCTAACCTCATTCTGCATCGTCGTGATCAAAGTCTCGCAGGCCAATATCTTCAATGCGCCTCATCTCCCAGCTTTGATCGTTAACGCGTACGTAAATCGACTGTCCGCTTTGTTCCTGATCCTGGCCGCTCGACATGCCGCAATCACTTGCCATTGCCTCGAGTCTGTCCACAAGACGTAGATTTCGATAGGTGCAGCCGTATTGTCCTCCGTGGAAGTCTGTCTAATTCCATCGACTGTTCAGCCACATGGTGAGAAAAGCGGTCGAATAACCGAATATATGATGCCTACCAAACCAACGGTAGCTCCTGTGAACTGAACGAAGAAGAAAGCACTTGTGTAGCAGAAGCCAGCTTAGAAGGTTTGAGAGCTCTCATAAACACTTGATATGGAGCGTGGAATAGCATCCCAAGGCCAATTCATGCAAGTAAGGGAAACGTCACATAGGTGGACAGTTTCGAATGCTCATCCAACAAGGTCATCAGGCCTATAGTAGCTACATCTATTCGTTACGCGTTGATTTACAAACAAGAAAGAGAACATTCAACAAATAGCTAACTGTTTATATCACTTAAGTCCAATTAGTAACGACGCCTGAATCTACGGAGGACGACTTACAAGTGGACACAAGATGTTTTGGCACGAACACGCGCTCCCGAAGCGAAGATCGCGGAGCCTTGTCGAACGTATCGGTCGTTCACGTAAATGTGGGCGGTTACAACGCCCCTACCGTGTCGGTATCCTCGAATGGTAATGTGGGGTTCGCGATCTTCGCTTCGATGGCGCTCTTTACTGTGCAAAGTTAGGCAAGGACTGAGGAAGCGTGACAAGAACTTACACGATGATCCAACATTGCAGGCGTCGAACCGGATACCCGAGTCGGTTCGAGATTGCCTGCATGATTGCTGCTGAGCGCAACCACTCCATCGCGACCCGAATGACGTGCTCCCGTGTCGTGGACCCCCTCGAGAGCAGGGTGCGTATAATTCGAAGTTGGGTCATTGATACAGACTAAGGAAGCCCTTAGTCACGTCGTCCATTGTACAGCGCAGGCCTGACCTTTGATGATAGGTATGAACGAGACGCGATAGTAATGGAGGAAGGAGAGTCGGAGTCAATGGATAGCGGTGGAGGAAGAGAGGCGGGGTGAATAGAGACGGTGAAGGAAGAGAGGCGGGTTCGGCGGTGTTGGGAGGAGAGTTGGCATGGGATCGCGCCAACACCGTGGGGCGTCTGTGTTCGCGAGACGGCCCACACGTCTCAGATTCGAGTTCCTCCCCAACGTTGACCTTCGTTCCCTCGCTCGTCTCCGTAAACGTCAATTTCGCGCCAACCCAAAATTTCGCATCCTCTACGACGCCCTATCAACGCATACACGACTTCCTCCGTCCCTCACTTCGGCCCATTCCAACTCACCTTGACTCTCTGTTTCCCTCTCCCGTCCATCCTCTTCCAACGCCTGAAACATCCGGTGAGCACCCCGTTGGCTCGCTAGACTTGCTCATTCCTTTATCACTGAGAGGTCGTCAACTACCACTAGCTAGCTACAACTCTAGATCCAGGTCCCCCGAATCCTCGACGCGCACGCAGGTAAGTAGCAATCCAATATGTTCAAGGCCTATCTAACTCGGTACATCGTTTACTAGTTGCTGGCGCGACATTCATCGGCTTACTGCCTACGGCCGCGCGCGTGCATGAACGACTCCTAAATTCCACCTACAGCGCGAAGACGGGTTCTTCACATCTCTCGCTCGTTTCATTTCCACCCCGGCCGTTCCTATTCCCATCCCGTTCACCCACCTGCCCATTCCTTCGTTCGTTGATCGTCTGATCCAATACCCCTTCTCGCCCCGTCGTTGGCCCTCTTGTACCGACACCCGTTCAGCCCATTTAGTCACTTCCTCAACGATATTAGCGTCACCTTGGTTCATGTCGTGTGTATGGTACGGGGCGCAGTATGTTCCCGTTCGCGTTCGACGTTATCTCTAGTTCGACGTTCGACGTTTCTTTTCACCATTCCCTCGTGCGCATTTTGCGTAGCGTTCGCTCGTTCTACAGTGCGTGGTGTCTTCAGTTAGGGACGGATTGGAATATACAAGTTCGGATGAGGTATTCCCTTGGATAGCCCCCTGCAGTGTATGTGCTTTCTGGCCTCTGTTTTTTTTTTTGGACGTGTCGGCGAGGTCACGTGATGTGCGTTTGAACCCGATATGGATGTAACATACCGATAAGATATCTCTTGAATATCTATTCCTGATATTGATCGTCTACCACGGTTTCATATTCCCCACATAACAAAATGGTTAATACATATTTAATTTGCCATATACTATTCCAAATATGGATCAAATATCCCTCCTGTATTTTCCTCTGAATTCTTCAAATAAAATGACACATAATGATCGAATATTAATACCTATGATATCCCGTTGATTGAGGGGAAAATAGTCAATCAATTCAATGGATAACCATCGGATATCTCAGTGACTATTTTATGGTAAATCGTGAGAATGTATGTAATGTATATTTTAAATGTTTTCCTACGGCCATAATAAATAATGTCCTTATAACAATCCCGCTAATATCGGATCGGTATCGAACAAACAAAAATCTGTAAACTACATATATCCAGTGGGTTTATTCCTTATCTATATCTAGCTAATAGTTTATTCTTCCCAGGCTTCGATAACGATTAATACCGACATACAATCTGCATAATGTTTTCAAAATAATCTAATACATTTGAATATAATATCTGTGAGTTAGCTAATATATTGATTGCATATTACGGGGCCTGATATGGGATCTTTACCGACGATAATTCCCACATAATAATCTCATACAAGGCCCAGTATTATTTGATCCTGCACCCTGTGTAAGCACTCAATCAGCAGAATTATCAGCCTTTGTGCGTATCCTCGGTGTGTTGCTACGTGTATCGGTGCTTATCCTTCCCAGAAATTATCTGCCGTCTCTTGCGCGCTTGTGATCGTCGATGGTGGTGAGAGCGCATCGAATTTTCCTCGGTTATACGATGCATGTCCTAGAGTAGGAGATGTGACTGGCGAGATATACGGCCGTTTGCAGCTCTAACATCGTATGCTGGTGAGTTCTTCCTTCGATTATTAACCTAATGAGGCGACTAGGCTTACTTCTCTTCCTGCCTTTTGGCAGCCGCCGACGTGACTTATATCCCAAAGACAAGACAGAACTGGTCACAGCAACGCGTTGAGACATGTAGCTCTCCTCCAAGGCCTGCGGACTGTAGACCACGCATGAGAATCTGTCGATGAGACGAGACGAAGGAATAGGACGAGAATGTATGCGAGGTCCGGCCGGGGGTAAGCACATTCGTCGTTCGGACTCATCCTTCAGCTAAATGAAAGGAGGTAGTCCCCAAGTGGTTGTAACGTGTGTCTAGTCGCTACGATCTGCGATGTAGCAACACAGGGTACTGTTCAAGCAACTGAATGTTCTATGTGGCGTATGCATGCTCTTCCGCAGCCTCATTTTGCCAAGAAGTAGGCTGCCGAGTCAGCTAGATTTGAGCATGAATCGGAAGCCTGCTATTTGTAACGGCTCTATAGACCGAGTGCATCGCATGGTGAGACGTGGCTTTCATATTCTCCCATAGCAGGTAGCCCGTATCTAGTAATGCGTGTAGCAGAAGAATACTGCGTCAAGGGGCCACTTGATGAACACGCATCCCGCCGATGTACGGATAATGATTCGAACGTACTACTAACCTCCGTATCAGACTCTATACACGTCTCAATAACCTTCGTTATCAAGCGTAGTTCGCAACACATAGTCGTAGCGGAGGCTGCAGCCGGGCTGTCCCAAGTTGCCCAAGCCTCTCGTCGATGAGGGATTCAAGCCTTGTTAACAATTTTAAAGGACCGGCGCTCGTAACACAGCCAAGGATGACTGGGTGTCGCTTCGCTTATTTCTGGTAATCTTCTCGTCTACGTCGTTTTACGGGGTCATTCAAGTAAGCGAGACTTTGTCTATAGATGTATCTAACTTTCCAGCTCAAAGGCAAGTAATGGACGACACGATACTCACTTGCGGAAGGAGATAAAATCGCCATACGTACGGATTGATAAGGAATTCGGTCAAATCGCCTCTCTAGCTCAATCGGATAGAGCGTCAGACTTTTACAGGAATTCGGTCAAGGGCCTTCGGTCCGTGCACTTGCTCTCGAGCCTCTAGATGAGCTTTTTATTACGACGACTCCCCTTAACGGCTTGCCCGGAGCACAGTTATATCTGCTAAATATATAGCCCCAACAACTACAGGCGTCGCTGTCCGTATCTCAGTGATGCCGCTTCCCTCTCTAGATCTCTTTTTTCTACCCATTTCCTTGCCTCTAGACATATTATTACATTTCTTCCGTCTACTACCGTTGACTTTGCGAGGGAAGGGAGCCATCATGTTTGCCTCGGGGTCATTGTAGACGAGGACTGAGGTCTTGTTGTTTGTAAGTAGGGTGTATGTTACACTCGTGGTACATCGTGCCGATCATACCCATCCACATTCCTTCGTGACAACTCCAGATCCCACAGGCAGAAGCAGATAGAGGTCAGAATACAGAGTATACATTGAATCGTTTAAAGAAGTCGGTGTTTCCGAGCCTGCAGCCATAGTCAAAGGGTATACAAATGTATGATACAGTAGTACACATGTTGTCTACACCAGGAAACTGGTGTCCCATATATGAACACCACCATCATTACAGCCCGAAATGATCTTCTTCCCATCACCAGAAAATGCCACAGAAAGCACTTCGCTGGGGACTTCATATACGGCCAATATTTCCCCGGATCCTGAGTCCCACACACGAATAGATTTGTCCATGGATCCAGAGACCACGATGTCTTGGTTCGGCGAGAAGCTTGCGCAAACGACTAAGTCAGTGTGCCCCTCCAACCTCTTCACAAGCTCTCCTGACATTGTATCCCAGATACACACCGTCTTGTCGCACGATGCCGAAATGAGCTTCTCCGCGCAAGATGAAAATGCCACCATCTCTACGTGATTTCTATGGCCTTCCAGAAGCTTCAACATCTGACCGTTTTTTGTGTCCCATAGACGAATGCCGTGGTCCTCAGAGCTGGAAGCGAGTTTGGATCCATCCGAAGAGAAGGCGACTGAATTGATCATGTCATGACCTTCCATGCCTCCGAGTAGATCCTCGCCGCTCTCTGTATCCCACACTCGAATCACCCCATGAATCGATCCAGACCCGATCATGTTTTTGTCGGAGGATAGTGCTACTGCGGTGATACTGTGGGTTTCTGCTTTATCCTTTATTACGCGGAGAAGGCGACCGGTGTCCATATTCCAGAGACACACGGACCAGTCGTTGTGCCCAGTTACGCACTGTGACCCGTCTGCCGAAGCTCCTACAGACTTCACAGAGCTATGATCCAAGGGCATAGAGACTTTCCTTGTCCACGTCTTGTAGTCCCAGATTTCTACCGCGTCGGAGGATCCTACGAAGACCAAGTCTTCTTCATTGCTTGAAAAAGCAACATAGTCGACTGCACATCCATGACCCGTCGTAAGACTCCCAAGAGGTTCTAGTAGGCGAGAATAATGAGTACCAATTACCATATATATGCATGGGAGAATACCAACCATGGCCATATCGCCGAACGACCTGCCTGTACAATCGTCTAGAGTCACCTGCCGGCAGCTCCGCAGCGATAGTGCAGAACACGGAGGCTTTTAGTCGGACCTTTGGATGGGGAGGGACAACCACCAGGGCTGATAAGAGAACAGTGATAACCTCGGCGCGCATGTTGTCCTCTCGTTCCACCTCTCTTTCGAGAGTCAACAGCAAGAAGGTGGAAACATCTGTTGAAACCTCAGCAAGAGGCTTCAAACTTTGCCCTATCAAACAGTAGTCATCAGGATACCGACGACATTATGAAATGACTGTGTTACTAACTTTCATTTAATGGCCCATGTGTATGTGTATGCGAGTGGGTGTGTGAGTGGAACGCATGGCCACAAATGACCTGGTTTTGACTGAGGAAAACATGAAGCTTGAGAACTTCGATAGCCGCCTCGAAGGTTGCGTCATCTGAGTCGACTGCATCTTTGAGTCGTTGGACCGCAAAGTTCGCTGATGCGAAGGGGTCGTCTTCGAGTCTTTCCTGAATGAGGTCGCGGATGTTATCCCAGGAGTCATTTCCCATGTCGGAGAAGCGTGCCAGCGGTTTATATCCATCTGATGCTAGTGCCTCTGGGGTTGTAGAAGACTTAGTAGCAAGTAAAGTGTCGGTATCTACACCCATAGCCTCAAATACGGACTTATGGATCCGTTGACCAGCTTGTATCTGGCGAGGCGCACCATTGTGGAGTCTATATGTAGATTAGTGGGAGTACAGCACATTCTGGGGGAATCTTACCCACCTTCGAGATATACCACGTCGATATGAAGGGCGACGAATGGGGAGGTATTCAAAAACATGCCAAACACCCGTCAGCGAAGCGGTAGGCGTCAGTGACGCCCAGCCCTTCGTGTGCTGGTGCATGCGAAGGCCGTTATTCATTGCTTCGTACGTCATCCACCTTAGAGCCGGCCCAAAACTGTCAAGGCCTTTATTGAGAACACTCCATCCACCGCTTACCACGATATATCAGTATATGAAGTTCGTTGAAACCATGAGTGTCACGCACATATCAGAATGGGAACCCACGAACCAGACCTCTTTTACATCACCACCGGTGGATTCCTTGGTGGACCCATTGGCATGTTCCGGCCAGAATCTGACGCGTCGCTCATCCAGAGCGAGAGCCTGGCGAAAGTGGCAAACATGTGCCATTCCAGTGGTCGTCTCGGGTAAGCACGGCGCTCTAACTATCCCGACCGACGACACTGTGTCCCTGTTCGCTATCAGTAATTGTAAGAACCCAAATGTTTATAAATTCACCATGCGCCCACGAAGTGTACTTTGACGTGTGGCTGAGAGAACGCCTTCTTGAATATGTCGCACTGTTGTCTCGCCTCAGAGAGCTCGGGTGATCCGGCATCTGATGTTTGAGTTGATTTTTCCATTGTCTTCATATATAGTTTGAAGACACTTTTAACCGTGTTTGAGAGAGGCTGTTCGCGCACGTACGTGTACTTACGATGGTAGTTGGGTGTTACTCCCCTTATACAGCAGACCAACCTGGTCACCGAACTTAGTGATTAGCTATTGGGAGGTAAAGAAGTGCACGCAATACTCACCCGTTCGATCATTCCCGCAATCACTCGGATCTGGTATGCTCCTCTGGAGAACCCTTGAGAATTATGTGACCATTCGGCACTAAACATAGATAACAAATGTCCTACCAAAAAGAAATATCCTGTCTCCTGGTCGATAATTATTGCAAAGCCACTTATAAGCCTTCAACACGTTTCTCTGGAATGATCTAAGATGTATTAAAGCTAGCCAATTGAGTGGGCACATGGGGAAAGTCAACATACGCTGCGACTGCAGAATCCCACCAGCGGTCTATTCTCGACTCGCCATAAGTGCCGATACCACTAATATAGTAGGCCAGCTGTTTGTCGTCCTTGATAATACGGCTATGCAGTTCCACAACATTGCTATTCTATGGCGAAACAGTGAGTATAAATCTAACTCCGTGAAAGGTAGCTCGCCTTTGCGCCAAATTTGCCCAAAGTTCCGTCGGCACTCACACAGATGTTCCTGCCATTGGAGGGACAGCATGCTTCTTTGCCTTTGGTCGTGTGTGGACCACAAATGCTAGTCTTCTCTGGCAGGTCCTCGTGCTGCGGATGGTCGTGTTGGTGTGTATGTTGCGGGTGCAGGTGCGGGTGGGAGTGCAGATGCGGATGCGGATGTGGGTGTTGATGGAGTACCACTGGATCAGAGACACTACCATCAACAAACTCCATCGAGGGAGCTTCTGATTTGGACCTGGCCTGGTGCGGGACGCTATCCATTCTGGGGTGACTGTGAGGGTATGATTTTCGAACCTCGCTGGAACCTTTAATGTCCTAGATATATGATCCTGCGCCGTATCCTCGTTTTGCTGTTTGGACGGGACAACGCGGAAACCAGCCACACTTCGGTCGTGTTCCATCTCGTGAGTTGATCAAACCAGGCGTCGCCTGCGTGTGTATATATTCATGACATATATACCAGACTTAGCCAACGGCTATGTATGGATTGCGGTCGGATGATGGTATGTGAGTAGGCAGAGTGCTGGAGCAAACGTGTGATATTACCAGTCCACCAGGCTTCCTGCGCTCATACACAAGGAATCCGCGTTGACACGAGCTGCCTACTTCAGATTAATGATGGAAAGGGAGGGGTAGAGGCACCACGAGCGGTAGCCATCTGCCTGACGGCCTGCACGTGTCGATATGGTTCGTTGTGGCCTTTGGTAGGGAAATATGAGTTTTGGACGCCAGAAGTTGGAACCGAATAGTCTGCGGACAACCGTATCCTAAGGTCTTGACGTAGGTAACAACGGCGATGTAGGTTCGTATAGCACTCGAATACAAATAAGACCCTTCTTCGTAGAACAGGAAGTTAAGCAATACAGAAGGCAAGAAAAAGTCCGTCTGTCCAATACTCGCGCAAACGAGGAACATTATAGCCATGATTACTAGGCGGGGAATCATGAAGATACTAAAGATCCATAGTCCATTCAAGCCGAGGGGGTGGGGTGGGATTCGCAGTGTAGACAAGATGCCATTGCAGCGCTGGCCAGCAGCCGAGGATCGTTGTGCCCGTCGTGAGTGCGGACCGAATGCTGCGATATGAGACGAAGCGGGAAGAGAAGGGTGCAAGTGCTCTCAAGAGCGGAGAGTACTTCGCAATAAGACAGCGAGATTCAAAGACAATGAAGGAATGGAGCTTCCGGCACTTCTACAGCAGGAGTCTCCACTTGGCCCAATGGGCCACCCGTTTTCAAACACACGATTATCCTTGGACTTGGAGCACCAGTTGAAGGTGATGGGGAGGGCGTACGTCCTCCCTAGTTCGCTTATAATGGGAAACGCAAGTGGAAGGCGGATCGTCGAGGGAAGAACGCGCGCGCGAGGTGGGCCGCCGGGTGGGCAGCCGCTGCTTCCGTTCCCCTTTCCAACGATGGATGCATTCAGACATCCAGAGACACGTGAACAAGGAGTTACGGAGTGCACTCTTGCATCCTACGCAATTGTGTCGTTCACGGCGGTACACCTCCACACAAAGCCGCGGGCCATATCCAGACGCGTAGAAGCGAAGTGCTTATTCCCGGGCGCTGGGTACGGGGAGTCCGGGACCCGATGAGCAACGATGTTACATGTCACGTTCGTAGCTGCAGTATATGCGGCGAGTCGTCAGCGAGATAACGATTACGGTCTTCAAAGGCAAAAGCGGGGGAGGGTGACGTGGCAGATCGCCAGACATACGCCGTAATGTGCGGATACAAGGCGGGGGAGGACGAAGACCAAGACAGTCGTGTGCTGCAATTGCGGTTTACGCTTACGGCCTCCAGAAGCGTGTGGTGTGCTGCACGTGCACGAGCATCGAGTTGCGTCCGATTCAGCGCAGTGCCCATATCCATGGGTGTTCCGTGTCGGCTGAACCGACGGGTTGCAGGGGTAGGCGGAAGAAAAAGAGAAGGAGCTGAGCCAACGACCAACGATAGGGGATCCTGGGACGTTGGTTGCCGTTGGTATAACGTGCAGGCGAGGCGAGGCGGGGCGAGTTCGCTGGTTTATATACTGTACACGGTTATAGAGAATGCAGAGAGTGCGGAGAATGCAGGCACGTGCGAAGTGATACATACTCATACTCTCATCGTGTCTCTAGCGGATTTGGGAGAGCAAGGCGTCAAGGCGTGCAGGCGGAGGACGCGAGGCATCAATGCATCAAGACGTATAGGCACCATGCCGTACCCACGAAGGGACTAGGGACTAGGGACTACGAGGCCTGCAATTCGACTCGTGATGTGCTGGATTTCAAAATCTCGAGGATTGAGCGTAACGCAGCGGCCCTGGCCCCTTGTCTTTTTCCGTCGTTCTCGTAAGGGCGTAGACGAGTCGCCTGCTGCAATCCGCAATCTGCAATCAATGAATGAGACCAGAGTACTTGATGTGGGAAACCGAGGACGCGCGCGCGCGTATACCTGGTACCTGTTTTCCCAATGACGACGATGATGATGATGATGACGAGGATGGGGCCAAGGCGAAGGCCAGTGTTGTGCGGCTCTTGATCGCTTGATCGCTTGATGCATTGATCGCTTGATGTCGTGCGGCGCCCGACCAACGACGCGCGCGATGGCCTACAGAGATCGGGCACGAGAGACGTGAGGGGTTTAAAGATGGAAGATGGAAGATGGACATACGGAGGACTCGTCGGATAATATCAGTCTGGAATGTATGTATGTTGGTTGGTTGGTTGAAAGAAGCCGTCGCGCCACAGAAGATCTAAGATCACGCGCGTATATGTACGTGCATACTCGACTTGAAGTCTGGCGCCAAGCGTAGGTATGAGTAACACATCGCATATCGACGACAGGGGCCGTAGTGGCCATGAACATGAACAATATTAATAGACGATCGAGTTTGGTGTCACTGATAGAACGTTTTCGCGAAATCGTGTCTGGGCGTCGCAGAATCTTCTTCGCCACTTCTGTCCGTCTTCAGGGGATGATACCGATGCATCCGAGCCGCGCCTTCTCAAGATCTCATATATATCATTGTTCATTGTGGCAGGTCACATTAAATAATTCGAATGGGCTTGCTCGAGCTATCGTCTGTCTCTCACCAGAGTCCCTCGTCAGGTCAGAGCAGCTTGCAACGCTCGCTGCGTTCATTCCGCGGCTCGCTCCCAGACCCATGTGTGCAGAACACGCGTACGGTGGGTGTACTGGGCCTCTCCCGCCTCATGATGCATGCATGATGTACGCAGTACATATCCCCCCATCCCCAGCGCACTCCAAAAATCGCTCGGCTGGGTTGTCTATTCCCCTCGCCCCACGCTGTCTCCGGACGTTGGCGCCGCCCGTGCTAGCCTAATGCTACCTTCACGCCCGTTCCAATACCCTGCTTCCTGCTTGAGTATCCCTAACCGAGAATATTCTTCTTCAGGGCTGATTCAAAGCGGGTACTAACTCTCCGAACTCGGCCACCCCATCGACGTGGAATGGTGATTTGGAGAAGAAATTGCATGCCAAGACTTGGGTAAAATTGGAAGACATACTCCGATGTTGAATTTTCGGTGCAGTGGGCGACAGACGGCAGAATGGATAATGGATAATGTCGACATGACAGAAGAGTAAGTCGTGCATCGATTGGCAGATTGGCAGTGCACAGACCTGCTAGATGACAGCTTTGCCTGTGCACGGACCTTTTCAGATTGGTTGGGAGCCAAACAAAGTGATCCCCTTCCCCTGCTTTCTCTTTCTCTCGTCGTTGCCGCCGTGCTCGTCCTGTGACGAGATCGAAAGCGAGTCTCCACAGAAAGAAATGTCTGAACTGGACGGCGGAATTCCTCGGGCATAACACTCGATTCTATAAAAGCTGGTACGTGGCGCGCGTCCTCTTCTTTTCTTGCATTCCCTCCTGCCTCGAACTCGACGACGTCCCTGCCATCCCCTCTGCGTACTTGCCGCCTCTTCGACCTCGCCCATATCGACGATGCTCTCTTTCGCCGGCGAGCAGTCTTCATAAGGAGAGCATCCCGCCCCAACGTAATCCCCGCCGTCTCTTCTCGTAAAGGCCGCCAGCGCTCCCCTACGCTAATCAATACTCCAGGCGCCTGCACGTCTTCCCTCTCATTTCCCGTTTGGTCGTCTCCATGCATGGTGACGTGAGTCTCTGTTCCACCGCTTTTGGCCTCCTCCAGCGGCTTTGTCGGCTCACAGCTCTTGCCATTCCCGGTGTCACTGGCTTCCGCCTCAGGCCATTCGCAGACGCTGTAGTTGACCTCCTCCCTCGACGCCTGCTCCCCCATGTCTCTCGCGCTGAGAACCTGTGGTATTCTGCCTGCCTCCCGCCGCTGGCCCATATAGTGAGCATATAGCCCATGCTTTCGATCTCCCACTTGCTCCTGACTAAGACTTCCCAATATCGACCTTTGGTGAGTCTCTCTTCCGCTCTCCCCCTAAGCGTCCCTTCCAACTGCCTGGCACTCCTCGTACATACTCCTTTGTCGACAACTCGTTG